TTGTATATATATATTGTTGATAAGGGATAATTGATATAGATTTCGAAAAGCTTAGAAAAAGTGATTGAAGGAAAGTTATATAATTAGATGAAAGTATTTTTGAGATTGGAAAACATAATAGGATATAGATGATTTGTAGGATTGAAGAAAAGAGATATAGAAATTGTATTAAATTAGTATATAAATCAAAAAGGATTTTTGTAATAATATAAAAAGCTTTTGATTGGAATTATAAATCTTTATTAATCTTTTTGAAGAAGAATTTTAACAATAAAAAAGTAAATTTAATAATATATCAAAATCAGATTTTGATTTTTATTATATTTCTTTTATTTGATGAATTAGAATCTGAATATATATTTATAAAGGATAATACAAAGGTTCATTTGAAATATATTAGATTAATTCGATTAGAGTATAATATTAAAGGTTTTTAATAATCTTTTTTTTCTTTAGATTTTAATCTAATTAAAAAGGTATAATATTGAATAAAGAAAGAGTTAAAAAAACTATTATTTGTATCTATTTCTATTAAGGAATTGAAAAAGGAATTTAAAAGATTATAAAAGATATTTGATCCTTTAAATTTCAGATTATATATTAAGAGATTGATTTGTAAATTAAAGAATATAATTGAAATAAAAGGATTAGTTATTATTCATTAATATATTATCAGATTTTCAATAAAAAATATTGTAGCATTGATTTAATATTAAATTTTCAAAAGTGTAAGTGAAATTTAAAGGGGGTACGGTGAGTAATGACCAGAACTCTTACTATCTGTGATAATTTTAAAGTATAAAAATTTTGATTTGAATAATTAATAATATATAAATACGATTTAGATTAATTAAATTGGTTTTTTAAAAAGTGAAGATTTTGATTCTTATATAGATTTTTATTTTCGGAAACGGAAAAAGAATTATTTGAAGGATTTGATTTATTATATTGAATAATCAATTGAGGGGTTTTTTTTTGTAATTGTTTAATCTGTTTAAATAAAGCTTTGTTATATTCAAATAAATAAAAGAAATCCTGAATATTATTATTGATCTAAATATCTATATAGATATTATTCAAAATTTGAAAGAAAATTGTTTTATTATAAAGTTTATTATTATTATAATTTTTAATCGATGATTCTTTTTCTTTTGATTTTATAAAGATTATTATTATTATTATTATTATTTGAATAAGTTAAATTGAATAAATAGAGTTGAATTAAATAATTTCAGAATTGAATGATTTCAATTGAATTGTGAATTGAGTTGAATTGAAAAAAGCTTCAAGTCAGATTTATCTAAGGTTGTAAGGTTTATGCCAAGCTTTTTGTTCGATTATTTACCGGGGTATTTTAGACCAATCAGATTATCAGGATCGTGACTCACTTAAGCGAGTTCTTATTTTCCATTACCTATTGAGTAAACCTTGTATATAGTAAGGTTATAGTATCAACAAGACGATAATAATAAAAAATAAATTAAAATAAAAAATGATTTATGATATATTGATAAAATTAATAATATAGTGAAAAAGAGACTAAAGCTCATTAGAAGATACTGAAGCTTAAGATTCATTTATTATTGATTCTTTTCTTAAAAGATTTAATATATATTCTTTATACATGAGTGTTTAATTCTAAACAATATTTCCCCGCATAAAAGGCTGATAAGCAGCCCCGCTATCAGTAAACAAAAGATGATTTTAATTATACACCAAAAATGCACTGGCCTCGTGAAGTTAAACACTTCCAATGGATTCGAGAGTTCTTAAGTCGAGAAATGAAATATTTCAGGAGGTAGGAACAGTCACGGCCCTTCTCGTCGCAATATTGACACCACAGAACAGCTCAAACCATACTGCGTTAGCCTCAGCCAATTGGCATTGAAGGACCCTGGTGACAGCAAGTCTCTAATACCGTCGACGGAAAATCTCCTCGGCGCATTGGAGAAAGTATGTAAGAATGAGGCTTTCGATGAGAAACTGGCAGATTGTATGTTCCCGGAAGCTGTGATCATGTCGTTTTGATATCGACAATGACTGACGATGAGTGTGTTACCAGACGTCTTCTTTCCATTATCTCAAATCCTACGTTCAAAACGAAAATATACGGACAAATTGTCGGAGTTCACAGTGAAATGTCTTAGGCTGCTGTTGGAGCAGGGATGGCGGAACTACATCGCAATAGATCTTGCCAAACAACTTTTGATTCTTTTAACTTTGATGATTGGAGGAGTGCCAGGGCAAGATCCAGTACAAACTCCAGAGGAAATTGTTGTGGAAGCGCTGGCCGCCGTTGCAGCTTTATTTACCGGTTTGGCCCGCACCCCGGAAGCTTCTATTACAGTCACAGATGAAAGTACCATCCCGGCTGTCGGTCACTGCATTACATCGATACTTGATGCAATCACCGAAGGACCTTCGGCAGATATACAGATAGAAGGTTTGAATGCTTTGAGAGCTGCATGGATTTGTATCAAAGATGTGCAGGCTCACGCCAGTTTCCTCCCGGGGACGGTTTCGGCACTTACGAAATGCCTTATACCTACCACAACATCTCGAAGATCACAGAAAACCATTGTATTGGCACTGAAAATTCTGCAACTAGTTTTAACCACGGTATTGAGCGATGTCAGGACTCGTACTATTAGGGCAAGCAATTATACGGAGATGGAAGTAGGAACGGAGAGCCAAAAGAAAATGCTCACAAAATCATGGCTTACTGCTACTACTTCTCAGATCAAACTTTCCCTAGCGAACGTCGTGAAATTACGCACACACAAGGCTAGTAGTGTCCGTATTTCATTAAATCAATTTTGCATCGTCCTCCTAGATGAATGTCATGATACGTTGGCTGATTCGACTTCCATTCTTGTGGAAACTTGTTTATCGTTACTTGATACAGAAGATACTTTTGACACAGGCAGAACATCTATTATAGATCTAGCCACTATACATTCAAACATTGGGGAGTCGATCAAAAGAACATTTTATCACTGGGTGGACAGCTTACCACGAGTGATGCAAATGAATGATGAGAATGCCAAGGTATCCGCGCTACATCAACTTTCCGCGTCATATGCATTATTGAATACATTGAACTTGGGCTCTTCAATGCTTGACGATGCACTTTCAAAATCGCTACGAGACAGTCTTTCTAGTGTAATAGAGGCCCCTTCACTGCCTAGGATGATGCAAGAGGCTTCGCCAGACCCTAATACTAGGACTATAATAGCCCTATCAGGAGAAAAGATGCCATCCAGGGATTTTGTACCCATATTGATGCCCGAGGAAAGCCAGAAATCTACCAGAACCGCAATGACAACTTTTCTTAGGTCATTGACTGAATCGCAATCGCGAATGGATATGGCCAGTGAGATGCTAGAGTATGCTCGGCAAGCATCTGGACCAAGCCTACTAGCTGCTTACTGGATCTCGTCTCAACTGGTACAATTAGCTGCTTCTAAGAATGAGGAATTGGATGAATTCTTAGAGTCCGAACTTCTCGCTTCTGATGACTATCTAGCCACAAACCAAGATCTATATTCCTACTCCCTATCAGTTTTATCCAACGAAGATAACGATTTGGATTGGCGAGTAAAAGGTGTCGCGCTGGAGGTTGTATCTAATTCTGCTAAGTGCCTCAAGGAAGGCTTTCGAGTAGAGCTCGTGGATGCACTATATCCTGTATCACAGCTTTTGGGCTCTCCCAGCGTTGAACTGAGAGAGCGCGCTACTGTTTGTCTCAATGTGCTCGCAAAGGCCTGCGGGTACCCGAGCACTAGAGAACTTATTGTGGAGAATGTTGATTATATGGTGAACGCAATTTCATTGAGGCTGAATACATTTGACCTATCACCCCAAGCCCCGCAAGTGCTGATAATGATGATTCGACTGACGGGGCCGTCCTTACTTCTATATCTTGATGATGTGGTATCTTCCATATTTGCCGCTTTAGACAACTTCCATGGCTACCAGGGATTGGTTGAGGGTCTGTTTGCTGTATTGGGAGAGATTGTAGAGGCTGGCGCACAATCCCGCCAATTGCAACTAGCTGATGTATCGCCAGTTGGTGCCAGCAAAGCTAGGTCTCCCGTCATCACACTTGATAGTATTGTTCAGGCAATTGAAAAGCAGCAGCAAAGATTCAAAGCCGAAGAAAATATCGGACATGATGACTTCCCACGAGAGCCATGGAAAAACGCTTCGGCACTATTGGACGAGACCGGTGAGAATTTTGAACACAGCGATAATGAAAATAACGAGGCAGCAGAGATGCAAGTGGTACCGGTGACAAAAACCTACTCCATGGTCCAGAGTATTATCCGACTCTGCCAGCATTACCTCACAAATCCATCCCCGACACTACGTACACGATTACTGGCTTTAATCAGCACATCCTCCACTGCTTTACAAAGCGACGAGGAAATATTTCTGCCACTTGTTAACGATATATGGCCTGTAGTTATAGACCGACTCTATGATAAAGAATCACATGTTGCTATCGCAGCTGCAGACTCTATTGCCGTCATTTGCAGATGTGCTGGCAGTTTTCTTACCACGAGACTCGCTGTGCAATGGCCTCGTCTAATGAGCTTGGCCAGGCAGACCAAAGCTGATATGATGGCGGAGAAGTCTGGGTCCGGTAGTCGTGGGATATACTCTCAGGCCGCGCAGATGTGGGAGAGTATGGTGAAGCTCTTGATGGCCCTAGTGGAATGCACGGATGTAAATGATGAAGCATTCGATGATGTTTTGAATCTTTTGGCAGGCATTATAGCAGAAAGAAGCGATGTTCGGGAGGCATTATCTGCCGTGAATGCCGATGCTGTTTGGTTGGTATTGCAGGCTGGTGTTTGTCGTGAAGTGAAAACACCCCCACTTGACGGCTACCAATTCCAGTCCCCTGGCCCTTTTATAGTAGTGTAATGTAATGAATCATCTCACATTGTTTACAGTCATGGTTACAATCTCTCACGATTTCCACAATATTGATTACATGGATTAATGGTGGAAGAGTGGAATTTGGTTTACATTAACACAAGTGAGACTTTTGTGTGATACTGAGAAAGCGAAACCGAAAAGGACAGTAGCAGCCCTGCCTAAAAAAATCTATGGAGTGTTTCCGTGCTTGAACATGAGCTCATAATTACTAATTGGCGTGAAGGCCCAACAGTGTTACTATTCCAGACAGAAACTTAGAAATGTAACGGAACACTCTGTGCGAGCCAGACGAAGGTCTTCGTTATCTCTCATTCAGAGTCATCATCATCGCTCTCGGCCTCGGCTAACCATTTCAAGAACTCCTCTGCTGACTTGCGAACTTTCTTGCTTACGGCAAGGTCATTGGTATATTTCTTGCTGGCTTTGGTACCCCACTTGGTAAGAACTTCTTCGGTGAGTAGTTCTTGATCGTAGAGGACCATGAGCACTTTTGATGTTTTCTCGTAGAAATCAGGGTTCTTCTGGCCGCGCAGACCGATGAACCTTTCAATCCCACCGAGGAGAGACTTTTCGTGTTTCTCAGAAGTGATCATCTGCAATATATTAGTCTTCATGTACGTCAATAAGGTTTAGGGCATGTGGGCTTACATTTTTAAGCATACCTGCTCGCTTTGGGATTTGCTTCACGATGTTTTCATCGAAGAGCGTGAGAGCGAGGATGACAAGAGTGCGATGCTTAGCCTCAATCCCCAGCTCCTTCGCCTTGAGATAGATTTCAAGATCGTCTACCTTACTGACGTCACCTTTCTCCACCGTCTGTTCTTCGATCCAGTTTGCGAGTTGGTCGTAAGTAGAATTTCCGCCAGCTTCTTCGTCATCGTCCTCATCTCCACCACCGCCACCGAGAACGAGCTTTTGCTTGAGATCATCAGGAAGTTGTTGTTGGCGGGCCTTGATAGCCTCTGGTGACATATCGACAGCCCAGTCGTCATCTTTGACTTCGGTCGACTGTTGGAGCTCTTCTGCCTGACGGACAAGCTCATCGTCGCTAGGAGCATCGAGTATCACTTCGCCATTGCCATTGTTGTCGTTGGACCCATTTTCAGATGCATTCTCGCTTCCACTAGCATTTCCATTCTCTTTGACCTCGCCCTTGTCTGCTTTGGCCTTACGAGCCGCCTTCTTTTCGGATTTATCTTTCTTGCCTTTCTTAGGCTGAGTCTTCAATATGAAGCCGCTCAACTTAAGCCTTGGGTCGACCATTGAGCGCTTTCCGCATGCCTTACAATCCAAGACGATATTTCCGTCTTTGAAAATAACTTCGGTTTCAGGATTCTTGCACTCTTTGCAGAGCACAAACTTGTTGATGAAACCATCTAGATAATCCTGCAATTTGCTTGCTTCATGGGCACCGTTAATGATCCAACGATCATCGGCAGGGTTGGTGTTGGTCTGAGCTCCGAGTTCGAAGCCGAAGTACTTGATGACATATGCTCCTGGGCGAGCCAAGGAATTGGCGATGCTGGTGAGATTGACAATGACGGTTTTGATTCCGTTGCCTTTTCCTTCAATCTTGGACTGAATCTTCTCCATCTTGTATCTGTAGAAGTTGTCCTTGACATCGCGACGGATATTGACGGTGGCCATGATTGCTAATTGGTAGCTCGAGTTGGAAAATGGATTTTCGTGAAAGTTAAGGCGTGCAGGTATTTGTTAGATAAATCTGATATTCTGAAATATAACATGCAGAAAAGTTCGACTTTCTGAAGGGGCAAAGACGGTCGAGGTTGTTGAAATTTGCTTGGTAGTTACGGGAACATTCGAATCGTAGATGGATGATACTTAGCCGTTGCTGCTGAAGTAGGAACTACAAGGTTTCCGCGGTATGCGAAATGGTTGCAGCTCGAGAGGCGGCTGATGTCTGAGGTCGTTGGCGTTGGGTGTGAGATACATATAACGCAAATGTATCACTGTACGTGCTGATAGCTTTGGTTGAAGATTTCAAAGGAAGAAAGTCCTTGTTTGCAAAAAAAATCGAAATCTTGCCCGATATTAAAATATGCAGGTAGTAGAGATTCGAGTCTGAAAATTTGGATATTTGATGAGTAGAAAAGCGAAAAGCAAAAGTACAACTTGATGTATTCGAGAAAAAATTTGATTTGTGTGAGAGAGGTGTACGCTCTAGTTTTGTTTTGATTCTGATGATTTTAGAGAGGTGGGACCGTAGAAGAGTTGGCCCTTTTCCAATGTATTTATCGAGTATGAAAGAAACCCCAATACAAATGTTATTGTATTGTTGATGAAGTAATTGTTTGTTTGCTTGCTTGCTTATTTGTTTGTTGTTGTTGTCGTTGTTGTTGTTTTTATTATTCTGTCTGCAGGCAAAGAAAGAGGAAAGAAGATGGTTTGTTGTAGAGGGGAGGAGAAGAAGAAGGGTTGAAAGAATTTGTGAATAAAAAAGGTTTCGGATATTTTGGTGGTGAAAAATAAGCCCTGTCAAGCAAAGGAAAGGAGTGGGGCAAACGACCACAGCAAACTTTTTCTAAGAGTCTGATTGACCAACTGCCTAGATATTAATCTATAAATCTATATATTGTAAATATTAATTTGGTTTCAGATATTGAATATCAAATCAAGTTATAAATTATAAATTATAAATCATAAATCATAAATCATAAATCATATCATTCATTTATAAATGAGATGAGGTAGAGTAAGTAGTAGGTTAATAACTACAGTATCATAATACCCACCTCCCTATCAGGATTCTTTATTATCTAGTATAATAATTCGTTATAGAACAAGAAATTCTAGAACCACACGTGCTGTCGCGTCTAAGCATTCCAAGGTGGGCAGGTGGTAAGTCTTATATGATTCATTGATAATGCTTCCATGCTGATTATTCCTAAGATATTCATGCCCGGATATTCATATCCATAACTTTACACCTCACCCCTCTTCACTATCTCATCGTCATGGCTTTTAAGAATGTTGACTACTCCCTTTATCTCGTGACAGACTCTACACCTGCTATTCTTGGTAATAGAGATCTTATTGATGTAGTAGAGGCCGCTATCCGTGGGGGTGTTACTATTGTGCAATATCGAGACAAATTCAGCGACACAGCTGCTCTTATTACTACTGCAAGGAAATTACATACCGTCACACAAAAATACAAAGTTCCGCTTCTAATCAATGATCGAATCGACGTTGCTCTTGCCATTGGATGTGAAGGTGTACATATTGGTCAGGATGATATGGGTAGGTCCTTTGCCACGAACAACGTGATAAATGTTCTTTTCTTCTCATGTCTCTAACTTTAATTTAGATCTGAAAACGGCGAGGATACTGTTGGGTCAGAAGGCAATTATTGGAGTAACAGTATCCAGTGTTGAGGAGGCAATGATGGCATCTGAATATGGCGCAGATTATTTGGGAATTGGCACCATGTTCGCTACACCAACGTAAGCAATGCCGTGGCGATTCAACAAGCAGTTTCAGCATCGAAAAGCTACGAAGAGATCAAGCGATGCCCCTTTTACAGGATAAATCACAACACTCGACCTCGTTTTTTAGCATGAACAAAGTCTCTATTCGACCTTAGTCTTACGCCATTTGCTCAAGATGATAAGATGAATTCTGATTGCAGTGAAAATAGGAAAACCAACACCAAAGATATCATTGGAACTGCTGGCACGAAGGAAATTCTACATTCTTTGCAGCAGTCAGGAAGCCAAGTGCAAACTGTTGCTATAGGTGGAATTAATTCATTGAATCTGCAGCGTGTTTTGTATCAGTCAGCAGCAGAGGGAAAGCAGCTCGACGGCGTGGCTATCGTCAGTGCCATAATAGCAGCACAAGACGTTGAACAGGCTGCCAGTGAGCTTGCCGAGCTTATTCGAACTCCGGCACCATTTGCTTCAGCACATATCCCGAATGATCAGACGAAGAAAGACCCTTGCGATCTCTTATTACAGGTTCCAGGCGTCATAGGGCAAGTTGCTAAGAGAACGCCCTTATCTCACAACATGACAAATCTTGTGGTACAGAACTTCGCCGCCAATGTGGCTCTGGCAATAGGTGCGTCACCTATTATGGCAAATTATGGAGAAGAGGCTCTAGACCTTGCAAGTCTGGGAGGGGGTTTGGTCATTAATATGGGAACGGTTACCCCTGAAGGTATACAAAATTACTCAAAGGCTCTAAAGGCGTACAACAAAGAGGGAGGACCAATTGTACTCGACCCAGTCGGTTGTGGGGCCACTGCTGTAAGGCGCTCGGCAGTTAAAACACTTCTAGGTGCTGGTTACTTTGATGTCATCAAGGGAAATGAGGGAGAAATCAAGACCGTGTTAGGCTCAACTATTCAACAACGAGGCGTGGACAGTGGCGCGAGCATGTTGAGTCTCACGGAGAAAGCAAAAATAGTGCGTGATTTGGCATTGAGGGAGCGGAATGTGGTATTGATGACTGGAGCGGTTGATATCTTGAGTGATGGATTACGTACTTTCGCAATATCAAATGGCCATGAAATCCTAGGTAAGATTACGGGAAGCGGCTGTGTTTTAGGTACCATCATCTCAGCAACGTTGGCTGTCAATCGTGGAGATAAGCTTCTGGCTGTACTGTCAGCATTGCTTCACTATGAGATTGCAGCTGAGGTAGCAGCTGTACGTGATGATGTGAGAGGTCCGGGTACATTTGTTCCGGCGCTGATTGATGAATTGTACATCATACAGAAAGCAAATTCGGTGTGTGATTTGCGATGGCTTGAAAAGGCCAGAGTTGAAGCCATGCTATAGAGATATCCTACCATAGACCACGATGCTGGAATGTGTACCTGAGTGAATTCCCAATGCTTATGCAATTTTGACACTTTAAAGTCACACCACAAACGCCTTGATCCAACACTAACGCACGATAAGTCCTATGAATCTTACACAGAGTTCGCTTAAGTAATTTTATAGACATCGAGCCAGAAGGGGAACGTTAACACTGTTCGATACGCGTAAGCATCCTGGTGCCTTAGCTCCACATCCTGGGCTTACATACCCCACTACCCCAGGAAATGCAATACTTACCGTCAACAAGTAAACAAAACAAAGTATTATTCTATATCGCAGAAAAATGACAGAACATGTAGGAAGACGGCTGCGTAGGTTTTGTTAATGATTTGCAGCTCCCACATACTTACTCAACCCAGATAGGCCCGCACTCTTGTTCGTGCCCCGTCTACTCCATGCTGCGTTTCACCCCTCCGCTGACCCGTCTTCTCAAAAGTATCTGCGACGTCCAAGAGAAGTTTCGCAAAGCAATCTGGGAGTATGAGAAAGTGTGCGTTTGAATCACTTTCTCAAGTTGTAATCTTCATCATTAATTCGTCCCAACCGCAGCATTGCTACAACTCAGAAGATGATAAAAGCAAGCGACATCCTTCACATCCCCATCTATGCCACAACGCAAAACCGCGCGCGGCTAGGCGAGACATGTGCCGAGCTTAGTATTCCCAATGCTGTCGAGCACGCCGACAAGACGGCTTTTAGCATGGTACGTGAACTAATAATTATCATACAATATCATGGACACAGAGCTTTCGTGTCAACGTTGTTCTATGACACAGTGAGGTATCTGTATCGGTAATGCTAACCCATAATATCAAAACCCAGTGGATCCCCTCCATCTCTCGACACTTCGACACTGGCACCCCAGCTGAAGTAATCATCGTGGGCATCGAATCGCACATCTGCGTCACACAAACCTCATTGGACTTGCTTTCCAATGGCCATAAAGTAAGTGTAGTTAGTATTCGATGCAAGGAGCTGCTAACGGTTGCGTAGGTATATATATTAGCAGATGGAGTAAGTAGCTGCAATCCACAAGAGATACCTATTGCGCTTGAGCGGTTGACGGCTGCCGGTGCTATTGTGACAAGTTCGGAATCGATCATGTATGAGATTATGGGTGACGCAAGGTATGTAGTTTTCTCACTCTACAGCACACAAGTGAAACTAATTGTTTTAGTATTCCCGAGTAAGTAACATGGTATAACCATTCTTATATAATGCGATTACTAGATTTATTGACGCCCCTTTCGTAGGTTCAAAGCAATTGCTACTCTGGTGAAGGAATCTTCTGCGAGTACAAAGGATGCGATGACTGCCCTTCTTAGTAAGATGTGAAGGAGTTTCTAAAGAATGCAAAATTAAGTACATAGTTTAAAGACATGGTATTTTTATCTAAGTTATCTGGAGACTGAGCAGTCAACTACACGAATATCAGACCACATATTTGTCCTGAACACGTGCTTTCCCAATCAATATCAGGAATCCGTGGTGGTAGCCGAAGCTTTTGGCTTGCCGGGATTCATCCACGCAAAAGCTGAAGCACCGCCTACAGGATTTGAGGATCTTGGAATGGTTGTAATAACTTTAACGCTCTTCTGCTCCTCTGAACTTACCCTCTTTGGCTCCCAACGAAGCTGTTGTTTGTCAGTCCCATTGGGTTGATCCTTTCGCTTGAGATCGGCCATTGATCGCAAAGGCGCCGGTTCATAAGCCGCACCTGTTCTTGCACCTGAAGATGATCGATTTGAAGCTAGGGTTGACGGCGATGATATGGACTTTGATGGTTTTAGGACCTTCATACTTCGACCCCCACGTACTGCCTTTTGATAGCCACTTGTAGAATCGCTATTGTGGTCAGGATTCAAGGGTGTACTGCCTTGTCGCCATGAACTCCAAGTACCCATAGTCGTTTCACGCTTGGGAGTACCAATTGCATTCATGGACTCGACATTGTTTGCATCGGCCACGCCTTGATCCGATTTGTATGACTTTTCCAAGTCTGAGGTACTGTCGTTGCCCTTGATAGAAATATCAGGCTCCGACGCAGGAGCATTACTGTGAATGGGAAAGGACGATATAGTGGCAGAGCTGATTTGAGATTTGGAATCTGAGTCCGCTAGCTTGACACGATCACTACGTGACCCTTCAATTACATCACCTGGGCTTGTAGGTTCAATCTTGGATCGTTGTTCACTGGGAGTAAAAGGAAGAGCCGTCGCCTTGAGTTCATTTTTTTCAGGTGGAATATTGGCGATGCACAAATCCTTGAAAAGAAGTTCATCCTCTGGCCGAACAAATGGTACAGACAGTTTGTTACGATCATCGCCGAAGAGTGTCATAAGATTCTGCGAGAACAGTATATCTGCGTTATGCGCACGGAGGGTGTCACTACCAAGAAATACGCGGATAGATCTCTTGCGATCAGAAACTGATCGTTGATTCATTCCGACTACCTCAAAATCAACTGTAAGAGTGGGCAATTGAGGACCGGGACTATTCGATCTGGAAGATGATTGTGTTATAATTGCCTCCGGGAGATAGACAGGTAGGCTGATAATGTAACGTCCCTTTGTAGGATCCTTTTGCATCTGGTTTGTTAGGCCAAGCTCTTTCACAAGTGAATATTCAAGAATGGATTTCTGCGAGCCTGTACAAACATCGGCATATAGGAGTGCGCTGTGAGAGAAATTGACCGTAAGCCAGCATCTGATAATAGAAGGTACTGATCCCAATATGAATAGACCTGGGGGAGGGTTCGCTATTTCCAAGGGTGAATCGCCGTCTGGGTCCCCAATCATAAAGTTGGTGTCCAATCCTAGACTGCTTGTGCGTCCAGAGGGAACAGAGTGGGTCGAGTGTACAGAGTGGCCAGCAGAGCTATGTCGCCCATCTGATTTATGTGATGAAGAGCGCTCTGTCATAGGATGACTGCCAAATCCACTAGTCGGGCGAATGGGGCCAAATTCCCCTGATGACCTTGATGTTTGTGCCCAATGCGAGCCCTGTAGAGCGCTTACATCGAATCGTACACTGTTTGCCCTCGAAGCGCCTCTACGCACTGGTTCCTCATCATTATCTAGATGAAGACTCCCAAGCAGATTTTGCTCTTCTTCATCGTCAAAATCATCAAAAACATCCGTTGGAGAGTTGTGAACGGGACCTATAATTCATGCGTCAGTAGTCTAACTAGCGCTGTAAAGGTTGTACCTGTCACAAACCGTGTTGGGGAGTGCCGCTCAAAATACCAGGAAACGGTGAGTTTGTACCCCAGACAGATTTGAGGGCGGCGTCGTCCGCTTGTCGTTTTTCTAGTCTCATGAGACGGTCGGAATGATTAATTTGTACGGCTTGTACATGCTTCACGTCCATCTGAACATGATATAGTTCTTCTCGAGAAGCCAGAAACTGTGAATCCATCCCAATCCTTTCCTTGTAACCCCCAGGGAAGTTTGTCTTTCGTGACTTATGCTTGATGTCATAGGAGTAGTATGAAACGAAACTGACTAAGGAAGACTTCCGCGGCGGTAACGTATGATTGCCCCTAGATTTATTGTAATCTAAATGTTTGAAAAGAGGTCGTTGCGGATGCCTTCCCAATCGGACGGAGGTATATTACGAAACGTTTAGCACCTAGTTAATATCTCAAATGACGGAGAAAGTACTCGCTCTCTAAGTCTAGTGCTTAACTTAATGCTAGCAAGGTACGAAACGGCTCTTTGTGAGCCTGCCCCGCGGCATCAGCCAACGACCCAGAATCTTTAATCCCGCCTACTGTGGTCGTGTATGCCTAATCCCGAAGTTTTCTAGTGTATGAATTTGTCTAACACAATCGGCTGTGGGAGGTAAAAGAAGATTCCTCTGCTTTTGTTATGCTCAGCTGTTCTTTGGGGGCGGGTTGTGCAAGTATCGGATGAGGAATGTAATGGCGGACTGCTGCTTCGCTGTGAGTCCAAGATCTGTTGAAGTATTTCAGGATACGCGAAAGGTGTTGTGTAGATTAAATAGTAGGATATCGAGAGGCTTCGCAGATTTCTACTCGTTTGCCTTTCCGCAGATAGTTTGCAGTCTGTCGTTGGTCTGCCGTTTGAGAGTTTGGAGTCGCACTTGGAGAGGGCAAATACAAGTAGGCAATAAGTAGGTACAGTAGGTACGATTATGCCACGAACAACAGATATGAGTTTGTCTTTGAAGATTTTTGAACTCCAATTGTTAAATGTGACTATTTTGACGTTGATTTTTCATATAGTAGGTCTTCTAAATTACCAATCGAATAAGATGTTGAGTTGGGATTTAGTACTCCGGATGGGATGAAAGGATGTCATTGCTCTGCTGTTGGTCCTTTTAACTTAGTTATGGTGACCCTGTAAAATTGCAAGGGTAAGCTGGCAGTGCTCATACAATGCGTGCTCTGAAAGTCCCCACCCCTTCTAAAAACAAATGCTTTACAGCAAAACCTCTTTATAAGAATATCCTTTTTATAAAGATAGTTTTTAGATCCCAAATTTTTTTGTGTAAAAAGATTATTCTTAAAATCTTTTTATAAAATATTTTTAAGAATATAAAATTTTAAAATTTTATATATTTTAATATATCAATTAAAGGTCTGCTCTGCGCCCGGATACCTGGCTTTTCAAGAAAGTCTAATGAAAATTTAAGTTTTAAAAGTTTATAATAAATTTAAATATTGAATATATATTGAATATATATTAGAGTGCAGATAGAATATTGATTTGTTTTGAGAATTGAAAATTAAATTTTTATTTAAAAAAATAAAAATTATAATAATAATAATAATAATAATAATAATAATAATAATAATAATAATAATAATAATAATAATAATAATAATAATAATAATAATAATAATAATAATAATAATAATAATAATAATAATAATAATAATAATAATAATAATAATAATAATAATAATAATATTTAATTTTCAATTATTAAAAACAAGCTGATATTCTATCTACACTCTAATATATATATTCAATATTTAAATTTATTATAAACTTTTTAAAACTTAAATTTTTACTAGACTTTCTTGAAAAGCCAGGGGTCCAAGGGGCGCAGACCTCTAGTATTAAGTTTTTTGTTAGATTATTTACCGGGGTATTTTAGATCAATCAGATTATCAGGATCGTGACTTATTTAAATAAGTTTTTCATTTTTTATAATTTATATTAAATAAATTATAATATATTATATATATAACAAGGTTTTGATATCGGCAAGCTGATAATAATATAATTAAAAAGAAAATTGAAAATAATATTAAAAATAAAAATTCTTTTTGTATTAAATATAAAAAAATAATTAAATCTTTTTAAATTTCAAAAGAACAATAATAAAACTAATTTTAAATTTTTTTTGAAGAATTTTATTTAAATAGATTAATATTATAAAATAATATTCAATTTAAATCTTTTTGATATTTTAAATTATAAAAATAATAAAAATTTGATTATAGAGATATCTTCAAATATCTTTATTTTTAAAACTTTTTTCGTATCCTTATAAAGAGTTTTTGTTATAATTATTTAAGATTTTTAAAAGTATCAGATTCTTTATTGTAATATAAATGTCGGTACATCATGTGATCAACCTCGAAAGGGAGGCCGTACATAAAGGGAGCCGTACGACTAGTGCATTCTAGCCCGTACCCCTTTCAATATAAATAGGTCCCTCTCCTCTAGATAGATAGTAATCATCCATGAACAAATACAACAAGAATACTATGCACTGCATTCGTATCACCGAAGTGATACCAACAATAAACTATCAATTCATTAAAACATTGTTGAAGATTAAAAACCAATGCTTGGAAACCTTAAACCAGTCTTTTCATTATCGTTTCTGCAATTATTTTGACTATTATCAGTTTTTTTTCCTTTCCTACCTGAGGTCTACCAGATCTCAGAGAGATCTTCAGCGCTGATGCAACCCCCAACCAGTATCTACACAGATGGATGGTTCTACTCATTCTTTCCCTCTTTGTGCCTACCTAGGCATCTTATCAGCCCTTGCATGGATATGATATGATATTTTACTTCCGTCGTAGCCAATAATTCACTTACTAGCTTTCTGGGCAATATGTATCTATTCTCGTCAACGACGAAATTTAGGAGCTACTGTCCACTATGATCATGTTTGTTAGTAAGGTTCACATTATCTCACTGAGAATATGAATCCATTTAGAATATCTTAGGTTCTCCGGGACTTTTGTCGGGAAAAGGAGAATTATACTTACATGTGGAAATACCCAGCTCGGGTTATCGTCTGGCTCTTTATTCCATTCCTTTCCCACCAAGGGTATCACTTCGTCTAAGAATATCTTGTATCCTTCGCTAGAGAGGTGAAGTCCGTCGGTGAGAAGCATTCTCATAGCTTTATCGTCTCCAGCAAATTTGGTACCAATCATGTCAACATCAATGGTGCCATCTTGACTCATCTGTACGGCTCTATGCATCATGGCTTTCCAAAGATCGACTAATACCACATTTCGATCCTTCCACTTAGCGGCGATTTCTCTCACTGCAGCAGCATATTTGGCTGTATTATGTTGTAGGCGCGTGGCAGAAGAGTAACCCTTCTGAAGGTCTTGCCCCTCAAGCTGGATCTCATTGATAGGCGGTGGTGTCACCAGTAATATCGTAGGATTTTGGGCTACGGAACTCCAATGATCGAGAAGGGCTTCGATATTTTCCTTGTAATTTTCCAATGGAACATGTTGACCTGTGGGAGCTTCTGGGAGACACGCATCATTTGCACCGAAAAGGATGAGCTTGCAGCACCGTTAGTATGAAGAGAACTAATCTGAGGTTATCCCCGGAACCCGGAATGACGGAGCTCCAAATACACCACTATAAATGGGACGAGTCCTGCATGGTACTTGTTGACATACCAGGTAGGAAACTTTTGCAGTAGCTGGATCTGGAACAAGATGCTGCTGGATCTCAAGAGCATTATCGGTATTGTACCCGCTTAATCCATGGTTTATAACCTGCAGTCGCCTAGAACAATCTTAATGGGAATTAGCAAAAGACTGAATGATTTGCACCAGCGAACTCACGTTCTTCGAGACCTGCAGTAAATGAGAAACCATCCCGCAAATTACTTGAGAATTGAACAATGGAGTCACCCACTAGAATAAATTGGGGATATCTTTTGAAAGTCATTTCAGAGTATGGTGCCGTGAAACCAAAGCCAAAGTATGGGAAGGCGTTCGTTACCTATCTATTTGCAGCGGAGAAAAGTTGGGGAGTGTTTGTTTATGCAGCGAAATAATTTTTGGGAGAAAACCGCTTTAGGTATTCACTTAGTATCTAGCCATACATGAGAGATTATATGAATGAAGATTGAGAACCACACCTCACTCGCACCGCTTGAAACTTTTTACTTGGTGAAAATAGTGAATAATTCTGGTTCGAAGAGTTTGTAGAGTAGGCAAGGTTATGTACTGTGTAATGTGTTGTGTGTTCTGATTCTGAGTGAGATATCTGATATTTCTGGGTATTGGTGGCATTGCATTGCATTGCATTGCTACCGCGGAGATCTTACTATTTTGACGCGATATTCGCGGCAAGTCGTTGAATTACCATACTACCAGGATTCTTCTCCACAGATTGAATTGATTAGAGCTGTGTCAATAATGAATGTTGACTAGTAGGTAGGTAGGTAGGTAGGTACCCAGTAATATGTCATAGACTCCTGGAGGATGAATAATAGTAATAATAATAATAATAATAATAATAATAATAAACAATGCATTCAACTGTCTTTTACGGAAGAGTATGTACAATCAGAAGAGACCTCTTTTTCCTTCCGGATATTTATTTTATTTTTATTTTTCTCTTCTTTTTTTTCTTTTTGGATATCATATAATGTCACTTGCCGATGACTTCACCACCCATGAGCTAACCCTAAAATAATAATACTAATAATAATAATACCATTTGATAGATACGTCCTCTGAAGCCACAAGTTGTCATTTCCATACGAGTATTCGAGTCTAAAATTCGGGGCTTATTAATTGGTTGAATTCCTCAATGAAATAACACCAACCAACATGGGTCGCACGACAGATCTTTGCCTTTGTGACTGAAGAAATCGCAGATCATAAGAATGAATGCATTCGTATGTTTCACAAGCCTTGTGACTAACTTTTCAAGAAGCGCTTCCAAGAAATTCAAGCAAACACAACTACGAAAGTAGTCACCCCTCTTTGTCTTGATTTGTTTGGATGGGTCAAGAATACTAGGTACCCCGTAAGTCTTACCCTTTTATCGAGGTTATCGAGGTTGTCGATGCACCGCGAAGCTATCAAAGCGCATTAACCGTATCATTTTCAATTTTACTCCTTCCGTTATCTACCCACTCCTGCTTTTCGCCTCAGTGATTCATGATCATGATGTCTCTGATTTCGACAGTTTCATTCTACTTTGCATTCGATATTCTCCGTCAGAGGGGTTTTCCGTAGAATTTTATGCTGCAGCTGCAACCTACAACGATTTGAATACTACCTATTGACATCACATTTACGAAGCATCAAGCTGCAAAGCAAACTGCAGCAGGAAAGTCCGACCGCTACAAATGCCGCTGATAATAATTTTCAGGGTTTAACTTAGCCTCGAAAGACCCCTGTTTTCTCCTCCAAATGCATTAAAGATCCCGCAGTTGTCCCAACTCCATCTTGTAAAGTCAACTTCCAACACCAACACTCCATCTTCCTATTTGAGTTGAATTCCGAGCAGAATCTACTCTTCATCAAGCAGGGCATCGGTGACAACATTCAAAAGCCATCTTTTGTACAGCTCTAAGTTCCTATTCACCATTTCCTCTTTCCGTCCGCATTCGCATTTGCGTTTCCCACCTTTGCATGCGAGCCTTCCAATTTCTGTCGTGTACACTGCCGCCATTCAAGAACATTCTCCTCCTTGCGATGTGTTAGGTGACACGCCGAGCCATCTCCGATATGCCTCCTTCTGGCAAGAACCACATTGGTCTTGATTTCACCATGTCGCCAAATATTCCACCCGAATCGAGGGAGTCGTCAGCTCCACCCTCACCTACAGCGATGAGAACTCTCCAGAGATCGATAAGTAACCTCTCCGACGAGCGAACACCTTTGCTTCAAAGTGCTGGGCGCTCTCGCATACGTCTTGGTGGTGCCACAGAAACCAACCGCCCATATCTATCAAGTCATCACAGCTTCTCTGGTAAGTTTTAGTTTTACCGCAGATTTCCAAACTTCTGCTTTCCTCTATACTGCTGCGAACGGGGCTAACGATATATCATCTACAGGTAGTTTACGTGGCAGTCGACACCATAGTCGTGCCGGATCCTTGGGCCAACGTTTAGTCACTGCCCTAACCTCGGAAAGACATGGACCCAAAGACCACATGCGAGAGTCTAAAAGCATGTTGGCCACGGACGACAGAGTTTGGTATGATCAATTTACATCAACGGATTGGGTTCATGACAGCATTGCGGATGCATACCGAGTGAAGGGTCTTCGAAGTAGAAAAGATATTCGAGGTCGGATCAAGGCGTTCTTCGATGGCACACAAGGTTGGATACTAAGCGCACTAGTTGGATTCATTACAGCCACGATAGCATATACCGTCGACGTTTCGGAGACTCCAATTTTTGATTGGAAAGATGGCTATTGTCATGATGGATTTTTCATAAGTGAAAAGGTTTGTGGCATTCCCGGCATTTTCTTTCATTATCTGACAAGACTTTTTGAACTGGCCCATCAAAGCTTGCAATTCAGAGTCAGCTACGTCAAGTAGTTGAATACATTAATTTTCCAGAAGTATTAGGTGATAGGTATGCTGACCACACATTTAGAGATGCTGCCCTGATGGAAGCCATTGTGATGCTTGGAAATCTTGGTCCAATTATGTTGAAATACCATTTTTCAGTGAAGAGATCACAGAGTTTTTTATTTACGTTCTCCTTGTAGTCGCTTTCGCAACGGCATCATGTCTTTTGACCTTAACTACCAAAACGGTTGTGCCATCAACATATCAACTATCTACATTGGATGAGAATCTCGGTGCTCTTAGTCGACATGATTCCCAGGCGCCGGTCGATGGTAATGCCAGTCCGAAGAACAAGTTGGGATCCGAGACAAATGCTCCCATGATCTATTACTCTGCCGCTGGGAGTGGAGTGGCTGAAGTTCGCGTAATACTGAGCGGTTTTGTTTTGCATGGATTTCTTGGCTTCAGGACCCTTCTCGTCAAAACGCTTGCTCTGATATTAAGTGTAGCATCTGGACTGAGTTTAGGAAAGGAGGGCCCTTTTGTACACATTGCAACTTGTGTGGGTAACATCGCATGTCGTCTGTTCTCTAAATACGATGATAACGACGGAAAACGCAGAGAAGTCTTGTCTGCGGCTGCGGCTGCGGGTGTTGCAGTAGCTTTTGGTGCTCCTATCGGCGGTGTTCTTTTTTCTTTGGAAGAAGTCGCGTACTTTTTCCCTGCTAAAACACTATTTCGAACCTTCTTCTGCTGCATCACCGCTGCACTGACGTTGAAATTTCTCAATCCTTATGGCACCAACAAGATTGTCATGTTTGAAGTTCGCTACTTGACGGACTGGGAATTCTTTGAACTTGGCGCTTTCATCATGGTAGGCGTACTTGGTGGCATAACCGGTGCAACATTCATCAAGGCATCTAGGTCCTGGGCCCAGTCTTTCAGGAAGATTGAAATTGTAAAAAAGTGGCCGCTGTTCGAGGTCATGCTGGTTGCTCTACTTACAGGTCTCGTTGGCTATTGGAACCCGTATACCAAAATTCCAGTGGCCAAATTATTGCTCAACCTAGCTAGCCCTTGTGATACTGATAAGTCAGATAGCATGGGTCTTTGCCCAAATAGCATTGATGAGATTTTCCCCATCATTGGTCAATTGACTATTGCATTTTTCATTAAAGGGCTTTTGACCATCATTACATTTGGCATTGTAAGTTCGTCTTGTTTTCAGCTTGATAATGATGATTACTGCATCTGGTCATCCATCCATCCCAGACAGTATGACCATCCACTAACACAGTGCCACAGAAAGTACCTGCAGGTATATATGTCCCGTCCATGGTTGTAGGCGGCCTACTTGGCCGAACTGTCGGCCATTTGGTACAGTGGCTCGTACTACGATTTCCCGATGCTTCCATATTTGGGAGTTGCGCTGCGCACGAGAGTGGAACATCATGTATTACTCCAGGGGTTTATGCCCTCATTGCTGCTGGTTCCACAATGTGTGGTGTAACAAGGTTGTCTGTGACCTTAGCAGTCATTCTATTTGAACTGACGGGTAGTCTTGACTATGTTTTACCTTTTTCACTCGCTGTATTGGTCTCAAAATGGACAGCGGATTTCATGGAACCTCTCAGCATATATGTAAGGATCAAATCATAATAAAGAAGGACAGAAGACGAACTAACTTATCAGGATTTATTGACGAATTTGAACGCCTACCCATTCCTCAACAACAAGCATAAACCAGTTTTTACCTCTGATCTTGCAGACATTGTTCCACGAGTTCGGAGAGAAAGAGTAATTGACATCTCCGTCTCCCCCATGATTCCTGCTAGCAGTCTGCGTCAGAAGCTCGAACTTCTGCACCAGGCAGGCGAAGTCGATGGTGGATTGCCAATCATTAGGGATGATGTTCTTGTTGGTCTGATACCAGCACCTGATTTAGAATTTGCTCTTGACAATCTTGATAATGAGCCAGGTACCCTGTGCCTCATGGCGGCCATCAACAACTATGATGAGCCGGATGGAGAAGAGCATGTTGATCCTACTGACTTTACGCCTTACATTGATCCTGTAAGCTACACCTGGTTGCCTTTTATCCTCGGAACACCGCTGATGACAAACAAATAGGCACCGGTAGCTTTGGATATTCGTTCCCCGATGGATTTAGTGTACGAATGTTTTGTGAAACTTGGCTTGAGGTATGTTTGTGTGTTGAAGGACGGTCGGTATGCCGGTCTGGTAAGATCTCCCTAACCTTCACACATTCTATATTTAAGACACCTAACCATTTTCTAGACTCACAAGAAAACTTTTGTAAAGTACATGCGAGAATTGGAAGAAAGAGATGAGCATAGTTGATTTTATGGTAGTATTGAATTGTGTTTTAGCGTCAGGAATATCAATTGGGCGGCGTCTTGATCTATTTTGAAGGAGTTTGAATATCCAATACCCTGGTGTACTTCATAGAGCATTGGCATTAGCGTTGATTTCGATTTTGCAGGCCGGCCTAGGAGGCTTTTTTCGCAGAGGAAGTGAGTATAAAGTCAGTCATACGTCAGACATAATCTTTATCTTTATCATCTTGAATTGTCTGCTCTAAGCTCAGCCATGATTCCTCCCCTATCTCTTTTCCTCGAGTCTTCTAGCAACCTCTTTGTGATATATGCAGATATATCCTTGACTTTCTCCAGCGCCATATTCGTACACTGTAACAACTCCAAGGCATCAACTGCTATACCACCGAGCTTGGCGATTTGACAAACTTCTCCATGTCGGTTCATACTAATGGTACAGCTCCCCCCCCTCAATTGTTCCTCCAACAACGTAGTATCAAGTAGTCTAGCCTGCTCTTCACCCTTTCCATAAAACGAAAATGTTACGCAGAGTGGGAAATGTAAAAGGCTCAAGGGCACAGGCTCTCGCTCCGCTAGTGTGTAGACAGTCACCGTTTCACCTTCTGTGCTCGTATCTGGTTTTCTGAAGTGCTGTAATGCCGCTATTATAGCAACGCATGATGCATCAATGAGATTCCCGTCATGCGACAGAATGTGAACGTCTGCGCGGACGGACCAGCATTTCTGACCAGCAATCAGACAGAGGGATTCAGTATCGAGAGCCGCAGAACGACGTAAGGTTTTTTCGAGAAGGCGAGAAAGCAGTACTTCTTGTTCGGTTGGCCTGTTGGTTTCAAAAGCAGGGGAGGCCATAGGTGAGAGTTCTGTTGTAATGGTGAAGATACCATCAAAGAGACGGTCCGGAAACGGACTCGTTACTTCAGCTGTGATGTTGACGAGGACCCTGGAGAAATTTTAGTCTCGGTAAAAAATCTTGACAACCCCATGGTTGAACTAATTATTAAAGTGTGCCTCTCCGTCGCGCATATACTGGATCGTATCTCTTACCTCGTCTTTCCCAATCTCACATCTGCAACTCCATATTCATCCCCAAACTCTAACTCTAGAGCTCGGAATTGATCAAAACCTCTTCCATCAATTCTCAAGTTCTCTTTGAGAGCTTTCGAAAAGAACTGCTTCTCATTAATAGAAGGCTCTATTTCTCTAGGCATTCCGAATCTCTTGTTGACGGTGAAAATGCACACTGAACTGGCATATTGCGCGGGCACCTCTTATTGTTCCCCAAGATTTCTTTTTGCCGGCCTGGAAGGCGGTGAGATCGAATCAGCTTAGCGTAGCCTTATTTACACTCAAATGTAGTCTATCGCGCCGGGTCTTCATCTTATCTTTTATCAAGATCAATTAATTTATCAAACAAGCAAACACAATGACAACAGGCAAGTCTTTTGACCAGGAAACAATTTTTGGTTTAGTTGTGCTGACCGTTTCTTAAGCACATAGACCTACTTTTGATCCCGTAAGCAAAGTCGCGTTGGACTTTACAGACATTTTTCTAACAAACAATAGGCCAGGGGGAAAGAAGCGCAACGGGGACCGGCGTATCACCAAAGATTACTTCCCGCTCATACACAACTGAAATTCCGGTACGCATTTTCCTCGTGTGCCTTTATCCAGTATGGGGTTAATTGGGTTATAGGAAGCCAGGACAAGGAGGGGATGCAGCCGCCGAAATTAGAGACCTTCGAGCAGAACTACTACAAGCAGAAGCAGCGCATTTTGCTAAAACGAAAGGAGGATTAACAGCTGCCATCGAAGATGCACAGCCGTCTACAAATACATTAAAGAGACAGCTCGAGAATGGGTCTGCAGAGGATGATGAAGAAGATCCAGAAGTAAAGCGGCGACGCATTCTGGAAGAAACTCGAGATATAGATGCTGATTCGGATGATGCTGGAGAAAGTGATAGTAGTGATGATGACAGGTTCGCCAAATATTTACACATGGTATCGGAAAAGACGCTCACGTGGTGTTAGTGACGATGATGAAGATGAGACGGCGGAGCTTCAACGGGAACTCGAAAAGATTAAGCGCGAGCGTGCCGAGAAAAGAGAACAAGAGGTCAGATTAAACTTTTCGCAATACTAGATTCACCACTAAGCCTGAGAACAGGAACGGGAAAGACTAGCGGCAGAAGAAGCGGAGCGGGAGCATGATATTGCTCTTGGCAATCCATTGTTAAATGCCAAAACCGATTTCAATGTCAAAAGACGGTACGCCTAGCCTGGATCAGTTTCAGCAGACTAGTTTTCTAACACAAATTTATTAGATGGGATGATGATGTTATTTTCAAGAACCAAGCTCGTGGAACAGAAGATAAAGGAAAGAAAGAATTTGTCAACGTACGTTAACACTAACCATGACACAATTTTCATGAATAATTGACCAAATTATAGGACCTGCTACGTTCCGATTTCCACAAAAAATTTATGAGGTACGTTGGACTGTTTGGATCTCAAGGCAATTCACACTATTAGGAGACTAACACACTGTAGCAAATACGTGAGATGATCGGTCATCGTGCAGCATTGCACCATAATAGAGGGATGCAACGCGTACAAATTAATTTCCCAGGCGAGAATCGAATATGTACTTTAAGGGAGGACGGCGTCACGGTTGCGAAGAATTGTTTGATTTTATTTTATTTTATTTGATTTTATCTTCATCTTTTCATGATCTGGAAATATGTGCGTGCGGCCCCATCCTCACCTCACATGCATGAATATCGATCTTGATTTTGACCTTGATTGGTTTTCGGACAAAGCAATCAAGACTTTTCTAGCATTACATCCTCAACTCTAGAACAATTGATAGAAGTTTTGAAATTGTTGGATCTCACTAGTTTACGGGTACATTCAGCAGAAAAGCTTGTTTTTATGACTTTAAGTGACACAATGGGACTTGTGGCTGGTTTAACTGTTAAGTGGGGTTACCCCTCGCTTTTTCTCATTTTCTGGTTTCCCTATGCTTGCAAGTTGCAACAAACTTGTACTTACTTTTTGTTCTCAGCACCGCCACAGTGGTAACCTGTTTTGAGTTCCTGACCTGGTGATCATGACGCTTTTTGACCAATCTTTTTTTTTGTATTCAATCTGCGGAAGGATGTCACGTCAAAGTGAGAGCGAGTAAGTTACTAAATTGGAAATAGCTTTTGAATTCTTTGCACTTCTTGTTTTCTTGGTATGGTTAACTGTATTCGGAAGGAAGCATGTCGCTGCTAGCTGCTAGATCTATCATTCTTTCCCTACTCTCTAGTTGGGGTCTGCCATGTGCCAACTCTTCCAAGCTCCGGCAGGGTCTTTCTTGATAGGTCCTAGAAATCTTCCAAAACTACCCTCATTACATCATATCATAAGGTCGTACCTCATTGATGAAATGTTATAAATACTTCCAATGTTCCTCCTTTTTTCTAATCCATACAATAAACACATTCAATCTCAAAGCTACTTCTCGCATAAACATTTTTAACAAAGCCAATCAACTATCACGAAATAACTCAAACATGTCTACATACAACAACGGCGATAGCTACAGCTCTACTGGTCGCCAAGGAGCTCCTTCCAGTGCCGATGATTCTTTCGCCAACACCACCGGTGGTTTTGGAAATGGAAGTCGCGGCGACACTACTGATACCAGAGATCTTACCGGGACCGGTTCAACATTCGATGACCAGGAATCTTCAGCATATGGAGGATCCTCCACTCAAGAAAGCCGTGGTTTTAATACCGGAAACTCTGTGAGTTACACTGCAGGTACATTGTTTTTCTTAAATATAACTAACAGGAAGTAGGGAGGATTGAAAGATAATGAGTTTGGCTCAAGCAACTCAAAGTATGGAGGAGATCTCGGTGACGAGCGTAATAACTTTGGAACTGGTAGCAGTGACCGAAGCTATGAGGGAAACACTGGCTCTGGATTAGGCGGAGACACTTCCTCTGGCTTCGACAACACTTCGACCTCCCGTTCTGGCTACGGTGATACCACTTCCTCTGGCTTCGACAACACCTCGACCTCCCGTTCTGGCTACGGTGATACCACTTCATCTGGGCTCGGAGAGTCAGGGACGGGTGGAGCTACTGGCTCCGGCTATGGTGACAACACTTCTTCAGGCTATGGTGACAAGACTTCTGGTTACAGAGACACATCCAGCGGCATTGGTGGAAACACCGACTCCTACGAGACCAACAAAGCCGGATCTGGTAACACTTATGGCTCAGATGATCAATACTCCTCTGGTAACACTGGTTCGAGTGGCTATGATAACACCAGCTCTAATAATACTGGCAAGTCTGGTGATTCTACCATGGGCAAGGTGATGGAAAAGGCAGGAAACATGCTTCATAAGGAGAGTTTGGTTCAGAAAGGCGCGGAGAAGCGTGCCGCTGCTGGGAATGATAATTACTAATTTACTGGGAATTTTGGCGGTAGGATGGAGCAATTGATGATTGATCCTTGATATTGTATGATAGTTTGCTTGTTGATTGAGCAGATATGATTTAATGACTATTCGAATTAACACATGACGTTACATTTATGCTTTAATTTTCCCACTAAACCTCTGCTTGATAAACCACATTCTTACTTGAAGATATTCTATTTCAAGCAAATTCTCTCAATAAAACTACAAGACGCTATTCGGGAACTCGTCATCACACAAACCCCCTGCATCCACAAAATCTTGGTTATCTATGCATAAGCCCGCAAGCATTAATTTATGCAGGATAAAGATCAACCGTGCATATAGTAGCATGCATAACTCCTACGTCATTTTTCCAACTAAACTGTAACGTCGGCAACATTCATGTAAGATGAACTTGTGAGATATTCTACTTGTGGAAATTTGACAACGAGTTTTTTCATTGGAGATTGAAGGTAGAGAATTCAATTCACTAGAAGCGGATGTTGTGAATATCACTCGGCTAACCCCCCTTCATTTCATTGCCATTAATGCTAAGAGTAGCTTTTGACATCAATGGGCTCACGATCAAAAGAAAATTTGAATATAGATAGAGCCAACAAAAGTAAAGCTTAAATGGGAAGCAGCAGTTGATTAATCCATTCTACGAGTATTCCTCTTGTATACTCTATTATTGTCGTCCCAATTCGCCAAGTTAGTACCGTCCCATTGAAATTCCTATCGCCTCATAAATCTTCATATCATCTCATCAAATTTTTCTGCCCTTCTCGTCTACCATCTACTATTATTACAATCTACTTCTTGTTTCTCCTAATCCTCCACTCATATAAGGCTCAACACTTTGGGTTTCTCTCCCAAATAGTATCTGTTCTCTACCCCCCCGTGTACTCCACCACCCAACGCATAATGCACTTCTCTCCACGTCCATTTCCCCGCTCTCTAGCACTTCCCAGAATCTTGCCTTACAACGTTCTCGCATGTAATTATCTTCAATTGCATTTAGAAGATCAGCGGATATTGGTAACCAAGCTTGTAAAACATCGAGCGGGAGATTAGGCAATGCATCCAATAGTGTGAGCATAAGGATCGCCTGTTCAGAGAGTGACGCCTGGCTATCTTGCTGACTGACAGTATCTCTCGTATATACTGATTGAGGTAATGGTGATGTAGGCGCCTGAACTGCACGGTAATGGAGCATTTCTAGAAGAGTTTCCGCTAGCATTGGCTCGGCAGTTGAAAGAGGCGTAGGTGGCGTGGCGATATGGATTAAAGATTTAAAAGCGAAACGGAACTGCCTTGGAGACAAGTTATTGGGGAAAGAATTAAATAGAGCATCAACGTAAGTGGGGATGAATCTGGCGGTTAGTTTTGTGTTTTGGGGAGCTGAAAGTACTGCAAGAACAGCACTATGGGCAGCCTCGAAGATTTCCAAGAAGCCAGGATGCGCTGTTGGACTGAGATAAGGAGCTGCCACGCCAATAATCAGGCTTTCGTTGTCCGGCGGGCTGAGAATATTGGTTAAATGCTCGCAAGCATTAAGATAGAATAGATCATGATTGCGCCGCAAAGGGCTAGCTGGGATCTCTCCAGCTTGCACGGGGTATATTGCTTTGAGAAGCTCTCTTGACTCGAGAGGGTAATTGGATAGGATGTCGATAGATGATGAATTAACGAACACATAAGCGGAAAAAGAGTTTGAGCCAAGTCGAGACGAAATGAAGTGAATGTTTCCAAGAATGATGAGTGTTTCTGAAGCTGCTATTGGAGCAAGACGTTTTGTCGACAAGACAGGGTCGACCATAGTTCTCGCCATAAGGCCTTGCAAAATGACCACTGTAGCGAACATGGCGCTCTTCAATACCTGCCATAGAACCGGAGTGGTTATTTGAAGACTCTCCGGAGTCAAAAACGTTGCTTCCTCAGATAGATCAATCTCTGACAATTTGTTCCCCTTCCAGCCTTCTAAAAGTCTACCGGAGAACGAAAGGACGTGCTCTCTGATTTCTGTCGCGAGTAGAGAGTTGCTCATATTCCCAATTGCATGCGCAATCAGCCTTGATAGCGGCCCCATGGACGAAAGTATTGGGCTTGATGCTTGTTTTTGTAGTTGCAAAAAAGAGGCGGATTTGGACGACCAATCGAGCTTATCTCCCGGTACTTGTTTAATATCCGCATCAATGTATCGCAAGAATATGCCATCCTGGTAGCCCTCCATTGCAGTCACCGTTTTTACCATTATCATAGCCAAGCTATCATAATTCAAACCAGTACGCACTCCATCTGACAATAGGGGAAATGCATGGTTGAGAGCTAACACGATAGATTCTGCGGCGATGATTCCATCTCTCGTTGGGTTCTCCAATGCCAAGTTGGCCGCCGTAACTAATGCTCGTTCAAGTGTGCTTCTAAGTCCCGTAGAGAGCCCATGCCTCCCTCCATTTTCCATACCCAGCAACACGCCAGCGATCACGAGAAGATGCTGCCATCTTGGCGATCTATCATCGGCCCCTTTGACCACAGCTCGAGCCCAATCATCAGAACTAATTCCGCCTCCTTTTCGAGGCTGGTATGCATCATATGGTGGCTGCTCGTTGTGACCTTCTAATTCATTCTTGCGCACAGTAATGGCAGCAGTGTTGAAGACGCTAATAATCCGTAGGGAAATTCGCAGACCGTCGTTGTTATTCCATATCGCAGGCGCGGTAAGAAGATGCGACGTAAGAAGACTTATGTTCAAGGGATTCGTAAGAGTGGTAAGTAAGGAGGCCGTTGTCCCCAGGATTTTGTCCGTTTGTTCAGGATCAGGGACACCTTGGTATGCGCGTAACACGGTCGTAAGAAGTCTATCTACCGACATTTTGTATTCCTTTACTGATTCCAGTCCGTGAATTATTTCATAGTGGTATGCCCTTTTGATACTTGATTTGATATTATACTTTCGTACTAGTTGATTGGCTGATGTGTTTAATGATGGATGGCTTGGAGCTTCACAACCGAGGCATTTCAGCCTTGTGTCGTATTACGCGCGAATAAAAGCAGTCTCGCAGGCTTCGAAGTTACACTGCATTGTCGCATTGCAATACTACATTGCGATACTATTCACGATTTTCAATCAACAAAATTCACATACGTATTTTCTCATAATATGGACCGTTCACTCCAATAAAACATGCCAGCTCTCAAGTTAGTCCCGTCAAACCCCTGGAGACAACGACATGCTAATTTCATACTCTTTCAGCACTCGAATTGAAAACCCGGCGCCTCTTGACTATTCTACTCCGCCATTCCCATCACTTTATTGGCCTCTCCATGCAAACCCTGGCATTCCAAATTATTTATACTATGCTCGTGACATATGGCGATTTACTCTTCTATGGACGCTCATTGTGTACGGAGTTACGCACATGGCAGTAGCAATTTATGCTACTGCCATGCAATTAGGAAAGGGGAAAAATGCCTGGCAATATGTTTGGGTTATACCACTGATATACGCTTTAGTAGCCGGCATCGAAGCATTGTTGGCAGGGAGCTTGGTTGGCCTGATGTGGGTATCCTTGCCGTGTTATCGTAGGCCCTCTTCGTTTGCTAAGTGTGTTTGCTCCTAGACTCGGTGCTATTTACAATGCAGGATACTTTCAGATGTCAACATGGATTCCGTTTATATGGTCATTGATCAACGTCTTGGTTTTGATATTATCTTCGTTCTCAATACAAGGTGGTCTATGAGCTATCACTTGCTGCTGATGCATTTATCATCTGGATTGTAAAGTAAGAATGATTTGGACTGGCATCCATCTCTGAGCTTTCAGGACTTCGAATTTGGATCTGGTCCTTTTGGCTCTATTTTTCTGATTAGCCTTGCTGGATTACCAGCTGCAACGTGGAAATCGGGAACATCTTTTGTCACGACGCTTCCAGCACCAATGGTACAACCTCGACCGATGGTTACTCCTGGGCACACTGTGACGCTACCCCCAAACCACTGGGAAAGTGTTAGCGTCCATGATACATATCAAGCGATTAGAAGATAGGGGATAATTGATAAAAGATGCGGATATCCAGTCAAATATTGTCACAATACGTACACAGTCTTCGCCAATGGTTATGGGCGCGCCAAGCTCTGGGCCATTGGTACCATCACGAAGGAAAGGGTCTAATGGATGCGTGGCAGCGTAGAATGAACAGCTTGGGCCGATTAGAGTACGAGCTCCTATGGTGATCAGACAGGTGTCGAGAAATACGCAATTGAAGTTGATGTAAACTCCTTTGCCGAGCCTGTGGAAGATGAGCATTTTCCCGAAATGTGGTTTACTGTTTGCGAGATACCTGAGATTTATTCCATAGTCTACATTGATTGGACCATCAATATATGGTTCATCTCCTAGGATACGGAACTCTTCCTCGTCTGTCGCTCCAGCTGGAGGAAGCGGAGTTTTGTCGTCGATGATGCTGATAGGTGTTAGGCTCTGGGCCGCCATACAACTAGAAGCAGATGCTTACTCTTTCCACATCTCTACCAGCTTCCGTCTTGAGGCATCACCTGCACTGTTGAATTTTTTGCAAGCATTATGACATCTTATAGAAGGACAAGCATTAGCGGCAATCGGGGGGAGGACATGTTTAGTGGGTAGAGTATATATGGGTGATTCTAGTCACATTGTCCCTCACCTATTCCGCTTTTCGACGAGCTTTGGTACAAACGCATAATAAAGCTCTCCTTTCAGCATTTTAGCTTCATTCTCATCCCCTTTAATGCCGTTCATGATTAGACTATGATATGTATGTGTTAAAGGGTGTAGAGTAGTGTAATGAAATGTTTGAATCGTCAGAATTTGAAATCTGTCAAAAACTAGATGTTAGTTGAGCATATCACTCCTTACCTAGCTTTATCGCCGAGGTTCTATATAAACCCATAAACGAGTGCTCCTTCGCTCTACTGCCCCATCGCTCCACTTTGTCTGCCAGTTGTAAGGTATGTATTTCCAAGTAATACTTTAGGATACTTCCGTATGCGGAATAACTTAGTCCCTCGCCTTTCCCTTTCCTTTCTACCTCGAAATTATAGTGGGGGTGGCTTGAAAGTGGCGCTAATAGCATAGAGGGAGATAATTTCAACGGGAAGGAAATATATAGGTCGATGCATATACGGACGAGTAATTATAATCCAACAATAGAAAAAATTGTACCTAATCGGTTTTCACGACATACAAATAGAACACATACTTACTACCTAGGTAGAATACCCTCTCTATACCCCTATCTAGTACCTAAGGAATGAACCAAGTGCTATTTGCATACCTGTAGACTTGAGACACTGAGACGAAATGCTTGTCACATGCCTCTTTGTTCCTCATTGTACAGGAAAATGGAAAACAAAAAAAAACTTGTTCAAGCGCTCATGTTCATGACTACTGGGTATTCTTCAACAAGGACAATATGAAGTAGCTTCGAAGTCCGAACCAAGAAAAGGTAATGGATGAATAAAGAGAATCGTATTTCGATTTGTCCCTATTTCTTATAATTTTTGCAATTTCTTTCAATTTCCATTATCGATAACAGGATCTCCGTGCTTATATTACTTGGCCCAGCCGGAAAAGTATTGAAGATTGAATTTCAACCATCAAGTTTCAAGCTTCGATTTCGCTCATTGAGTTTCTGCCCTTGGTCTCGTAGCGAATATTATTTTTGAAATCATGTCTACAGATAGTACTGCTAATGCGATTGGATCAGCGTCAGCTCAAAGCTCAGCTGAACAATCAAAGAGCACAGCGAGCACATCAAGCGCAACTCATCGACGTCCTTGGGATATAATACAAAACGGCGGCGTCGCCCCAAGAGCGCGAGTTGGACCTGATCGAGAACAATATGCGGAAATACCTAGTATTAGCGAGGCCATCAATCAATTCGAGAAGCAATTTCATTCCGGACAACCCAAGTCTCTGTCTGGCATCGCATTGCGATCCTTTCTCGTTGGCATCGTCCTCACATTCTCCACCTTCAGTACACTCTATCTCTTCTTTGTCGCCGACACGATCTTCTGGCGCATCCCTTTTTTTATCTCTTGCCTCTCCATTTTCCACTTCCTCGAGTTTTGGACTACAGCGAGATACAATACACCTGAAGCATCCATATCCTCCTTTCTCTTCAGCGGCAATGGATCCGCATACAACATCGCACATACCGCCGCCATCACCGAATTCCTGATCACGAATACTTTTTTCCCCAATGGGTCTCCATACGTCATCTACGGCCTACAGTTGCCCCCCTCCATATCCTGGTTTAGCCCTCGAGCACAAAACTTCATCCTCGTCCTCGGTCTCATCCTCATACTAATGGGCCAGACCATTCGCTCCGTAGCCATGGTTCAAGCCGGTAGAAGTTTTAATCACATAGTTCAATTTACGCGGTCGCGCTCTCATACACTTGTCACCACTGGTTTATACGCATGGTTACGCCATCCCTCCTACTTCGGATTCTTTTGGTGGGGATTGGGTACACAAATGGTTTTGGGGAACTTTTATTGTTTTTGCGGATATACGCTGGTCTTGTGGATGTTTTTCAATAGGAGGATTAAGGGGGAAGAGGCTTTGTTGATCAAGTTCTTTGGGGATGAGTATGTACAGTACAGAAAGATCTCGCGGGTGGGAATACCGTTTATCTAGATTTGCAGTGGTAATGCATGCAAATCTTGGGATTTTTCTTCATGTTGGATGTGCACAATAGGATTGTATACTCTGAAATGCATGAGATGGTAATATATCAAATTTTGTATATTCCTGTATTTTGCTTTCTCCGTGATAGTGTTCAAAATGGATGGATAAGCCGTGTGACCGTTGAAAGTGGACACCGGATCATAATTTATTGCATCAAATGGGCCAGAATCTCATGAGTATAGTGCCCCTGCTAGTATGCTTAGGATGTACAAGACATTGGCCGTAAGTAGGCGTCATGGCTCCTATATTTCCACGTCTAGTCGCCAATGGAAGAGAGCAGTCGCGCGGGTCGAAACTGACAGCTTTCAACGTGTCATTCTACCTGTATCTGGACACCGACGTATTCTGTAAAACGGCTATCCAATTTCTATATAGATAATAAAGCAAGGTACTAACATTGGCACTGACAATCTTATTTTATGGTCTGCTTGCTAACACTGCCGTACTTGGCTTGCCATGCGAAGAAGTAAAGTAAAGCAGCGAGTGGCTGCCCAACTAAAGTGAAAGATACCCAAAAGATACAATTTCCAACTATTTTACCATTTATGCCATTCATTTTCTCCAATGGTGCCGTGATAGCAATGAGTGGTAGCTGTGCCATCATGCCTATAAATGCAACGCCTGAAGAGTGTTAGCAAAGATAACAGTTTGATCTTTAATATTTGGAAGCCTACCAATAATATTGTGTGTCGGAACACCGACCATCAATTCATGTAGAATAGCAGAAAACGTGAACACCGCAACACTGGCCGAGTATGGACTCCAACCCCTGCCCACGAGAGGCGAGAAGACATGTCTTTTCATGAATTGATAGACCGGCTTGTTCCAAGTCCTCCAATATGTTCCTACACTAGGTGAGTTCCACCAGTCGTCATAAAAATTTCTATCCCCGAAAGTGGTGACCTCGGCAAGAATATTCAGGAAAGATTGGAACAAGGCAAAAAATCCTGCTAGCCATATGACTAAAGAGATTGTGGATAATTTCATCAAACGTTCGAGGATAGAGGCTACATCCAGGGATGCCATCTTGTCCAAGGAGTTCTGAAGGACAGGGGCTGCATATTGTGCGCTAGCAACCCACATGAAGATACTCAAACCAAATACTTCTGCCATCCTCTTGCCTACAAAAACCCACCTGATTTTGGGTGTCCGGGGATATACAGGTTGGTAAACCAATGTTGGAACCCACCAAAAGTATGTCAGATTATTCAGCGTGATATTCTGTGGGTAAGGGCATTTGTTGTATATCTCTGGCAATGCATCCTCCTCTTTACTTGAGGGGTGAAGATAGGCATGTCGAAGATCGCGGCAGGTGAATGCGTAGCTGTAAGTTTTCAGCCAGACAATAATTGCGTGTGCTTCAGTTATTGTGCCTATCAAAGGGTGGTGTATGAAAAAGTAGACGATCACGGAAGTGATCAGAAGACAAAGTGTTATGTTCAGTCCATGTATCCAAGCAATTACTTTCCAGGTCGAATGGAATTTTTGTTGCTCGGCCTCCGTGGCAATATAGCTACCACCCGGCGTGGCTGTCCCAGCTCTCTTTCTGCTTCCTTTTAGTGATGCTCTTGCTTGTTGCGCGGCCGCGAGTTCGACAATGTAGGCGACAAAGAGATGGCATGGAATAATGAAGTAGAGGGCAGCCCCTAGCAAAAGATCCTGTTTGCGATAATCGTGACATCTCAGACATATCAAAACTCCATACTGTTAAAGATCGTTAGCTATGCTCTATATACTGCCTTCCTAGTAGAATTCCGGCTAGAAATCATTTGAAATTGGGTCTGTTAGGATATCCTGTCAAAACGTCCGGAAAGGATTTGGGCATTGGGACAACACTCCGCAATCTTCTCCCAACACTCTGCGCACCCAATTCATTCTTCAATTGACGAAAACCAATGACTAGGAGGAAAGCGAACCTTTCGAATATTCTCTAACATGAGTCGCAGATTCGAGATCAGTAAGACAAGGACCATCAAGTTCCGAAATCCAAGGAAACTCGGTACCGCATCGCTTTCATGGCTGAGGCACGATGTTCGAGGTATGGAATGCACAGCGGCAACATGTCTATATTTCTTTTGCGAATATTTCCGAAGAGAATCGGATGTGTTATGTTGTGTGAGTGGTTTTGGTAAATCCGCGATGCTGATATTGGCCCTGTGCTTTCCGTTCGCACCATTGACATGTGAAAGTGTAGATCGTCTGATGGTCGAAGAAATGTTTGGCACACTTTCGGTACCAGTTACGGTAGCATTTTCCGAGGTCATGATTGCGAAAATGGCATAAAGCCGCAGTGATATTCGAGCCGTTGGTATCTTAGCATGTATCGAGTAATAATAGAAGTGTCTGGGGAATGGTGGAGAGAAGATGTCTACTCAAGTAAAGAAGAGTAATAAGAGAGAATCAAGGGGCAATGTGCGTACGGGGTAATTACCGGGTAATTTAGATAATATGTGAAGCAGTAAAACAGAGAGAGATCGATTGATAAATTGGATAGGAATTTATCATAGAAAATTGGCATAGGAAAGTGAATTCCTCACTGGCTAACTTAAACCCCTTCCTGAGATCAATTATTGGCTGGGAATGAAGGCTACCAACTAGGCCAAGGGCTAATAAGTAACCTGGGCAGTGGGTTAAAATCTTAACAGTCTCTGCGTTGTGTAGCCCTCCTTCAACCTCCAAATTAATTTGAAACGTAAATATCAAGCTCGGCATGCGGAAGTGTTGATGTATTCGAAGAAGTAATAAATGTACCAGAGATACCTGGTAATGCAATAATGAATGACATTCCCCCGTACATTATTACGCAGGAAGCTTATGGCCAGAAATCTTTTTTCTTATCAGCCTTATGAGTTGTTGTGATAAGGATGATAGAAGGATTACTAAGCCAAAGCACCGATAAATCATTGTTCCGTTCCGTCAAGTCCCTCGTCGCGAATCCATCCTTGTTCATCATAGCATAAGTCAAAAGTCGCGACCCTTTGAACTTCTAAAAGCATGACCTCTTTGATTTAGCTTTATTTAGTTAAGAATTAAGCACATGATCGCAAGTTAAAAACAACGGACCTCGCCGAAGAAGAAAGCAGTCGTTTGATCAAATTCTTGTTGTAGGGAATGATGCGCTGATAAAAATGGCATACGAACCTCGCGAGTATGGAGGTGGTCGCGATCGGGATCGGGATAGGGAGGGAAGGGGAAGAAGAGATGATGGGGCAGCTGGAGAGGGGGCCGGTAATGAAGGGACTTTTGTGAGGGGACGAGGTCGTCGTAAGTGCAAAACCTCCATCTTTCGAGTCGATCAGAATACGGAGAGAAAATCTGTACCTCTTTGTCCTATGGAAAGTCCAATGGACTAATACTGTACAGGTCCTGTCACTGACTATAGCTCTACTATGGTCCATTGGATGCGTAATCGTCAGCCAAGGTACAAAGGTGGTTACCAAGGCGAAATGGAAAGACCCAGTCCAAGCTACATGATAGATGTAAGTATATTTGAGTTGACTGCAAAGGTTAAATTTAGAAATTTGCGTCTGATCATTCATAGATGTTACCACCATTAGCAAGACTTCATAATGCAGCAGATTCGGTACCAGGGAGACATCTACATTCGTCACTTAATAAGATTAAGCATCCTGTCAATGTGGTAAGGTGGACACCAGAAGGTCGACGGTTGCTCACAGCCTCGAGTAGTGGAGAATTTACTTTATGGAATGGTGCGGGCTTTAACTTCGAGACAATTATGCAAGCACATGATGTTGCTATCCGAGCCTTGTCTTATTCCCATAGTGATGACTGGTTGATATCAGCTGATCACGATGGAGTGATCAAATACTGGCAGCCGAATTTTAACAATGTCAAAGTCATTCAAGGACATGACGACCCTATAAGGGATCTCGCATTTAGTCCGAACGACTCGAAATTCGTCACGGCCTCCGATGACTCTACGCTAAAGATTTTCGATTTCGCTGGCGGTGTTGAGGAATCCACTCTCTCTGGTCATGGATGGGACGCAAAAAGTGTTGATTGGCATCCGACTAAAGGATTACTTGTTTCTGGATCGAAAGATCATCTTGTCAAATTATGGGATCCGCGTACTGGACGATGTTTGACGACTCTTCATGGACATAAGAATACTATCACAAAAACCGTCTTTGAGCCAGTTCGAGGCTACTGCTTAGCCACTTCCGCTCGAGACCAAACCGCACGAGTATTTGATTTGCGTATGATGCGCGACGTATGTTTGCTTAAGGGGCATGAAAAGGACATCTCTACCTTAGCATGGCACCCTATTCACCCTTCCCTCCTGAGTACCGGCGGCGCCGATGGGTCTCTTTTTCACTACCTATTAGACGAGCCTAATAATCCTCCTGGAACTGAACCGTCTATAGCTCCTTATGATAGTCCGGATCCTACTACTACACCGGCTCAAACTATCTATCCAGCTCACAAACTAACATACGCTCATGAATTTGCCATTTGGTCGCTTGATTGGCATCCTCTTGGTCATATTTTGGCATCAGGGTCCAATGATCGAATCACTCGGTTCTGGACACGTGTACGACCGGGTGATACTGATACATTCAAAGACCGCTATCACATTGGCGACTCGGCTGCCGAGGCGCAAGGAACCTATGATCGTCGCGGGGGACGACGACAACGTCAAGAGGAAGAAGATCAAGAAGCTGAAGACGAAATGGAGGGCTTAGTCGATCAGAAAATGCCTGCAAAATTACCTGGTTTTGCCACAGGAATACCTGGTCTGCCACTACCTGGCATGGGAGCCATACCTGGTATGAATCGTGTTCCTCCTCCACCACCTCCTCCTATGCTCAGTGGAGGGAATATCCCACCTCCACCTTTACCGGGAAACTTAGATGCAAGTACTCTAGCACTTATGATGAAAGCCGGCTTACCTCCTCCCGGAGCAACGGGCATGCCACCTCCACCACCAATGCTCCCACCGAACTTTCAACTTCCACCTGGTTTCGTTGTTCCCCCACCTCCTCCTGGTATGCCAATACCTGGACTGGAAAATGTAGATTTATCGAGTAACGGTGGTGGTATCAGGAAACGAGGACCATTACCTAGTCAGGAAGAAAGTTTACAGGCGATGCAGAGACAGGGGAAATTCAGGCCACCACGATAAAAAGTCGTCGGTACTAGTGTGGAGGAGCTTCGGATTGTATATCAGAACAAAGCATTTCAGGTGAACTGAAGCATCAGGCGTTCGGGTGGATTGTAATCTAGTTGTGATGAGATTTCGCAAGTTATCCCTATTCACGTATGTACGTACACATGTGGAAATGAGCAGCAACTTTGTTCTGGGACAAAAATTGAATTTACTTGATGATTGAAGAGCACTAATGCTATGGTATATAAATCGCAATCAATGTAGAAAATGCAGGAGAACGCCATGTCAAGATGCAACCCCATTAAGAATACCCGCCGATAATGCTATAAATATATGCTGCAAAACCTCGTCCATTACATGCAAAAAGCAATTCCAAACGTGATGAATCAAGAAGAGTGTCTGGGGCTCGTCCTCGTCGGTGCTTGAATTTGTTTGCTCTCACCACCCTTCGTAAATGCCTTCTGTCTATCCGAGTAGTCCTTAATGACTAACGCACACATCATATCATCACACAGTCTCTTCCTCCTCTGAGGCGGCAACTTCGTCATGAACTCCAACCCACTAGCCCTCTCCACCATCTCAACCGGTACCTCAAAATCTGTCAACGGCTTCTCGTTTGGTATCCGCGCGTTAGGCAACACGAATGCACCAACCGCAACTGGACCCGCCGTAGTACCATCTTCGGCAAATATAACCTTGTAGAAATGTGTCGGCACAGCGATGTTGGGTGGATTGCCAATAACCTCATAAGTCACTCTCCATTTCCCATCCGCCGGATCCCGTTTCGGTAAGTATAAAGGTCCAGTAACAATTCTAACGCTCGGGTATCGAGTCGTGAGTCGACGGCAGAAATCCTCAAAATGCGCCCAATAATCGCGGTTAAATCCTTCTCCTACTTGCGGGCACATATTTGTGAGGAAGAAAGTATCGTTCATGGCATCTTGACTCCATTTTGCGTCTGCGGCGGGGACTTGATGACCGCGATCGTAGCCAGAGCGTAGATAATCTTTTAATTTACCACGGAATTTTTCAGGGACAGCGGGGTCTTCGACAAAGTAGGAGTGTTTGCGATCGCCATTTGAGACGGCGAGGGATGCAGGCGTTATGTGTTCCGCAACCCAAGAAGGATTTCGAAGTCTTCGGTCGAATGAAGATATTAACGCATTTCTAGTTGCCAGATCTGCGACTGGACCAGGGAATCCATATTGAAATAGACCTGCGGGGTCAACGGGCGCTATTATATCTTTGCTTATGGTTTGACCGACTGGTATGGGCACTGCCGCGTTCGCTGAAGTAGATGATGCTGTGACTGCTGTTGAGCTTGCTGCTGCTTGAAGTTTCTTTTCAGATCGTGTAGAATACATGGCGGCGGTTATACCGGCACCTGTGGCTGCAGAAACTCCTGCGATGATTGCGAATGTAGTTTTGGACATGACAGTGGAAATCGAGCCTCTACGGGAGCTCGCACCGGATGGGATAGGATGGGAATTTATGGATTGAGGGATGGAAAGTGTGTGACACTATGATCACAGTGTTGACATTTGCGCGTGAGCTTTTTTTTTGAACGGGGTTTCGTGTCGATGTCAGTTGAACTTTCTTGACGAGTCTCGGAAAAACTCAGGTTTTTCCGGGAGTTGGGACTGCAACGGAGATGAGTGGTTAGATGTATTGGTTTCTGCTGAAGAGCCATGCGACATCTTTTTCCTATCTTGTCTACAATACATTATTGTAAGTCCACAATACGATATTAGTGGTACTAGGTACTGCGACGGAGCAAAATTGGTCATGTGCTGCCAAGTTAACATCCATTTGCACCATCTGCTTCCGCCTTAGTGGATGGTTTTCTTGATGGCGGGATAACTCTAACTAGAAGCCAATCTTTGTCCAAATCTTTGAGCTTATACGCATTGGCCAAAACCCTTTAGGATGGGTTCAAAGCCAATGGTTTTATGGCATGGTCAGCAATCTATACTATACGAAGGACCCGTGATTAGAAAGGCGAAGGACATAGACTTGGGGGCCATAGTACGGAACTCTGATGCCATTATTAGCCAATGTGTAAGCAAATAATCTTCCCATTTGGGAAAGAGGATCTGTGATTGTTTCAAGCGCCTTTCATTTTGGCTTCATACTCTGGGTATGGATTGCAGATTAGGAGACCAGCGGGTCTACTGATCTCGAAGACAAGTCACTGTAGCACAATCTCTCGGGGAGTCTATCAAGGTCCAACCCATCTGATGACTCATGCCACTGCATACAATTGGCATACCATGACGCTCTGGCAACCCCAAGGTCGTTCTTGCTTTACAATGGTATTTAGAGACAGATTTTGAAGTTGTCCTTTGTTTTCCATTTGTTGCAATCGATCCAGTTATCTCGAATTGATAACAAGGCTGCATGCTGAGTGAACATCTTGACTACTTGTATACTACGGGATTGTTGTTCGTGGCCAAATGTATTACCTCCGAATGCAACGATTCTTTTGTCCTAGCACTTTTGGGGTGGGGAACTTCGTCAAGAACATCTGCGTCTGCGTTTGCATTTTCGCGCGTCTTCGAATCTCTCGCCCTTCTCCCTTATTTCTGGGGTTAGTGTATATGCTACTTTCAAGGCACTACAAAATTTGAGGTGGAAGAACGAAAGGATGGTGAGAACATACTCTAGTGCCATCTTAATGCTGGAATTGTATGGGTTCTCTCCAACATTACCATCCTTCAACACCAAACAAGCTTTTGACATAGCGGCGTCGCAACTTCGAAGGTCGAGTGCAGATGGCAGGAAAGTTTACCGGCTGAAGAAGTTCGCCCTGCCGACTACTGATCTGTTTCATCTTCACTCTTAATCCCTCCGAGTGTCTAATAGTGGAGTGGAGTTCGAATAATGGTATCGACACGATCTGGATTTTCCAACCCGACTTGAGGGGGTACAAGTGTGCATTTGAAGTTGCTATATTGCTGATGTCTGGATTCAGGTCTGACAATTATGTAGGCAATGAGTGTCTAGAGGCGAGTATTTTTCAAGGTCAGACGCCCAGTTGCGAAATATAGGCTGAATGCTCGAATTGTAGCTGGATACCTAGCTATCGAGGCTAGTTCATATGATGCGAAGTCGGACGAAAGGATGGAGATCTGCTGCGTGACATCCAAGGATGACGCTGAGGTGTATAATATGGAATGAATAATGGCACGAATTTATTCACCCAGGTCGCCGAGGAAACAAGTAAGATCAAAAGAGGAAATGTGAATCGAAATCAATTTATGCACTCCTAGAGGCAAGCTAAAGCTCTCAGAATGTGCAATTTTGGGACGTCTCGAATCAAAGAGGTTATATCTTGTGCTACTCACTTCTGTAGGATTGCACGCTTTAAGGCCGAGTCAATTTGGTAACATGGCTTATGTACTCCTGCGGTTGAAGTACTGAACTGAACTATTTTTGATGATAGACTTGAGCTGAGAAAGGTAAAGTTTACATGCTGAAAGTCTATTCTCCAGACGGCTTCAGCTAGAGAACGGTATCTCTGTATTTGTTGGGAAGCTAAATCTTTGCTCGTGCTGGATACTAGGGGTATCTTTCTATACATGTAGGTTTTGCTAGAACATCAATCCTTTTATTTAGTATCTTTCGATTCTATATTTGATGAGAATATTATAAAACGATCTTTTTAGAATACTCGTCTAATTCATCTCTGATGTTTATACTAGCTCCAAAATGAGCGAGCAACTTTCTAGGACGTTGGATGACATATATATTCAATCATGGCTTTGGTAGGATATTGTTTGGAACATTTTTCGAATTAGATTGATATCGAATTATAATTTTACAATTTAGATTCAGACATTGAACACCTTCCTTCATATTAGATTTGACATGGACACTTTATACTCGAGTAAACGAAAGACTATCATCTCTCTCTCGTGGTCATGAATTAGAATAAATATTAAAGGTTAAATAAATATGGATCATTGATATACTTACTTTCCCACAATGCGAAGCCTTAACTTTATACTTTGAGTAAGAGTTTTATGTTGAACACATTATCTAAACTAGAATAACCTTGTCTTCAGGAGAACCTCGTCTAACATGGAAGGAAAGCAAGCTTACCTACTCTACGCCCTAGAAATGTTGATTGGAAATAAAAAGAAAAGTTAGACATGCAACAAATATGTTTGTTTCCGAGGGGTCAAGTTGGAGAAGTGCATTCATTACATCACAGTACATGACGTACATGACAAGTTTTGTATGTAGATCACTACTCGAGTGCTTGGATGTTTTGGTCGTGCCACACACATTCCACTTTTCCATCCACTCGAGTAACGTAGCTTGATTGTGTATATATGCATGTATGCATGGAGAGCCATCAATATCTACTCTGCACAATCGAGTGGCACGTCTGGAATTAAGAGACTCCACCATTTCCCCATCTACTCCGTACAGTAGGTAGTACAAGTTCTCAAAGGGATGACAAATGTGACTGGCATGAAGGAATGATGCGGCGATGTGGTGGATCAAAAGGGCTAAGCGCCGTGCAGATGAATGAGGACCTTGATGGTTAAAAGACAACTCGACTTCTCCATGAATGGGCGAATGAAAATGAAAGGAACTTCTTGGAAGTTTTGGTAGGTTATCAGCTTAAACTTACTTAGCACCATCCAGAAGAATGGATGAAGGCATTTTTGACCGCCTGGTATTTCAATCCGGGTCTTTTCTTTCAATCCATCAAGGTTCAACCTAGCTATTCTTTCTTCCTTTGGCTTAATAATATAATATTATTGATTCTAGCATTACAACTTGTTGATACCACCACATCATTTGTGTTACTATCGTCGTTATTGTATTACAGAGATAAATCAATCATCCATCTATCCATCTATCCATCTATCCATCCATCTATCCATCTAATCCATCCATTCATCCATTCGCACCTTTCTACAGCCTCAAATCTATCCTCCTTTGATACTTCCTACAGCAGATTGTTTGCTTTTCTTTCCCTCTTGCCCCCTTTTCAAATTCACCTAAAATCCTCATCTGCTTCTTGCTTCTTGCTTCTTGCTTCTTGCTTCTTGCGTCTTGCTTCTTGCTTCTTGCTCCCTCGGCCTATCCTTATTTTACCCTCGAACTGTATTCCAACCCGCATCTCGCACCAACTCCCAAGCTACATTATACCTCAATCGCATACCTGCTACAATATTTGCAACACGGCCTGAGATAACCGGCGACCACAGATAATCTGCGACAACTTACACTGTCAGGTTTCAACCTTGTTCAACCTCGTGCCACTTTCTCCCTCGTATTTGATACATCTATGCATCACCAGTCGTATATCAACCATCCGGTCAGAACTTTGAGGAAGCAGAATATATCTTTGTAAAGTTGGCAACACAATACTATCAGTATGGAGGCAGAATCGTTGGATAATGACACAAGGGGATGGATTATGGCCGTGATTAGTGGAATAGGTCAGTACAATACCCGAATGGTCCATAGGATGATGTTCAGTGACCTCTAACAATAATCTTTAGCATGTGTAATTGGCAGTTGCATAATCTGCATAGATATACTGATAAGACATATCCCCAGCAAAAAGAATTTCAGGATACAGGATAGTAATGCTTTCCTGGCTGCCTCTTTAAGCTTGAGTTTCGGTGTAATGGTAGGTTAGTCCTTTCGCACTTTGCGCCAACCATTTACTAATCTTTGTTTCTATATAGATATTCTCCTCATTATATAGTATGCTTCCATCATCGAAAAAATACCTTATTGAAGGTGGTTATACAGCACATGCCGCTGCATGGATTCTTTTGGCCTGTTTCGCCGCCGGCTTTATTGGTATACAATTTGTCTCGAGGCTCATGCATCACTTTATCCCATCGCATGTCTCACACTGCGATCACTCTCATGAGCCCAATGCAGCACATCACGACCACAATAACCATTTTGAAGCCCTCGACGGTCATCATGACCATAGCCTTCCACTCTCAAAATCGAGTTCTCATGTAGCAGTTCATCAAGCGAACAGTACGACGACTGAATCTACACCACTTCTCATGCCAAGTACAGAGGAGAATGGAAAGTACCTGCCCAAGGGTCTTGCGTTAATAAATTCAGATTCCCAGCCGAACAATCATCGTCAATCCGCAGCTTCTAGCAGACGACCATCACTGATGGAGGTTCAAGCCAGGGTCATGTCTTTTGTGAAGGATAGAAAGGCTAATTGTGACGAGAGTGGGCCATGTTTTGGATTTTCTGACCTTTGTGGACGAGAGTGCTTAAGAACCCCCATCAATACAAGACCTCCTTACACGGCACGAACTCCAACAGGCACTCTATCAACTCGCTCTCATCCTTTCACTCTCCCGGAAGAAGAAGAAGAGAGTCAGGACAATTCAACACGATCTCATGAAGAAACGGAAATGGCTAGTTGTCAAGACTCTGACATTGAAGCACAACAACATCATCACCATGTCCCCGAAAATGCATTTATGGATATTGGTCTCCAAACAAGTATTGCCATTGGATTGCATAAGTTGCCAGAAGGTTTCATTACATTTGCTACCAATCATGCAAACCCCGAACTTGGGGTTTCTGTATTTCTAGCCTTACTCGTCCACAACATCACTGAAGGATTTGCAATGGCTCTTCCATTGTATCTAGCACTTGGTAGCCGACCTCGAGCTATCTTCTGGAGTTCTCTCTTTGGCGGCGTTTCACAACCAGCAGGTGCTGGCATTGCAGCTGCATGGTTTTCGATTTCTGGGCGAGAGGGCCACGCCCCTAATATTGTGGTTTATGGATGCATGTTTGGTGTCACGGGAGGTATCATGGCAAGTGTTGCTTTGCATCTTTTTGCTGAGTGCTTGGGCATGAATCATAACAGGAGTTTGTGCATTTCTTTTGCATTTGTTGGGATGGCGTTGATGGGTATGAGCAATGCTCTTACCTCTGAATAAGGAAATGAGGGAATAAGACTGAAAGATGGTACGCATTATGAATAGACGATTGGCGTTTTAATAGGATATCATACCACGGGATAGGGCCTTTTTGGTGGGTTTTGGTGGGTCTGGATGGATTATTTTGAACATTAGGGATGTATTTTTATCCAAAGTCTGAAGTTTGAAATTGGTTGGCTAGGGGTAGCAAGGTTGGAAATAGCTCACGCTTGATTAGAATGAATATACCGCAACTGTATTGCAGCAAATCGAGCTGCATTCAAATCATCTCCTTGATCTTTCTTATCTTACTGTTGTGAAGGTCTAGCAGAGTCCGATTTGTTGTTGAGGGTATGTATCCCATGAGGGCCAGAGATAGTGGGAATGTCACTACAAGAGTGGTGCAATCAAAGAGCATCGTTACCACTTTCCTCCATTAAATAGATTATATATCAACCGGCTAGCACATAGAGACGAAGTGTATTTCAGCATGGTACATCGGCCTGGATTTAGCTACGTACCTAGCACGGTGTACTCTCATTTAGACAAAATGGTGAGCAAGATAATTTTTATTTATTCGATTTTTACCTATAAGAAGTTATCTACTTTTGATAATTCTTTTTTTGAAATTTATTGTTTTCTAGTCTTTATTTTGCTGTCGTGTTGTAGTATTTTTATCATGATATCATTATGTCTAGATAGTATAAGAGAAAGCGGGATGGGATAGGATAGGATTATAAGAAGAGGAAGAGGAAGAGGAAGAGGAAGGGTTTGAAAGTTTGAAGATTTGGGGAAGAGAATATGTGTATACTTGAATATATATATATATATATATTGGAGTTGGAGTTGGAGTTGGAGCAAAATATGATCTGTTGGATAGGTAGATAGGCACACCGGCAGCTGGTTTGATGGGAGAAGGTGTGTTGAGGTGTAGAGATGTTGAATTGGAGTCATGGAGAGATGGGGAGTGTATATATATATGAAACGATTTGAACAACAATAGGATTGACTGATAGAACAATCTGATTTTAATTCCTAATTCCTAATTCTTACTACCTACCTACGCACTTACCTACCTGTCTAGATGTTAGACACATTTTTCCACATGTTCAGCTACCTTTAGTCCCCCTAAATATCTCGCTTAGACCACCCACCCACTTACATACTCACTCATTCACTCGGCAACTATGCAAAGCATCTTAAGCATCACATATCAATATCACTTACACATAAATGCCATATCGCAATCAAATATATCCTAGAAAATAGGACAGGACTATGATTCCTTTCCTTCGGAATTACTCTTATCGAATGTTGATTTTTTGTCTTTCTTTCCTTGGTATACTACACACACTGTCTGAAATCCTCTTCCATCTTCAGGTTTCCATCGACTCATTTTCCAGTTTCCTCTCATCCATTCATCGACAGAAAATAAGTAAAAAGTCGATGTTCATCATCTTCATCTCCCTCCGAATCTCGGATTTGAATTCCTCATTCATCGCTTCTCGATTCCTTAATTTCCTATGTCCATTTCGCTCAATTTCCACCTTGAATATTCAAATCTATCTGGAATTGAACACTCAAGTCGTCACCTAATCATTTAAAATCGATGACTTCTCCTCTGCTGAGTCTTCCAAGTCGTGTATCCGACGTATCCACCACCAAGAATCGCCAATCCCGCAAAACACTTAACGAAGAACCAACTCCAGCTTCCCTTTTGCTTTTGCTTTCCGTTAAACACTCCCTGGCCCTTTTGAGATCTACTCTTTCCATTCTCGGATGTAGGCTGCGAATCTTTGTATTTGTTCTTGTGTGTATTGGTGTCATACAAGTTGTTTGTGTTTACGCTGATGATATCATGGTTATCGCTCAATTCTCCTGTTTCTGCTGAAAATCCGAGATATGCTACCGAGGGAATGGTGGGTGGTTCGAAGGTTTCAAAACAGAGTTCCCACTGGTCTTCTTTCTTGTATTGAAGTTCGAGTTTGAGGGATTTGTCTTGAAAATAGGTGAGTCTGGCTTTGGTTGGTACGTTTGCGTTGCGTAGACCTCGTGCAGAACAGCCCATGAATTCCTGATCTTTGCCGTCGTTGTTCTTGTCATAAGAAGTGCTTCCATCGCCGACCATTGCCATTACATAGGGGAACACGGTACCGGGACGGTTGTTCTTATATGTGTCGAAAAAGATACCGAGACCTTCGAATTTATCGACGGAGCCGAAGACGTTGCCTTCAGTGGCGCGCTGTTTGGTGAGCCACATGGCCCAACCATCACCATGGAGATTGCCCTGGCCGTGTACCTTGAATTCGACTTCAATCTGTGGAAGAAGTGTGGTCAGATTGGATTCAAAGAAGGTAGGGACGTTTAATCATACCTCCCAGTTTGTGGCCGTCAATGGAACTCGCGAGAAGAGCCATCCTGAAGAAGATGGATGATCATATGTCAACCGTATATATCTATCACCTCAGAATTAGCACATCTATCCTAACCAATCAGTCAGGGCATTGGTGCGCATCCATACTTGTCTGCTCTCACAATAGTATTTCCTCCAAAATCAAACCATCTACTTTGCATATCCGAATCCAAATATGGCTATCCAATTCCAGATCAGCAGAATTCACCAACCATGTAATGCGCATCGTATTAAACTACTGACCTGATTCAGTGAATGTGTTCGGAGCTACTCCAACAGGTCAGCCAACATCTTGTGAATACTAATCCAGCTATAGAGTAAAACAAACCGGTATACTTCTAATCCCATCCTCGCTCAATTTCGTGGTGAGCGTATCTCCAGCTGCCATAACACAAGATGCCAGCCATAGCGCCGACAATGATTTAGGGAACCACATTATTCCTATTGAACCTATCCCTATCCACGGTATTCTTCGGCCAATGTCTGTACCTCCCCAATCAAGGAAAGATCAATTCGGCGGCAATCGAAGAAGTGTGAAACTAGGAAAGAAAGACTGGTAAAGTAAAGTAAATGAAGAAGAAGAGGATGGTCCGCCGAAAATAGAAGAGGATTTTGAGAAGAGAAACAGTACAAATAGGACGTTGAACTTTAGTTGCCCCCGAGGTCGTCAGATTAAATTGTTAGCTGTTAGCTGGCCTTAAGGTGTGCATCGGGGATTTCTTGAGATCCCTGTTACGCTTTGGTTGTAGTGCGATGGATGGTGCTGTAGCGCTCGGTGAAGGGTGCTTGCGACACTGTAAATTCGTGCTGAAATAGGGACTTGTGGTGGGTATCGACCCTGCAATTTATTGGGCAGGTACCTAGAACTAGGTAGGTACTTGCCTAAGGCCGAGGAGTGAATTTGACATCATCATTTTTGGGGTTGATTAAAAAAACGAGGTTTACATATTCAGAAAAAACTTAGGTTCTTCTCTGTAACAACCCAAGATTAGTTCCTTTGAAAACACCACTTACCATACACAAACTCATACATACGCAATTATGGATTCTCTTAACAATGCCTTCGCTTCCTCTGACCCAAAAGCTGCTCTCATGAATCAAGTTCGTCAAGAAGCTGCCATGACCAATGCTAGACAATTGATCGAGGTGCATCTTCCCTTTCTCCTTTTGTCCTCTATTATACCCTCCTCCACACTCTCGATCTTATTCCTTTCCCATCCAGAGACTAATCCCCTTCCAGAAAGTAAACGAACATTGCTTCGAGAAATGCGTCCCCAAACCTGGCACTTCTCTCAGCAGCGGCGAAACAACCTGTTTCACTCAATGCATGGAGAAATACATGCAAGCTTGGAATACTGTCTCTAAACAATATATCGCGAGGTTGCAGAGGGAGTCGGCGAGTGGGTCGGCGAATGGAGGGATGTTTTAGATTTGAACGGGTATTTTTATCAGGAAGCAGGAGAGAGATGAGAGGAAGAAAGTGCAGGGGTGCCTTTTTGAGAGCGAATGCTCAATTCCACACGATTTCGATTTTGGAACTCGGTCTTTCCTCATGGTGAAAGGGAGGAGAAGAGGATTACCGTGAGAACGAGATATAAGATTTCGCCATTGAATGGGTACGATGTTAAAGGAGTATATTACACTCTTGTACACTATGAACAGGTCATCGCGCCTCTGGGATTGGAGTTGATAAAAAACAGAACTTTAGAGATATCACAGTACGAATGAATTGCAACAAGTTACGACTTCCATGGACATACGCTGTGATGTTGATTTTGTTTATTGTATTTACATGCTGCAGTTGCATGGACGCGAGAACTAGCTTCAACTATCCTCAAATGTACTATTCATGTGACATGATAGGCATGGAGTATTATTCCTCGAGGGTGTTTGGGTATCCAATATACTTCGCTCTTGCTTATAGCTCGTGATTATGCTGTTATATGTCTTGATTATAATCCCTGGAGCCCATCTGTTCCTCGACTTCCTTAGGCTTTATTAATACACCAACCTTTTGCGGCCATGAGTATAAATAATTTCAACCAGCTTCCATGTTAGTTATGGATTCCAGCTAGAACCTCAGAGCGCATCTTGCTGTTAGAACTTATGAAAGTTCCTCAATCTCCTCTTTTCTTTGCTTCTTCCGCCTCCCTTTTTCTAGCAAGGTATCTCTCCTTGGCGCTCATAATATCGCCTTCAGTCTTTCTACTCTTAGAAGCTCTTTCGATTTTCTGCTTTTCTTCTTCCTCTTCTTCTAAAGCTCGCTTGGTAGCTTGTTCCAATTGTTCTTCCATCATTCGTGACTGTCGTTCACGCATAGCTTGTTTTCCACCCCCGGCTTTCACAAATGCATTACCTCTTCCGCGATCAGGCATTGAGCCTCCGCTTCTTGATAACCTCGCGTTAGACGCTGATTTTGCCTTTGGTATCACGTTCAGTCCACCTTTGAGTAGTTCCCTTTTGTCAACAACCTGGCCTTCATCGTTGACTGTAATAGTTCCTGCACGTTTCTCGTTGATTTCCCGGGCTATATCTGCTTCAGTCTTCGTGTTTTCATCCTCTATAGCATCTTCCTGAGGTCCTCGTTTAATCCTTTCCTCTGCAGCCTTTACTACTTCAGCATGTAGCTGTTCACCCCTTTCAAGCATATTTTATAGAGTTGGTCATCCCTGTTCCCTTATTCTTTCTCTGCTCTTCCCCCTCCTTTAATCGTTCCTCTTCTTCCAACCGGCGATTCTCCTCCTGTTGTTTCTTGTAGGCTGATGTCACAAATTTCTCCTTATCCGCATATTCATCCCCTTCAGTTTCTCTTTCTCTCGCAAGCTTCTTCTCCTCAGCTATTGTAGAATCGCGCTTTCTCACCGCAGCCGCGGCAATAAGGTTGCCCATATACTTCGGCCTCCGTTCATCCTCCTCCACCACTACTTTCTTCTTTGGCTTCAACGAATCGTAAACTGCATCGTAGTCATAAATATTTGCATCAAGCTCCTCTGCAGTATCCGCGTGTTTTTTCGACGTCAATGAACTCGAAAGATCGCCATACATACTTATGGGCGCTTTTTTCGAGGGATTAAGTTTTGGTTTAGATCCAATCAAAATTTGAGGACCTCTCTTCTGTATAGGCTTCGCAACAGTTTGGTTAGATGGTGCCTCTTCAAGCTCACCAATTTCCTCTATTCCACCATCTCCGGTTTTGGTATCCTCATCTGAATCGTCATCTCCACCAAATATGGGTTTCCTTTTCGCAGGAGGTTGTTTTGCACCATTTGGCTTCTTTGTGATATTGAGACCATAAGATAATCCCTTGCCAGACATAGTGTTTGTGGAATCTTCAAGATTTAAATTGACCGAACCTATTGTCGCAAATCATGGACACAATGGATTGAAATACGCCTGGAGCTTGGACTCGATGACGTCTTCTTTCGAATATGACGGGTCGGGTTTTTTCGAGTTCGCGAAAGTCCCCTCTTCCTAAATATGAAATAAAAAAGTTACTTTTCTTGAAAGTCTAAATGTTGATCCGCTGCTCTGGACATGACTGAAGTTGGCTCGTAAGAATTCAATGCGGCAGGGTCAAGTCAGCGGTGACGCTAGCAACCCGCTCCGCTCTTGCAATCGATAACTCCACTCATCAAATGGTAATCACAAGTGTATTTGCAACCACAAATTCATTCAGCTTTTCTCTTACACCATAACCTTAAATACTTACATCGACATGAGTACAAACTAGGAATATTTCTTTCTACATAATCGAGTCTTCTTATACAATCAATTTAACGGGTGCAACAGTTGGTATTCAGGTAATAGGCACAACAATCACTGCGACAACGAGAAAACCAAAAACAGAGGGAGGAAGTCATATTACAGTCTCTGACGACTGGACTTGGAATAAGTATTTCTCGGACAAGGTTTGTATGGGAAGTAGGTGGGACGCTTATTTTATGTATTATGAAAATATGACCTCTCATCCAACGAAATTTCGATTCAAGTCCAAGAGGAAGCGTGGGGAGGATGAAAATGAACGACCATCAGGAAGCCATACCGAGGAAAGACATCACCGTCACCATCATCATCGCTCTAAACGAAGCAGGACATCGCCTTCTGCGACCAAAGATGATCCGTCCCTCTACGATGATACCCACCTTCCTAATACTTCGTCCAGTCAATACCTCGACCCAGATGCTGCATTTAGAGAGAGTTTATTTGATGCGATGGCCGATGATGAAGCTGCACAATATTGGGAAGGAGTTTATGGGCAGCCAATTCATACATATCCTGACGTCAAGCAAGGACCGACAGGCGAACTGGAACAAATGACTGACGAGGAATATGCAGCATATGTTAGGGGTAAAATGTATGAAAAGACTCACCAACATCTGATGGAGGAAAAGGCTCGGCGCGAAGCAGCTAAAAAAGAACGAGAACGTTTGGCTCAGGAAGGTAGGAAAGAGGAGAGAGAGGCCGAGCGATTTAGGATACAGATTGAGGAGAGCCTAAGAAGAGGCCAAGAGAGGAGGTCAAGGAAAGTTTGGACGGCGAAGTGGAATAACTACATTAAGAATTGGGAAGAACTTGAGAAGAACTCTTCGAGAGTTGCAATTGTATCTATACCTTGGCCGGTGGAAAGCGGCAGTCGAAAAGATGTCAAATTAGAGGAAATCCGACGATTTTTCTTATATGCACCAACTTCTGGAGAACCTACAGAGTCACAACTCACCAAGACGTTGAAGGTGGAAAGAGTTCGGTGGCATCCTGACAAGATCCAACAGAAACTAGGAGGGCAAGACGTTGACGAAGGGGTAATGCAAGCTGTAACTGCTGTTTTCCAAATTGTCGACGGGATGTGGTCAGAAAGCAGGAATAGAAAATGAGTGGTCAATGAGTTGAAGAAATATTAATGGAACCTCGGATTATCAAAGCATAGCATGGAGTTTTGGAAGAACATGAGGGGTAATTGAAGCAATCAAGGAATACCACATTGCATCGCATACGTTTTGGGGCTAGCAACATCTTGACTGGGAACTGGGTAATCAATGAATGGCATAGATACTGATGATTTCTTGCCATGAGTATTGATTACATTACTGTGAGGAGGAATTAGACGCAATGAGATACGATGAGATACGACTCGCGATTGAATAGGTGCATATGACACTCATTGTAAGACCTATGTCAAAGTTTAGTAGTGCGGTGGGGAGCCGAGTTGGGTTTAAGGCTAACCTGTGCGTATTCGTAGCGAATACAAAGATCGATCCAAAATCTTTGCACAATTCCTTTGTAAGAAATTTAAAGTTTCTTTCGTTCTTGATTATTTGAGATCTGGAAGGATCCGATTATCGACCTTCGTTCATTTCCATTGGTAGCATGTGAGACTAACAGGTTCCATTCTTTCATACAATAATGAAAATATGAAATATCCCCCCTCGGGCGATATTCACTGGCATGATTAGAAGTTTACTCGTAAATGATGCATTCAGTCAAGTAATTCCTCATAGTCAAGTAATTCGGCCCAAAGAAAAGTATGCACAGTGCTCCCTGATGCTTCCCTCTCTTGGGCATATGTATTTATATACTTGAAATATATCATCTATATATGACCCGTGATGTTTCTTCATATTAAATAGGCTAAGAAACGAGCAAGTATATGTATGCATTTACAAGTAGATCTAGGAAAGAGAAGAAAGAAGTTAGCCCCTCCTTCTTATTACTAGGTATTATTTGATATCAGCGGAATAGCATTCTGTGCTTTGGTACCCTTACCTTACCTAGGTAGGTAGTTAAACCTTTCGATGATCTTCAAGCGGTGGCCAGCAAATCATTGATGAAGCTTTCAACCCCACCAAGACTAGGTAATCGGATCCAAATCACAACTCTGCAACTCTGCAACTCTGCAACTAGGCGTATGTACTCTGTGGATAGTTACAGAGGGACTTTCATAACGTCAAGTGGGCCATAAAGAGTGACACCTACAGAATAACCCTGGGGGACCTAGGTAGTCACTAAAACAATACTGTCTGTCGACTAGCCGTTCTAAACCAACTTTCGGAATTTCATTCCCTTTCCTCTTCTTCACCCTCCTCACATTATTATTCGTCACACCCATTTTTATCCTTTCATTCTACCACTTTTAACAACGACCTAATTCTTGCATACTTCGCATATCTTGCATACAACATACAACATACACTACAACATACACCTACAATATACACCTACAACATACACCTACCCACCTACAACATACACCTACAACATACACCTACAACATACACCTACCCACCTACACATACACCTACACTTATACGCCAACTACCCCATACAGCCACCAACCAACCCACCAACCTCCTCGAAATCCTACCCCAATTTTCAATTTTTTTATTTTTCACCAATTCTCATTAATTCATGTATCATTGAACCCTCAATATCATCAATTGACAATTCGGTATAATTACTGCTCTAAGATCGATACTCTACAACCATTAATTCACTCTAATATTGAATCATCCAATTCCGTTGTCTTTGTCGCGACGGACATAGTGCATCATAATCATAGCTGCACCCATCCGCATCCTACGAACCTTATTATTCTCAACCCTCAACTTGCAACTTCTTCCTCTGCCCGTGAAATCGAAGTCCAAGAGAACCGAGAGAGACTTCTAAATCGTTGGATCTATAACATACCTACCTACCTTCTCTTCCGGGTAAATCCAACAAGACGCAATCTATCTTGTTTTCCCCAATTAGGCTTGTCTATCAGGACGACTGGGGTAGCTTTACCTACCCAACTACCTTTCATTATCGTCCCTCTTGCATTCGGCCTACACACCCGGCTCTACGTTGCTGACTGTCGATCCATCACACTCGACAAGCAGCAATCTACCATTTTCATTCTATGCCGACACTCGGATTTTTGAAGAAGAAACGGACGAAGGAGTCTCCGGGTATAACCTCTCCGACATCCAGTCAAGCCACAAGTCCGATAACCCCCACATCATCAAGAGGCTTCGATAACTCAATAGCTTCCATATCTACCCAGTCTACTGTATCCCAATCCCACGGGCACGAGGTTCTTCAAACTACAACCTCTCGCACAGTAGACCAGCCTGCTGCTGTGGCCAAAAAAGCCTCAATGACACAAGGGATAACTCAACAGCAGCAATCTGCGCACATTCATTCCGATCAACATCAGCATAGGCAAAACTCCCCTAGTATTAGCAATTTGATTCATCCACCACAGCATGACGGCGCGAGCCAGTCATATCCAACCCCACCAACCTCCTCGCAGACTTCGCTACATCCTGTAGCTGCTAACGCCAGCACACTCCAAATGGATGCCTCGCACCGGCTTTCCCAGCAAGCACAACAGCAGCCACAGATCAGACAAACCAAGGGCAAATATTCATTGACCGACTTCGAAATCCAGCGCACATTAGGTACTGGAAGTTTTGGGCGAGTTCATTTGGTTCGATCGAAGCACAACCAACGATACTATGCTGTAAAGGTATTGAAGAAGGCTCAGGTGCACAAGATGAAGCAGGTCGAACATACCAATGATGAAAGGAGAATGCTGCAAGAAGTCAAACACCCATTCCTCATCACTCTCTGGGGTACATTCCAAGATTCGAAGAATTTATACATGGTCATGGATTTTGTAGAGGGAGGTGAGCTATTCTCTTTACTGAGAAAATCACAAGTATGTTCAATGGCACCAATTTCTTGAGATATACTAATGATTCGTTTCAGAGATTCCCCAACCCAGTAGCCAAATTTTATGCCGCTGAAGTTACATTGGCCCTTGAATATCTCCACTCAAAACAGATCATCTATCGAGATCTAAAACCAGAGAATTTACTTCTTGACAGGCATGGACATCTTAAGATTACTGATTTTGGATTTGCCAAAAAGGTCCCAGATATCACATGGACATTGTGCGGGACCCCGGATTACTTAGCACCAGAAGTAGTCTCAAGTAAAGGTTATAATAAATCTGTAGATTGGTAAGTATTGGTACCTTCATTCCCTTGCTATCACTTCCTACAGAGCGAAAATGCTTTCGCGATAGTGACCCAGCGGAGCTTCGTCAATTAGACCTTCCTCTCTTCATAGTTTCTCTTATGGGGGCTTGCCCCCAAACCCCCGTCCTCGCTGCGCTCGATTGGAAACTTAAAAGGTTGTTTACTAATATTTCGAATCAGGTGGTCGCTTGGGATACTGATTTTCGAAATGCTTTGTGGTTTCACACCATTTTGGGATGGTGGTTCACCTATGAAGATTTATGAGAATATCCTAAAAGGGAGGGTCAAATATCCTCCCTACATTCACCCAGATGCACAAGATTTATTACAACGATTGATCACAGCAGATCTTACCAAGCGTCTTGGCAACTTACATGGAGGTTCTGAAGACGTCAAAAATCACCAATGGTTTGCCGAAGTAACTTGGGAAAGGTTATCCAAAAAAGATATTGATGCGCCTTATGTCCCTCCTGTCAAGGCCGGAGTTGGTGATGCTAGTCAGTTTGATAAATACCCCGAGGAAACGGAGATATATGGTCAAGGTGGGCCTGATGAGTAAGTAGATTTCTTGAACTTCATCAAATCTAGGCTAACAATATTAGATTTGGGCACCTATTTGTCGATTTTTAAACAAAAAGTTCATCCTCGGAGTCTCGGAGCTAGGCCACATTACTTTTAAGAAGGCCGCATTTCTTTTGTATTTTGCAGTTTTAAACCATTCTTCTGCACATATATTACAGTACGGACAAGAAAACCTTCCGTCGCATCATCTCCTTGATTCACAAGCATTGGACTGGATATTAGGTGGTTTGCTCTGGCTTAGCAGCTCTTTGATGAATGGTGGCGGATGGTGTGAGTATGGTTGGTACCCATTGGGATGTGGGATTCTAGTCCCACTCATTTTTTGGAACTGAGAACGTGATGATGTGGCCCCACTTTGACGCGTGGGGATTGAATTGCTCCATATTAGTATGGATTGTGGTGAAATGATGTTCATGCCCCATCGCACGGAATGGAATGCGGGTGATGTGGTATGGATGAATGGGACTCGATATTAGTTATGTCCCCAAGAGGAATTGAAGGTTAATGAAGCAAATGAAAAGAAAGGAAAGGAAGAATTATAAATCCGATTCTTGATAGTGAATAGGATATTACTCTCTTCTTGATATTTTCGTATATGTGTTTGATGCGAAGGGAGTGGTGACTAAATGTGATTAGACGAGGTGAATTGGGTGAGGTGAATTGGATGGCAGAGCAGTTCAATGTTCGATCGAGGTTGAGTGGGATAATGGGATTTACCTACTATTCTCTAAGATTAAATGTGATGGAATAATATGGTGTAAATGTTTGAGATGGAGTGGGATGGATGATACGGGTTGAAATATTTGAGTTTGGATGGGATAATAAGGGAAAATGGGTGTTTCAATATTTGAAATCGAGGTTGAGGTTGAGAAGATCGAAGCTGGGGAAGTGGTGAAAACGGAAGAAGAGTGATAGAGCTGTGAAGGGGGTGAGGAATGTATGAGAAGTGGAAACTGAGAAGTGAGTAATGTCGATATGGATGGTTGATAGTTTGAATGTCTATCTAGTAGGTAGAGAGGTGAGAGGTGAGAGGTGAGAGGTAGTAAGACATATATGTAGATATATTGGATAAGAGGGGTATAAAGGGCGTTATACTTTGTAAAGAGGAAGGGAGGGGATTACAGAGAGAGACCGTTAATTGCTAATTTGTTGTATTCTGCGGATGGTAAGATTTAGATTGGTAGGATTGGAGATGTATGGTTTTGAGTGAGAATTGATGAAGTATTTGGTTTATCTAGGTGTAGGACTGTGTACTGGGATGGAATAGAATAGGATAGAAGAGATGGGGGTGTATGTTTTAGATTGGGGGTTGGATGCTAGGGTTTGGAATGGAGTGGGACTTCAAAGGAGCCTGAGAATTCGAAGGAATAGGAGGTTAGGTGGCTAGGTTTTTATGAGCAGGATTTTGGGGAAGTATTTTAATATATGTGGAAAAGCTTGGAGATTTGAAAGTTGCAATTAAAGACGGTTAGGGAACGAAAATAATAACGGCGAGGGGAAGCGGTTTGGAGGTAGAAGTAAATGGGATGGATGTTAGGTTCAAGAGGATGTATAGATACTCTACTCTCATCTTAGCATTGAAAAAGTTTTCATTTACTTGCAATTGGTCCTACAACGATTCGGGAGAGTGTATATGCTAGTGAGTGTTTTGTCCTGCTCGAATTCAAGGGTTGAACGAGGTTGATCTCTAGGAAAAATTGAAAAGGGAAATTGGTAGACATAGGGGGTGAATTATGTATAGGATCAACAAATCTATTTATGTTTAGATGGAGAAGTCATCACTGGGGGGCGTGGTAAGCGAGAGGAGTAGATTGATATCTGAGGTTTAATGAATACCTATTGAATAGTAAGATTACAAAAATGAAGGGATTAGTTACTAATGTAATAAGGTTAGCCACCTGCGATTGTATATACATTGCTGATACAAAGATATACATAAAGTGGTCATCTGGTGCAAGATGTGATCGCCTTTATATAAGGATGAAGCTGAGTAAAATTTCACAGTTTAATATTAACGTTGGACCTCTTTTCTACTTAATTTAATAGAAGTTTAAACTAGAATGAAGAATATAAACGAGGTATTAGGATCTCCCAATTTGCTATTACCAGGAAAGGACTGAGGTATAGTATAAGATCTATCAAGTCTTTTTACTTTCACTGATGAAAAGATAAAGGATGCTGGATATGTTCGACCAGCTACTTCCTTTACAAGAATTCGAATAGACTAATTAATATTGATTTATGTCTAGCCGCCAACCTTAAACACTTACTGTCCTCGCCTCAATTACCGGCTCTTTCTCTACTCTACGTATACATCATCTCCATTTCCATCTCCATAAGCTTGTAAACCCTAAAAGCTAATTAATCACTGACTTTGCTCCAACAGACAACAATGTAGATATGGTATATATAATACAAAGGAACCATCTATAACTTCAGTATTCCTTACCTTACCTTACATCAACCCACCACAATTCTGCTGGATCATAACAATCCTCAATCTATCTATCCTCAAAAACTCTACTACAACAGCCTAACGTGAGCTATTTGCAACTAGCCATAGTCAACGGATGAAGATTCCCTCTTCCCCCAGGGGCCAAGGTTCAAGGACAAACTACTAATTATATCCCGTCGATTTACCATTTATCCTCTCCTCTATTCTCCTCCAATAAATTTGTATTTATCCTCGTTCTCTTGATAAGAGGACAAGATAAAAGTTATCTAATTTGTCCCTGAAAAGAAGAAAGTACAATTTCATTTCAACAAAAATGATATTATAGTATGGAATGTCTTTCTCCTCTCCTCTACTTAGCTTCCATGGGTTCTCCTAATCAACTCATGTATCCTCCTGTCTTCTGCAGATTCTCATATATCCTCCCCTCTTGCCAGGGCAATGCATGAACTCCTTCTTCTTCTTTAGTCCAGGAGAGAACAGGAGAGGAGGGAGGGAGGGTTTAAAACACTGTAAGATGTATTAGTTAAACACAATAAGATATCTCATGCACTCCCAGCTTTCATTATCAGCGATTCAATTTTGAAAAGTCATTCACTATCTTCTTTAATATATATATAACTTAAAGAATAATATTATTAATAATCTATTATACAATTACAATCACTATTTTCAGATTTATAATACTCTCTATTTAATAATTTATGTAAGTTTAAATAAATAAATAATATAATATTTGATTAATTCTTTATTATTAAAGACATCCAAAGAAGAGTTTAATTTATTTAATTTATTTAATAATAAACTTTTGAATATTTAAATATTATATTAAATAGAAAATCTTTAATATATATCTTTAAATATATTATAATAAGAATATTTTAAATATTTTATATTGTATTCTATAAAGCCTTTTGTGTTCTTATATAAAAAACTCTTTAATACTTTAATCTTTATTGTATTATATATATTTTTAATATGATATTACATCATACAACAATCACACTGCACTATATGTGCTCAAATCATCAACCATCAACACGATTAATTCAGGTATTCGGTTGAAAGCTGGAAAGTACTCGCTCGAGTAGTGGAAGTTGAAGAAGAATTGAATACTCAAGGCATATTATATCAAATTTTATCACGAAGCAAGAAAAACAATATATATGTCCATGTAATAGTATTAATTATCCATGCAATTAAGTACAACGCGCCCATTTGCAACCCAATTCAGTCCCATTTATTCCTAATCATCATTACCATCATCTGTATGTGTTCAACTTTCCCATCCATCATCAGTTTAGCAGCAATAGTGGTAGTATTTCTTCCCAACCCAATGATGAATCCCCATTTCAATAAACCACTTGTAACTAGCTGTCCTTGTATGATTAAAAAGAAAGAAAGCTTCCAATCAATCAATCATTTACAAAGCAGCAGCAAAGATAGCGGCACCACCGAAAAGAGCAGCAGCTCCCATAGCACCAGTTTGAATAGCAGCACCACCACTAGAAGAAGCAGAGCTGGCCGAAGAAGACAACGAGGAAGTCTTGGAGGCCAAGCTCGAGGCAACAGAGCTTGAAACGGAAGAAAGAGATGAGGAAGCAGAAGCAGCAGATGAACCGGTGAGAGTGGCAGCTGAAGATTCGCGGGATGAGATGGAGGATTCAGCAGATGATTGGGCGGAGCTGATGGATGACTCGACCGAGGAGATGGAGGATGAGAGACTTTCGGCTGCGGTGGAGGCGGTGGACGTGACGGAGTTGACTACACTGCTTGCTTCAGATGTGGCGGCCGAGAGGATTGAGCTGACGGAGGCTCCTTGACCCTAGAGTAGCTTTGTTAGTATTGATTGTATTTTGCATCGAGATGTGGATTTTATTCCAAGACGAAGAAAACATACCATAACAGCACCGGCGAACGCCAAAACGAGGATGTTCTTGAATTGCATATTTGCGGATTGAGGAGAGATGAGATGAGATGAGTTGAGTAGAGTAGAGTTGATGATTTAAAGTAATAATAGTATTGACTTTTGTTCTGGGTATCAAATGTAGAAAGTAGAAGTTCAAGTAATGTGCGATGGTGTGATGTAAAAGAAGAAGAAAAGTCATTCAACAAAGCGAGAAGTCAATTCTTATATAGGTAGATAGATACATACCTAGGTAGCCATCACATCCAGGGACAACAAACAAGCAAACAAGCAAACAAGCAAACAAGCAAACAAGCAAACAAGCTTCCTTTCTTCCATGTAATCCATCCATATAATCAATCCCATGTACTACCAAAATAGGTAGGTATGATGTACTCTTAGGCTACTAGCGCATCATCAACTTCCAAGTAAAGCGGCTTCTTATTCTGATCCTACCCGGTTTTTAGGATCCATCTTTCCTTTCCTTGCTTTGATTGGTTGATTGATTTGATTTGATTGGTCGATTAATTGATTGGTTTATTCCATGGTAATGGCATATTATGAGATTTTACAGGACATATGGAGTAACTACGCAGTATTACGGTATTTCGGAACTCAACTCAACGTCATATTATTCACATCTGCGTATCTGGGGGCGTGGCGCTGGCATCCTTGTAAATATTATCCTTGTAAATATTATCCTGGTCTTAAAGCTAAAAGTCCTACGATTTAGGCTGGCCGGTCTAAATGATTTGTTTGTTCCAACTTCCTTCTAGGTTGTGTTTGGCGTCTGGACTCTGGACTCTGGAGTCGCATGGTATTATTTGGGTATGTATGATTTGGATAAATACCTAGAGATGCATATATGCATATATACAAGTTAAAACACCGTCCCATCCTCCGTACCCGTATGCACTCAGACGAAGGATTACTTTGCATTCACTCACGTCCGTCCAATGACAACATTTACTGTTTCCGATAGACAAGCCCAAAAAGATCACTCTGACAACGCGCCCTGATGCAATTCTGATATCATATCATACCATCCATACCTTAGCTAGGTAGAAAAAAAAGAGAAAAAAAGATGAAATAAGGTGACATCCGACATAGTCGCTGTCAATCGCATTCCGAAAATCTCAAAACCCGATGTCCACAAGAATCGGGAAAATTAATTTACCATAGGATTCTCGATTTCATCTTCAGCGGAATCAATCCTGGTAGATGGACATATTAAAATGGATAGAGTGAGTGGTACTAGACGCTGGGGCCTGCAATACATATGAGGTAGGATGGGATGGGATGGGATGGGATGGGATGGGAAAAACCGGTAATGCATGTTGGCTAATTGGGGGATTGACATAAAATTGATTTTGCATAAAGATGTACGGTGGGTAGGTATGGAGGTAGGAGGGAGGAGGAGGGAGGGAGGTAGGAGGAGGAGATAGGAGGTAGGAGGTAGGTAGATACATATATATATATATATATATATATTAGATAGGTACCTAGTATTTTTATGAATATCCTCCATTCCCCAAGTATATCATAGGTACCTAGAAGATAACTGAACTATCTTATCCAAATTACAACGCTTGCATAATTCGAGCAACACAGCAAGGAAGTAAGTCTGCACTCCATAGTACTCCGTATATACACAAATAACATTCATCGTATTTATGTAATGAAAAATCCCCAACGCATATCGATTCTTGGCATATGCCATTCCATCAAATCAGCTTATCCTCTCATGCCGATTCCGAGTTTGAGGAAAACCAATGCATACATACATACATACATACATACATACCTAGGTCCAGAGTCCAGACAAATCAATACGATAGATACGGCACATTGTATTTGAATTAACCGGAGAAAGAAAATACTTATTTTGTTGTGTTCTGAGTGTTCTATCAGTTTATAACAATAAGTCGATAACAATCAAACAAACCGAACCGAAGAGAAATAAAGTTACAAGAAAGTCAATCACTCAAGCCTCAAACTATGATCCGTCCATCCATCACATCATCCATCCATCCCCGCACTCAACACCCACTAGCTCCCTCCTTCCCGCCTTACACCCACTTCACCCCACACATGCCATAGATACTATTCGCCCACCCACCTCCAACTCCCCAGCCCCAGCCGCACAAGATCCACCTACCATGGCGTCATCGAATCTTGGGATGCACTCTGTACCTTTTCATTAACTAGGTAGGGACCATTTATACGCCTACCTAGTATCCCAAAAAAAAAAGGAAACAAAGAAAAGATATAATCAAAGTTTTTTTATTTTTATTTTCTTGAGTAATTATTTATTTAATTTTTATTTATTATTATTAATACATAAAATTTAGTTTGATTTAAAAATAAATAAATAAATAAATAAATATTACTTGTTTTTATTTATTATTAAAGACTGAAGGATCTTCTGTAAAGTATCTAATTGAAATGAAGTTTTTGATTATCTAAATACAAGATAGAAATCAAAGTGGCTGGTGCGAGATGTTATTTCTCACGTACAGTAAGTAGCCAAACAAACCAAGAGAAGCAGATCAAAAACTTGGATGTTCACCGCCACCCCGCCGTGTGGCTCTCTTTTACAGCCATCCAGCCAGCCCTTCAAGTTTATTTCCAAGATCGAGAACTTCGACCAGAATCAGTAAAATTACCAACCTTCGTTAACGAAATAGCCCGCCTCCACGGCAGTGGCCCCCGGAGGGCCAGCGGAGCGTCACATTTAAATCAATTCAGATCAAATCAAATTCAAAATCAAATCATCTAAATCCTGTCTGCACATCCTCTCAAGAAAAAATAAATCTTCATTTTAATTATTTGTTTGATAAGGTGCAATCCCCTTTTTAATCTCATACACAATCTCCGCAGCTTCATCTGCACTCTTGGCCTCAAAATCATATCGTTTCTCTTCTCGTGACTTGTATACAACAAGCTGCATTCATTATTAGCTTTCAATGTATCGTGGAAATGTAACCATACGTTGTATTTAACAACATACCTTAAAATTCGTTGGGTGTCTTCGTGTCACTTTACAACCAACCACGTTACTAAAATGAACCGTGGTTGTTTTGCCTTGTCCTTCAAACATTGTCTTTCCCGTGGATGCAGGAAGAATATGTAAATATTCTCCGTCTATCGAAATAACCCTTTCATTCATTCCCACAAATCTCATTGGTTGTTTTCTCCATACTATATACCTGCGATAATTGGCACATCCAAGTTCATCTTGTTTGACACTCTCCATAAGAGGATGTGGTACTAACATTTGAGTTCCCTTGCGAGTTTTTCGAGGATCGGCTCGATCTATCATTAATGAGTTCGGTGTACTACTTGATGGTGAACCAGTCATAGTTAATGGTCCATCGGTAGCAAAACGACGTCGATACAAATCTAGTTCTGATGAATTACCAATTGATCCAACTGTACGATCAAGGTAAACAACAGTTCCAGACCCAGTAAGTTTGAGAACGTGTCCTGCTTTGTCTAATTGTCTTTTCTTACAAACAGTGTCGAGGACATCGGCCAAGTAAGTATCAGTTGTGACTTCTAAAGCGACCAGTTGTCCAGGCGTAGCATTATTTGAATGAATATGAATACTCAATATCTTTTTAGTACCACTGCCCCTTGAAGTAGGTTGAGTAAGAGCTGTCCCAATCGTAGGTGCATCTGCTAAATTAGAATTCTTTCGTAATGCTGTCATAGTTGTAAGGAGAGGATTCTGATGAGGCTGGGTACCAAGTGGAAATGAGTTATTAGGTTTGGGTGTATTGATAGGAGTGAACTCTTCTTCCGCTTCAGATGAGGCAACAGCTTCTTGTTTGAATTGAGGAGTGAGTTGTTGATTTTCTTCGAATTGTTCATCGGTCGCTTCAACCAGAGCAAACTCATCAAAAGTTTTGGAATTTGACCTCGCTCTAGGTGCAGCTCGATTGTTGGCGAATGTAAATGATGTTACTGGTTTGAGACGATCAAGAGGGGGAAAATCTGTATCTACCTCTCCGTCGTCAACCATTCGTAAAATCCATCGATTAACATTCAATTTCTCAGGCGAGATCGTAGGCTCTATTTTTTCCTCAAAGTACCTCCATAGACTTAATCCGATCAGGTCAGTAATAACCACTGGTCGATTATGTGATTCATCTTCATGAACTGTTCTCCTAATCAAAACCTCGTAAGGCTTCGTCGTCGAAGTAGCAAATGGTGCCAATATACGAATATTGATAGGATTAGGATCTCCTTGTCCAGAAAGAGAAGCAAAACTTTCGAATGGCATAGCGGCTTTTGTTCGCTTGGCCGAGATCATTGCTGACAATAAACTTTTAGGTTGTATCGTACTAATAGGACGAGGGGGTGGTAAGGCTTGAAGTACTGGAGGTGCTGGCTTTGATCTTTTTGTTGGTGATCGTATAAGTTCTCGAGGTATAGTATTACCAATATGCTCTGGTGCCGCAGTTATTGGTCCATCAACACTATCTAATATAGATGCACTATCGATACTACCACCAAATGCTGAAGACATATCTGATCCTGAGTCTTCATCTTCTTCCTCTTCTTCTAAGAGATCACTCACTTGTCTCTTTACGCCGACATCAGGATCAGATGGATGAGTTCGAACCGATCTACCGGCTCTCGCAGCATTTCTATTTGATTCTCTCTGTCTTTGAAAAGCAGATGCATCAAACTCATTATCAGATGACATCTCACTACTCGTAACTGTATCCCTTCTCGCTCTTTCTTTCACAACCTCTACAGCAGATTGAGAGCCTCTCCTTATGCCAGGTCCTAGAGTACGTGATGGGGAATTCGCAGTAGTAGATTGTCGAAGATTGGATCCACGAATGGGAGAAGAACCAGAACGATTTCGAATAGGCATTTTAGAGAATTTGATTTGTTGAGCTGCCCTTTGATCTCCATCATCATCACTATCATCACTCAAATCACTACTATCTTCCTCCTCCATTTGTTCTCGTCTGCGCCTCCTTTTCGTCGCGATTCCTGGCCCAACAGTATCCCCTGCTCCCCCTGTGAGCAAGCCTCCTTCATCAATGTCATCCTCAAGAGCAGAAGGTGCCAGGCCAGCTGATCTAGGTGGTGCTTGAAAATATTCTGATGCGATGGCTGTTGGTATTGGCGGGGAATGTGTTCGTTTTATATTTGCGGCATTCGTACGCCATCCAGCAGCTTTGAATCCAGCAGTATTTAAAAAACCATCGTTAATCGTGATAAGTCGCTCTCCAACACCATCTGCGATTGAGTTTAAATAATTTGATCTCAATTGATAAGAGACGAGACTGTGTAACTTGTCAACTAGATTAGGGAAGAGGGGGAGGGAGATAGTTGGGGGGAATTAGAAAATCTTACTCTTCCACTTGAATGATTGACATGGTAGAAATAAAATGTAAATAATGTAAAGGGACGATCACCGGCTCGTAAATATGGAAGAAGAGTAAGGAGGTTTAGGAAGTAAGATTGTTCAAGTCATTATCAAGCTTTTCATTATTTAATTTCAATCATGAATGAAGTTGCAATACTAGATACATACATTATCTATCAGTGCTCAGCCTTACAGTAAGGTAGGTAGGTTATCTGGGGTACACTAAAATTGGCGACTAGAAGTAACAGCCTCTTCATCAACTAACTCACAAACCATCACAAAACAAAAGTACTAAAATCAATCAACAACAATGGGACTTGTCGATTATTCAGATTCGGACGACTCAGATGTCCCAGAGACTACTGCGCCAAAGCAATCATCATCAACATCTACAACGAATAAACCAGCATTTCAAAAAGTTGTCGATAGATCAAATCCTGGCAAAATTCGAGTTTCATTACCACAAACATCTAAGGATGATACCAAAATCGATGAACCACCAACTAAGCGCGCAAAGACTGGTGGCGGAGCTTTTAGTGGATTCAATTCATTCTTACCAGCTCCGAAAAAAACAGGACAATCTACAAATGCGACATTAGGTGGTGGAAATGCGGCACGAAAGGGTGGTTTAGGAGCTGGAGTTAGTTTAAAGACTGGAGCTACTCCTGCTTTTAATCGAGAACCTGAGCCTGCGAAAGAATATACGGGAGAGCCTGCAGGAGAAGAAGAGGCAGGTACTGAATCTGGAATAAATTTACCTCCTCCAAGCTCGTTGGTTGATGAACAGAAACCGGCGGATGAAGTTAAATTAGTTGGAAAACCATTAATGTTCAAACCATTATCTGTCGCAAGGAAACCAGCAAAAAAGAAGCTTCAAAAATCAGACTTAAGAACATCTACACCTACTTCTACTTTAACACCACAAATCAGCACACCAGCCACTCCACAGAATTCCGGGAAAGCAACCCCAAAACCAAAAGTATCACTATTCTCTCTCGAAGTAGAATCAGCCAACACAACTCCAATCACCACTTCTAAAGGAGAATACAAACCAATGCTTTACCAACCCATTTCCGACCAAGAACCAACCTACGAAGAATACACTCCCACAACCACACATACTCTTCCATTCGTTCCTACCCCCCCAGTCAACCCCCATAACACTGAATCATTATCCTCCATAGCTGATACCCTTCACCTCTCCGCCGCTGAACGCCGCCAACTATTTGGACGCCAAAAAGGTGGTTCTGGTCCACAAGCAGCAACTAAAATCATAAATTTCAACACAGATCAAGAATATGCACATAATGAAGAATTACGCGCATCAGGTGAACAAGTGGTACATAATCCAGTTAGAGCTATTGCTCCTGGTAAACATAGTTTGAAACAATTGGTTGGGGCGGCGCAGAGTCAGAAGGAAGCATTGGAGGAAAGTTTTGCGACAGGAAGGAATAATAGGAAGGAAGCTGGTAGTAAATATGGGTGGTAGATGGTGATTTTTGTAATGAGACTGGGAATAGATTGGTTAGGTTTTTTTTTATCGAGGATCTGGGAAGGGAGGAGCTGGATGGTGATGTGGAATTTTTGCTTTATTAAAGATGTAATGGAAATACGAAAATCAATTGATACCCATATATTTCATAACTATTTACAGTTCTTCTATTCACGCATTCCATACATATTCTTACGCAGGTATACAACAGGAGAGCTCCATTCCCTCTCATCTCCTTAGTAATAGAAGAAGTGCAAATCCCATAAAAGTTCCCCAATAAGCGAGAAGACCCCCTTAATCAATCTTCAACCAAGATTCTACAAACCAAACTCACCTCATGATACTCATCACTTATCATTCCTCATTCTTCATTAGCTTTAAACATCTCCCTATATATTACACTATACTATACTACACTACCATAATAATATATATCCACATGAAAATAATCAACTTAAATCACATTAAATCATCCAAGTACAAATAAACACTCTAATTATACCACGACAACACACTACCAGGATAAACATAAGAGTATAAATCTTACAAAAATCTTATAATCTAATCAATATCCCAGTATATGTATACCTATCGAGAGATATATATATTCATGCCCAATATATAATTACTCCTTATCAGCTCCTTTATTCTAATTCCTGAAATCTTAAGATGGGAAGATAAGAAGAGGAGTAATAATAATAATAATAGTAATAGTAACAGTAACATAATACTCTTAACACCTATTTTTATTCTAAATGTTGATAATATTTAGATTTTGAGTTATATATATTACTCGATGTTGAAATAAATATTTGTGTATTGTGCTATTACTACTGTGTATTGCTGTGGTTTTAATGATGTGGAGATGTAATGTGGCTTGGGATTGGGATTGGGATTGGGGTTCTGCGAGGGGGTGCGGTTTTTTTGGTTGCTGGGATGAGGAAGGGGAAGGGTGGAGGGAAGGGAAAGGGAGAGGGAAGAGGGAAGGAAAGAAAGGAGGGAAAGGGAGAGGGAAGGGGAAGGGGAACGGAAGGAAAAGGGAAGAGGAAGGAAGGGGAAGAGAGAAGGAGAGAGAGAGGGAGAGATAAAAGCAATAGAATCACCGAATATCAACATATAAAAATAAAAGAATATATATATATATATATATACACACACAAATTTCACCCACTTTCTCAATTCCCTAGATCATAATCCTGGATCCAACCCTTCCAAGAAATCCCCAAAATCAAACCAACCAACCAATCATACTAAATAAATAAATATACTCCACCCGATCACAGCCCTTGTTTTCAGGTAATTTATACGCCATGATACATAACACCAGTTAGTTAGTCCATATACCAGACCAGACCAGACCAAACGAAACCAAACCGAAGCAGAACAAACACCTCCAAAAATCATCCAGTCAAAACAACCACAGCACTAACAATCCACCTCAACAAGCGTAAATCTCCTCTCCCCTTTCATCAAAAACTCCCACTCCCCTCTAGTCCCAGGACTAAGATCCTCTACTCGATTGGGCGTTCTATCGCCCCTCCCTATCCTCTCTCTCCATCCCCCTCCCCCAAACCGGACTTTTCCCCTTAGCACTCTCCCCAACCTCAATCCCCCTCCCACAAACGAAGTCCTCACCGACAAATTCCCCACAACACATCTCCCCTCCTCCTTTAAAATCGCGCCCTCCCTCAATCCACCCCCATAAAACTTCCTATACCCCTCCTCAACATCACACAGCGCATTTAGCGAAATCCCCAACCACTCATAACATTTCACCAACTCCCCTCTTGCAACTTTCTTCCCCTCCCGTACTAACACCAATCGCCTCAACTCATCAACCGCAATTTTCATATCCTCTCCCGAAAGACTACGAGAATAAACATGCAGGGCGCATTTAAATGTATACAAGTAATCGAGAGAGTAGAGCGATAAACCGGCACTTGTAAAAACAAGACGATTTTGAGAAAGAGAACGCTGGATTAGATTTTGAGTGGGAGAATCGGTTATGGGTTCCGAGAGCGATGATGTAGATAGCCAGTTTCCACCGATAGCGGGGAATTTTTTCTCAGCCCGGGATATGGTGGCACGTAAGATGCGTTCGGTGCGTGGGGTTAGGGTGGTGGAATGCATTAGGGTGATGCCGTAGCGATTTGGTGTGTCTTGGGCTGTCCATTCTGTGGTTGGGGTGCAAGGGGTCGAGGGGGGAGAAATGGATGCGCGGAGGTGGTGGGCCATGGTATCTTTTGGGGATGAGGGAAGTCCGGAGTATTTTGTGCGGGAGAGATAGATTGTGGATGTGGAGAGTGTAGATGCCGCTGTGGAAGTTGACCGTTCGGAAGGAGAATTGGAAATGATCGTGTTACTTGGACTTGCGGCACGGGAGCTCAAATGGGAAGATCTTCGACTCGAAGGTGAAATATCGCGAGTGTAAGATGTAAGTGGTGCGTTATTGTAGAGAAGTGTTGTCGGCGACGCAATGAGAGAGTGAGAACCGGGTGCGGTTACAGATTTGGATATAAGAGGACTTTGAAGTTGATGGTCTCTCTTGACGACAATTAATGATAGGTGAAGTCCTTTTCGTACCAAACGTTTTGATACATAATCAAGAGCTTCGAGTAATTCGGATGGTAATTGCATTGGTTGAAGCAATGATGTACCTGCTTCCAGTGGAGAAGATATACTATTCTTTGAGATAGGCATATTGATGATAGTGAAGAGATCCACAATAGATGGATGAATCAAGAACTTTTAATAGCTTTGTCTATCTGTATATGCAACATAAAAACCTGAAGCCGATGAACAGTTACTTAACTTGAGGATCCAGCCAACAGATATACAAATATCAAGACTCCAAAAACAAAAAGACGCCAACACCCAAAATAAACTCTCCGATGCACAATTCCCGCAAAGCGCGTAGCGGTTAGCCTTAAGATGCTACTAACATGGTCTACAAGGCAAATGGCGTAAGATTCTGATGAGCTTTGACTACATCCTGCTCCATGATGTAGTACTAAATGATTAAAAATTTCTCGGAGGGGAATTATTTTCTTTCTAGAGCTGATGGGTACAAATATGCAAGACATTCCTGTTCATGTAATATGATTGGTCTAAAGTGTTTCCCGAAATAAAATCAGTCCTAGTCGATGTGGATAGTTTTATTTTTGGTATTGATGATTACTATATCAAACCATCAAGCGTATAAGTCTGCACCCCTTTAACCATACTACAGATGTCGAAAAGTCTGTATGTAGTACTACAATGCTCAACTTTATCAAACCTACTCCAGATGCGATGAACTTCCGGGCGCCTAACATCCATCGACCAATGATATATTGGATATCCGTGCAGCCCCTGATATACATCAATTTATTTTTGGATGTGACGAACTACGGAGGATAGGAATTTTCAAATATAGAAACAAAAATACCCCGCATTTGGGATTTCTGGCGTCTATCTGCTAAAAATCATTATCAAGCGTAGATGTATTGAAACAAATAAGAATTTCCTTCTGATTAGATGAAGTCTTCACCCCCTACCCCTCCAACCCTCAAAAAATAACCACCTCGATAATAAATACCCGAAAATATATAGGAGTTCCGCTATATCACGACTCACACACAACCTTACATATCATATTTTCCTTCCATCTTCTTATCATCCAATTATCCATCTACTAAGAATAGTATTCCCTATGCGCCTTCATCATTTGTTTGACTGATGCAATTAGATTAGACCTTATTCTCTACATACATATCTACCCCGAGCTCTTCCCACTTACACAACACCCCTCATTCTCACCTCGCTTCTCGGTTTCCGTTAGGCACCAGATGGAAATAGGATTTCCTGATGCTGATATCACATTTTGGAACCTTGCATATTATTGTATACCTTATCATGCCCCGCACCCCGCATATTGCAGTGTTCCATTTCCATTTCCATTTCCATCCCCACACCCAACATCCACATGCACGTCCCTATCTGACATTCAATAGCCACCCAAGAATAATATTATATACTCGAGTACATCACATCCCATCACATCCCATCCCATCACATCAAAAATGCATAAATAATTAAGAATTAAGTATAAATATTTATCAATAAACATCTATAGTTCTCCAAGGCATATCCTCTTCGCTCGCAAGTACTTGCCTTATCTTGCTCATAACTCAGCTAGCTACGTAATTCCCTGCCCTTTCAGCATAATATCATAATTTCTTCTCACTATCATACTCTCGTTGTTCCTTTGCATCATTCATCCCTAAAAAAAACATGTCCGATAGACTTCACAACGCCATCCGTCATCTAATCATCCATCCATCTTCCCATTCCATCCCAGTCCATTTCACCCATCCATAAGATAAAAGAAAACTAAAATCACAGTGAAGGAAAAACAAAATATCATGAGTGATTTATCCCATCCACTGTATCAACTCCGTTCATTCCAACCCAGCCCAGTCCAGCCTGCCCAGCCCAATCCGCCGCCAATACCAGTTCCCAATGTCCATAACCAAACCCCGACTGAGCCAATGCATTTCATCAAAATTAGTAAAAGCCATTCGCCAATATTGCTAGTTATGAGTCTTTGAAAATATTGCGCCACATATAACGCCTTTTTATGACTTGTCGCAATTAACAGTGAATTCATCCGGCCAGTATTTGATCCCGTCGTTCAATAACACCATACGCCTGTGGAGACTGAAGTATTCGGAAGCTTCAACAGCTTATAATCAAAAGATGAAAATTGAAGGTGGTAGTATCACAGAAATCATTTGGACAATAAAGTTAGAGCTGTCCATCTAACTCACTATCCATAGGTTCACAAAGTTCCGTTGTGTTGTCCATCGGTTCATCAGAGCCATATTCATCATCAGAATTTTCCCATGCTATGATATGGTTAGCATGTTTTAAATAGGCCAGAGTGCGATATCCTACCAGAACCATCGTCTACTTCCTCAACCATATATCTTCTTAAGTGATTCCAGAGATCTAAAATATTTTAGTTGCTTTTTTGTTACGAATCGAAATGACGTTGACTTACTGTCCATGCTCAACTTGTATCGATCGGCTGCTGGTCCGGGCTCAAAATATTGAAGACAAAGACCAACAACATGCTCGATGTTAATCATAACTGTCCTAACGGCTTGCACGCGTTGTCGTATATAAACATCTTGTAAATATTCTAAACAAGCGCTGCCCAACCTACGCGTCTGTTCCCGCCTGTGGTCTGCCAGGGTTTGTTCATTTCCTGGTGATGTATCGTCCTCTTCGACACCGATATTGAAGATAAGTTCCCCAAGGAAATCCTCAGTATCAGATCTGACAGCATTTTGGTGATGAGTGAGAAGTGTAGGGACCCAATGAGTAAGTGTAGACAAAACAATCTTTGTAATTTCCTCTTGGGAAATGTCGTTGCTGTTGCTTTGCAAAGTGATGAGATCTTTGAAGAACCGAAGATACTCTGATCCATCATTATTGTCAAGATTAAACGAATTTTTCGCAACATGAAAAGCCATATCCGGAATTGCTTTCGGGTTTTCTGAATGCTCGCAATACAATATCGCGGCTCTTAAAAATGGACCCCACAATGTTTGACTGTTCCTTTTAATGCCATGAGTAATTGCACAATACATATATTGGTCAAGATCAAGATCGTCCGGATGTGGAAAGTGTAGTAGTGTGGCGATAATTGATTTCGTTGCGTGCTGGTTCTGATTAATCATGAGAAGCTTTTCAGTGAGGATATGGGCCTTAGTCCTCGTCCAGTGGCAATTAATTCTGTTCCTTTCATCAAACGAAAAGGGTATTTTACGACCACCAAGAGATAGTTGCAGCCGTGAACTAGACTGATCGATTTCGGCAGCCACCGGGTCGCAAACTGAGATGAGTCGAGCTAAGAGGTCGATGATGCTATCATAAGAAACTGGTCTTTGCATCAAATTCCTTTTGGAAATCGCTTGAAGCATTCGTGTTAATTGAGAATCATTGTCTATCGTATCCGCGCAGATGATATCTATAGCTTTCATGAGAAATCCAGAGTCGAGGAGAACTGCTGCCTCGTGATTCCCGAGGTTAGCGATGCTAGCGAGCAAGCCAAAGTATTCAGGCCAAGCCCTTATACTGTTGTGAAAGTTTTCGTACAGTCGGACCAACGCGGCAACCACATCTTGAAGCAAATTTGGATCGTCAGAACGAACGCGGCCACCGTTACTAAGACCATACGCATATCGTATTCCATTCTTTACCGATAATAAGGCTCCTAGGACTGCAACACCTACCTCTGAACGGACCGCGGCTTCAGGACACTTCAGAAGCAAGAAACGGAAAGAGTCTGTGCATCTACAAAGGTAGTCAAGAAAGTCCCGGCTGCATTCTCCGCAATATTGGCATTGTGCCCGTAAGGAGTTTACGTATGTTCCGAGGTCTGGGACATCTTTTGAACGTGCGACTACTTGGTCCAGATGACACATTGCAACCCACATGGCTTGCTTTTCGAGATCGTGCGGGTCTGAGCACTTGCCATTGTGCAGGAGCTTATTCAGGTGCCTTGTGTTTTCAAACATATTCCGAACCAGTAGGACATGGGCAGGATCGTGGAGACAGTACTTACGCATTACAAGCTCGTTCTCTAGGGTGATGTGGTTCGCCTGTCGTGGCTCGACAGCTATCTTCAATGGGTTGCGCACCACAGGCTTGTTCTTCATGTTTATGCAGCTCCCCTGTAGCGTGTTGACAACTGCCTTCGATAAAACTCCATTATCCTTCTTGGCCAGTTCGTCGTTTGCGACGGTCAATGTGGAAGAACGCTGATAAAACAACATGTAGGCACTATAGTTCTTTTCAAACGGCATGTTATCAATAGCCCCATGCTCAAGACCACCAAAGCAGGCTGACTCCATGAAGCCTGGCTCCCAAGAAGTTACCGCGTCATCATTGAACTCCACCCAATTTTCTTGGCCACCAACCTGTGGCCGCTCTCGGATGTAAGAATAGTAATGGCCAGTTTCTGCTGTTCCAGTATGGACAAGTACGCCGACAAGCTCAAACATATCCTCTTCAACTTCACCTGATTCGTTCATGAGGTATTCAACCTTGTAAGGCCGCATGTCTATCGATGGTGGAAATGTAAAGTGGTCGTTGATCTTATTACGTGTCATTGTGCGGAGATTGTAATCGAACCTTTTCAAATGAAAGATCAAATTATCCGGCACATCCGTGAGACACGCCCGTTTGACTGCGTTGACATGGCGATCACAAGCTTCGCATTTGTACTTGTTTTCCCCTTCCATGGCTTCGCCCTCTACATAAGCCTGCAGACTTTCTTGGAGGGATTTTTTCCCCTTAATATCACATTGAATGGCGGAGAAGTCTTCTAGTCTCCCCGAGATATGAGGGCATTCTTGCGACTTGATCTGCTGTACCAATTTGCCTCCATAAAATGATCGAACCTTGCGTTTGTCATCGTCTGTTAAGTTTTCACGTTCGAAACGATCGAAGAGAAGGTTGTAGAACTCGTCAACATCCATTTGGACGGTGACGTCAATCTCCGTCTCCTCAAAAGTTGTAATAGACGCAGCAAAATTAGTTGGATCGACGAACCGTTGCATACTATTTTGCATGAAAGAGAACAATTGTTGAGTCTCAATGAGTAGCTTTTGCGAACCTGGAACAGTGACAGGTGAATGGAGAATGAATTCCCTGAATGACAAATTCATAAATAGCTGCGTAACTAGAGAGTTGAGATAGCACGTATTAGAAAGATTTTTCAGGCCAACATAACCAGTCGGAGATCTGACAGCCTTCGATCTTTCATATACAATTTGCATGTCGAAGAGATATGGGTCAATGGCCCTGTGCTCATAAGGAGCAACTTCTGATAGTAGCTGCAATAGTTCTTTGTACTGGGTAATGTCGTCTTTAACTAGAGCCAATACAGTCTCCCCCATGGTATGTCGAGTTTTGGAATTTATCACTGGAATTTTTTGGGCAATAAGTCCATTATTTCCAATGTCATCCTCGTTCGAAATGGTAGGAAATAAGCGTCTCTTGAAGATGTGAACCCCTAGACCTTCGCAGGACAACTTTTGTTCTGGATGCTTCATGCTCATCACGGCATGATGCAACAGATTTACTAAGCCTTGAGTAACCATATCAACGGCTTCGGGTACGCCAACATCTTCACAGTTATCGTGATGGATGAGTAGCTCACCCCACTCTCGTGCGACTGTGACAAGATCTACATCGACTTCTGTCTCCAACAATCTTTTAAATATCGTCAGTGCAAGTTGAAACGTCTCCACACACTGTTCAGGTCTCTTGACAGCCTCGGGAATCAATTTGGCTACTATCGGCCACAATGTGATAGCAACTTCTGATGGGGAAACATGAGCTGGGTTGGGACTGAAGGTACATTTGCTCGTGATGTGCTTTGAGATAGCTTTTCGGACAAATGGTCGAAGATCCTCCAAGAGAAGATTTTGAAGGAGATCACTGCCATTGAGATGGCGAACGAAGGTCCTCCATAAAGCAGAATTCTGAATGGCAACCTCAAGCAAAGCCTCAACACTAGTCCATATCAGATGAACCGAGGCTTCTCGACCCGTCACTGATTTGGCAGCATATAGTAAGTCTAGGAGACGCTCCAAAAGTTTGTCATCGATGCCAGCCGTCGATGATGCAGGTAGGGCGGGGTCTATGAAGTATTAGCTGATGGTTAGTCGAGCGAATACATTATCATTACCTTTAAGAAGTGACGCCAAGCTGCTGATAAAATGCATGGCTAAAGTTTCTCTAATTGTTTGCGGTGCACAACTTTCAAGGAATTTTGGATCTGAGATAGCAGCGACGAGTAAAGCCATCGCTCGATCAAAACCGGCAGTATCAATAAATCCCTGCATGAGTTAGTCAAGACCTCGCCGGGGAAGATGAATTGTAAACCTTGGAAGACTGAGAGGAAATGTATTGCTTCAATCCATACAAGCCATACAGAGCTTTGTATGGTTGCCCGAGTGGAAATATTTCGGTATATGGGACGGCAGAATTGCTAAGATCCTGTAGCACTTTGTCATAGACTGGAAATTGAATGAGGAATGAGTAGATCTGAGAAACGTTAGGATTATAACAGCCGTTAGATGTCCATCACGCATACCTTTTCCGCCAAATTTTCTTGCATGCCAAGATAACTCCAAATTTGATCGAAATTTCTTGTGATTTCCAATTGGAGAGGACCAGTGTGGCTCGGCAATGGAGGATCTGTTTCGTCACGGCGTTTGACGAGAACAAGGCCATTCAAATTGAGACTCTCCACAGACTTACACAATTCAGCGTCATCGTGCATGAACTCCCTGCCACTGTAAAATACCCTACAAGAAGTAAAATCAGTCTCCTTTTGCAGCTTTGCAACTAATGTAGCAGCTGTGTCTTTCGCGCCTATCGTGAGTTTCTTTATACACGAAGTAGTTTCACCAAATGCTTGGTACATGATCGTAAGAGAAGTTCCCTCGGCAGTATCCGATGGTATGCTCATAGCGGGCCGCAACTTCGGAGTGGCAAAGTGTGCGTGGCATGAATATGCCGCGAGAAATGTTTGAAGAGCTGCGAGTGATCGAATGAAAAGCAGTTCCTGTCCTTGAATGTGAAATTCTGGAAGCACTATAACCATATCTTCATCATCACCACTAGCTCCATCAGTACTAGAGGTCTTCAATTTACCTGCAGCATCTGCTAATTTGTCCAAACACCGCGTGAGGAATGCTAAATGTAGCTCCCGTGCCTTGAAGTGAGGCAGACTACGGATAAAGGGACCCACGTAAACACCGACAAGCTCTTGTATGGCCTGCTCATAGACTTTCCCCTGAGGGGCGCTTTCGATTATCCGCCATAACTGCTCCATGGCGAGAAAGTCAAAGGATAGATCTAGCTTAACATTCTCATCTTCTTGAGACTCCTTTTCTTTCTCCTCTAGCCAGAAATAAACCCCACTCTTCACAAACAGCAGAGTTCCATCTAAGAAATGATTAGGTTCCAGATGCGGTAGATAATTCTGAAAGCAAATGGTAAGGTATCTATTGCAAAACTTCGCTTTCTGGAAAGCCTTGTTCAAGATTTGCCATCCTGCTAGGCGGTCGGCTGTGTCATTTGACTGAGATCCCACCAACAAATTCCAAAGCCGTGTGCCAAGTTCGGCATTGATAGTGTCCGGATCCATCAGAATGATTTGAAGTAAAATCTCACGACGAGCAATGTTGGCAGGGCTATCATAAGCAAGAGAACGATTTCCAGCTATGTTCGATTCAAGTTCATCAACCATCAATCTTGTAAGGCCATGCTGAGTGGTCAGTGTGTGAAGATCTGGCATCAAACTTTGATGAAGCAATGCACTGACGACACATATACTACCAGGGGCAGTGGCAGTTTTGTCAGAGATATCCTTGATGCAACTCAGGTAGATATCTGTGCGTGCTTCCTGACCAGGCCCATGAACAAGCAACTCGCGTAGGTGACTTGCAGCAAAACTTTGGATCTCAGGGTAACCGTTCGGGTATTCATCGCTGATAATCGATGACTCGCGAATCAGACGGACGCATATGTCATAGGGAGACGCGTCGAGATCTCTACGACCTACCTTGCTTGAAAGTTCTCTGAAGAGATGTTCGCAGAACTCCCTCATTGCGACAGTGAAGGCTTGTATTGGTAGGGAAGCAACTTTCTGACAAATGTAGAGGCACGCTGGGTACTCGTGTAAGTTAAGGGTTTTCTTCATCATTTTGAGAATAGCCTCCACAACCCTTGGATCCTGGCTCGTTATCACTGTCTGCCAGATGAGATCGGTTTGCTCGTCCTCGTACGTTTTCGTTACTACTAGAAAGCCGACGATGTTGCTGCTTTCATTGATAATTTCTGGGTGAGATCCAATACCGACAATGTAGTTAATTAGCTTATGTTGCAATACTAACTTCGCAAAGTGAAGAAGAACTAAGCCACCGCTTGGCGGCGCTTCCTTTGCTCGATAAGTACTATGAAGATTTAAGAGATCTGCACACATGGTTGTTACACCAACCACTCGAAGTTGCATCTGAGTTGATGTGATAAGTTTTTGAAGGACGAAAAACTTCCACTCGAGAGCCATGGCTTTGGAAAGCATCGCATCGGGAAGATCGGGGCAGATCTTTCTATGTATCTCAATTCGAGCTTTCGCTATTCGGGGGTTCCACGTTGCCGAGTTCCACAATATCTGCGTTAGACATTGAAGATGCGTATTCGCGGCTTCAGGTGTGAGAAGCGTGGCATTTTTCTCAATGATAGAGTCTAATGCTGAAGACATGAGATTGAAATAGTTATATCCATGGGCGAGTCTCCGGCTAGAATCGTCATAAATCTCGGATGCTGACTGTCTCTTAGTCGCCGCAGCAGCAAAAGTCATTCTATCCATCAATTTTGACGGCTCGGAGAAATTCTCAAATAATCTTGGACAGTTTGGGAGGAACCGCAACTGCCCTTCAACGAACTTGGTCAGAGCAAGCATCGATCCACCACCATCCTCAAAATAAGTTTGAAGCTCGGCAGTATCTTCCTCCCACCTCCAGTTGTAATGGGTTTCCAAACTTCTTCCAATGTGATTTGACTCCGAGTTGATCTTTTGTAGGTGAGAGTAAGTGTGAAGAAAATGTGCGGACACGAGCTCCGGTATTTGGTCAGTTCCATATGATAATGACTTGACGTCCATTGCGAGGAATCTCCCGGAAAGTTTGGCGTACCCGTATAAGAAGTGGGTTAGAGATTTGCAACGCGAGTTAAGTCTGTTCATAAAGTTTCCGAAATAACGACTGCCATAAAGTTAGCTCAGAGTGCCCTCCATTATTGCAGGTATGGTATTACAAACCTTCGACAGCTCAATGCCCATATCATATCTGGAAATGCAATCCAGAAGTCTTTATGTCTGGTGAAAGCATTGTGCAAGCGATTGTCTGAACTGGCGAAACGAAGAAAATCATCTATCCAGGCACGAAGTCGATCAAATAAATCCTCAGTATCAATGGCATCTACAATGGTTGTTAATTGTTTCCTTTATCTCATGGTTGCGCAAGATTCCTTACCGAATTGCAAAATGTGTAAAACCTTCCTGAGTGCATGAAGCATGTTTTCTCCGCGACGTTGAGTCGGGAAGTGATTTAGAGGGTCAGGAAAGACTTCTTCCTCGTCGATAATACCCAGAGTCGGGCTTCGCTCAGGATCATCAGAACTGATAGGAACGAGTTCAACCTCTGGGCTTCCTTCCATGGCAGAAGGAGAGGAAGAGGAGGTTTCAATGACTGAAGCTGGCACAGTTGAAAGTACATCGCTTTCGGATTCAATACTAATTCTGGCACCTTCATCGTCCACAATGTGTGTCATTTTCGATGGGGTATTAGGAGAAGGGGAGCTGGAGTATATCGATTCTACAGGAGGTTGAGGGGTTCGCAGGTTGATTGTAACTCGACTGGATGTTGGTCCGGTTTGTGATTGCGCGGTGCCAGGTCGCGTCGGAGTGCTTGGTGGGAAAGAGTCACGAAGAACATCTGAATCATCTTTATGTGACGACATCGAATCGGGTGGAATATTTGAAGCTTTAGTCGTGTCAACCGACCTACTCCTCGAGCCACTTCTAGAAGTCTTTTGTCGCTTTCTGGCAGAATGCTGTTCGTTATCATCGAATGGAAGTGGATGTGTCGAACAAGGCTCTGATGAGACCGCACGTTCTGGCGACGACTCTACTGGATCTTGGTCCATTTGGTAGGGTTTGAGAAATTGAATGAATGCGATGGAAGCTGTCTAGAACAGCAGGAGCCGTAGCGACCGAAAGTTTTCGTAATCCTTCACGTAGCCCACAGCCAAGGAAGTCGCATATGGATATAATTTATTGAATTGACATCCCCCGCGCAAGAAGGTGAATTTGGTCACTATCTGAGAACTAAGCTTGGAGGTGCACCAACCAGTATGACGAGGTGAGAGGGGTAGATTTCGGATGACGAGAATTATACGATTGAAATAGTTTATGCGATTAAGATGTAGTATTGGAAGTTAAAGCCACACGTATTAAACTTTTCCTGGTTAAAAACCTGCGGGTGATCTGTGAAAGAAAGAAAATGACTGTGATGTTCTGATGTGTGGAAATAAATGTGTGTGTACCTGGACAGAGGAGGAAAAGCAAAGGGACGCAGTTACGTAGTTTTACGATCCACCGATTGATTTGAAGGTAAGGTAAGGTAAGGTAGGTAGATCACAACAGCAGGTAACTCTAGGTTACAATTAGGATGAATGTCGAATAGAAAGTGTCTTGTTTTGCGTTATGCAGCAAATCTATCTGTTGAAGGTAAAGTAAAAAGATTTGAACTATCAGAAATTTGGGAATTAATTATTAAAAAGAGTTTTGGTTGTGAAATAATTTTGGGGATTTTTGATGGATTGATGATGGTGGTGGATGGTTTTACTCTTATCGAAACTAAACTTCGAGCTTTCACTTTAACGCCCCACTACATTCATGGCGTGGGGATAAAGCAGCAACGCTGATTCAAGGCGGCAAGTTTACTACCTGTTAGAAATTGATAGGTAGGATAAATATCTACTACCTGTATTCAGACATTGATCGGTGTATTTATCACCATTTGCTAATGAACAAGAACTGTATAATACAGTCAGTATTGTAAGAATAGCTATTTGTATAGGTGTCCCGGTAAAGGATTTAGGATTCCATCTAAAAGTGGCAAGGAGTCCAAACTTCGCCGCCCCGGTCATATGTGTTTGTTCGCCTGAGGCATGCACACATTTCGCATTTCGCTTTCCACTAAACCCAATCTTCTTTGGTCTACAGTTAACCTTATTTTACCCCTCCAAATTTTGATATCAAACGTCTTCTAGTTGCCGGATTGAGATTGTATCATCATACTAGCTGTCAATCAAAGCTTCACTATATGCAAAAATCACATGATCGAATTGACGTCGATCCATTCACAAGGTAATTACCAGTGCCTGGTAGCCATAAGATATCAATTTCACAATCGGTCTTCTACTCGAGTAGGCATCCACAGCTTAGAAAAAGCTTCCTCCACTAACTCTCACCTCCCTATCTGGAGACAAAAACACAATGGATAATAAAAAAAGTAAAACTATTTATCAATTGGATACCCCGTTCACTACGGCTCAATGGTTAGTAAACATTCACCATCACTCGGTACCTATTAATCCTAATCTGAAATCCTAGGCCACAAATATCCTCCAAAGACCAGGAAACCATAGTCGAACTTCTATGCAGGTGTGTAAATCTTCTGATGCATAAGCACATCGTGAAATTATCTTTCAGCGACTGATTTCTCTCCCAAGAGAATTCTTAAGATCATCAATTGAGACATAAAGGCAGAGAGTTCTGCAATCCATTAAAGAATCTTGTACAGCAATTTTAAGCTAATCACAAGGCTAACCATCTTTTAGTATATTATCACCAATTGGATCATATCGTTCCAATCATATTATCCCATCTAAAGGAAAGCGCAGCAAAAAGCGCAAAAGAAGAGACTCAAAAGCAGGAAATGAGAAGTCAGAGACTCCTCCGCCACCTGAAATATCTTCCCACATTGTTACAGGGCTAAACAGCATCCATCGAATGCTAGAAGAATCATCCAAAAAGGAAATGGACACTAAGGCAAATCCCGAGAACCCTAAATCCGATACCCGCCCCCAAACCAAGGATGCCTTCAAGCCCGATCCCCATTTCTCAGCCATTTTCGTCACCCGCTCCGATCAACCACCAATCCTCAACTCCCATCTTCCACAAATCATCGCCACAGCCTCAAAAGCACATCCCACCAAACCATCCACAAGATTAGTACAAGTACCCAAAGGATCCGAAACTCGAATAGCCGCAGCACTCGGTCTACCAAGAGTTTCATTCCTTGGAATTCTTGACGATGCACCAAATTCTAAGGCTTTGATTGATTTAATTCGAGACTGTGTGGAGGAAATACAGATACCTTGGTTGGACGAGGCAAAGAAGGCAGAGTATTTAGAGACGAAGATTAATTCGATTCAAACGTCGATAGGGGCGGTGAATCCTAAATGATAGAGGGGCATAGGGAAGTTGAAGCTGTATATACTGTTCCTCTATTGCACCATCCATGAATTCTATGCTCTGTGTAAATATTTGCTAGTTCATATCCATTCACTTCTTTAATTCTCTCAAACAGGCTGTATGTAGTATTCTTTATATTTCGTTATATCTATATATACATCCAGTGAGTTAAAGACTAAGTTATAGATTAGGTTTGAGATTGATATCATTCATTCATTCATTCATTGCTAGATACCCATATGTGCTTATATGCTTATTTTCATTCCTTACTGTTTGTAGATGCCCATGATTTCATTACGTCCATCTTTCAATCTTTCAATGAGCTCGTCATTTTTTTTGCATATGCTCATGACTTCGTTACTTCCGTTTTTCTTTGACCATTTTGATATTTCGACTTTTTGACTTTTTCCGCCCCACAAAAGGATACAATAATCGAATTATATCCTCTGATCAACAATTCAACCATTTCCCCACTCGATTCAACTCAATTCATACTTGACCAAAACTCGCCAACAAACTTTGAAGTCATTCATTCATTCATTCACAATTTCCCCATCATTCCTCTCATCCCCCCTTCCATCCTCCTCCATACTTACTCATCCCCAGCAAGTAAAGTCTCTACCTTACTAACCTTCTCCTCAAAAGTCTGCTTCTTATCCGTTCGTGTCCCTGCTCTGATATCCGTCTGCACGCGCACAACGCCGTTTTGATGGACTAGTGTGTGTGCTTGACCTATTACGCGCATGACTTCGTCCCAGGAACCTTCTATTTTCCGGGAAGGGAAATGGTTAGTTTTGTTCGTGGATGTGGATTTGAATGGAAGCTGGTAGGAAATGGAAAAAGCCGGCATAGGTAGATGAGAAGGAAGGTTTCTACAGAAGGGATGATATAGGTATAGAATAGTTTGCGAGGGTGTGTTTGAGTATCCATATGTGATTAAAAGGAACCATGTATCGGCACTTGCAAAAACTCTTTTATCACCTTTCGAGGCTTTATAATTTAAATTTCGCCTCATATCACATAAGAATAAAAAATCTAGAAATAAAAGATTGAAAAAACATACCAACAGTAGTACCAGCAGAATGCATACTATAACTCAATCCACTAGCCTTCATCAATCTCTGAACAGCAGCTACTTCTTTGGATACCGAGGCTGTCGTGGTACCGATCTGATGGTGTTAGTATTGCCTTAAGTTCTTTGAGAAATTGAATGGAAGAGAGTATTTGGGATAAGCGAAAGGAAAGAAAGGGATAAAGAAGAAAGAAAGAGAAGAGATGTAGAAGTAATAGAAGAAAACTTACAGGAATCAAACAAAAATCCGCAATGGTTTTTGGAGGTGTAGGAATATTTGCATAATCCGTAGTATTGGAGGTTGAGGAAGACATTTTGTGTATGTGTATGTGTTAACGTCGTTTTATCTGGTTTTGGGTAGGTATTGTCCCTAGATATTTGGAATTTTGAAAGTTTTATGAATAACGGTGAGTTGATATAGAATATGATGATGGGATATTGAAGTGAGTAAGGATCAGAAAACTTGCGAATCTGAGATAGATGATAGATGGATAGAGGTGAGAATTATAACACGTGATGTGATTCGATGCGGGGTATTTTCATTTGGGTAGGATTTGATTTGTTGAACCCCGCTATTCTTTTTCTTGGAGTGTTTCGATATCTCCTCAGTTTTTATACATCTTCTACCTAGGTATACATCTAGATATAGACTGTTATGTGAGTATATTTATATCTATTGAAGTCTCTAAATCCCTGTCGCATATCTTGTAAGAATCATGTTGCCATTCCCGAGCTATTTCCTTCACAGAAGCTAGAAAGATGCTGAAGAGATATTTTGAGTCGTATCCTAAATTCCCGTTGAAGCCTCTCAGTGTGAGAGTATAATACTTCAGTACAATATCATCTGCCACATATGTTCATGTCAGGCATTTCCCTCCTGTTTCTTCTTCTCTCCCTTTCCATTTCCGCTTCAACTTCTGCTTTAAGTTCTTTATTGCTTGCTTCTCACCGTTCGATTTGAAAGCTCCAGATTTTGAATATTTCATAACTTTTTGATCATCCATTAAGTTTATTATCCAAGATAGAATTTGATGCTTGAGATCATTTTATTTAAGACGTTTTCGATATTCAAACCGATCTCGATCTTTAGGATTATTCCAATATCCAGAGGTCTCTCGTGATTGAGCTGCAATCCGTATTTTGGACACACCACATCGCCCTTCCCTCCTTCCCTCCTTCCCTCCTTCCCTCCTTCCCTCCTTCCCTTTCCCTCTTCTCTATTATCCTTTCTCCCCCCTGCCTATAGACTATTGCCTTAAGAACCATATCATCATCTCGTACTTACATCCAAAAAGTACTCAAGATACGTTCACAGCCACTGATACCATAATTTGCTCAACGCAGAATATACTTGTGGGGAACATGGTTACCAATGTAGAAACTACGAGATCCAATTCCAACAATACTGAGTGATTGCAGCATACTGAAACTAGATATATGAAGGTTTTGGCCATGTCGAAGTTTGTGCGGATGGAGGGAATGCAGAGTTGGGCAGGAGTTTGGGGGTCTCATTCGCTATTAATTGAAGTTTGGGCGCATATAGATGGTAAATGGGTATGCAGAGAATTATGGATGGTCATTTGATGTCGTCGAGCGATGGGGATTTCAAAGAAATGTGTCTGGTACTAAATCTGTCATCGAGTGGGCAGTAAGAGAGTATGTATACATAGAAATAGTGATAAATCATAATATAGTACTGAATACCTCAGCTTAGTTCATGTCTCCAAGTCGAGTAAAGAGAGAAACATTGCCACCATCAACTATTAATATCAAAACCTGTACTTGTAGACTAGGATTCAAGCACAAGAATCGTGTACTATGCTGCACCAGCAGACAGCCAAACATATTCCGGGGGGGATTCAATATTGAGTAGGAAAGACAACCATACAAATAATTGAATATCGCATGGGAAGCACGATACTTTCATGCCTTACCAATATACATGCTAGAGGTCAGGCACTGAGTTATGTCCGCAACACTCAGTAGTGAAAAATAGAAAAGATGGGAACATCATGTATCGAATTGGCACATTTCCCGCGAAAACAGGAAAGGATTCGCGGGTTTGTAGCGTGCGGAGGGAAGGTTTCCGACTGGCGCTTTTAACTCGCCCTTAACTCAATTGATGTCATTGAATCAGGCACAGAGCCGGGGGACAAGACATATAACGACCTGTTCGGATTTTGCTCGGTAAGCTCTTGTTGTATCTTAATTAAAAAATCGGCATCTTGATATCTTGATATCTATATCCTAGGCTGAAGTCTGGTGTTTTATTCGAACCTCCCAGAAAGATGGAACCTGCAACATAGGTAGAATCGTTTTGAATTTCTTAAAACGGATCAAGTATCAAAAATCACCAAAAAAGCCTCGTTTGGAAAAACGCCCAATAGACAGTCTATCCATCGAATGTATTTCATGGAGTTTGATATATCTTTTGGAAACCCACACGTGCTTACCTAAGGAGTAAATTTCATTTCATTTCACTGTTGTCGGCACGCGTGATATTAAATTTATATTATGGCTTTTCCTACCAAAGTTTTCCTGGCGTTTGATTATCGCAATACTAGACGATTTTATTTAATCTCCTTGCATCGTGCCTGAGGGGTATTTTGATCTGCCTCGATTGAAAATGGTACTTTGCATAAACCCATAAGCTGCACGGCAATTCGATCATGGAAAAGGTACTGATGTACCTGGCACCTCACACTATGGAAGAAAAATCCGTTGAAACTCGAAAATCTGGAGGAAAAGCTTGAGGCAGATGTTGTTTGATGAACTATTGTGGATTGTCTGAGCTGATCTTATTTAGATTAGGATATGGCAGACTCCGGATAGAGTGGAGAAAAGGAAATTCTTAATCTCTTATGTTTGTTGATAGGGATAAGACGTGCGGACGAGGCAGATTCGTAGGTTTTTCGTTCGAAAAGGCTGATTGACAGAAGATGGTCGATAATGTTGAGATTGTATTATTTATCTGATCTCTATCGATGGTAAGATTATGGGTATGATTATAATATATAATAGTTATAATATATAATTATAATTATAATTATAATTATAAGCTTTGATGGTTTCCCGTTCTGCTTATTTGATTGATATCCGATATCCGTATGAATTAGGTTCTCGGGAAAGGGGTATGCCCGATGGCTAAAGGTCGCATGTGGTGTGGCCCGTAATGGATCAACATCTTCAACCTTCTTCATTACAGCTTCATCACAGCTTCACCACACCCCGTTGCTTTGGCAGCTGGGAAGCTCAAGCTGATCTGCATCATCTTTGAAGATCATTCTCCAACGTTGCGTGATGAAAGAAGCTTACTCCGAAGTTACTCATACGTTAGTCAATTTAATTATTGTCCTCGTCATCTTTCGGAACTGTGTGAGGTCGATTTGTACTCTTGTTGGTCAATGCATCGCCCTGCTCAGGGATAAAAATAGAAATGGCTTGGGAAGATTTTCATCACCTCACAAACTTGCAGCCACCCAATATACAACATCCTCGCTCTCTTACCAGCCTCAAACTTCAATATAAACCATCTGACTACCGGTATATACAAGCATTACCCGGTGTGCCATCCTTTAACATCGTAAAACCTGGGCTTTTATACCGTTTCATGCAGATCTAGAAGAAGTATCGATTGGAAGTTCTCCTTTCTAGCTCTTACTCCGTCCTCAAATACGGTTAAGGTCCACTTTTCCAAGACTCGTAATGTTGCTGGCTTACGACAATTTCAAGAGAATTATTGAAAGAGGCAACGGGGCGCAGTAATACGTAAAGTCTTCCGTGGTTTTCATATATGGCTAATCTATTAACTTTGATCAAAAGGTCTCCATACTTTTGAAGCCTCTTTCTTTACGAGATTTTCTTTATTTTCTTTTTCACATATTTGTTGTTGTCCACATGTGTTGTTTTCGTTTCATTTTTTGAAAAGCAACACGCTTCCTAGCCTTGACACTCTTTCGAACGAAGGATTCTTATCTACTTATCGCGATATCAACCCCTTTAATCCGTCAAATATGCGATCCTTCCTTGCTGCTGCAACAGCACTTCTTTCTTTGGCTAGCTCTACGCAGGCCATTCCTCAAAATAATGGTGGATATGGTGGAGGGTATGGTGGTTATGAAAGTCAACAATCATCGTCATCGTCATCGTCGATAGCTGTTGCTACATCATTAGCATCATCATCAACCAATTCTGTATCCGTCATTGAAGCAGCAACATCAACAGGCACAGTCGCCTGTAATAATTCACCAGAACTATGCAATCGAAACTATAACAACATAACGCATATGGGAGCCCACGATTTGGCATTCCTTAGAGATCAAACAACAGGGTTTTCAACATCAGGAAATCAATTTTATAACGTCACAGTTGCTTTATCATCAGGTATTCGATTACTTCAAGCACAGGTTCATAACTCGAACGGAACCTTAGAACTATGCCACACATCCTGCCTACTTCTTGATGGTGGTAGTCTTGAGACCTTCCTTACCGAAATCAAAACCTGGATGGATGCCAATACTAATGAAGTTGTCACTCTCATTCTCGTCAATTCCGACGATGAATCTGTCGCTACCTTTGGATCGGCGTTCTCATCCTCCGGTATCGCTACCTATGGCTATACACCTACTTCTACCACCTCGCCCATCGCTACTTGGCCTACTCTTCAAACTCTCATTACCGCAAACACCAGATTGATTACTTTCATCGCAAGTATTGATTATGATTCTAATTATCCATATCTCCTCCCGGAATTTACGTATGTCTTCGAAACCTACTTCGGAGTTCTCTCTCTGGATGCATTTAACTGTACCCTGCAACGTCCCACCTCCATCGATTCCGCTTCAGCCGCCGTTTCATCCAGTTACATGGGTCTCATAAATCATTTCGCCGACACAGCTCAATCATTTGGTATCACAGTTCCAGATGTAGATAACATCACTACAACAAACTCAGCATCTACAAATACGACAGGAGCATTGGGAACTCATGCGGAGCAATGTAAGAGTGAATGGGGCATTAAACCAACCTTTATATTGGTAGATTTCTTCAATGTGGGACCCAGTATCGACACAGCAGATATCATGAATGGAATTTATGGAGAAACGACAGGAAGGACGGATGTTAGTGCGAGCGTTTTGACCGCTAGTAGTGATTCCACTAGCGGTGCTAGCTCGCTGGGTTTTGGGTTGTGGAAGAATTGGGAATGCATGTGGATTATGATTGGAATTGTTGCGGTGGGAAATTGGGTATGGTTATGAGTGACGTGAAAGGGACGCCCTTACCTTCTTCATTGGGGGAATATTCTTCTATTTATGGAACTATGATTGAAGATTTGCTTTTACACTTACATAGCGATGGCGTTCTGGAAATTGGGATCTAGGGAGGCAAAATGGCATTTGCATAAGCGTAGGGAGATTTCAACAAAGAGATTACCTACGCATGGACAAAATATAGAACGAGATGATTTTGGATTTTGGAAAGAGATACGTCTAGACATTACTCAATTGAGGTAGAAGGCTCTTGAGTCGTACATTATGCACGCACAATACTCGGGCAAAAATATTTTTATCTTAAAACAATTATGATATTTATGTACAGTGAAGCATCTACCAGCTTTATACTGGCTTTAAATTCTAACATATTTTCATACGATTTATATATCAAATATTCAGTCCATGGTTTCGTCTCCTTGTCAGATTTTCCGAATGATAACTCGTGCTGGATATTGCAGAAAATTTAACCAATCACCGATCTCAAATAGACCCACTAAGAGATAGTGATAATCTAACGAACAACATCACTTCATGTTTGCCCTACAATTGACATGACCGACAAAACATCCCACGTACATTTGGCTTTTGTGATTCATCAATCAAAATGATTAAATAGCAAGAGCAACTACTAGAAAGATGCCGATATACTCTGTTGATCGCATGATGAAATAGCAGCGATAACAAACATGCCGTTTGACATCTTGCTCACAAGTATGCTTGTGACTAGATATCACTCAATTGAAGCTAAGAGACCCTTCTCTTGTCCACTTATGTCACAAATTGTCCTCAGATATTCTAGGTAATATGCGAACCATCATATACAAGAGTCGAGGCTTTAGTGTAATCTTTGAATAGCTATCACAAGCAATCAATGAGTCATTTCCCTGTGTCTACATAACTAGGTAAGTAGGATCAAGTGCGGTAACAAAGTTAGGTATTCATCTCTTCCCACTTGCTTGACATTCTCTCTTTCATTCCAAACACCCCTCAGACCATACAACATGAACACACAACCCAGAAAACCCTCTCCCAAATTCTCAAATGTAGATCTCATACCATGGGATCCAGACTCTCCATCCCACATCGAGAGACTATTCAATCAGCGAGTAGCCTGCACATGGAATTCAGAATATGTAGAATCGTGGCGGGAAAAACAGAGACAGGGCGCTATTACTCTTCAATGGATTGTACGTATCCCATATACCATACTCCATCATCCATCGAAACACGCCTAATATTATCCTAATAGGTCCTACCGATTAGCTGCCCCACTCGCGATGAGCTTCATAACCTTCATATAATGCGCTGTCCGCTGGAATCAGAGCTTTTGGTTGATTCAGCTACTACTTTCAATGCACTGCCTCGTACTCCCCCCTCTCCGCCTTACTCTTTCCTACCTATCGGCCATATAGCCCTCGAGGTGCAACCACCCTCCCCGTCGCCTTCTCCCCCCACCACCACCACTCCATTTTACTCCACCTACAGAATATCCGGCTTATATATATCCAGCGTACTGCGTAGCTACGGCCTGGGCCGCTCAGCTATGGATACAATCGAAACCCTCGCATGCTCTCCTCCTATCTCCGCCCAGAAACTCATTCTAGAAGTTATAGCCAATGAGTACCCAGGGAAAGAGGAAAGGATATTGGCGTTGAAGGCTGAGGAGCTGTCGGTTGAGAGAGAGGATTGGTATGTTAGGAGGGGGTATAAGATTGTGGGGTTCAAAGATGGAATGTGGCCTGAGAGGGATGAGATGGGACGGGTTTGGACGGCGAGGTGTTTGTTTATGGAGAAGGTTATCTAGTAGCGGGGGCGGGATGGGAACGGAGGGGAAAGGGGAGAAGTTTGGGAGTATGGTGTATTTCTTATGTGGAGGTTGGATCATTTGTAGATGTGGATAGATGTGCTGGAGGAGATGAATGTACAAACACAAATAAATACTGGGAAGCATATAGATAAATAGGTAAATAGATAAAAAATCCTATCTAAACTCAACTACAATACAAGACTTCAAAAACATGAACTTCTCTTTTCTTATCCCATATACCCTATCAAATTATCATTGCACAAAAAATTAACACAAGATTAGACTCTTGTTATACACCTAGTAGTAGTAAAAGACTTAGGAGAGTAGAAGTAGAAGTAGAAGTAGAAGTAAAAGATTAGATTTCTATATTTCTAAGACTTACGTTGTGTGGGAATCTAGATCTGGGTACTTGCGGTAGGTTCATAGTACATTGTGTGGCAGTGTGGAAATGATTGAGCTACTAGGTAGGTAGATATCTCCAGAGCTAAAAATAGAAATGAATCGTTTCGGCTGTACTTAAATCCGATGAGAATCACAAATCGGCTTCATTCTTCTTTGAATCCTTTCGCGAATGCATTCTTTTCCGTTTTCTTGAGTAAACAGACTATCTAGTGTGTCTTTGCATTTGCGAACCCATACCCTCAGTAGGTTAAGCAAGAAATCATTCAGAATGTCTTGTTAGATACCTACTCTGTAGATCTACACCATTATCAATTCCAGCTCCCCGTAAAAATATATGTCGTGCCTGGACAAAATGAAAGTTTTCTCCTTTGCTTTGGTCGGTTTTATTGTCGTTGTTGATTTTAGCCTCAGATGTCACAAATCCTTTGGGAAAAAGAAAACCTATTGAATGCGCAAACCAATTTCTATTTTCTTCTCCAAACTATTGATTATTAGATGTAATCAATAGATATTACTTCAACTATAGCCTCAAAGTAGCTCTTTTGGGGAAGTGGTAAGTATACTAAGTGTTTTATCATCTATCCGGGGTAAGCCTTACAGACTGTCCCTTTACTCCCGTGCAAACTTCTGCATACATTTAGCCTATACTTCAAAATGGTTCTTCAACTTTTTACCCAAGTCTGACGTGCATACTTTGCTGCGCCTATCACATTTCTAGCATTTTTCATCAGTCATCCCACTCTACTTACTCTATTATTGGCATAAAGCTTATAACTGTGCGCCAAACCATAGCGAAGCGCTTAACCGATCTTCGTGGAGGGGTTGCTTTTAAGGAGCTGGTGGGATGATATCTAAAGAGGCTCAGCCAGTTTTGAAACTATGTTTGATGTTTTCCTCTGTTGTATTGTTTCCTACAAGTAATGTTCGCCTTAGTTCTATCTTTCTTGTATGTATTTTCCAATTTTAATCTTCTTCATCTACCATTCGGTTCTTTAGATTCAGATTTCCTTTGAGAGATATCATGGTTTATATCCAGTCCGGGGCTTCAAATCGGTCATATTCTACCCTTGGCTGTGGTAGGAGGGATTCTCCAACTTTTATTGATGATTCCTTTACTCCCGTATCTGGAATTGGAATCGCCATTCCATATCCGACTTTTCAAAGAACATTTTTTTTAGATCCTACACCTCCACAAAGTCCTGTGGGACCAAAGTTCAAATGTCCCTCATTTGCTCCTTCATCAACAATACAAGGACAATACAATCTCATAACATTCGACCAACTTCCGAAATGGAGTCAAGATAATCCTCATATCCAATCCGGATATCGACCAATTTCTCATTCTACTTCTACCTGTCTTCATTCCTGTTTTCAAATCCATAATGAAACTTTCAACATTTGGTCTCATTTCATTCCATGCATTTTCTTCATTATCCTTGAAGGTACAATAATATATTACCTCAATACTCGATATCCCCATGCTACAACTAAAGATCATATCATTTTTGCATTTTTCATTTCCTGCGCAACCATATGTTTAGGCATCTCAACAATTTTCCACTCTGTCATATCTCATTCTCGAAAAACTCGCGATCTCTGGCTAAAACTCGATTATGCGGGTATTATTTTCTTAATCAATGGATGTTTTATTTCCGCTGTATATATGTCTTTCTTCTGCCATCAAATTTTACAATATGCTTATTGGGGAATGGTAAGTCATTGTCAATCTTTCTGTTCTAATAATCTTTCTTTACTCATTAAGTATTAGATACTATCAATGTCAAGCACGGCATTGGTTTTTCTTCTCCTACCAGCTTTCCAAGGTCATCAATGGCGTTCGTTTCGTGTAACGGCTTTTTGTGCAACAGGTGTTTCGGTTCTCATACCTTTCGTTCATGCAATTGCACAATTTGGATGGAAGAAAGCGATGAATCAATCGGGTATGCCATATTATTTCGCGGAAGCTCTATTGCTATTAATCGGAGTTATTTGTTTTGCTGTATGTTCATCTCTTCTCTTCTCACAACCTAACCAATATCTCAGGTTTCGGGGGAAAAATAAAAACTAATCTAAGATAAAATAAATAGAAACGATGGCCCGAATCGTGCATACCTGGCCACTTTGATCTCCTAGGTAATTCACATCAGATTTTTCATCTCTTGGTTGTTTTTGCTCTGGTTTTGCATTTGCTGGGTCTTTTAAAGGCGTTTGATTATAATTATGGGAGGGGGGATTGTAGGGGGTTTGGTTTGTAAGTTTGGTGTATGGTAAGATAGTAGGATTTTATATGAAGGAATGAATGGGTTGTTAAGGGAGATAAATGGGGGTAGATGGGGATAGATGGTGGTGGTGTATTTATTGGGTTGGATGGTGGTGGTTTGGGATTGTGTTTATGGGATTGTGGGTTTATGGGTTTATGAGGTTGTAGTATAATGATAATGATAATGTTGATAGTGTTAATAATGGGTTTATGAGGAAGGAAGAAAGATATGTTAATTGGATTTTGGATTTTGTATATGGGACCAGGACTGGGAATGGGGATAGGATTGAGAATAGGAGCGGGGAGGAAGGAAATGGATAGGATACTGGGTAGCTAGTTATAGGATATCGATGGGGGTGAATTAATGTTTGGATTTATATATATATATATACATTGAACTGAGAGGAAAGAGATGAAAATATACCTAGATCCGCGAAAAGAGGTCTTATTATAAGGTAAATGAGTACAGGATGCCGGAAATGATTATGATATATGATTCTAAAATCTTATATCAAGCTTGGAAGTAATAAAGGGTTATTTAAATATTTAATTATTATTTATATATAGTAAATAATATTAAAAAATTTATTAATTGTTATTAATTATATTAAGATGTGATTATATTCATTTATTAATATATTTATATAAAATTAATAAAATATACAATATTTGAATAAAAATATAAAGAATTTTTAAAAAAATAAATAAAAATAATTTTTATTCTAGGGTTTTTGTTTTAAAGATTTGTATTATTTTTTTTTCTTTATTAATGTATTTTTTATTTTTTTTATTTGATTAAGAGAATAATAAAGACCACGACGTATATCATATCTGAGTGTAACCACTAGGGAACTACTTTATAAAAGTATATAAAATCTTCAACCAATAGAAGTATATTCCCCCCGGGGTATAGATTAACAGCGAGTTTACTTTCTAACCACGGATCAGGATTACTCATGATTACCAGCTGACTATGCTGTAGAATCGTTCTATTATCCATGGTGGATTTTTCCTCCCTTCCGTGCTTCCGCATATATAAAACCGGTTGTTGTGACTTGCAATTGTGAGGCTATGTTCAACAGTATACGGAATCACAAACTCATACCGGTAATGAACATTTTTTGGCAAAATAAAATATGTAAACGGTATTTCGTAAGTCATGCCATGTTTTCATCATGTGTTGGGTTTCCTGGGTTGGATTTATGTTGTGTTAGGTTGTACTGTGTTGTACTTTTCTCTGTGCTGTTTGAGATAGTTGGGTAGGATTCATGTATCGATTCTATAGAACGAAATACGGAGATCTCCTGGGTGAAAATCAGTGAGATGTGGTACTTATTACGTGCTTGTTTAACTGTTTGATAATATCGGAACACATTCAGAGTACATGCATGTATGTATGTGATGATGTATGTGGACAAATTGAATATGGAGAACTTGGTATCCATGTGTTTTGGATGTTCGATTACCATTCTAGAAATAAGATGTATATTGATAAGGTTACATATCATACATTTCACAATGGAATTTCATATACTTGCTTAGGTATCCATACATACATGAAGTGATTCAGAGAGGATAAATAGCTAAGGTACAGACAGATATGGGTACGCACAGCAAGGATCAAAACGCCCTACACCTTAAGCCTTCAAATATCACGAACCAATCTCTCCAGCAACCATCGAACTCCAAGATTTGGTACACCAGTCATTCATCCTTTACCAGTATATCATCATTACAAGGCGTATATATGTATCACCACCCATACAAAACTTCAAGTCATCCCCATCCTCCTATTAGTAAATTACGTAATTATTCTCGTCTTGTCTCCGATCCCAAGTTTATATTTTGTTCTGTGTACTCGTGTAGCTTTATAGCCAAGAACACCGGTGGAACTACTCGCAAAGTCAAGTTACATCTCATTACACGATTACATTCGATGGAGTAACTACTAACCCCGGATTTTGCAATCTGCAATTATCATGTCATGTCATGCCATGCCATGCCATGCTTTCTTCCTTTCCTCAGGGGGACATCTTATCTATCCAGCGATACACGTGTCAATTCATCTACACTACACCATACGAACTCTTTCCCTACACACCCAACTCCGCAGCTGAAAGGAAAAAGAGAATCCGAATCCTCTAACCTAACTTTCTTAGCTCCGGACCCTGAAATCCCTTACTTTTTCATAATGCCGATATCACAACTCGGTACAACACAGCACAACACACATATTATCCAAATACTCCAAGACACATACTTAGCTACATACATAGACAATTAGCTAAGAAATAAGGACAACGGCTATTCACTGAGAAATTCTAGCCAATTCTTTCTTTTTGGGGCGAGATTCGCCTCTATGTATGTATGCTTATGTGGGAAGATCGCACTGTGCGACTAACTAACCTACAAACTATTGGAGGGGCTTTTCTGCATTAAGACATATGTATATATACTTGAGTATACTCCGTATATGTGATACTGGACTCGATATGTTTTGAATGAGATGGTATGAATTGAATTGAATGGAAGATCTTTGTAATCTTTGTGAGAGGTGATATTATATTATATATATCTACGTACCTGCCTACGGCTAGTGGTGTTGATTTAATTTATTTGAATATCCTACTATACCTAGGTATATATCGAATCATTTTGCAAAATTTAAGGCTAAGATTAATTGTTAGTTGAATTCGTCTTCTATTTCTTCTAATTATTTATTAGTCTTGATATTGGATATTCAGATACACATACCTAGGTATATACACAAGGAAACAGACCGAATGCTCCAATAATTACATTATGGCAAAATCCTTATCCTCATCCCTATTCTCATCCTCATCTCCATCCTCCTCAAAATCCAAAACAAAATCCCACCCACAGCCTCCATCCTCATCCTCATCCTCATCCTCAAGGTATACCCCTTTCCCCCTCCCTCCTCGCCCAACCAAAACCTAACTAACAAACCCCTCTTCCTTCAGCACCCACAAAATCCTTACAACACTTCTCTTTCCCACTACACAAAAACATCATACGATTGGACGGGGTACACCAGGTCAAGGTATTACGCCTTGGATGAATAGTGGTGATTTGCGGATTTTGGGCGGGAGAAGAGGGAAATTGGATCAGGTGGATCCGGAGAGTTTGACGAGTTTTTGTTGATTTGGGGGAGTGGGTTTTTGGATGTTGTAGGTTGAGGAATGGGTAGCGGAGCGGAGAAGGCAGTGGGAGGGGAGGCAAGGGAAATGGGGAAAGAGATGGAGTTGGAGTGGGGTAAGGACTTGATTTGAACAGCTTTAGGAGTTGAATCGTAAGCTTTATTTTAGAGTTGGGAGTTGTGATTAAAGGGTATGGTTGGAGATGTAGGATGGGTAGGGTGTAGGGTAGGAGATAGTAGCGGAAAGTAAATGAAGAGGGCAAAAAAATGAAAGAAGAGAAAGAGCTTAGGGACAGAGTATATATAACGATATCGCTTCAGTGTAGGAAGGGATTTAGAAATAAATCAAAAATCTCATTCAAAGAAAGAAAAGAAAAAAGTAAAGGCAAAAACAATCATCATCAAATCCTAGAAAAATTATTATTATTTTATAAATTTAAATCACGGCTTTTATAAATTATTTTCTTTATTTATTTTGATACTTTTTTTATTATAAAATTAAAAAAAAAATTATTTTGAGTTTTGATTTTTGAGTGATATATATATAAAGAATTAAAATTTAAAATTGAATTAAGATTGGATATTTATTTATTAATATATTAAATAAATTAATTTATAAGCTTGAAATAAAATAAAATATAAATAAAAATATAATAATCTTTTTTCCAAAAAAAAAAATTTAATTTCTTTTCTTTCTTATAGATATTTATATATTTGAATATTTTTATTTTATATCAAGATTTGTTTCATTAGATTTATATTTTTTCTATAAGTTTTAAGTTAAATAAGTTTATAAATTGATAAATCGAGTGTAAATAAATCTAAGTATAAATGAATAAATAAATAATTTAATTCTTTCAGATTAAGAGTGTAGATTGAATGAATTGAATGAATTGCAGAGTTGAATGAATAATAGATACAAAATAAACAAAAGTTTAATATATCTATCTAAATATTCTCAAGTGAATTTAGAGTTCCAATAGAAGCTAACAGATTAGATTATCGATACCAAGTAGCTGTGAAATACTCAATAATGAATTTATCAATCAATCAATTCTTATCCTAACTAACCAACCAACCAAAGTCGAATCAATACCCATTTATTCATCCATCCATCCAGTCGAAATCCCCAACCCAAACCTCCCTCAAAAATCTCCTACTCACCCCTACAAAAGTGCATCATCCCCTCTATCCCCGTTAATCTTCGCCTTCAACATCTCACTCTGACCCGCAACCTCCTCACTCCCAACCGTAGCCAAATACCTCTTAAAATTATCACTCATCTCAACCACCTTCTCAAAATGATCCTGTCTCAACTCCACCTCCAATTTCCCATCCTTCCCATCCTTCCCGTCCTTCTCCCTCTTAATCTCCGCCTCATACTCCGCCAACGCAACAGCCGTCTGAAACGCATTCCGAATCTCTCTTCCATTCCACTCAATATCCTTCAACACATCATCTGAAAGAATATACCGTTTCGCTGCACTCTTAATAGTAATTTCATCCGCGCGTTCCTTTTCCAATTTCTGAAAAAACTGCAACCAGATTCTTTTCCTACCTTCACTATCAAGAGGTCGATATCCAATATAAACATGAATACGACTGAAGAAAGCCGGATCAAAATGACCTACTCGATTCGTCGTCAGGAATAATATCCCGCAGTAATACTCCATCGCGCGGAGAAATACAGACACGAGACCATTTCGTATTAGTTCTGAGACTTCGCGTCGCTCGAGATAGACATCCGCTTCGTCGATTAACATTACAGCGCCCCAGATCTCGGCGAGTTTGAACCATTTGCTGAGGGATTCTTCGACGCGGAATTCGTCGGTGCCGATGTCGCCGCATGTGAGGGATAGGAGGGGCCGTGATGTGAATTCCGCGACGCATTCTGCTGTGTAGGTTTTTCCTGCGCCGGGAGGACCGTGCAGAAGGAAGATTTGTCCTTCGCCTTTGTTGGGGATAGGATCCGCGGACCAGGTCATCTCGCTCTTGCCGGCTTTTTTGGATGATGTGTATTTATGTACGAGTGCTTTGATCATTTCCTGTTTTTCGTTTGGTAGGACTAGATTCTCGATAGCTGAAGTGTAGAATTTTGGTGGTTGACAGCAATCGACATCAAGAGCTTGCCATTTTTTAGACTTGAGATCGAAACCCATTATACGACGAGGACAGAGGAAGTACTTGTGACGAGAAATATTTCCATTTGCGTCGGTTTCGGCAAGGGAAGGAGTTTCCCGAGGTTCAATATTTTCATATCTACCCCAGCGAGTATTGGAAGATGCAGCGAGACGCTTGGAAGTACAATCTGAACAACTGCAATTATAGTGCAAGTCTGCCAAAATACCCGAATCATCATCATCGATGCCGAGAACTGGAGCTGGATGTTTCTGTGTTTCCTGCCAGTCGGCGTACGTGTAAAACGCACTCTGATCAACCACCACACGACCTTCGTGGAAACGTTTCGGCTTTTGCTCAACGGGCATACTGAATCCTCTGTAATCCATTTGTTTGCCCATTAACATGCTGTAGAATTTCTCACCGCGATCTTCAAGTTGTGTTCGTGGAGAGAGAATGGGATTGCTGTCAACATAATGCGCAGGAACAACTTTCAATGATGTAATCTCGCGCTCGCCTTCAAAAGGTGCAATGGTCACTTCGTGAGATCGACGTCCAACAAATCGGCCATCGAAATCAAGATACCACATTTTGACCTTGAGAGGAGATGGTTGACCTGGTCTGTTATTCTCGCTTGAGTTTTCACAACCTTGGAGAACGAAACCAGCGCGTTGTTCGTCAAATTGCGCGTAAACATCCATTCCGGGCTTGAAGAGCATCCATAACATCTCGAATGTTACGACTGGGTTTGCTCTCGCATGTCTGTCATCCTCCAACTTTAACTTCTCCTCAAAGTTATCCTCGAGATACTTTTGAAGGACACTGATATGGTGAGCAGCTTCAGCATCATCACAATTCTCTTTGTATTCTTGAAGTTCCTTTCGGTAGTGAACAAGGATGCCATAAGGTTCCTTGATCGAGATGGTGTCTCCGAGTAAAGATTGTCCTGGGTAATATTCGACCAGAGATCTCAGGGCCTTCATGATATGTGGAGAATGAATGATGAGTTCTTTCTCTTCCATAGATCTTTCATCAAAGTCATTCTCATCTTTCATCTCTGACGAAATCACATTTTCATCATCCTTCTCCTTCTTTCCCTTCTTCTTGCCATAGATGGTAGGGAACCAAATAGTGACACTATATAGGACTTCTAGAATAGGTATCTCTGAATCGCGATATCTTGAAGATGTTAGTATTTGGTTAGGGAAAGAGTGATGGTGATCAACTTACGTCGTCTTCTTCAATTTGTATGGTGCTGCCAATTCTTTTGTTCCTTTTATTTCACCACCTATATCCTTATATTGGACTTTGTATAGAATCTCTGGACATTTGATATCTTCATCCTTGCCGGCATCACTTGATGCTTGTGTGGGAGTGGTGACATCTTTTCCGGCTTTGACGACGACATATTGTTCGCCGTCCTTACTTGGGGTCTCATTGGCATGCATGATTGAGGATATGATAATGGAAGAAGAAGTGGTATGAGTTTGGTAAGAGGAAGAAGAGGATGAAGGAGGGAAGAAAGGATAGGAAAGATATGAAGATTTGGAACAAATGAGTACTAGAAACAGGTATATAAATATTCCAATGTAGACGACTCGAAAAACGAGGATATAGAAACTTTGTGAAATTTTGATCACATTTGTGGAGTACAACTGGTGGTGGCATAGGCAGCACTCGCCGCAGCAGTCAGCCTGCAGATCAACACGACACGAAACCTCTCCCATTCGTTAGAGATAGCAATACATGGCCAATATACTCTGCCATCCTATCCTGCATTGAATCCTTTGACTCACCGTGTTGTCGATGCATACTCTAGAGTCTCGGCAGAGGATGAACGTTTGGATTATCAGGACGATATAGACGTAAATGTGGAGGGCCTCTGTATATGCAACTAGTAGCCCTAGATATTCATTATGATGTTTGATTGGTTGAAGCTTGTTTGGCGAGATGGATTGGTGGATAAGTAGCTAGGATCCCCGCCATAACTCACCCAGCAGCTGAATCTTTACGTGGGGTACGACGGAGGAGTACATACGAAGCTCCAAATCCTCCACGATGAGTACGTCCGGTCAGCAGTGGTAGGTAGAATTACGAGGAGAATTATTGGCTGTGTTGGATCTTGAGTAATGTCAGTATGAAGCAATATGGACCTGGACTCATCATGATATCCAACCTACCTAGTAATTATATTGATACAATTCACCATCTAAAGAGCCACAACACGAAAAACTCCCTTCTACTTTTCTTTTTCTTTTTCTTTTTCTTTTTCTTTTTCTTTTCCTTTTGGAGATAACTCACAATCGATCGATCGATAGGTAGATAAGTAAGTATACATGGCTGCCTCTCTTATTTATGGACAGACCACCTTCAAATTTTATCTACAGAAAAGCCATCTAGATTAATCTCACTGGTTCCACTGACTCTGACTCTGACTCTGACTCCTGTTTCTGTTTCTGTTTCTGTGTCCGTTCCACTTTAACATCCATCCATCATCCATCATCCATCATCCATCATCCATTGGATTGTGTGTTCGTTCCTATCCCAACTTTTACTGTGATAGAGGGTGTTTGATATAGTGATTCATTTTAGATATATAGTAGATTGATTTCATTTAGGAGTATATTCCATACTGTCATATTTTTATTTAGTTCATGATTTTGGTAGGATGGATAAGCAAAAGCTTAGGATTTTTAAATGCATTTATTTCAACAGCTCAAATGATCAATGAAAATATCAGCTCCATTACGTCGCATCACTCACTCACTCGCTCACTCACTCACACAATGACTCATAGCAAATACTAATATTTCACCCCCCGAAAAAATCATCATCAATTCGCCCCGTCGCTCTAAAACCTGAAAACTAGCTGCATCATGCAATATCATGCAATGTACTCTTTTTCACGTAGAAGATTACAAAGACACTCACGCCACATTCTTAAGATTTAGCAGCCTCCAGCTCCAGCTCCAATTGTCTAATTCTTTCACTCTGATCACCAGGACCAACTCTCATCTTCAATGTATCAACCTCTTGAGTCAATAGGCCAATTTTCTCCGTTTGTGCCGTGATAGTTTTAGTTTGAGCTTCCAAGAGTTTCTTGATTTCTTCCAGGGAATCTTCAACGCCAACTGCACTTGGAGATAGTTGAGGAGCACCAACGCCGGAAATAGGTCCAGAAGAGGTAGGGATGGCGGCTGGAGTAGGCTTTGCTGCGGGCTGGAATGATGTTGGTGTTGCTTGAGATACAGGAGATGGCTTTGGTGGTGCAGTTTTTGTTGAAGTGACGTTAACTGGTTCTAACTTTGCTGCAGCTGGAATTGATTTTTGAATTGGCTTTTGAATCTCCTCAAAGCTAGAATTATCATCGGCCTCATCCTTATCGTCATCTTGAAACTTAGAGGCCATGGCAGAAATGGAACCCTTTTGCTCGGACATGCTTGGTGGAGCCGCCCTTTGTACCGTTGGAGCTGGTTCAGGCTCTGCCTTAGGTGGCGCTGTCTTTGTCGGGGGTGGGTTTGGCGCTGGTGCAGCGGTGGGTGGTCTATAATCAGCTGGCACTTCAACCGGGGCATTTCCTTCATATACACTTTCCAAATCGATCTTGGCAGGAATTCCGTCTTTACCAGCGAGCCATTCCTCGGCAGTCACCGCAGGTTTCAAGCCAATAGCAGGTGGGTAAATATCAGATTGGAAGACTTCGGCTCTTCTAGGAACTGTGAAAGAGATAGGTTCAACATATTGGTCATTGACGGTTTTGAATGCCTTCATAACTTCGTTCTCGTGAACCTGCATTTTCGTCAGAATAGATATGCGAAAGACATAATAACAACCACTTACGTTAATACCACGTCTTGGGAGGAATGCGAGACCACGTTGTTGATCACTAGACTTGTATTCGGACAAGAATTCGAACTTGTCGTTTTCATATTCATAGTATCGAATGTTGCCATCACTGAAACAAGTTAGCTAGTTTACCGGTGATATCTGCCAATCGACCTACCCTTTGCCTGCCAAATACAAACATTGCGTTCCATCATCTAAGTCAAATTAGCATAGATCAACCACAATCAATTAATGTAATTTACCCCAGAATGGCATGCAAACGCCCGAGATAGAGTCCAGAACGGTGAATCCGCCAATTGGTTGTTTAGCATTACCAACATCCCACAAAGCCATTTGACGATCACTCATCTTGGAGAATCCGGTAGTAGCCACACGATTGTGTTCTCCCATCCATACAACTCTGCTATTCTTTGCGCCGGTATGTCCAGGACCTTCATGTGCGGGCCTTTCTTGTCGAGTATCCCAGATACGTAACTTCTTGTCACGAGAGGTGGTAGCCATAAGAGCTCCATTTGCGCTCCATGACAAACTTTGTACAATATCTCCGTGCTTTAATGTCAAAGCTGCCTTCCCAGTGCCTACATCCCATAGCTTGACCGTGTAATCACCAGACGCGGATGCGAGAATGTTGTTCGCGGCGGGGTTGAATAGAACTTGTCCAACTTTCCTGCAGGTTGTTAGAGTTGATTAGAGCTTTCTGTATAGCTGGCACATACCTAGAATGACCTGCCAATTTGCTGACAGGCGCAACATCGACAGGTTCTTCAGAGTCCTGGTAAAGGGAAAAACCTTGAGGTACCTCCCATATAAACACCTTTCCATCATCAGATCCGGAAGCGATTATGCGATCGTTGAAAGGATTCCTGATTCGAAAGTGAGATTTTGTTCCATCTGCTACACCTTGAATACTCACCAATCTGTATCAAGGACAGGTCCGGTGTGTCCTCGAAACAATGGGATTTGTTCTGGCAGACGTCCTTTCTCATTCAAAGGAATAACGGCGAATGCGCCTCCACCACTAGCTTCCCAATTGACCGAAAGATATTCAGGATTGGCCTATTTCGATGATGAGCTACCTCATTCCTTCATTCTATATCACTTTCCAGAGTATTTGGTATCCCACCTTGATTAGATTGGTATCCCATGCATTGCGACTGATATGTAAGTTATCGTAGCATGCCTCCTTCTTCGATGATTTACCAAAGACATGTCCTATTTCCTCGTCAGCGATTGCTCTCGTGCCTCTTTCTCGCGATATGGTAACAAGGCTTACGATATTTCGACGCGCGCACAAAACGACCGGCCATCTGAGCTCATGTAAAGGATGTGAAAGAAGAAGAGAAGGAAGAAGAAGCAGAAGCAGCAGAAGCAGAAGCAGAAGAAGGTGAGTTATTTATTGATTGTAATTAAGAATGTTGATGAGGGTTGTCAAAAAAGAATGTTTTTTATTTGTTTTGTTGTTGTTGATTTTGTTATTTTTACCTTTATGCGAAGCTCATCCAAAAAGTCTTGATATCAAGATGCTATCAACAACTTTTTGAATTACCTTGTAGGCTGGATGGCTGTAGGTAAGAAGTGGTGAAACTCAATCTCAAAATCAAACTCAAACTCAATCTCTATGGAGTAGATTAGACGCGAGGCTTTTACTGTGTTGCTGTTAGTTGCTCACTTGCTGCGCCTGCCAATGGTTACGGGTTGGTTATAAAGTCTACTACAAAGGGAAATCACGGCCCGTGTCAAATCGATATCATCTCAAATTAGGAGTTCCCTTATTTCTTGTTTTCTTTGTTCCAACCCCTTTTCGATATTCATTATGTTACTCGGTATGTTCCTTCATTGATTGCATTAATTTTATCTATTCCATACCAAATATAGAGTACAAGTTCATACATTATGATACATATCCCATGGCTTTGAACTTAGCCCAGCCCACTTTCCAAGTGCATAATTCCCCACTCTCAGGTGTGTTTCCCAGAAGCTCAATAGAAGCTACTTGAAACATCTACCGTAGTACCGTCCAAAACTCCATCCAAATACAAGCGGTCGTGTGGTCTAATGGTTATGATATCTCGTTCACAAATATGTGTTCCTCAATTCCGATTTCGGTTCTGTCCGTTATTTGATTCCGAGATGGTTCCCAGTTCGATCCTGGGCACGATCAATCGTTTTGTTGCCTTTTCATGCTCTTTTTGATGATGTACATTTCGACGTTTACATCAATTTCTTGATATAGCTTCAATTCCCTGAGCATTTGGAGGTCTGTACGGTTCTCTTTTGATTGGTCGACTTCGGAATGGTTGGAAAGGAGATGTTGTTATGTAATGATACGTGCACAGACCATAACCTAAATCAAACTGGAAGGAACACCCAAACCCCTCTGTCGATACAAACACTCTTTTAAATTATCTATCATGCTAGAAGTTTCTCATCACCTGCTGTTTCAAAGTTCACCTGCCCGGAGGAATGCAAAGAATATCTTTCAAGACTTCAGCTGAGTTTTATACCAGCCGATGTTCGAAGTTGAACACCCGACAATTTCGTCTGAAGCATACTCCGTACATATATGGTAACATCTAAAGTTGTTGTGCACAATATTTCACACTCCATGCTCGTTGTGTATGTGAAAACTGTTTTGAAAGAGGATTTCAAAGCAAGCATAATGGTTATCAAAAATTGATCGAGTTCCTGAGTCTTCCCGGCCACCTCCACGAGTGTAATCAAAATTCCTACATCCCATTTCGTTACTTGCAACGGACATAGACCTGAGTGGCTGCCAGCTTATCAGACTTCTCTTTGGCAGCTTTTTTGCCGTCTCAAGATATGCAAAAGCTTTCTATGCTGAAAAATAGCACGAAGTCGTCTTCTAGCACGCATATCTTTGGTGACAGATTTACTATCGATTCTACACTTAAGTACCATTCAAGCCTCATCAGTGAGTAGTTTCTCGGAGCAGAGTAGCTGACGGAAATCGAAAGCTAAATCGAGCAATATCACCAGTATCGAGATTTATGCTAAAGACTTGGCCCCTGTCCGGGAAGGCACGCAAGAGGTCAGTAAATCTCCGTCGGAAGAATCATTATTTATCCCTTTGACTTGGGTCTCACCAGTAATAGCGGAGATGCTTGACTTGATTGCTTCTCGCCTGCTGATAAGCTTCATTTCTCATGGAATGTTTTGTAAATCACGAACATCTTGGTTGTCGCGCTCCAAGAATGCTTGGAAATTCACATTACATATTTCGCGTAAGTCTTGAATATGCACGCGCTGGGGGGGCGGCTAGGCCAATATATCTGCTTAAAAGCTTGCCGGCCCATCTACTTGACTATGGTGGTTTTTTACACTTGGCAAGGTACGGTGCTTCGTGTGCTTTTTCTTTCTTCGCTGCGCTCTCTCATTTGCGCATCTCTTTTCATAACCGGTTATTCATTAAATTGTCCTTTTTCGGACTGTCACAATCTTTTAACGTTCAGAATGTTTCTTCGCAATGCAGCAGTTTGGGCTGCGGCTCTGAGTATCATCGTTTCGACTGGTTTGAGTGAAAATTCTGGTCTTGGTGATAAGGTAGCTAGAGCAGAAGGAGAGGCCGACGTGTAAGTTCTGGATGGAGACGTCAAGTATTTAGGGAAGGAAGTTGTTAATAATGACTTGTATTGTACAGAGCGAAACGCTTCCTGTTTTCTCCACAATCCGGTGATTCAGATAGCCCAACAATTGGCAACCTTGTGAACGCTCCAGGAGATCTAGATGATGAATCTCTCTCCGACTTCATCTCGCAATTTTTTGGTGGTGGAGGCGGGAACTCAGGCTCGGGAGGTGCTTCTGGGGGATCAAATAATCCTGGTGGTGGAGGCTCCAATAGTCCAGGAGGTAACAATCCGGGAAACAATAACCCCGGGAATAACAATCCAGGGAACAACGGTCCTGCGAACGGAGGTTCAAACGGATTTTCTAACTTTCCTGGCTTCCCTGGCTTTGGGAATGGTGGTGGTTCAAACAACAACCAGGGGAGCAACAATCCGGGGAGCAACAATCCGGGGAGCAACAATCCGGGGAGCAACAATCCGGGGAGCAACAATCCAGGGAACAACAATCCGGGAAACAATAACCCAAAGAGCAATAACCCGGGGAATAATGCCCCTAGCAATGGAGGCTCAAACGGATTTCCCGGCTTTCCAAACTTCCGGGCTTTCCTGGCTTTGGTAACAATGGCGGATCAAACAACAATCGAGGCAACAACGATGGTGCAAATGGTGGACAATGGTCACCCTCCACTCCACTCTTCCAATTTCTTCAGGGCGAAGGAGTCAATAGATATTATTGCTCCCAGTATCTTAGGGGTTTGAATGATGCTGCTCTTGCCGATTTCTTACGCAGAGCCGTCTATCTTTGAGTTTGAAGAAGAGGCTGCTAATGATGAAATCTCAATCGGTGATTTCCTTAGCTTCCCGGACGCGCTTTCACGCTATGACTTCCTACGATTGCTGGGCTTCCTATGGATTATTGGATTCCCATACCCGTCTGTATCTCCAACAGTATCGAAGCTAATAAGTACGAGCACATCATCTTCCACGACCAATGCCGATCTTGGAGCTTCCACAACAACGAGCAGACCCACGCCATACATTCTTCCAAGCCCTTCAACTCGAACTACTCGAAGCAGTAAAACGACCAGGCTCGGGGGTCCTTCAACTTCTTCGACCCGGACAAGTCGAACTAGCAGCACAAGTCGAAGTAGTACAACCGGACTCGGAGGCCTTTCGACTACAACTCGAACTAGTACAACCAGGCTTGGAGGCCCTTCAACTTCCTCGACACGTACCGGAAGCACTTCGACTACGAAATCATTGAAAACCTCAACCAGTACAAACTTAGGAGCAACTCCCATATCATCTAGCACTAGATCTTCTACTGCATCATCAACAACTAGACCACTTGCTACTACCAGTAAATCATCGAGCTCCTCAGCTCGCTCTAGCTCTAGCTCTAGCTCTGTATGTCTCCTCCTGCTATTTCCAATGGATACTAATTTGGCCAGTCGACACGATTGAATGCTCTGTCGACGAGTTCTTCTACCAGGTCTAGTCGCAGTTCCGTACGTTCCCTTCCATACCTACTACGGTGAAATTAATGCTAACAAATTGGTAGTCACTGTCATCCTGCCGTAGTACTATGCTTGTAGGTTTAGGGACCAGCTCTACTACGTCTCGGGTAATAATATTTTTCCTTGCCACATCTACGACGCGATATGGCGATATGATACTAATATATGTATAGAGGTCTTCCACTTCCTCCAGAAGTACCAGCTTAAAGCTAGGCGTTAGCTCCAGTACAACACTGGTAGTAAAATTCTTTATATCCCCCTGGTGCTTTTGATATGACATACGAATGCTGATTTCTATAGACTTCCTCCTCTTCCTCCCGCAGTTCCCCGGTGACTAGCTTTAAGTGTTAGTACTACATCGACTAAGGTAAAACATTCTTCCTAATTTAGCTTCGCTCTCAATGAGAATCTACAAATGCTAATGTTTTAAAGAAATCATCCTCTTCCTCTAGTCGTAGCAGTACTTCAGCTGTGGGTTTAGCGCCTAGCTCTACTACATCCCGGGTAAACATTCTTCACCTCACACTGTCTTATGATATTGTTTCATAGGTCACATTATTTCTAACATAGCATAGTCATCTTTCTCCAGTAGATCATCTTCAACGCTTCTAGCCGTCGTTAGTTCTAGTTCTACTCGGGTAATTTCAACTCCTTTTACTCTTTTTATGCTGTTTATATGGCTCTAATCTATTTTATAGTCATCTTCCTCCAGTTCACGCACTTCATCATCCCGACTGGTATGTTTTCTCCAAACTTTGCATCTCACAATTACTGTTTTACCATGATAATATAATAACACATTCTCAAGAGCTTGGGTGGCCCCTCTACTACCTCTAGATCTGCTACTATTTTCTCATCCACTCGAACTTCATCATCCAGTTCCGTCCGTTCAACTTCTAGTGCTGCTGCTATAATAGTATCACCTGATGGAACTTGTGGACTAGGCCAGCATCAAAGCTTGACGCTTTCGAGATCTTCAACCTCTTCAGCGTCATCTAGATCGTCTTCAGGATCTGTTGCGGTAAATATCGCTTCCGTTGTTGGTATGATAAATGCTAAAATATCAAATAGGGTCAAGGACAAACTACTAGCTCCAGATCAACCTCAACTTCTAGATCTTCGTCGTCATCCGTTGTGGTAACTATTGCATCTATTATCAATTATCTTATTGGTACGACGAATGCTAAAATTTCGACTAGGGCCAAGGATTAAGTACCAGTTCTACATCAAGAACATCTAGGCCGATTACCGGTTCTACAATAAGATCAAGTACATCTGGTACCACTTCGGCGGCACAAATTGCTCCAACTTCCAGTACCAAGTCTAGTATTAGATCATCTTCATCTTCTAGATCTAGGTCTTCCTCAACATCACTTGTGGTTAGCCTTCCATTCTCGGGTCTCTCTGATTTTTATATGTGATGAATATTGACTTGATGTTTAGGGACAGGCTCTGACTACCAGTTCGACAAGAGCATCTACATCATCTTCTAGTTCTAGATCTTCTAGGTCTTCAACATCAGTTGTGGTTAGTCTTCCTTTCTTAGAGCCCCATTTCACCTCCTTTCTTTTGATAGATGTTGACATGAATACTAGGGCCAAACATTGAGCACCAGTCCGACAAGAATATCTACATCGTCTTCGAGTACCAGAGCCATCGCGGCCACAGTTAGCACAAGTTCAACTCGCTCAACTCGCTCATCTTCGTCTGTCAGTGCATCCGCCAGCGCTTGCAGAACAGTTGCAGCACCTGCTGTAACCCTTGCTTTAACGCTCAGAGACTGCTGTCAATACTACATCACAAGGGACGGCGACACGTGTGCTAGTATTGCCGCCCGCCCTGGTATTCTCGGCTTGGATATCGCTGTTTTAGCGCGTCTCAATCCAACCTTGAGGCCCAAGCCGGTGTCGCCGTTTGTATCCAAAATGTTCAACTATCCCTCATAGGCTCTCTCGTTGATCCCCCTGAGGTTTCATCTTCTTCACCTGTCCCGTCTCCAAGCCCATCTCAGACTGTTCCCGAAAGCTTCTTTATCCAGGCTAGAAATTCGGGAACGGGTGGCGATGGAACTGGTCTCATGATTTCACAATCTCCGGAATATTTCGCTGGCTTTAATTTACCTTATGGTCAACAAGTTTTCCCATTTACTTACGACCCTGCTACCGGATATTTGACGTCAAATCTATATATTCTATGGGCTATCGCATATACACCTCCATCCGTCAAAGTCGCTCCCGCAGGCTACACAGAATGGGTGGTACCAGCTTGGCCTTTGGTTTGTAGTGTGGATGGAAATTTGAAGGTGTCGTGTACGGCCAATGGAAATATTTATGGGGCATTCTTTCTCATCAATGGTATGTTATTATTCTTCAATAATCCTATAATGTGGTCAAAATACATAAGAAGGAACAAATTTACTAATAGATTAAATAGCAAACAACGATGGACAAACCGAAATTGGCATTGGAAATGCTGCCACGGCGGGTAGCTCACTTATTGTTGGGACAGTTGATCTCTATCTTGTTGCAAATGAGGGGGGTTAGAGATAGGTCGTTTTCAAGTGTGTTTGGCAAAATCGGGTTGGTTCTATTTTCCATTTGGCACTTTGTTATTTCCTTCTGAAGCTTTCTTTGAATTTGGTCAGGCTAGTCCGTTTTCGATTGGAGTACCTCTGGTTTTGGCTGGGCAAATGGATACAGGATATATGGATGAGATGCCTTTTAGGGCTATGAAAAATGATGCGTCAATGTCGTGCGATGTTTTTAAATAGTCAGTGAGTCTTGCCTAGTTAGAATAGTTTTCTGTGATCGGAGATATATTTGTTTTTGTTTCTTTGAAATGGAATATTACGCCTCCCCTATAATTACCGAGCCATGCGTGTACATGTTTTGTATTCCATCCCCAAATTTTGAGGTACTTTTTTCTTTTTTATCTCGGAGAAAAAATACATCCTCAAGTCTTGCTTGCGTAGTTATTCATGATTTGTTGTTACGAGGATAGTAGCTCAATGGCTCAGGATTATCTCGCCCCCATTTGTGAAACTTTGATTCTGTCAATCTTTCAGATTAAGATTGAGAAGATAGAATTCAAAATGAGATTTAAATATAAAGATTTCAAAATGAAATAATTATAATCTCACTCTTGTCGGATCCGGTTCTTATATATATACTATTGCTCAGATATTAAAAATTTTAGTTTTTGATATTTATCTAGTAAAAGTATATACATAATATTCTTTCTTCCTATAGATATGTACGTCCGTAGAAAGGATTTTAGAGTTCTTAGGGTGAGCCAACCCATGCACCCCGCACTCCTTTCGACCCACCCTTCACCTCAACTGGACGAATTTCACACCTCGTACGTAATATTCCGAATGAACTAGATACCATTTTCGTACTAAATCAAGCACGCCATTGTATCACGAAATTTCATGGGCAAATTTTTCATCATCAGTGTGAGTTATTTCAGCGACATTTTCGTGCAATATGGAGACTTTACATATCTACTTTGCATGTGGATTTGAATCGACCATCCATCCTCCGCAACCTGCAGCTTACACCTGCATACCTTCTAAAGACAGCGCGGATGCAAAAATAGATCGACATCGCGCCCTCCAAGATGTCAAACCCTCACCTCCAGTCAAAAAATGACACCCACGTGATCAACAACAACAGCGACACAGAAGCAAACAAACCACACAATGACGGCCACCATGGACGTCCAATTCTCGCCGATAAACTGGCGCGGTCCCTCTCGGCCCGCCAAGTCCAAATGATAGCCATCGGCGGCACAATCGGCACAGGACTCTTCCTCGGCACCGGAAAATCCCTCGCAACGGGTGGTCCAGCCTCCGTCCTCATCGCATACCTAATCGTCGGTTTCATCATCATGCTCACTATGCTCTCGCTAGGCGAAATGGCAGCGTACGTACCCATAGCAGGTAGTTTCTGCACGTTTGCGGGGAGATACGTAGATGATGGGTTGGGATTCGCGTTAACGTGGAATTATTGGTTTAATGATGCGGTGAGCACGGCGGCGGATTTGGTGGCTCTTCAGTTGGTTTGGGCGTATTGGGGGGATACGGGATTACCGGGGTGGGGACTCGCGTTGATATTTTGGGTGCTTTTGGTGTTAGCTAATATTATTACTGTGAAGGCTTATGGGGAGGTGAGATTTTACTCCGATTTTAGAGGGTATAGGAAGAGGCTGACGCGTGATTATTGTAGCTTGAGTATTGGTTGAGTCTTTTGAAAGTTGTTACTATAACGGTAGGTTTTTGCTTGTTTCTCCTATGTTTTCAGGGTCTAGGCATGTACTAATCTCCTAATAGATCTTCATAATTCTTGGAATTGTAGTAAATTGTGGAGGTAGCACCTCTCACACATATCTCGGTGCACATAATTGGTACATAGGTGATGCACCATTCGTAGGAGGAATCGGTGGATTTGCCTCCGTCTTCGTGACCGCATCTTTTGCATGTAAGTTTTAACCCTCCCCTCCCCAAAAACACAAATCCTAATCCGCTTCCAGACGGTGGCACAGAATCAATCGCTATAACGGCAGGCGAAACCAAGAACCCGACGAAAAACCTCCCTCGCGTAGTAAAAAATGTCTTCTGGCGTATCCTCATCTTCTACATTCTTTCCGTTCTCCTAATCGGTCTCAACATTCCTTACAATTACCCCAATCTCTCTAGCAAATCAACAGCCACTTCTCCCTTTACCCTCGTTTTCCAAATGGTGGGCGCCAAGGCAGCGGGTTCTTTTATGAACGCTGTAATACTCACCTCTGTTATTTCAGCTGGAAATCATGCTTTATTCGCCGGTACCAGACTTTTATACACTCTCTCCGTCGATCGACACGCTCCTCAATTCTTCGGTAAATTAAACAGGAATCGCGTCCCCTGGGTAGCAGTCCTAGCTACAAGTGCCATTAGCGGACTCTGTTTCGGAGCGAGTTTTATCGGTGCAGGTCAATTGTGGAGTTGGTTGCAAAATCTCGTGGGGGTGAGTAATCAGTTAGCTTGGATTGCTATAGGTGTTACATCGATACGATTTCGCGGCGCGTTAAAGGTTCAGGGAAAAACACATCTTCTCCCGTTTAAAAATTGGACGTATCCGTGGGGACCATGGATTTGTATCGTTTTGAATGTGGTGATTGTGCTGGTGCAGGGCTGGAGTTCATTTAGTCCGAAGTTTAGCGCGGTTGATTTTGTTAGTTATTATATTGAGCTTCCGCTTATGGCGATCATGTGGTTGGGCTGGAAGTGGCTGAAGAGGACGAAGGTGGTGAGTTATGAGGATATGGATTTAGAGACGGATGTACATGTTGTGGGGGAGGAAGATGAAAAGGAAAGGGAAAGGGAGAGGTCAGCGAGGGGAAAGGTGGAGAGGATATTGAGATGGATTTTTTAATGTTCGACTAATAATTGATGGTTGGATTCGTAGTTTTAGATGGTATTGGTGTTCTTTGTTAAGTCAACTGTGATTTATGTTTATTCGTGCACTTTGCCATTTTGTGAGATCACCAGATTCATGCATTTGAATTTTAGAAAGAAAGGAGAATGGGTGAAGATCCAGAATATTAAGTCAACAACTACCTACTTCTTCGATGAATAAATAAAAAAATCCGAAGTATTCAGATTATATAGCCTTCCATTCAACAACTCCATGGTAAATATCCCCAAGTACTCTTCCGAAATCTTAAGATGATCATTAGGAATATGAAATTTGAATTATTGTGAACGATCGATGAAAAAATATACGAGGATAGTGTTGGGATGGATCAATCGTTCAGGGACTTGCAAATCTACGATATATCTCTAAAAACTTCTATCTGCAACAGGAAAGTATTTAGAAAACTTAGGCCTTTTGTCGTTTGTCAAGGCAGGAGAATGAGATAGTATAACGGCAATTCTTTACATGAAAGAGAATAAGTAAGAACACTCATCTGAGCTCTTGGAAATATTATCACAAATGATATATTTCTATCAAAAAAGCAATGAAAAATATCATCTAATGAGTAAGTAATTAATCACCAGAACTTTACATATTCACTTCACATAGCAATATCGAAAAGAAAGATTTTTTTTAATAAGATAATAAATTAAACATTGAATTCAACCAATTCATCGCAAAATCATGCGTTTTCTTAAAGTTATACATAAAGGAGTGACAAGAAAATTCGTCCCAGTGAGACATTACCAACATTAAAATTCACCTTTCCTAACCCTTCATCCATCTCCATTTTCTATTCGCTTTTCCCTGCTATCCTCAATCATCTGATCGCCTGACACCTTATCAAACAATCCCTTAGTTAGAGATAGTGTAAGAGTAAGAGCTCTCGCAAGTCCAGCTATCGGATCCCGATACACCAGGGACATAGGTAGCTTGTCCACTGGAGTAGGATTGAGTGAACAAGGAACAGTAAGTACCCATTGGCTGTCCATTCTTCTTCAACATGTAGGAGTTGAAGAACTTGCATTCAAAAGGAGAGTAGTTCAAGAACTTGTAGACCATTTGCATCCAGGCGGAGATAAGAGAAATATTCTTAGCATTCTGAGCAATGGCGTAACCGGCGCAGACAGCTGGGTTGTATGGACCGGGGAAGAAGGCTTGTCCCAAACAAGTAGATGGGTGAGAGTGTCCCTTGGATCCTCCACCGCATTGTTGAGGTGGTGACCAACCGGGCTGGTTTGGAGGAGGGACGGTCTTGGAGTAGCCGTTGGAGCCGGTGATGACGACTTGGAATCCATCACGGTATTGACCGGTGTTGGTGGCGGAAGCAGAGTCCACTCCAGATCCCCAAAGTGTGCACTTGTAGTTGGTGATGGAGGCTGGGTTGGGGCAATCGTCGGATGGGTTGACGGATGGATCACGCTCAACGTAGATGTTGAAACCTGTGCAGAGGTTGGTGTTATCGCAAAGAGTACCGCATTGGGCGACATCGTAGCTGGTAAAGGTGGTGAGTCCAAGGTAGGTGTTGGCAGTTACTGCGGCGTTGAGATCAACAAAGGTTTGATCGTAACCGGAAGGAGTTTTGGCATTCTTTGACTCGGTTGCGAACTCGGAGTAGGCGAGGAAAGCATCAACGGTATCTGGTTGAACCTTTGGTCCATAACCATCTGGTTGAGTGGCACATGGAGTGCTGACGTATGGGGTGGTTGCTGGTGGAGTATCGGTGGTGGTAGGAGGGACGATGATGCTGGTTGCAGCAGCTGCAGTGGTAGAGGTGGTGCAGATCGAGGTGGAAGTGGCCTTGACGGTAGTAGAACTTGGAGCTCCCCATCCTCCGGATCCTCCGGATCCTCCGTAACCTCCAGATCCTCCCCATCCACCTCCCCATCCGCCACCCCAACTGCGCTTATTGTTCTGGGAGACAGTTGCTGAAGCAGTAGCAAGACCGGTGGCCTTGGCAGCTCCTGAAGCAGAGACTGAGGCAGGGTTGATAACAACGACTTCCTTGGTGGCACTTGGAGCTGGACCAGTCTTTGCTGGAGAAGGAGCGGCATTGACTACGGCAAAATCAATGTTTTGAGGAGCTGGGTTGGCAGTAGCAAGAGCGGCTAAGCCTGCAATTAGGATTGCGTGATGATGCATTTTGAACGAGTGGATGTGGAAAAATTGAAGAACGGAATGAAGAGTGAGTGAAGAGTGAATGTGATTGTTGGATGATGAAAAAAAGAATATGGAGAGAAACATCAACCTAGATATATAATTTTTCGAAGCATCCGAAGGGCCCTCGAGTGGCTAACGGAAGTAGACTAATGCATGCAGAGTAGGATTTTGTAGAATTAGCATTGCTCTGGTTCGTTTCACAGTGAGCTGAACAACGTGCAGAAAGACTCTCGAGCAACTTAGCTCATGGTAGGATGTAAAAACACTCAGACAGAAATCTGATCTAACCAGATAGAACCCATTCATTTAGGATATCCATTCTTTAGTCCTTCGATGCCAAAAAATCGCTTGCCTTTCCCACGATCTTGCTAACCTGCCAAACTCTGAAATCTTCACTCAACATCAAATCATATGTGATTCAATCACAAATCACCAATGAGTAAAAACTTGTAGACGAGAGAATGATAAGACGCTTTGAGCAATTAGCGCTCATACTATGTTGATCTCTGTAATATCAATCCTTGGTACATCCTTGGTACATCCTTGGTCAATTCCGATGCACGCAGTGAGGTACCAGTCGCTTTGAATTTCCTAAATGCAGGTACTAGGACTCTTTCATGTGGGCTATTTCGATTTCGGACGGAAAAAAAGAGTGCCCAATAAAAGGAAGCTTAATTAGGATGCGCACCTCGCCTCATTGGGTGCCAATGTTAGGGTCATGATTAATGAAGCTTAGTGCACGGGATAAACTTTGTAGCAGCGCCACAACAAGCTAGTTCTAATGCAAGCCATATTGTTGATTTATTTGTAGTTGAATTCTTGGAAATTAGTTAACCTCTTCGTATTTGGAAGTCGCTTTGATATCAGACTCTGTATTATTAGTGAAATCCTCCGGATAGAGGCACAACATTCATGTATGCATCCCTTTGAGATCAATCAATCTGGGCGTGCATGTTCTATATTTTGTTAGTCTTCAATTTTGGTACGTATCTATGAATCGGAAAATTTGTAGCGTCAACGTCCTTAATATTGATGGTGCTATGCTAAACCTCTACGTTGTATGAGAACATGGAGAAATAGGATGTATTCATGTAGATCGCCTGATCAATTACCTTCAGCAAGCTTAGTTCTATGGGCCTGAATTAAGTTCAGATAATGACAGCATCTGGCATGGCAATGCTGTTAAGTGGGAACGCTGCGGGAAACAGACGCAAGTTGTCAAAGTCCAGGTGTCTGGAAGTTCGGCATACCCGCATTGACAAGTATGTATGTATAATTTACGTCCTTGACCGCCCAAGACGTTGCTGCTGTGTACTCTGAATGTAGTCGAACTCATGCAGATGCTAGTCCCTAAATCTTAAGGTCGTAATGGCAATACTACGTGTCAATATGCCGCCTGTCAGGGGAATTTCCAAGACCAGCTGAAATTCTAGGTAGGAGGAGACCGGGACTACCAAGTTACTAGATCATTGGTGAGAAAGCCAGATACTTTTAGAGAGGGATAGCATAAAGAGCTGTCGAAATCTATATTATTAGTCAAGAGGCCATGCTTTCATCCGCAATACACGGTGGAGGCGAAATGCGCCAAATCGTCGTAAGGTATGTGCAGCACGACCTAGAACATATCTAAAACCTTATGATCGACACTCGCTGTGGCTATTGCCAGGGCTGTACATGAATCGGGCGTTCGGTGTGAAGATCCTCCCGGTCGGCAAGTAGTTCCGAAGCATTTTAGCTTCGAAGATGGACCTGGACGAAAAAAGCTGCCTGCTGTGATGACCCCAGGCCGTTGGGACGCCACACAATTTTATTTCGTGATCTTCCATTTCAACAGTTTGTGTTTTGCTATTAAGTTCCTCTTGATCGTTGGCTGACCGTTATTTGACGATCAATGGTTGTTCGAATCACTGACCACTTTGACACTGCAGCTTCAAAGTGCAAACTTCAAAGAAACATTCAAATGTAATGATCTAAAGATCGGATTTGAGTTCATGGCGCTTTCCGCACCCAAGGGGTGCTTTACCTTCGGAAAACTTGACAGTTTGGTAACATTATCCGGCACTAGACAAGGCTTGGGATGGGATCTTGACTCGCCTTTCACGCTGGCCATCATGATGACACGGATAAATTTCTCTTCTCTGCTCCATCGCTTAGTCATAAGGTGAGGAAAACCGAGAAATGCCCCCTCTATAATCCGAAGGCGTGGCATTCACTACATCCGTGAGTTCGTATTGCGGTGGAGACTGTGAAGTCTGTGAAGTGGACTTGCGGGAATTTCAAATATCTTCACACATCAAAACAACAATGTGGACTGGAAAATGGCTGGAGAACCTTGATGAAGATCTAGACTAGATCGTATTGAGTCGTAGCTTATTTTGTTTTGCACGTGCTCAGCCAAAGAGTTCATCCACAAAGTCTCAGCCGCACGACCAAACAATTATCAATTGCTTCCTAAAATAACATCAAATCCACTTTGGGCATCATATCGACGGCCTGGTTGTCCACGCATCCAACATACAGCATCCACCTTGCCGTTGCTCCTTCCATCCGTCAACCAAATTTTGAGATTCATCGCGATTGCCGTTGCTCTTGAATTCAAGGACAAACTGAAAGCCAACAAGGGTGTTCTTTCAGCTGTCAACATTCATCAAATGATTCATTCTCTCTTACATAAAACTTCTTTCCTTTTATATAATAAACGAGTTCAAAGTAGTTTGGTCATTATTTACTGGATTTCAGTATTGTTATATATATATACTATTGTTTTACAATAAAATTCTCTTGAACTAAGCTTATTTCATCAATTCGAGATCTATCTTTATACAATCAGTATACTCTAAAAGCGCTCAATTGATAATACCCATTTACTCTCTTTGAAACCCTTTTCCTTATAATTTAAAAATTCCAGTGAATTACAATAAGTTGAAAGGATAAAAATTATTTTCATAAGGTTGCTTCCCGAATTTCCGAACTTTATTTTTTCAGTCAACAAACGGCCCTATGTTAAATCATGCCGTACTTTGGCTTGAATGAGCACCAGTCTATTAACCAGTCGGTATTGACCTCTGATTAACGGCTGACAAACATCAGCTGTACATATTTGAACAATTGGTTTTTGGAAGCGAAACTTATATCGGACACTCTCACGATCATGGATGATATGCCAACATTCTCGTCCACAAATGTGCTTAGGCAAGTCTGCAAGCAAGCTAATCTACAGGTGGCAGCCTCCCTCTGCCTCGTGTTCATTCATTCTGGGAACAGAAACTGGACAACTTCGAGGGGGCAAGGTTGTTATCCTTGCTGCACAAGATCATCAAGGTAGGAGGATAGGAGCGATGGTTGCTTGTGACTGGAATCCACCAATCCAATCCTAGATAATGGAGGATTTTCATTCTATACACTCTACCAAGCTATCACTCATCCAACATGGAAAGCTATTTAACGATGAAATTTCATTGTTCGAATTCCATTGCTGGTGCTCTCACATTCCGTCACACATTCTCAAAGTCATATTGGGAAAACCATATACAAAGAAACCCAATAAAAGCCAAGTATATGTACTTGGACTCATTACCGCTGAACCTAATGGCCGTTTATTTAAACTGGCTGTGTGATATAATGCCCATGGCGGGGGTGGTTCATAAATTAGGAAAATAAACAATTCGACACTTCCCAACCAAGCATATCAAGTCCAAAATCATCCATTTTCTCTCTCTTCACTTCCTTTGATAGATCGGAGCTCGCTTCTTTCAAATTCTTTAAAATAGGGCAAATCTCGGTTCTGCTCTATATCTGCGAGAATCTTCAAGTCCCGTTTTTAGAATTGATCTGCCCAACATTTCCGACAAACACCACGAGTACCGCACAGTAACTATAACTCGTTAGTGTATACATCGATATGTCGGAGGAAATATTTACGCAGCTGCAGCGGCAATGATTTCATGTCGTTTTGCCCTAGTAAAAGCTGCCAATACACCTGAAAATATCAGAGTGAAAAGAAGGAGCAACATTATGAGAACCCCTATGAGTGGTCTCGAAGTGTTAAGGTTACTTATAAACCACAGAAGGTAGACCGGCACAATCAGAAGAAGTAAGATTGCGGCGAGTATTATCAATGTAACCACTACATTGACACGGTCGGGACTTGAGAGGATTATATTTGAATCTTTCGAATCTGTCTTCTGTTGGAGCTCCTGATCAGTGATCAGAGAGGGTCAGCGTAACTCATTTGATATGGATGGAGGACATTACAGACAGTAGTAGAGAATATATACTGTAATACAGTTAGTACCTGCCTGAGTATCTATGTTTATTCATCGCGGATACCCACTCTAGTCACCTTACAAGGCATGAGCTGTGGTATTCCTTCAATTTTTGTATCCAACCAAGTATTTTCGCGACTAGGCTTAAGGGTTATGAGGTCGTCCCGCTTGGCGATATAATCTTGATCTCGCGCGCACAGCTGTATCTTGTAATCGAGGTAATTCTTGAATTGGAGGTAATCGCTTGTCATTGGCCGATCGAAATTCGCAAAAGTTTGTGCGAATGTTAGCAGCTCGGCTGCAAAAACCCCCTTATATTAGATTACTTCTTATGCTTAGCAGCAGATCTGACTGACCATACTCCTTCATTTCCTTCTCAATCATAGCGAGGAGATCCTTGTAATCTACACTTTCGGCATGAGCTCTTTCGCGAGAGTAATTTCGATCAGGATACTCGTTCTCGAAGCATTCATCCAGATGAGCTAATCGCACTTCGAGAGCTCGCAATTCGTCTTGCTTGTTGAGGAGCAGCCGTGCTTGTAAATGGCCGAACCTCCGATACATCATAAAATCCTCTTTGCAGGCGATGACCTCTGCCAGGCGAGGATACCCGTCAGGGCGCAAGTCAACTAAGCATTCATGATTAGTTCTTGGCCATGGCCATAACGCTCCATTCGACTTACTGATATGCGACGTGAAGTCGTCCGGTGACTTTCTTTTCTTCAACCCCCGAATATATGCCAGATATCGTTCCGTCTTTTTATCAGGCAATGTGCGTTCAAACTCTTCCTGTGTCATGCCATCAGGCTTAATTGGCTGCAAGGTTACTGGATCAAGGCTAGCGGGAGTACAAAAATGATTGATCTGGCCCGTAGCTACTCCTTTCTCCATGGAGTCTTGATCACTCTTATCAGTAGGCATTATTGTTATTTCTGTATTTTCCCACAGAAGAACGTTTTGGTTGCGATGAGTTGCAAAGAAGGTCGGTTTCAACGGTGGGGCGTTCGACGGTGGAGATCTCAACGGTGTAGTTCTCGAATAAATTCTCCGAAAGCCACAGTGCGTGGGCCTCGTATGCTCAAGGCTTGTATTACCGTCGATAATGGGTGTCACACAGTACTGGAGTACCTCTATCCAATCCATAGACATCTTCACGGGTATGTGCATGTTTTGGTAAAATCAACGATTTTCCTTGTTTTAAGCTACCTAAGTGCCACTGGAAATCAAAAACGTAACCATTAATGTTTTTCATCATGGCTGAGCTTGCACCATAGCTGGGAAAGGACCGCTATCATCGCTTGTTGCTAATCTTATCTCCGGCTCGCGAACCCTCTTTGTAATCAAATCATTGGCTTTAATATCATACATAAATCGGATCGTCACCACGTCGGCACCAAGCCTCATCTGCCCAGTGGTGGCTATTCCATCACTGATAACTGTATAAGGTACTTCAGAGCTCGTACGTCCGCTTCTCCACATAACTTTGTCTCCTGGGTGAAATGACCTACGAGTGGGACGCTAAACACCGTCAGCCATGTACCTGTATCAAATCAGAATGAGGTAGTTTTCACGTTTGGTGTATCACTACCTCCATCCTGATTTTGAAAGCACCTGAGGCGCTTTTGAAGCATATGTGGCATGCTGTATGCTTTTCTGTTATGAATCTTTGGATCAATACTGGACGAACTAGGACTGCGGTAGAGTGAACATTCCGTTTCAGTACGGCCTGAATGTCTACCCTCTTGGATATCAAATCGTATCCAACTGATCCAGCCTATCTAGGCTTATGTATTATCAATCCCAGAAAGAAGTGTATAGGTCAAAGAATCCGTATGGAGGCAGTAGAAAGTTCTACACTTCTGATTTTAAAATAATCAAGCGCCTAGAACTATCTTGAACAAATCTGGATGGGGACTTCTGAACTGAAGGGCGTTGACTTTGTTCTTATAGATGAACAGGAAGTTAAAAAGGGTGGATTTTCACTTTTACAGATGACTCCTGGATGTTTTCATGTTTGTGAGTGTATTATAGCAAGTAGTGCATGAATCAGCATGAGATGATGAATCATAATAGGAACAATATCATACACAATGAACATCGAAATTGATGACCCCCAAAAGAGTTTGGAAGGCAATCTTTGGGGTAATAGGATACTTTTCTTCTCTTCTTTATTTGATGCCTTACATTAAAAGGGAGACACACATTAGCATTATCATCCATTTAAAATACATGGCCTATCAGTAGCCGGAGGTCGGCACTGCTGGAGATCTTAATTCTTTTGGGGGCTTGACAAAACTGTGGGCCTTGAACTATTTCCTTTATTTCATTTACCTTCCAATTTACTAAAGTCCCAGAAGACATGAATTCGTTATCAGGTTCATTATGCTTATTGCTATCGAAAGTTTGCTCTTCGCTTCCAGACAAGCCATCCATAATCATACATTTATCAATCTCGCCAAACCCCTATGATATTTTATAACCACTCAATCCAGAAAAACACCAAAAACTTTCTTTGAGTATTTTATTGTACACGTTTAGATACCAGTAGTATGAGGTGCGCAGATATGTATTCATTTGGAGTGCAATTTATGAGTATGAGAGTGTATAAGTCGACCCAGATTGACAATCATGATGTTATTTGTGCTATTGCTAGGACTTTTTTTGGGTTTTTTTCGGACTTTGGTTCACATTTTTTATACTGCTAATGCAGGGCTTCCAGCACCTATATCACGAACTCCCTTAAATGTCATTTTCTGCATTATCTAAGAAATTTCTCGGTTTCTCTTTTTGATTGATCTCGAATCACTTCAAAGAACTCATCTACAAACATCAACAACCTCTTGGTCTCGCGACACTTATTTAGCAATGCATTATTTCGTAGATGGAGCCTGTTGTATTTTACACTCTTCGACTTTTTGTCCAGCTTATCAATCTAGATGTCTATTGCGATAATCTCTCGCAATCAAGTCCACCTCAGCCACATGGTGCTCGTAAACATGAGACTGAGTCTCTTTACGATTCACATATCTAACAAAATATGCGTGCCAGGTATACTCACCAGCCAGTCTCTCAGTGACAGTGATTTGTTCACGTTTGTCCTCGGGGACGAGATCAGGGCCCGCAATCACAACTGCATCGATGTTGTCATCATCCCCCCTGGTCCATATGACACGGGACAAGCGGCAAAACTGCGCATCTGGACAGCGTTCCCCTTTGTAAACTAGGCGTGGATTCTAAATTCATGTTAGTCGCATTACCAATTGGAAGTGCAGAGGATTTATTACTGCTGCATTTCGCTCATTGTAAGCACGCAATTCTTCTGCGGGCGTCTTTTGCCCTCCCACTGCTGACATGTCGACTTCCCCGTCGATGGCGATTCTATTCTTCTCGGTGGCTATTTCTGGGAACGCGCAAGTTTGCAATAACATCTGAATGAAACTCGAGTAGTAACAGCTGCAGCGCGAAAATATTGACGATAGTATTTTGAGATTTAAATGGTGTTGAAAGAGGTGTACAGGATTTTGCTAGATGCAAGAAGATTTCTTCACACTTTTGGAAATACAAGAAAGAAGCATCCAGAGAAATATATATTGATGGATCTCGCTGTATTGTTTCCTGCTTGGCAATCAGATGAAACCGTTGTGGTATGAGACGATAGTATGACTCTAGGGAAGAATCTCACATTCAGGACCTAACTACGAATGTGTTTGACGTTTGTACAAATGCAAATGTATCAGGTCTCATGAAATCTGGTTGGTGTAGCTAATTGTTATACAATCATCACGCGCAAGTGCATGATGAGAATTGCTTGACGAAAGATCATTCCATCAACGTTTCAACCGCTTCCACATTCGTTTATCTGCAGTTTACCTACTTAAATCCATATCCTTAACTCGGCATTTGCGGAATAAGTTCGATGTTTGCAGATTGAGAAGCCAAACTTAGCACTTAAAGTTTGAGAAGTCCCAGCCATAACCCTCAAGGTGATTCATATGTAGATGTATTTTAAGATAATTATTCAGATTCTGAGTTCTCAACAGAATTGATTTTTTTTGTATAAATATCGTACGGAAGCTCACATCATAACAATACCTCACAATATCACATTCATGAGATGAGATATTTTCATTAAACCGCTGCATATCTCCGCTCTCCACCAAGCTCTTGATATCATAAGAGCTTTCGTGGAGTATTAGGCTTTAAAAATTCCCACGTCCTATAGAATGTGGAAGCTCAATTGTGAAATGTTTTCCTTATCATTCTTTGTCGGCAGGTTTTTTGTTTGGCTTTGCTCTCAAACACTATCTGGCAATATTTGTCTAGAAATTAAGTCTTGGCCTTGTTTTTCTACAAGCAAATTTACTGGTAAGGAGTCAACTTCTAAAAGGTCAAACTCCTTAAAATTGGTCCATAAGCGAGAAATTAAAAGTTCATCCGAATAATAATAATACGCTCTACAGAGTCCATTCCAAGATTCTCCACCATTCTATGTTCATTACTATCAGGAAAGACGAATTAAATCTATCCATTCTTGCATTTCCCAGACCAGAAACAAAATGCTTATCACAATGACAGATCCATCAAACAGTTCAGGCAGCTCAATACAAAATCCTTGTACTGATAAACATCCTCCGGCCAAACCACTGTATAACCATTCGCAGGGAAGAATTCGGAGCTCGGAATATCGTACACTGGACGGATCCCACAATCCTGTCCTCAAGCCAAACACGGACACAATCGGTACCTAATTAGCAGTGTGCAGATGCCCCGCTCCCAGTTTTGATTCGTGCCACTATAGTGAAGAGTGTGAAAAACATGTTATCATTGCATTTGTTCCTACATGTATTGGTCACCCCGGAGAATCGCCTATGAGAGACCCAGACAGGTGGAGGACTGGTATATTATTATGCTTTCTGATGGCGTTGCACAAAGAAAACCGATGGCAAGAAATTAAGCAGGCGGCCAGTGTTGCAAGGGTTAGAGAAAAGTTGTTAGTTGGGATTTGGTAGTGTGTTTTTGGATTGGCTGATAACTTTAGAAATAATAAAAATCGCTCTGATTCTGCTATATTTAACTTCAGAAACTCGAGCTATTGTATTCAGTATAATCAATGAATGATTAACTGTATCTTTTTTTGAAAAACTCAATCCAAATCATAAATAATAAATAATAAATTGTTCAAATTAAAATTCAATAATTATTCATTGATATATCTCAAAAATATTTATTAAAATTTATAAATTTTTTACAATTAATTATAAATTTTTTAAAAATAATTTTATATTTTAAAATCTAAAAATAATTTCAATTTTTGATTTTTAATTATAATATATATATTTCTAAAAATTATAAATTCTATTGAATATTTTCACTTGAAAATATTAAATATATAAATAAAATATTTATTTTAATTTTTTTTTTAGATTTCAATATCTTTATTTTTCATTTTGAATAATCTTTCTTTTAATAAAATAAGATCAACAATCGATAAATAAATAATTATCATTTATATATTTGAATTATTCAAATCACAATTTATCAAATCTAAAACCTATAATCAATCCATAATTGATAAATAAACAAAATTTTGAATCCACATCATTCATAAATAACCATAATTAACCATAATCAACTTACTTATATATATACCCAACCCGCTTATCGACTACATTAATTTTATTCCTTCTATCATCATATAATCTCTCAATTACTTCTCTCAGACAAGTTAGTTCGTTCATACCTATGCATACCCTGAGATTCCCATACTCAAGAACGAAAGCTCCACGTCGCGACTAGCATTCCCGCGAGTTTCGAATCCCACTCGCTTCCAAAACCTCTACAACCTTGTTCACGGGATTCTATAAAATAGTTGCGCAACAAAGAAGTATATCCTATTAGAGTCCCGTTTAGCTTTTTTCTACCATCAAAAAATTCAGAAAACACCAACATCCACCACTTTGTCCATTTAGTGAACTGTGGAAGCCATCAACGCCACATGAAAGGACTTTTTAGAGCTCAAAATTACATTTAGAAGAAATATCAAACTCATGACATGACTTTCTATGATTGGAAATAGGGCTTATTCGAAAATAGAATAGTTGTAATTATACAGTTCAGAAAGTTAGTATGGACATATAATCCAAAAGACTAGGAGTTTGGCCTATATATGAGGGACGATAATGATGGCTTCAAAAACATGTCTGGTGGTAAGGCAAAAGCCAACGTTCAAACTCTAGGTAAGTCCATGTTCTACAAGCAAGGAAATTCACCCATACCAAGGGGAAATGAGCATAGTTAAATGAGGAGTCATAACTGATTCACTAGAAATCTCTTGGAGCTACTTTTTAAGCGCGCGAAATAGCGTCTGAAAAAGACTGTGGATCTTTCCATTTCAAACCAAACAATTTATCAAAATGTCGTGCTGGCGACCCCGAATTTCCTTGACTGGCCGATCCCTCTATAAATCAGCAAACCAATCTTCAGTTGTCCGTCTATCTCCTCTTTAAACGCTTTCCCAAACTTAAATTTAAAAGCTCCCAACTAACAAACCCCAGGTTCCACATCCCGCGGATATTTTCGAAGAAGGCACAATGCTCTATTGGACTGGACACAGAGGAACGACTCTGGCACCACCATCCTCATCTCTGTCAAACAATAGAACTGATGATCCAATTTTCGTCACTGTAATTAAAAAGCACGAACGCGAGACTATCATCGCTGCACCTCCCCGTGGATCAGAGTCGGAAACAAGGGGGATACCCAGTAGGACTATATTGCCTGAAGAGGTGAGCGTGTTTTATGATATACGACTTGTAGTTGATGGAACAGAGATTAAAAAGGTCAATGGGAAGGAGTTAAGACGGCCGTTTATTCGTGATAGTTGGTTAGTCAGAAGTGCGGTTAAAGAGGACTATCGTGATTAAGCTGGCGTCGATATACGGGTAGTATGTATTGAACATGTTGATTGGTTTTAGAAGGAGTAGAACCTTTGCAATTTGAGCCTTTAAACTTCTTATATTATGATAGGCTTGTTTCTCAAACAAGTTCATACAATATGTCCAGTAAATTGCCTTAAATTCCTATGGGAAATAATTGGACAAGGGGTGTGTCTAATAGTTTAGTAGACAAGATGTAAGTTCTCAATGCTCAAAATAATTTGATGTCCCAAACGACTCGAATATTCCATTTAGATCGACGAATAAAAGCTTCTCAATGTCGGACTGCGGTCTGCTCCAGCACTTGTTCGTTTTATCTGCTTCCTCTGTCACCAATTCCTCTAATCACTGCACACCAAACCAAGCTCATGAAGCAAGCAATTCCAAACTTCTCTCTCAAACTGCATCCAACGCGGTAACGCATAATCAAAAAGACTTCGACAGCTTAGATATCTCCAAGCACAAACGTGGCACTCAGCTTGACAGAAACCATTCAGTTCACATCTAATTCTCGTGATTATGATATTAGAGTGTCAAACAGTTATTCCTGCCTCTGAAGCTATAGTTTATAGCGAACATAGGAATCCAACTGATCGCAAATTCAAGTATATGTATGACATCAAGCCTTTTGTGACGGATAATACACACGACGAGAAAGACCGAGAGGCATGAGAACGGAGAAGGTATATCTATATCCGTACCTGATGAGAAATGGGGTGGATGTCAAATTAATTTGGTAATATGGAGGCAAGAGGAATCCTGGAGTAGAAATGACTTCTAAATTTGCGTATTGTGTAGTGAATATCTTAGTTAGTATCGGAGCTGGACTTTGACAAGTTTACAACATGTGTTTAAGTTGTTGAATTCACCGTGTCTTCAAAAGACTTCTCGGACGACATCTCTGTTAATGGTAATACTAAATGCTAAAGGATTTTGCGTTAATGGGTTTAGATTCCCTGATATATAAATCAGAACCTTAAGAATACCCTTCAATGACGAGAACAGAGCCGGATTACTTCCAGGTTCTTGCTATCCATAAGATCTTCTCTGCATATCGACCAGCTTGTTTGTATAGGTAGCTAGACTGTGATTAACAAATTAAAATAATCCAAATAATATCACTGATTTCCCGACAAGCACCACCCTACCAAATAATGAGTCTTCTGAGTATATGTGGTGAATAAATCATGATTTTGTGCCGTGTGCTGATGAAACGAAATTTGATTCACAATAAATATGCGATAGGATATTTTTATAAATACCCTTGACTGCTCAATCCCCGTAAACGCAAACACTTCTTCTATTGAATGAAAAGAAAACCTAGTATATATAAGAAGGTCAACGGACATCAGTATAACTTTATCTGTGATTCTTTACCCATCTCGAGACACTTCTCAACCAAATTCCAAATCTCCAAATATCCAAAAAGAAACTCCTTCAACCCTAAATTCACCGTCCGTATCAGAACCAAAGCCTTTCGTCAAAATGCCGAGTTTCAACCAAAATCCCTTCATGGGCAATATCTGTTCCAAAGAATCCGATAACACATCTGTTCTCCCATCCGTCCGTTTACCCCTATTCTTATTATCCACATCCCGATTCTCAGCTAACTACCCTCAGAATTCTGCCAAAGTAACATTCAAAAAAGGTGCTAAGGTTTATTGGACGGGACAAGGAGAGATATCGACAACACCACTTACACCAAATAGCCCAAATGCACCAGAAGCCAGCAGTGCCAATAAAAACCGACATACTTCATCAGAGATCCGCAGCGCGCCGAGTGCTATTTTTGCCGATGAGGAGGCCGGTCTAATTGCCGTTAAAGTGAATTCGGGACGAATGAAAGAGACTATTGGACCTGAGAATGGGAAGGGAAATTTTAGCATTCGATTTTGTTATATTATACAACTGGAGAATGGGGAAACGAGAAAGGTAGAGGAGGGGCAGTTGAGAAAAGACAAAAGAGTGATGAGCTGAAGCCTGATGGATTAGCTGGTGGGGATGATGAATCAGGTCAGGAGATAACGAAATGTAATGGACTGTTGATTAGGCTAGAAGAATAGATGTTGTTCGCCTCAATTTATAGAAATTCATTAACTATACTGCTATTTCTATAGTTAGCAATAGTGTGATACAACTTCTCTTGAGCATCTATTTTGTCACAGTACTTTCTTAGCCAATCCATGCTTTTACGGGTAGATATCTTTCCGCTAAGGGATAGATAGTATCCTTATCCTGAGCGGGAGTGGAGGAGGAATAGATAAGTTTGCGAAAGAGTCTTGGGTAAGTTTATTCATTAAATACAGTATTATGAGTGGTGGAATTTCCTATGGAAACCTCAAAGAAAGTGTTTGATGTTTCCAATGAGTGAATAGGAGTTTGGTGAGATTGAAGATGGATGATTGGGGATGACGGAGTAGGGACAAAGAGCAAACTTCCATAGCAATCGTCCGCAGATGGGAAAATAAAGATCTATCATTCCTGGATTCATCATTCATCATCCATGCATGCAATATTTAAAATAGTGGAAAGAGTGGAATAGCTGAATATTTATAGTTTATCGAATCCTCACCAAGATAAGCTGTGTCTCGGGATGCTGGGAAACCATGAATTGTAGATAGAATAATGAGGATATCTTATTCTCAGGAATTTAAATCTAAAGTATTTGAAAAGCCTTGACTCTCTGAAACCGAATGAATGTTTGAAAGACTATGAATATTTGGAAACTTTTGGACCTTTGAAAAACAAGAGATATCTAAAAGGTATTGGAAAAGAGACTCAATGTGATTTTGATTTGGCACATGACATCCTTACTATCTAAAGAATCTTAACTGACCAATTTCGACAGCGGATGTGGAATACGTATAAATAAGCTTCCGGGAATGTGAAGTAAAGGAAGAGAAAATGATGTGCTAGAGAGATTTATGCGGCGCAGGATATTTATATGACTGGGATGGAAGAATTGTATGAGATTCATTAATTTGAGAGATTCACTTGGCTTATAATATTGAATTCATGTAAGAGCTCCTGTTCATTTGAAAAATGTACTTGGTTGAGAGATGCAAACTTATGGGATGTCAAAATCGCAAATATATGAGAAAAGCGGACAACATCAATTCAGAATTTGATACAACTATTCGTACATATGCCATAATCATAGAGGTAAGAGTCTCCCTGTCAATCGCCATCTAGCATCTCGCTTCATGCGCCAACGTTTAATTCTTAGAAACCTCACATTGGCTCGGTGGCGAATATATTTTGCCGCATCTGGACCAGAGAACATTTTTGTTCCTGGCAGACAAGCATTGATTTCATCCAGCATCTCCTCCAAGCTCATGGGATTCAAAATTCGAGCACGTCGATTCGCTTTAACAGTGGATCTTCCTGGTCCATATAGAACTATCAAGCGATCAACAACCGCTCTCCTAATTGCATTTGGTTTAATCTCTACACCGACATGGTGAAGTTCTCGCAAAAGTAAAATGCCATTCGTGATATTGTATGTTATTTTTTTATCCATACTTGCAAGACCTGGAACATTTGGCGGTGGACTGATTAATGCTCGTTTAAAGCCCCATTCTACAATGGCCCTCTGTAAACTGGATGGGAAGAGGCGCTTAAGAGGATGTTGTTGGTGCCCTGGGGATATGAAGTCATCCGAAACCTGTGTGCGATCTCGGATCCGCAGATAATTGGCACCTGGTAGAAGATCATGATTTTTTGAGCCATACCAAGAAGCTAAAAACATACACAAATTGTGTAAATCTTTTTCGCGTCCAAGCATTCCTAATCGTCTAATGATTTCAGTCCAATGGTGCACTGGAACTGATGAACCAGAGGTCATGATACCAGTTAGAATTTTGATCACCATAGTTACGTCATCAAATTTGTTGTGCCTACGATCTGTCACCGGTCGCCGACCGCGCCGACGTGGCCGTAATAGTTGCCGCAGAATACACGATATGGAAGCTGGCTTCGCTGGTACACGATTCATCCGCATTTCGGATAAAGTTTTCAGCACAGCATCCCAATGGTGTCTGATTACGCATATCCTGAGGTGTATGTTGTAAACATCAAAATCAGGACTTCTGCTTCCGACTAATCGTATGGCCATGGTTCGCTTGAATTCTGTTAATTGTCCCCTGGCTGCATAAGAAGCCAAGAGCTTCTCCTGAAGTATCCAATCGTCAAGTGCTGCAGGATGCTGGTCATTATTCAACAAGGCGTTCAGCATTTCGTGGTTTCCCTCTCTTGCAAAAGTTTCCACTGCCTTGACAAACTTCGATTGACCGGGAGATATACCAAGCTCTGAGAGCTGTTGAAGCCTTTTGATAATGGCTTTACTATTCGGATCCCGCAGAGCAATGGACTGGAATGATAAGGGTCCAATTTCTCTGACTCCAAGCGCGTGAATGGACTGTATGGATACATCCAATGGCACCCATGTTGTAGCAAGCCATCGAGCTCCTAATTCATCATCATATTTCTTGGGCTTGATATGAAAGACCTCACCATGGATGAGGTTCATCATCTCTCTGGAAATACTTCGAGTGTCTTTAAGCTCATGCTCCAGAGCAGGAGGTAAGGCTAACCCTAAGTGTACCAGACTGCGTGCGACCCTGAGAGCTAATGGGCTTTTAAATTTTGTCAAATGTCGGATCAAATCTTCGGTAGGTCTTGCAGATTTTGGAAAGTCTTTTTTCTGAAAGAGCGAGAAGTGCCATTTGTACGCAGATGCGTATTCTCCCTGATGATAAAATGGTACCATGATGCTGGAGTACGAGACATGAAATTTACTTGCTTCATAAATTTTTCGGAGAGCTTCAGTATCCCCTTTGAGTGTGATCACTTTGAAACATAACTTCTCAAAAGCTTTAGCATGCGGCGGATGACGCGCCATTAGTTTCCGATGCCATTGAAATGCTTCGGCACCTCTACCATTCATTAGAAGATGATACATGAGTCTCATGTAAAGTCCATTCCAGCGTTGACCAGTTTGCTGAAATAGGTTATCTGCATATTGAATGATATTTTCAAGCACAGTTTCATCATGTAGACCTAAATCGACAAATGCTCCCCACAACGTCCAAGATGCCATACCTTCGACCGGCAATTGAATTTCCCTGGTACGTATCGCTTCCCAAATAATCCTCACCCCTTCGATACCATAAATTCGCCGCCTGTACACTAAAAGTACCGCCCACAATTCCATGTCTTTCTCATAAACTGGGCTATCTACTAATCGTACTCCGTCCTCTTGAGGCGTTTTGGAAACCCGTGATTCATATTCGAGTTCGTGAGGTGTAAAGTAATCTTTCCATCTTTTGTATTCCTTGGTAGTCATCGATTCCGTATCGGCGTGAGGCACTATTGTGCGGGGGCCATTCGAGGCTCTCTTTGATATGACATGGCGTATAGCTGGTTTTGCCGAATCGGAGCTATCAAACTGTGTGCCATGCTGACCCGCAGCGTCAAACCCAATGCTCAGACTTGCGTAGTTTCGATTGCAATTTCCACCAACACTGTCATATCGAATTTCGGTGGACAGCGGGGTATGCGTTGCGCGTACTAGATATTGAAGGAAATTCAATGATGAATATCTAGAAATGAGTCGTTGTAAAGCAGGGCGCATTATGATGCACCGTCCCTCAATATATCCGACAGATACTTATGCAGATCCATCACTGCCATTGAAAGTATCGCATGCTTCGTAAAAGTTGTTTGGTTGGAAATTGTCAAAATATTCTGGGTCCTGGAAAGTTGAGATTGGCTTAGTCAGCATCACTAGCGCGAGTTTCAATCCGAGCTTCCTGCGAATTCAACATCGAACCACTTACTCGAATCCAACCAAACCATAACGCCTCGAATACAGACACAATGGCTGGGTAAGTCATGATCCCAAGCTATTACACAGAATTATAACTTTGGAGGAAAGGCTGCGGAGACCATATTTTGCCCTACTCTAGCCGCGGTAGAAGACCTCAAGAAATACCATTTACTGATTAAAACCAAAATTTAGCTACAAGCTCCGCGAGAACCGCGTCCCTTACTACCAGGCGCTCTTCCAAGAAGGTGCTAAGAAACACATTCGTCAATGGAACCAAGTACGTGCATTGCCTCTATGTTCCGCGGCATTGGGAGGGGTGGGGGTGGAAAATACCCACGGCTATATCGACTAGAGTACAAATCTAACATGTTGTGCAGACTTCTAGAGGCAGGGTCATGCTCTATCCATACTATGTCGCTCTGTGGGGAGGGTTTGCTGGTATGTGTGACATCGAGGAAGAGGCGCGAACGTTATGACTGACAATGGGATAATAGGATCCATGTACATGATGTCGCGAATGGTTTTTGGACACAAGACTTGGTTCGGCAAGGGATAGAGGTTGCAAATGAGACGATGAGATTTGTGGATGTTTGGGGAATCGAGAGGACGAGGCATACATTGAAGCCTAAGAATAGTTCAATTTCATTATACCTCGAATACTTTACGGACATTTACTATGAAATGCCACAAGCTACTTTTCCTGATGAGATATGTACTTTCTCGGGCCCATGTCAAGAATGACACGGTCAAAAGAAGAGTCTTCAGCAATTTTGTGGAGTTCTGCATTTCTTTTCTTCGTCTGATGGTCTCATTTATGGAAGAATGGCACTCCTACACAGTAAAAAGATGTAGTTCCCCAACACAAGCGTGTTGGAGATTTTGGGGTCTGAGATCGACTGCACTTGATTTGAATGTATACTTCACTTCATCGAAATGGCACTGTCCTTGTGATCACCAACTTATTATCAATTCTCTCTCGGGTAAATGGGAGGAAGGTTAATGCCGGCTACAAACTTCCTAGCAACTAAAAGCAGTTCCTCCAAAGTCTTCACAATCAAACATATTGTTTATATATGAATTCAATGATGCAATAACTAGTCCCACACTGCTATTAGAATAGCGCAGAAACTACACACATATAGCTCATCAAAGCAAACCTAAGGTTTCATTCCATCAAAGTGCGCCGGTACTTTCTCTTTCCTTAACTATACAATCACTCATTCACACACCATGAACAAATTCCCCAAATTTACAAATCCTACCTAATCACCACTCCAAATATCCCCCCCTAAGAACGCAACCACAAACAAACAAACAAACCAACAAACAATACCTATCACATATTACCTATTACCCACCACATACACCCGAGCAACCATTCACTTCCATCACAACATCTATATCACATCCATATCACTCCCACATCACTCCCTTCCATCATCACTCACATAACCATCTTCCAAGAACCCCAAGAAATCCCAAATTCACCATCTACTTACTACCTACTATCATAAACCTACAACTAATCACTAACAAAACAAGAAAACACAACATAACACACCAAGCAAACAATTAATTTACTCAATCAATCACCTAGAAACTCCACTCCAATCTTACATACATATAAATGAATACCTACCTACCTACCTACCTAGAGATAACTAACTACTGTACTGTACTGTAGCCCACTCGCTAACCTTAGTAACCTACCACCTACGATTTGCAGTCTGTACTCCATATAGAACCATTACTAATACTAATACTAATACTAATACTAACGAAACGATGTGAATTTAAGATTACCTAACCATTGATCTTCCAATTTTATCCTTTACGTCGTCGCTGCTTGTGAGTTGGTGGACGCCTGTCATGTCATACTCAACACCTTGAAGTTAATAATTAGATAGTGCGGCCACTAGACCTACACCGTTAGGTATGATCAAATCTCATTTGTGGCAGATATTACTCAGCATCTTCTCCTTCTTGTGTGTATGATTTTTAATTTGATTTAATTTAACAAATCTCATTCTCCACTACAACTACAAATAAGTGCCCATCCATATCCGCACGCCATGGTATATTTCTTTCGACAATCTTGCTTTTTGCATTTTGCAATCTCCCAGTTATCACTTCACCCGGCTCCCATTTTACCAGTACATATCCTACAACCATAATCTCACCTAGTGTCAGCTCTAGCTCACGCAATCCATCCACTGACTACAAAATTTATTTCTCATTGATGACGCCCCTCCTTAAATATCCCACAACGTCGTCCCTCGATCCCTTTCTTAAGCAGCACCAGTATCCTGCCTCAACATCTCAGCAACATCCGCATCCAAACCCTCCATAGCATCGCCACCCATTTCTGGAAAATCATCATTCAACTTCCTCTTCTTCAAGTTACCTAGTGAATTGCTGCGTCCATAACTAGTAGAAACACTACTTAGCAAATCCAAACCAGAAGTTGGTGACATGGACTGAGATGCATAAATTGAACCATTGGTAACACCAGCCGAGGCGTTAAGGTCAAAGTCTGGAAGTGGCTCTTGCTGAATAGATTCTTCTTTCATGGGCCGCAATGGAGGTGACAAGGGTTCGACTTCCGGGCGATCAGGTTCAGATTTAGGAGTAGCCATTTGGTTTCCTGGACTGCCATCTGCGGGTGTGCTTTCACTGCTGTTTGCGAATCCTCGCATAATACTGTCTTCCACCTCCCTCTTCTTAGTGTCAATCTCGGTGCGTCGCGTAGAGAGGAGGTTGAGTTGGGCCTTTTCTTCTGCTAAGGCATTACGGTTTGTCTCTAGCAATTTCTCCAATCCTTCAATTAACAAATTACGCGATTTAATAACTTCAGCTACAGCCCCTTCGGCGTTTGCTAAAGTCTTAAGAAGGCCATTGAGTCGAGCAGCATGGACTGGTGCAGAAGGTGTTGGTGTATTTGGATCTGTGAGCTTTTCATAATCACTGTTCGCGGAGTTAGTAGCAGTCTTCGTAGAAAGCACTAATTTGGATATGGTTTGTTGAGGTGCAACAAGAGGTTGAAGTTCGCTTGGTGCTGATGATGAATTGCTGGAGAAAAGGGATCCGCCCAATCCTTTTCTGTTTGAAGATCTGGATTTCTCGAGTTCTGCATCCATCAGTATAAGCTATTTCTTATCCGCAAATAGACCTACCCTCAATTCTAGCCTCAACTGCATCTTGTATAGGAATCTCGAAAATCTGCCTCTGTCTCCAAACTTCCACGACTCTCTTCAATTTGTTTTGGACATCACTCGTAGCTCCTTTGTAGGCAGTTGCTGTAGCCTCTGCAATTACAGGAGAAAATGCAATGAGGAAATCATCCTTGCGCCTAGCTTTCGATTGTTGTGCAACTTCTGCAAAAGACAACATTATTAGCTGCAATCTGAATGATGGAATATAGTTTTACACACCCTGAACTTTCAAGGCGGATTTAACTCCAAAATGAAAAAAAAAAAGCTTACCATTTGCTAGATAGACCAAATTCAATCTCTTATTACTTCCAGAATCCTTCAACTTTTGAAGCCAAAGTTGTCCAGTACGATCGGCATATCTCCTAAACAATAAATTAACACATTAAAACTCCAATAATACAAAGATTGTTTACATACCTATGAAACATAATCCATTGAGCGACAGTGACCTAGAAACACAAATTAGTCTAACATTCATTACCTGAGATACTAGAATGGTAACTCACAATACTTTCCTGCGTCTCATTCAACGCCGAAAGTTTTGCAAGAACGGCCTCATCGTTATATGCCATGATTCTTAGCTGAAATGCTTGATGGAAGAGAATAGGACAATAATCAATAAAAGTTGTTGTTTGTATTTTATGTGTTTGCTCAGCCGGCGTTTGTTTCGAATGAGTTTACAAGTGGAAGAATGGCTTTGTTTCTACACCAGAAAATGAGATATCACTTTAGCAAACCCCGAAAATCAATCAATAAAAGGACGATAAATCCCAGAGATAATCTCCAGATATTGAAAATCTTTTTGGCCTACTTGATTCGATGTAAAATGGAAAAATTCAGTTGAATTGTCAATTCGTTTTATATTGTTTGTATCTGGAGTTCCTTCTCAAGCTCCCCAAATAACCCTTAGCGTCGGTTAGTTCCGTATCAGCCCCTGCTCATCCAGGCACATGTGTATTGACATTCGGTATCGTCGTAGCAGGAACAGACAGCTTGCGATTTCGAATCAAGAGTTACACAGAATAATTACTCTAGATTTCAATATGGCTGACAGATTTCCTTCTCTTGAGGACTTTGACTCTGGTGGTAAGTTTACTTCTGGAAATTTAAATTCACATCAATCTATATGGTTTATTAACAACATGGTTTATAGCTCAGACAACACAAGGCGACTCTACTTTCGAAGGAGGCGCCGATGATTTCTTGAGTCGTGAGAAGGCTCTTTTGGGTGACGATGCAGACCAATTTACTACTGGCAATGACAATGCCGCATTTGTAGAAGATGGTGATGATGATTTATTGGGTGGTGGTGGAGGAGAGGAGGTTCATGAGTTTGAGAGTTCCTTCCCTGCCATTGATACTCGCAATGAGGTACGTTATGACTTTATTACATATTCTACATTTCTTGAATACTAATATATATAAAATCAGAATGTTTCATCGACCGGACAAATCACCAGCACATATACCAATTACCAACCCCAAGTTTCCGACGAAGAAGAGCCAGAAGTGATCAAACAATGGCGCGAACGCCGCGACCTCCAACTTCAAGCCCGGGAAGAGAGATCAGAAGAAAAAAAGCAGGAAACTATTAAGACTGCCCAACAAAACATCGACGATTTCTACGAGAACTACAATACCAAGAAAGAGAAGACTATTGCGCAAACCCGCCGTGAAGCTGAGGAGTTTTTGGCAAGCAGGGAAGACACATCATCTGGTGGAACCAGTTGGGAGCGTATTGCAAAATTAGTCGATCTGAGCGGAAAGGGTGCTAGAGGTGGTGCAAATGGTACGGGCAAGGAGAAATTCCGAGAGCTTTTGTTGAGTTTGAAGAAAGACGAGAAAGCACCCGGCGCTACTGGTTATTAAAGGGCGTTGGTTGGACGGGTTGGGTGGTCACTTTATGGACTTGTAAGATCGTGCAAGATGGTTGTTTATTTCGTTCAAGACTTGCCTGATCGGAAGTTACGGGCAATGGGGCGTTAAAAATGAGTGGCACAAACGCGCATAACTATTAAAGATTTGTTTATAATGACATTATTCTGAGGATGGAATTTGAAATGTGATTACTATTTACTCATTGGAAGATGGATTCAACCATTACTGATCTCAGCCATCCTGTTCAATCGCACGGCATATTTACTTTTCAGATCATTCATTCCCTTAACCCCTTTATCACCTACCATTATCCACGGACACTTATTCTGGATCACCATAATTCTCAGCTAATGCTCTTTGTCTTTCCTCTTCCTCGAATTCCTTCAATGCAGCTTGTCCCTCTTCAGTCGTGGCATCAATGATTTGTTCCTCAAGTTGTAACATACCGCCCTAGATATGTATTAGCAAGGTCATATGGACACCGATATCACGATTTTAACTTACCTCACTGAGCTGACCTACAACCTCTTCAGCTTGTTCCACACTCATTTTACCCAGTACCTTGTTAACTTCATCCAAGCTACCACTTTCTAGAGCTCGTTGCAGTCCAGGTGGGAATGCATTGAATAATTCTCTCGATTTGATGACTTCTGGATCATCACTCGTTGCTGGTGGAATTGTAATGTTGATAGTGGTACCGGGATCAACAGCATGAAGTTGGATTTGCTCAACTCCACCACCTTCAGTCCCGTCTTCAGCTGCTCTTTGCTTCTGGATCTCCCTAGCTCTGGTGCGGACTCTGTCGAATGTAGAATTGACATCATCGAAGAAAACCTTTTGAGCTTGATGGCCCTTGGTAGTGATGCGCTTGAAAAATAAGCCAACACCATCCTTGCCGAGTGCCCTGCAGTATTGAAGTAATAGAGCTTGGTGGACACATTGCCTAGCAAAATCATCTTTGTTTGCAATTGCAGAGTTAAATGCCATAACCAGTAAACCATCGGTCTCTCTCTCTGCTAATACTGACGGATTTGAGGAGATGTATTGGAGACATGTACGATAATCGCCCATCTTAATTTGTGCAAACTTCTTTCCAAGCTCGGTAGCTTCTACTTCTTCATCGTCTTCTTCTTCGTCTTCATCAACGTCTGCATCAGCCCCCGAGGATTGTTCACCGGGCTTCGAGCCATCTTTATTGGCAAGGGCATGAGGGTTTAGAACTTCAACGGCATGGACTTTCTCCTTAGCTGGAGCCTTTTTCGCTTCTGTGGCCTTTGGTTTTGGGTCCGCTTTTGATACGAAAGAGCTGTCGAATCCAGTATGTATACTCTCACTGGTTATCTTCTTGCTCTCCTCTTTCTCCAAAGTCTCCAATTCCACCGCAAGTTGTTTTTGAAGATCCTCGACCTTTGCTTGATGTACTTTGATTTCGGCAAGATATGCCTCGAAACGGTTCTCTGGCTTGTCTTCGTCTACCTTTGTTTTCACTTGATCAATGAGCGCCGCCATCATCTTAGAATATGTTGGAGGTGCCTCCTTCACATGGGTATGTACCCCTTCTGGGGTGGCGGGGAGAGTCATCTTCACCAGTTGATTCCATCAACGCTTGAAATGCAAGGTCATCTGGACGTTTATCGGTTTGGGGACTGTAGGATTGTAAAGCGACCAGTAAGGCGTTTATTCTCCTGAGAAGTCCATCATTCACGATTCGCTCGTACTTGAAGGTGTCTATTTTATTCTTCCTCTCAAATCTCTGTTGATGAATTTGGTTTTGCTTTGCTCGAATGAAAGAGCGCTTATCAACATTTGGGTGAACTTCGATGTCTGAGTCGTCGCTCAACTCAAGCGCATCCTAATATTTTGTCAGCCTTGAACTTTCAGCCTTTCGAAGTGGGGGCAAGAGACGACGATGAGGGGTATGTATTCAGATATTGAAGATGGAATGAACTTACCCATTTGCTATAATTTATCGGCATATTGATGATAATTTAGAAAATCCTGGTAGATGTGCTGTTGATGTTGAATATTGTTGAGCTGCTTTCAGAGTTGTTATTGTATTAGAGAGAAGTCGGGTAGCTTTTTATTGTAGCCTTATTATTTATTACTAGGTAGTGATTCCTTTCAATCGAATGTTCTACAACAATTATTAGCATCGGCATCCACCATCCACCCATCCACCCATCCCATCCTCTTTGCGCTCATACATTCCTGCCCGAGACCAGTGTCAAATCTAGCCCCACGTTTAGCTTTCATAAGCCACAAATGAAAGTTATGATTGGTAAGTCAATAAAATGGTGGAAGGAACCGATGACGGAAACTAAGTCTACTAAATCTACTAAATCAACTAAATCTACTAATAATTCTAAATAATAATTAATCTTCCAAGAGATAAATATTGTTCCCGTTCTCCATGAGAATTTTGAGACTCTTCCTTCAATTATCTTCAATTCGTTTCAATGCATTCATAACTTTTTAGATTCTCGCGCAATAATGACAGTTCGGCGATTGTATCTTTCACAGCTTCATCGGTGAAATCAGCGGATGTAGCACACAATCCGAGCGTCAAAACTTTACAATGCGACGCACCTTGAGTTTAGGCAATGGTTGGGGAGGGGCCTCGGTTTACGAGATAGCAATAAAGCAACTTTCGAAAAACATTCCAGCTCCAGCAGCTTCTAAATGGACCCCTTCCGGTTCCTTTCAGGTTGCGAAGAGATATTCATCCAACCTCAACAACTTCCCATCACCATGGAACCCCGCGTCCAGGCCGGCGACCCCACAACTTTCTACCAGTCGTCTCTACCAGCAAACAAGAATTGGGTTGTCATCACCATGGCGGCCGGCAATATCACAATTGCGCTCATTCAACAGTGCATCTCCATTGCAAACTACTCCGAGGGTCTCGGATAGACAGGATCACATCGACCGAGAACGGCAAAGGCGCGAAGAAGAAGAAGAGGATAATATCGATGAACAAGGGGATTTTGCACGAAGTGAGAAAGCTTCTAAAGCGACGCAGGTCAACCTGAGCGCAAGATTACAGAGTAGTGGGAAGAAACAAGGAAATACAGCTGCTTTTGGTGAAATATGGAGGTTACTCAAAATCGCTAGACCCGAGGCGAGATGGCTCGGCTTAGCATTTGTGTTTTTACTGATATCCTCATCAATCACCATGTCAATACCATTCTCGATCGGAAAAATTCTTGATTTAGCCACTAAAGATCCTTCGGAAGGCGAAAAACTTTTTGGACTGGATATTTCTCAATTTTTTATTGCTCTCGCCTGCGTTCTGACTATGGGAGCTGCGGCTAACTATGGACGTATCATTATATTGAGAATAGTCGGAGAACGAATTGTAGCCAGACTTCGATCACAGCTATATAGGCGAACTTATGTACAAAATGCGGAATTCTTCGACGCTAATCGAGTTGGAGATCTCATTTCTCGATTGAGTTCTGATACGGTTATTGTTGGAAAGAGTATCACTCAGAATCTCTCGGATGGTTTACGAGCCATGGTCAGTGGAGGTGCTGGGTTTACAGCTATGGCATGGGTGAGCTTAAAGCTTACAAGTATTCTGTGTCTTATGTTTCCACCTGTCGCAATCGGTGCATTCTTTTATGGAAGAGCAGTCAGAAATCTTAGTCGGAAAATCCAAAGGAACTTGGGAACACTAACCAAAATCGCCGAAGAGAGACTCGGAAATGTTCGTACCAGTCAAGCCTTCGCTAGTGAGACACAAGAGGTCGGCAGATACAATCAGCAAATCAAGAAGATATTCTCATTAGGAAAAAGGGAAGCATTAATCAGTGCAACTTTTTTCAGTTCGAGTGGATTCTTCGGTAACATGACTATCTTGGCATTATTATACACCGGTGGATCTATGGTTAAGAACGGTATGATAAGTATCGGTGAATTAACATCGTTCTTGATGTATACGGCGTATGCTGGGTCAAGTTTGTTTGGTGTTTCCAGCTTTTATTCAGAACTCATGAAAGGTGTTGGTGCTGCCAGTCGTCTTTTTGAGCTTCAAGATCGAAAACCTACAATTCCTGCAACTGTTGGTACCAAGGTTAAATCTGCGCAAGGTATCATCAAATTTGACAACGTCTCCTTTGCCTACCCAACACGACCAGCAGTTGCGATCTTTGACGGGCTCAGCTTTGAAATTCCTTCGGGTACTAATGTGGCAATTGTCGGCCCCAGTGGTGGAGGTAAATCTACCATTGGTTCACTCTTATTACGATTCTATAACCCCACAGAGGGAAAGATCACAATTAATGGTCAAGACATAACAAAGATGAACGCAAAGTCTCTCCGCCGTCGAATTGGAATGGTCGGTCAAGAGCCTGTCCTCATGTCTGGCTCTGTTGCCGAGAACATCGCCTATGGAAAGCCTCATGCCTCAAGATCCGAAATTATCGCAGCTGCACGAAAGGCAAATTGTCAATTCATTAGTGATTTCCCTGAAGGTCTTGATACACAAGTCGGAGCACGTGGCGCACAATTATCAGGAGGACAAAAACAACGAATTGCAATTGCTAGAGCTTTACTCAAGAATCCAGATATCCTTATACTAGATGAAGCAACATCTGCATTGGATGCCGAATCCGAAACCCTAGTTAACTCTGCCCTTGCAGCTTTACTCAGGGGGCATAATACAACAATTTCTATTGCTCATCGTCTATCAACTATCAAGCGCTCTGATCACGTTATCGTATTAGGAAATGATGGAAAGGTTGCTGAAACTGGAACGTACAATTCTTTATCCAACAATCCCAATTCAGCCTTCTCCAAATTGATGGAATGGCAAATGAGTGGAGGTGATGCAGCGGATCACAGACCTGTTGAACTAGAAGGACATTTCACAGAATCTGAGGAAATCTCAGATGAACTTTCTCGTATTAATGATTCCGATGAGGCCGATAGTGAAGCTATTGAGGAAGGAACCAAAGAGCGAAAAGAAGATAAGACAAAGACAGAGGCTGTTTTGGAAAAGACAAACAACAAAGTGAAGTAGATTTTAAGAGAGACAAAAGGGCGTGAAAAGAATTCAAAATGTATGGATATTACCCTCCGGTCTCTTATTTATTTTCGAGGCGTTTATAGAGTACTTGTATTCGAATATGAATATATTGGCTAGGTTCTTTATAGAGCCCATACATCAGCACAAGCACAAGCACACAGCGGAAAGATAAGAGGGATAGTTACTAGCGATAGTCAAATATTGGCTTGTTATGTTATTTTATAAGTATTATAGGTATCACCCGAAAGGGAAACACAATTGTATTATACTCCACTCTTATGATAATGCATTGATAGTACGTGTTATATTTCCTTTGCATGAATAGATGAATGGATGGATGGGTGGATGAATGAGTGGATGAATACTCGTTATCTCTAACCTGTGATCTTTGAGTTTCGATTTCTCTCTTCTTGTGATATGCTCGCTATATGGTATAGGTAGATTTTTATTTGAAGGTTGATTGAAATGAATCGGATGATTTTCTAGATATATAGACGATTATTATACTTTCTACTAGAAATGGGGTTCGGCTCTGATGGATTGTTAGGAATTGCTTTTGGATGGTTGCATGGTAGTATTCCTAGTGTGTAATACTTCGGCTACTGGAAGGCGAATGTCAGTACAAGATTCGAAAGCTGGCTTATATGGAAAATCTGAGGAAAAACGTTTGATTTTTTTCTATTGTAGGATTATTTGTAGTCTTGTGTTATATATAGTTGGTGCTTCGGGTATTACTCGAGTATATTTACTATAGTAGTAGCTTGTTATCTTTGAGGTAATATATATATCTCTCATGAAATTCGAACTTGGTACTTGATGCATACTTTCGTGATTTTTGCCGATGACTTATCAGTACATCATATCATGGCAGATGCTGTTTGTCTTGTTTTTGTAATCTTACTTCAACGGTAGAAATCTATTCAAAGTTGGAAGGAAAGCCATGTCATCATGTTTCCGGCGAGGTTTATCTAGGTTTTTATAAAGCTATAAACACTACCCAGGAAAATAAATAAAAAATTATAAAACTAACAAATTCATTCCATTCTATTCCCCTGACTCTTACCAACCTATAAACTAATACAATCCCACCGCTAATTCTTCCGCAGTTCATAAGTCAATTTTTCCCGCTAATACCTCTTTTCACCACGCAAAATCTTCCACTGTAAATTTTATACTCGAGTAGTAAAGACAGGAGCTAAAATGGTCTGGTTCTCGAACTAACACGTATTCTATACGCCCAAAAATGGAATACCAAAATCTGCCTCGCTTGTTGATCTAAAGAAAAAAAGGGGAATACCAGCGGCCGCCGGTACTTGCATGCTAACCACGTTATGGGGGTCAAATATCCCTGGTAGGGCACAGGTGCCCAGCTCTGATCTTTCGGAGAACAACACTAAAATACAACAGTGAGCTAGCTCAATTTCCTCTCTCAATCTCGTCGAGTTGGCTAAAGTAAAAACTAAGTCTTAAATCTTTCTCGGGCAAGAATTAAAAACTTTATTTCCTTTTCAACAATGCAGGTATGATAGTTAAATCAATCAATTTACCCCTCAAAATAGCAGCTAGCTGACAGTGGCGTCAACCGCATCATCTAGGGGCTCTGTTTTGATTAAATCACTTCCCTCACTTCCGCCCGCGATAACCGTTGCATTCGAGTCTCTAATTACTATCCGTATATATATTTATCTGGTTTTCATCCTATGGATTAATGAAATTTGAACTAATTACAGGATCACGGTAGCAATTTAGATGATTGGGATTATCATATCTTTCTCAAACCACATTTTGAACGTTATGGAGTTACAAAGTGTGGTGTGATGACTGGTTATTAAGCTGTGGAATGCGAAATGTTATAAAAATAAAATGGGATGATTAGTTTACTGATTGATCCTGGAATTCATACACTTGGCTAGCTAAACATCAAGGGCTAGCGCTTAAAAGTATTGCGGGTGCGCTTGTTTATTCCGTTGTTAATGGTGTTTATGCTCTTATTTTGCTGCTTTTTCACCCTATATTATGATTGAGGAGGTGTGTTTGATGAAGGGTTGAGTATGCACTGCTTAGAGCAAATTGTTGGTGTAGTTATTCTTTGGGAAAGGTTTGTCATGGTCAAATACGGTTTAATGAGGACGGTCGAATTGGTGGATGAGGGCGTGATGGAAATGCGCGGGAAAACACTACGCGGAAGTTTGTCGAAGAGAACGAAGAGCAGTTCGAGGATTTGTTCTCATAGATATATTCGCAATGAACATTGCTAATGTCTCGTACTCCCTGATCTGAAGGGAGAAATGGCTGGCCTTTGAAATACACAAGCAGGCTCAATAAGAACACCATGTTACACGTTGTGTTATTTATACGATACATATTTTTGGTGGCTATGGAACTTAAAGCCATTTGAAACAATTGTTTAGTTTATCACATAATGAAGAAATGATGAAAATGAGTGTAGTAGTAGCCTCTTTTTTGTTCCTTGAGAGTTGCTATTTGTGATTCAAGATCCTTTCTTCTGAGCATCATGACTCGCTAAGAATTTAAGATTAGCCATTGCTGCACTGTTGAATAGTACTAGAGCACCGTGTTCTATAATTATTATTGGACAAGTAGATCCAACCTTAAAAATGTCCGTAGCGTTACTGCTCATTCCTAGCTGATCGTACTATACATATAATTTCTGACTCCCCGGCGGCAAAATTTCTCAGGCAGCCTGTTCCTCTATTCAGCAATATATTATAAATCCTCAGATGAATGTAATGCTCGAGCATGCTCCGAAAATCCAACTAGACTGCGATAAGAAGATATAGCTGATCGAAACGTTTACAAGAGAAACATGTTTCGAAAGACGAACTTTGAAGGGTTGAAATCTAGGATAGACAGTCAGCAATCTAAAACTGCATCATCAAATCGGCTGCCTTTCCCTCTTAATAAAACCATACTGCTTCTTACAAACAATATTTCGAGCGCATTCTTTGATAGCCACTCGACATGAAACCAGATATTCTCCAGCCAAGAGCTGGGCATATAAACTTTGTCTTGAATATTATTCCAAACTCCTCTGATTATAAGCGCAACATCTCAAAGAAGAAGAAATCTTTCAATCATATAGCCTTAAGTCTTACTTGTCATTTAGCTAGAGTCAAGTGTCATCAACCGCAAACCTATTCATAAATCCTTCCGAATCGTGCTCATTCGTCCGAAGTCATATATAGAGAATATCAATATATACCATATAATTATTATCAGTTCTCAGGATCCATAAAATCCTGCATGGGGCCTATACGGAGTACAATCACTTTAGATGTAGGCTCACTCTTACTATCTTTACGTGTACCTAGAGCTCACTCTAACTTGGATGCGATATGCTTTTTTCAAATTGAACGGTAGTCTTTCCTATTCTTCTAGAATTTGGCATCATATATTGTAAGGAAAATATTGAGCAGATAATAACTTGCACAAAATCGGGTCTCGTTGGCCACTTTGGTTGGAGTTGAGCTATTACTGTACAACATCGAGTCGATTAACTAGCATTAGCAAGTTGAAAATCTGCGCTGTATAAGTACATTTATATAGAATGAATACTTCAAAAGGCGTGTCGACTCTTCTTTTATACAGTTTAAAATCTCAGTGAGACTTAAAATGATAGCTGCATTCACATAGACAAGTATATAGCGGGACAGTGACAAGATTAGCATATAAAACTCTTTTAACTTAAATCCTGCCAATGGAAGTTCCATGTTTATTTGATGTGTATTTAGCTATTTTCGAAATTTTCCCAATTTTACCATTGAGCGCAGTCTTCATGATGGATATTTCTATGGATATTAAGGAAGTATAGTTCTTCCGTTGGACCTAGAGCATGTGTATCCTGTAGAAAAAAACTATGTTTTTTGTAATGCCGGAGACTTCAGGAGTTAGGAACTTTGAGCAATACTATCAACTCATTCTGATATGACGGTCCATCTGCATGCACCTTTGTCGTTTCAGGCTTTGGGAAGAATTTCTGGTGCAGATTCATTGATGTATTAATGGATAGCCTTGTCCTTGCACTCTCCAGTCTATTTTATGCACTCGCGGGATTGGTGGTGTAAGAGCAGATACATGCTTGTTTTTATGGCTGCACTGGTAGCTAATGGTGGTGATGAATAGATGAAGGGTTAGAATTATATAAACTATGACCTGTACCTGAATAATCCAAATATATATTTCAACGTCATTTAGATGGAATGATCAAAGGGATGGAGCAATCCAAAAGATTTAGATGTTCACAACCATTCTAATACTGTTTGGGATAGTTAATATTTGGAAATAATTTATTTTTAAACTGAGTACGGAAAATCGAACACATAGATCAGAACAAATGACAGGACATTGTCAAACTGAAAGCAGCTTTTATCTAACTTCAGAGGTAATCTTCCATCATTTCCCCTTGGTAAGCACTACTTACTCTGAATCAGACATAGCATCTCCTCGTCGCACATCTGTGCTAAAGCCATTTTTGTTCCAGATCGTAGATACTGTAGTATACTCTCACTAGTCGCCATCGACATGTCCCTGGTTTAAAATACTCAAATATGCCCAAGGAAAGTTTTCCGTACACTCGCATCCAGACCTCGCTTGAAGGAATGATTGCATCGAATATTCTTGGCAATAGCCGAGAACTTATGAGCTGCAACACCCCGCACCTCTAGTCCACTGGGCAAAAGGGTAGTTCTTGACGGATAGCAGCCCATTTAAACCGTTATATTTAGTTAATTTGTAAGGCGGCTCTTTTGGGTACGAGCTTGACGATATGGATCGAGGTCTAGACAATCATCTCAACCTCATATCGTCTAACATGCGAAATTGCCTCTCTGGCTAAATTGATCTCAATTCCTATCTTTACTGCTTATCTATGAAGCGGGGCAGAGATCAAAGATCCCGAGTCAGAAGTTAATTGCTTCAAATTTTGTCTATTCCTGCATCTTCTGAGAATGTTCAATTCGTATCGAGATGCTTAGATTTCATTGAACTTAAAGATAAGATTACCTTCGAAGGTATCCCAAGTGAAAGAATAACCGAAAGAGATACTTGGCATAGCCAAGAACTTTCGTCACTTATGTTTTTAGTATCGATTGTTATAGTTGCAAGATCGGCATCGACTCACCTGCCCCTCGGTATTGATTGCGTGTCACTGAGGTATTCTCACATTGGCGTTGCCGTGCTAAAGACTGTGATTAACGACACTGCATTAGACTTCACAATCCTTTGCAAGCCGCTAGACTGGTGCCATGCCCTTATCAATTTGGCCTTGTGAAGAAGGTAAAGTTAATTTACAAAACCTTGCCCTTCGGTAGCATCTCTTCCACAGAACGGAACATTTCGGGGATGTCCTAAAAAATTAGTTTTAAGTAGAGAAAGTGGAATAATTGCAATAGAGGAGCAATGATCTGAATCAATTTGAAGGTCAAGCTGTGCCAACCCATCGTCTATTAAGATAGTTTGTTTTTCATCACAAGCGATTCGATCCTTTTTGACCTAACTCGCCTTGCTGTCTTATCGGGACGGGTAACCTACTGGGCTGTCACTTTGGGCTACTTCCTCGGGCACAAATTACACAATATCACTTGAATTGTGGTCCAAAAACGACCTCGAGCCAAGAGATCCGGGCTATCCTAATTAACCCCGTCTACCGGCCAAGGCTTGTTAATCGGCATGGCCTAAAGTTATTCGGAGAAATCAAAACAGAATATTTTATTCTAAATGAATATGTATCAAGCAGAAAGAGCAAGACGTCTCTAAAATACATCAGAATCATAGGACGCTATTTGATACCAATAAGTGAATGATGCCATATTGCCCACAAAAAGTGAGACTATGCACTGACTAGATAAGAAGTCGTTCGATTATGCTTGCTTAAACATGTGGATCTCGAACGTAATATGAGGGTCGATTGCAACAATCCATTCGTCTAGAAGATTTCTACATGACATTGATTCAGTAACTTATCTGTACTAAAAAAAGGGTTCATTTGCGAATTCGATCTACGACGGATCGACAACATACCTTACCTGTATAATCTAGAACAAAACCCTATCAAGGGTTTCAAACAGTCGACTGTGGGGCTGGGATAGGGTTCGGTAGTCATTGTGGGGCTGATACCGCTGATCATTTTGGTCGCTCGAGCCACACTTACAGTTCGAGGATCCATCTTGGTGGCAAACTCACCATCAACCCCCATTAAAACATCAGAATGATCATCCACGACCCTTTAATTTGCACCATTTTCAATAAACACGGTGCTAGGAAGCTTTGGCCCGACTGTTGCCATAATTCTTTGGAAGTTATGCTGGCATCAAAAGGTCTTGGACACTAAGCCAACCTTCTAACAACGGTGTTGTGTTTAGACATATTCTATCCGAGCATCGGTCTTTGCTCCTTCGTGACTCAAGTAAGTAAATAAACATAGTTGAGCCCTTATCTCAACTAGGACCTGTAACTGTTATTAATTTTCGACCTACAAAACGTGGTACGAAATTAGGTTTCTATTCGAACTTTCCTCTGTGCAGGAGAAATTGCTGATAGAGAGTATCGTGGCAATGCCAAGATTAAGGAGGTGATCCTAGGTGCGGGGTCGCTAACCTTACTGGCCCATCATTAGGTGATCTACTGTGAGCTTTCCTACATGGGCTTACCGCTGATAACAGACACCAATCATATGTCATTGATTAATGCAGTGTAGTATCACTCTGGGGTATTTAGTGCACAAGGCTTGCAGGTCGGCGCAGCATGATGTAGACCAAGCACTTTTTGTGGCTATCCATGCGTCTCGCTTGCCCGCGTTGTCGCCCAAGCACATGCTCTGACCAACAGCCGTTGTTTCTGATGATAAAATACTACCTAGGATATTAAGGGATTATCCTTGGGGGTTGCACGAATAGAAGTTTGTTTGGTGTAATCATATGATTTGCGGGACTCGCTGATCCTCCTTCGGTAGGATGACGTCTAGATCTTGGTTTCGCGGCTTGCCTATCGCTTCAGGTAAGATGACCAAATCTAGTGAGATGAGCTCAGCATCGAACTAATGTGTATCAAGCTACCAAGTATATAAAGGGACATGTTATCCCTCTTCATGAATTCAGATCATTCAAAAGACCAAGAAAGAATACGATATCGCATATAAATTCGATATCAAACAGAAGCAACACCAATACCAACGCGTTTCAAACAAACATTCATACACACCTAGACATCATGGACTCTAGACTCCAGCCCGTCGGCGAGCAAAGCGTCATGTTCTCAGATCCATTCGACAGCCAGTCCATGGGTTCACCACTCAGTATGTTGTCACTTTATCACACTCATCATCTATTCAGTAACTAACCCTCTATCCAGAAAAATCCACCACAAATACCTCCTCTCACTTAGATTCTCCTTTCGATGACTACGAACAAGATTGGAAGAACGTTACCCACGAAAGAGACAGCTGGGCAACTCGAGAGAGACGACGCTCTACTCCTTTCGCAAATCTCAGTAATACTGCTTTTATGGGCAGCCACCACGAAGCAAAACATGGCCGTAGCGGCAGTTCATCCCAACCACGAAAAGGGTCTATTCTTAGCGTGTGGTCTGACCCTAATGGCGACGAAGAACCCGATGATTTGTTAGTGAGAGTGTCGAGCAGGAAGTCGGAGGACCCTAGAGATGGGAGAAGGGGAAGTGTTCTGAGCTTGTTCAGTCGAAAGAAGGATGAAAATGGAAGAGACATTATTCATTCTGATGGCCACTAGGAGGTATCAACTTTGGGAGGAAGGAAAGGAGTATTTGTTTGGATTGTTGTACATGGCGGCATATGATACCTGGGCAGGTCCCGTTGTTTGAGGCATTGGGACGACGATGAGTCACGAATTTTATATCTACAAGTTGTATTATATTAAGGGATTTTGTACTGTATATTTAGGATTTTCTTTTCGGCAGAACTTGCGACAAGTTATCGAAGCACTTATTTGAATTGTATTTTAAAATACTTGGGATTCATTTTAAAGCGATAAAATTTCTTCTCTATCTTCAAATCCTCATTTTATATCAAAACAATAACAAATGATACTCCTCAAAAGTCTATTCCGCATGTGTAACTTCCATCGCGCCATCTAGTTTCCTCCCGGTATTATCTCAAGAGCCCATCTGAACATGTGAGCATGTGCTTCGCCTCCACTATATCCTTCCATTAGCATGTCAATAAGAAACTATAGGTACCGGCCTCCTCATGCTGCTAAAAATGACAAACTTCCAAACACTAAGTTGCGGCACGAGTGCTAAAGCAACGTACGTACCTCCGCAAACTCTATCTTCCCCGCGACTCGTTTATTCATGCCATTCACTCACTCACTGACTAAAAGACATATCTAGTGCCAACGAGTAGCGAATTATTTCAAACACTACAGTCGTTAGCTATCAAGCTAGCGGACCTCGTGTATTTTTAACTCCGTCCTTCATCACCTGCCAATCGTAACTGAATACTTATGGTATGAATATCAATCAGGATTCCGAGGTATCCCTTGTTTAGAGAATGGAATGGCGAAATGATTGCGTAGTCTGGAACAAGAATCTAATTACAATATCAAGGTTTGTGGGAATTATGCACGCAGTAGACTTGTCATCAAATGAATATACGCACGCTGTATTGGCGTTATATTTGCCAAGCTGATCGTCAAGATAGATGAGATAAGATTGGTTAACTACGAGATCATCTTATCTCATCTTATCTTTGCGGGTATTGGGTTAATAGATAGTAGTATGTATTCAGGTGCGTCAAAATGGATATGTTGATACTATGGATTCACTGGAAAGCCCAAGTTGGATGGTACAAATGCGATTGAAGATATGGCCTATAGAACACACTCGGACTACTTATGTAGCATCTGCTTCTACTTAGTGAATAAATGAATATAGAATTGGCAGGCAATGTATGAAAATTAAACAAGTTCCTTCGTATTCTGTATTATCTGTACTTTTATCTGAAGATTTGCTGTACACCATTTTTCGGCATGGGAACTCGGAAATGCTCGGGTTTCCCTGCTTTGTAATTCTTGACGAAATCTATGTACCAAATTTTTCCAGTGACTACCGTAGTATGGCATTTCTTGCATTATTCAATTGCCGACACATGTAGAAGTTCCAAAAAGGAATAAACTACTGAAACCTGCAACAGAACGAACCTTCCCCTCCTCTTCAATCGAAATACACGGATGCAATTAAAGATTCATTTGGTAAGAAATTGATGCACATAGATAGACGTGCATGCCAAATCTTCCGCAGATTTGTATTCTGTAGGGCAAGAACAAGACTACTTGGATTAAATCCGCAATTTAATTCAATTTATCCAACAAGCACTATTGAAATCTGCAAGAAGATAAACCAAATCGCTAAGCGGCAGCACTTGAAGAACAAACAAGACTACTGCATGTCCAACTCTTTCGTACTTTTCAGCAGAATACTGTGGGTGTGATTTTGTGACGCGACGTCTTGTGCCTATTTTTTACAGACGATGGATTTTAGGGTTAAACTTTCGGTTAGAGAACTGAATTACCAGGGACTGGGTGATTGTGTTATATTGATTGGTGCGTGAAAAAGCATGTGTTGAAGGAAACCCGGAGGCGCCGAGAAATTAAAAGAAGGTTATCTGAAGTACGTGTGTACATGTGGGTTTGAATACGACACCCCTGTAGGTGCGGAGCGAGTCTGTTTTGGGAAGTTTGGGCTGGTGGCATGTTGGATATACGTACAGCTGATATACTGTACAGACCGAGAGGATTCTGCGAGGAGTGCGATAAATGGCAAAGTTTGCTGTTTTTCCCCTCGCATTCTCTGGTGTTTTTTATACGATTGCGAGTTTTTAATGCAACTAATTAGCTGATGCTTCTCCCCTTTTTATCGTTGCACGACATATTCGCTTATTGTGCCTCTTCACAATTTACCTCCATCTTACCATGGACCTAAAAGCCCTTTTAAGGCCCTTTTCTTTTGCCCCAACTCTTGATCCCTTTATTGCAGTCTATAGCCTTTGTCTCTTCCGTGCACCCCAACATTGCTGGCCGAGCGATTGGTCGGGCTTTGTAATCCGTGTTATATCCTAGGCCTCCATGCATGACTGTTCCTCATAGCCCTGTTATTATTTGCAGTAGTTGGGGTAGTATGGGTTGGTGGGGTGGTGAAGTGCTCTTCTAATCGACATGAGACCTTGCGGCTCGTAAGTCCATGTTAATTCCGAGAAGGAAGCATGGCTTGAAGAAACTGATGAGCAAAGGTGAAAATGTCGGATTTTTTTGGGTATTTGATTTGGTGAGCTGTTAAAAAGTAAACCACAGTCAAGCTTAATTAGACCTCCGGGGGGAAAGACATACAAAAGGCAGAAGTAATGGGATTAAATGAATGTCCGGTGGTGAAGCATGGTATAGTATTTCAGCGTTAAAACTCCAGATAATATGATCTAAGCTAGTAGTTGAAAGAAGACGATCCAGTGATAGTTGGTTCAACGTTATTCATCCCTTATGCTACCCGAGGTCACACTGCGTGATACATCGGACTACCAATGAAGTGAAGTAAGCGAATTAAGATCATTGAACGCTTTGAAGTGTGAATAGTCAATTACTGAGAAACTAAGGAAGTGAATGCCCTTGTTGTGTATGCCTTGAGCACACTGCGTAAAGTTCTGGTCTTTTCATGCCATTGAATCCTCATGTCAACTAGTAGTAAATAAATTGAACTCGCTTTCACAGCAACAAATTTTAAACATGCAACAGAACTTCCTGAAGTACAAGTGAATTGTGGATTAGATATGAAGTGTGATGTAGGTGTAGGGGAAGATGAAGTGGATCAGTCCATCCCTGGAAGACGAATTTGAAGGGAGGCTTTTCTTTAACAGTGATATGATAATTGATGTGCAGGGAAATCCTCCTACAGGATGAGAGATCTAAAGGGAGGGATCCAAAATGAGATAGGCAGCAAAACTCTTCAAAGCGGTAATTTCATCTCATCTTATCTAATCTCATATTAAGCATGAACACAACATTCCCCTCTCATCAAACCGAAATAATCAAACGAGGAAAATGATTCGAGGTAGAATAATTGCCTCTTAGTGTGGCTCGAGCCGTCTTGTAGGCAGGCTAGCTCTGCCGGAGATGGGAGTTCGATTCTCTCTATTTCTATTTTTTCTTTCTGTGTTCTTTCTAGTGGTTGATGTTTGGCAGTAGAGGTCGGTTTGTCGTAGCTGGTGTAACCCTGGAGGATTGAGATAGTTGGGACAGAAACTTAATCGCTGCCAGGAAAGAAGTGGTGGTAGTTCCTGCTTTGTTGCTGAACATTAAGATATTTAGTAAGGGTCTTTCGGGTGTTGAGGTTAGTTTGAGTAGCTGAGATGATAATCCTCATATTAAAAATGAGTGCTAATGTTTGCAAGGTGTTGTGCAAGGACTTGGAAGAAATGGAGGATGTGAAATGTGAAGCATAAATCTGGAGCTTGCAAAGATATCCCAAAAGTTGACTGGTAAAGTGTAAGATTTCATCATACCGATGTGCCAAGTTGCTTTCACAGCATTTTCTGGATTTGTACAAGATTAACTAGATTCACTTCACTTTTATGGTTTTAGGTGATGAATTAGGGGTCTTGCCTGTACATTCGTGAGTGAAAAAGCTCAGTTAACAGTTGGTAATACACCCCCTTTTTCTCTTCACCTCTGCTTCTTCGCGTCCTATTCAACTTCAGATCGTACTTCCGCCCAAAACTTGCAACTACCTCAAGATTTCTCAGGCTGGGTGGGATTCGACTCATGGGGTTGCACTAAAAATAAAGCTCAGTGTCCGGTAAATTGCTTAATGCTTGGGATAAGTATAACAAGGGATAGAAACCAGGAGAAGCGATTGGGCGAAGAAAACAGGACTAAATGTAGGAATTGGAGGCAAGTGCCAAGAAGCGTCTAGCTGTCGCACAATCCTATAGAATAAGAAAGAAAAAAACATTTGACTTGCAGTATTTACAACAGGGGCTTCCTTATTAGGGCACCGTATCGTTGAAATTTCCAAGTAGTTCTTTTCGAGTCCATATTTTGAGGCGGATGATGTTTTGCATAGGCTGCAGATGGATCTGCTCCAAGTCGACGATATCAAATAAAACTGTACAATTTAATGTATATCAGTGAGACAGCACATCATGCATAGATTCGTAACAACTTCACTGTCGTTTAAAATTTCTGCGCAGCCACGTTAAACCAAGGCCCGGGGCAAGTTTTCTGAAAGGGGCGGGGAAATGATTGAGTTGTGGCACCGGAAGATCGGGGGGTCAAGTCTTTTTGACAGTGGTGCCGCAGATTCAGGGTCGACACTTAACAGATGACGACGCGCGACCAAGAATTTGGTTACGGAAAGCCCTCATGTAGTGGCGTATTCGCTTAATGGATCTTTGAGCTTGATAGAAAACTGCACATCGCGGTCATTTATGGAATATAATTTTTCGGAGAAGCTTCATACATCAGGCCGTTGCAGAAACAAAAACCATGAGGACAAAAAGCCTTTTCACCGCTATGAGCAGACATGGATACCTACAGCGAGGAGACCCCGTTAAAGAAAGTGACAATTCACAGAAGCCACTAGGGTAGTAGATATCTACTAGATCTGCAAATCATCACGCCATATCACACTTATCAGACTATTATTTGCTCACACAAATAGGTCCCTCGTTATCAAATGTTCGTGTGTGACAAGGCAATGTGGGGAAAACCATGCCAGCCATGAACCAATTCATGCAAGCCACTTTACCCTGCCCATGGTTTGCTTTGAGGTCTGCATGAAACTGTCGAATTGACGGCAAGCAGCAGCAAACGCACTGCTGAACATGCAACCGGTAAAGAAATCATTGCAGATCTCAAGCCGGTATCAAAGCCTGGTAAGTGGATTGACACAGCCCTACCTCGCCAGCTCCCTTATTGCTCCTTGATAAAGGAATTTCATATGTTGATCTATTGAGTAGTTCTAGACTCATTTTTGCATCAAATTTTATATAGAATTTGTACTTTTGGACGTATGACATTTAGCGAAATAGTACTAATTGCGCGTGCTCGACGGCGTGAATTCGAAGCGAGAGACGATAAGTGGAATGCGAGAAATCTGAATGATCAAAGTTCTAAGACTTGCTTCACAAAATTTTGCAGCCAACTTGGCTATCTAATTCAGTATACCGCTTTATGTAAGTCGGCTCACAGGCAGGAGTGGGGTGGCTCCTCGGTATGCCGCAAATAAGTCGGTTCGTTCGGGATGACGCCTCGTATTTTGTATCCGAAGGGAAATACATCGTCGGCAAGGAAAGGGCGATGGAATGGTCATTTAAAAATTATGATAGGTCAACGACGCATGAACCTGAGCTTTCACAGATTGTAAAATTTTCTTCACAATAACCACTATCGCTGGATACACTTTCACCTCGTTGAAGGAGCTCAATTGATAATATAGAAAGAAAGGTTGCTGTGGAATAAAATCTCGAATTGAGATCGATTTGCATGCTTCACGCATCGAAATTTTTCTGTTCAAGATGCACCTACTAGGTAAAATCTTAGACACGGATATTAGCTCCTATAACACTTTGGGAGGTGTCTTCCCGCATTCCACGGAAGTATCCTAGGAATTGAGGTATGCGTGCGAAAATCTGAGCTATCAAAATTTTAGAATGCAGAAATGAAAGAGTAAAACGCAAATTGCAAGATGGGATCGCGATTTTTCCTTGCTTTGGGTTTGGCTTGCGATTTTTCAATGTACCAAAAGAAACTGCGGTGTGGAAGAAAAAGAAAGGCAAATCATCATCATGTCAGCAACGGTATAACCAGTGGCAGTACAACCTTATTGGAATCCCTGTTTATACATAGGTATGTTGAGTATGGGTTGATACTCTAATTTTATGTCACTGGCTTTTCAGGGACATATATTGATCTATTTTATCGATTTTGAGGACGACGAAAAGCAATTGATCGAAATCATCAGCCATGTATCAGGCGTCAATGCAGCGGATCTATATGTGTAATCTGCACAAGATTTCTTTCATGGCTTTTTTCTTTGGGTGACTGCTCTGTCTCCTTTTAGGCCTCTGTTGAATCATGCATTTCTACATGCACTTCTACGGGAGATGGAGTAAGATAGGACAGAGTAAAAATGCGAAGTGCGTAAAAGAAATGGATTTACATTGCATTCAGTGAGTGTGCGAGGCGAACGGCGTAGTTCCCCGTCTGTTTAGTGTAGATTTTGGTAGCAATATCCTTGTGAGAAGTCTGGACCAGCTCCTGCCCGTGCCTCTTTTCCCCCCACTCGCCCCGTATTCTTCACGTACGGAGTGGAAAAATGTTGCCATCACCCGTGCACAAACCCCCTAATACCCTAAAGTTAAAGAACCATTTTAGTTGATCCCCCCTCCTAACGGGAGTAACGGAAGACGGTATGTACAAATCTTTTATCCGCTGTTAAATCGTTTTTATTCAACCGGTTGATTTCATATAGGGGCTTACAATGAGCTTTCCTTCCTTTGCTGATAAAGGAAAAGCTATCTACCGACATGTAGAGGTTATGTGAGTTCCACACCGCTAGTCACTTCGGGCCAAATACGATTACTGCGTATAGCTGCGTATAGCTGCATGCAAAAGATTCATCAGAAAGATAAACTCGGTGTCATCACCCGGCGTCTCTCCTCCCGAACGTCTTCGTTTAGCAATATTTCAAATCTAATTAATTAATTAAATCCCTCCTTGCATAAATGGTCACAAAAGCTCTCTCACAGGGCTTGGACCTTCCTTACATGCACTTTGCCCCGCCCAACGCCAAAATTTTACTTCAAGTAAGGCTACACATCGTATGCTTAAGGCTGTACATCCAATGCTTCTCATCTTGTGTAACTCTCCGCGGCTGTTTCGAACACAAACATTATCAAAAACTCATTAAAGTCATAACGCTTCGGTATAGCCTCGTGTTTCCATCTTGTTGGAATATCTTCGGCCTTTCTGCCCTGCTTCGCATCCGTTCTATCCCGTTAATCCTGGTAAACTCGTAGCGTTACACACCCACGCAGCGCTTACACCGAACTCTGGGGATTTTCTAGGGTTTCCGTCACAAGAACATCTATTTGCCTTGAACTAGAAAGTCCGACAACTAAGAATAAATGAGAGGAGGCTAGACACATATCTTTGCTTCACTCAGCCCGTTTGAGAGTACATTTTCGTTCGCTCAGTTAAACCCGGTCACCAGTGTGTAAGGATCCTCGGGTGGGGATGCGAATATCGACCCGTCACGGCAAAATGAGCTTCCTAATGTGTAGATATACATGGTCTTGACCCATTTATGTTGGCCACTAGCGATTTCAGGAGCATTTTGATTTGTTACCAAGTCCCCGGGTCTGAAATAATCACATGATAGTCATCTGCGTTCGAGGATGTTCCCTGCTGTCTCTTATGAGAAGCTTTTATATCGTTCAGAAGGGCTGAGGAAGCAATGAGGAAGGCCAGAAAATGATAACAAAAGGAACATAAGGTAAGAAATATACTTTCAAGATGGAATATGCCAATTAGACCGCGCGGCAGAAGCGACGGTGCAGCACTTTGAAAGGGTTCACAAGAAGGACAGTGTGGCGGCAAAATTGTTTCTTCAGTGAAATCGAGGTGCGGCAAGTGCGGTGGGACTATATGTCTGTGTCTTGATGTCAATTTTGACATGGGGGAATAGGATCGTTTTTTTGTGATAATCCTTGGCACCTAATGCCCGAACAATTGAGCAGATTCATTGGTTGTGGCTTTCATTAATTTCTTCAACGTGTATATGCAACATCCACTTCAAGTGTTGCTATTCTGTTATTACATCATGTTAAAAGAGGAGCAAACACTCAAAAACAGTTAGCTACGCACTAATTCTTATGTAGACGATACTACGTAACCTAGTAGGACTCATCAACTGCAGGATATCAGGTAAAGCCCACCAATCGAAAAAGTGTCTAAAAAGCAATATGTTCGCAAGGATAATCTCAGCCCCACACATATATCAGTCTCGGGCAGCCAATTAGTTCTTGTGCTTTCTCCGTGTCACTTCTTCAAAACCCAAAGCCACGGTACCTCGCTGCAATACTGCCAAAAGGAGTTACTCCAAATTGTGAATTGCTTAGGAATAATTATAGCTAAACGACATAAAAATAAGAGGGCTTTCCAAAAGTAAATCAAACACAAGACTCCGGTAGCCAGTCCGGTACACAAGAAATATAATGCATGTCCTTGTTGGAGAAAGTTGCCTCACCCCTTGATGCCGACATAGCACTGTCTCAAAAGCTATCTGAAATTCCCAATTTTTATGCTACTTCAGATCGAGTTGGTGCTGTGTTGGATTTCTCCTCATAGTGTGTATATTAGATTCTCCGTCCCTATTTCATATCCACCCGGGACCTTGAATTTGCTCATTGCTATTTTCAGAAACTTTACCTTGTTGAACTTTCTTCTTCGCCTTATCAAGCTACAGACTTCTTAAGATCGTTTAAGATACCTTGGAACACACTGCCACCAAAATGACAATGAAAATGGAACCTTCATCTCGAAAAAACTCATCTGTTATGGAAATTCCGTCACTTGTCAACAAAGCCGAAGATGTTGTGACCCAGAAAATGGATATACTCATGATCCTGAATCCTTTGGAAGTCAAAGCAAAAACAGAAGAACCCGCTGACAACGACTCGAAGGATTCCAAAATGGATGTTGACACTCAGCGTGAGCCGTCGCACTACATAGAGCAACCAAGACCGATAACCAGCGGGCTTTCCACTTTAATCCAATACCAAGCCCAGCTCGGAAGTCTGGAAAGCCATACTCGTGCCCGTCTCAACGCTGCACGAAGATCAAGAACGCAACTTCCGCCGGCTCCTATTAATCGTCGTCCTCTGGCGTTCACCCCAATAAATGCAAGCCATAGATACACAAACCAGTACTCTCTACCCCCGATCTATTCTCCCCACGATAAGGAATATCACTCTTCACCTCCGGTTCATCGCCGTCGTCATGATCACCATCATAATGTTAATCATCGTCACCATTCTCAATCAGTTTCTGCTCCCAATAGGAAGAGGGCTCGCAGCAACAAGGCTTACTCGATTGAAGAAGTTGATTTTATCCGCTACCACAAAGAAGATTTGAACAAGACCTGGGACGAGATTCTATCTTTCTTCAAGAGATATTTCGTTGACAGAGATACGGAGCAAAGTCTTTCGTCGAGGTACTACAGAGATAATTGCTTCAAGATGTACGATGCTGATGGCAGGCCAATGCAAGATGAAAATGGAAAGATTAGAACGTTTTCAGCCAAGGTTAGACAAAGAGGAACACCGGCTGGAAGAGAAGAAGCTTTACCATATACCCTCGTGCAAAAGCATCCAGAAAGAGCCATGAGGTACCCTTGGGTGTCAGAGCAACACAAGGTTGAAGCACAAAGACTAGCGGCCGAGATGACAGACCTAGAGCGAGGTATGTGTTTTCCTTCGTTCGCACCCTCCGACTACCTATGAATGCGTAGTACAACAGGAAGCTAATACCCATGGCAGAGATCTTCAATTCGCAGAGAGTGCTGCAGTTGAGAAACGATGAAATAGCAAGTGGCATAGCTCAAGGTAGACAAGAATCCGCGAACGAGTCCATGGATGAATCCAGCAATTACGAGGGCTCATCTACAGCATCAAGTCCTCAAATCACACCACGATCTTCCCCTTGAATGGCCTTTGGTTCATTCTTGCGTCTACACATACGTTTTTGGAAAATGGAAAATGGCAGGTACTGTGGTGGGCGTTGAAAGGAGTTAATGGACTCCTAATTACCCGGATTCACAATGAGACTGTTGATTCCCGTTTAGTATTTTAGTACAAATGATATATTGGTATGCTTGACTACTATTATCGAGAAATGTGTTTTTTGTGGGAATGTTGGTGTGCTTAATGGCACAATTCTGCTAGGTCGTACAAAATTATGACAACGAAATGACTTCACCAATTATATACGAACTTTCTTCCATAAGAATTTTTGACTTCATGATAATGGTTAGTTTTAGTGAAGGAGATCGAGATTTATTTTGACAAGATAAATCATCAAGTCTGTGCAACGGGATGGCCGGAGTAAATCACTTGAAGAATTTTGTGTATGCTGGACGAGAACCAGAAGATGCTTTACAAATAGCAACCGGCGATTTTAATGTTGATAGAACTTAAGATACTTGCACAGGATTTGCTCAAAGGCCCTAGGCTTCTGTTCCTCCATTGCTGCGAAATCGCACGATCCACCTTGCAACAACAACCTGCACAAATTATAGCACCAAACTTAACTTCGCCACCAGTAATACGCCTAGCAATGCTAATCTAATTTCTCACAAGCTCAATTCAAGCCTCACACTAACAATAGGGACTGGTTCCCACTATCGACAAACATTCTCAGAACCTATTGGAATCTCCAGACCATCAATTCGAAGTCAGCAATTCAAATTTAAATCCGTCTAGACATGCAGAAATCTGCCTAATACCCTGCAATAGCCGCAGGCTCATCTCGCGTTGGATCCTATTCTGTGAAGTTGAGTTGAATGAGGCTGTCAGTCCGAGGAACTGGACAATATTTGGAAATCATTGTAGTAATCAAACCAACAACCGTCTCACTTCCCAATCTATTTTCAAGACCCCGGGCACAGAGTAGATCAAATTTATTCAAAATTAGTTCATCAACTCCTTTATTTTACCTTCACCATTAGTTCTAATTATTTCAGTTACAAGCCAATAACTTCTATCCCCGGATTAAATTCCTTTAGCATTCTCAGCCTAAGCTAGCTTCGGAGCGCCGCTTGGATGTTTTCCACATAACGACTGAGGTTGAAGACAATTTGCTACTCTTTTTACAAGGGTTTCTGATAGCCAACCTAACTTTGCCATCTCTCCAAGTTCATTGACTACTTTCAAGGAGCCATGTCACAAATACACTTCACTAACACCAACGTCAATCCAGTAAGGAAGGTGATTAGTACCACCCAACTAACATCAAGGTGCAAATTTGCGCTTCTACTTTCCATACAGAGGCATATACGAGCCTCCTGAGTATAACACCAAGACTTTAGCCAACACTTGCCCAGCTCCATCTATAACCCCATTCGCCTTATGAAAGACGGCATGATTTTCATACCTAAAGGTGGACCCGCTATTTCAATCAACGGCCACTTATATTAATAACCCATATCAGAAGTCCAATACCCATCAATCACTCAGGGAGCTGAGCACCGCATTCATCTGCCAGAGTACCATGTTCTTCCTAAGTCATCATGATCACTTAATCTTTACCAACAATTCACACTCATGTCTTAGAAGCGCCGCAATAACTTTACAAGTCCCGAAAATCTTACTGCATGATTGACACTCAAAAATTGCAATTGCCGTGCCTCAACCTTCACAATAACTTTGCACCAAAGCATTCAAACAGTGAGTAAAGAATAGAAATGCAATCGCAACGCGGGCTGAGACCTTCCGTACCCGTCCCGTCGGGACTTACATCAGCACCACGCTAAATTGTTCACTATTACATTGCCACTTCATCTTATGTACTCAGGACTCTCTCGGGTTAGTATATCGGATATCGGGTAAATTGATCTGCAAGTGTAGAATGTCGCTGCAAAATCAAATATCCAACGACCAAGCTTTCAATATCCCGATCATATATACAGTCTGGCCGGTTGGTAATTTGTGATTGGGTGCCGAAGCCGACTAGTAGTAGTGCTGATGCGAAATTTATGCGTATAAGCGAATGGTAGGGGGTCAAACCCCGTGGCAGTACAGCTGTTATGTTGTTGCTTTTAATGAAGGGCATGTATGGATAGGGATGTGCGCGTTAATGTAATACAGTATCGTTGTCTTGTTTGGGCTTTATTTTCAATCGAAGTTTTTATTTTTATGGTTTTAAAATGGTATTTCGGGAATGATTGATGAGGTTGAAAAAGTGGGAGTCAATAATGAATTGTTACAGGTCTTGAATGCTTTCTTCCATAGCCCTCAGTCCGCTGTTGGAAGTTCTGGACACATGATTCTATTCTGAATGCACTCGAGGTAGATGGCCAGACAGTTGGGATTGATCCTCAAATCATTGAATTATCTTCAAACGAGTTTGCCAGCTTGGAAGATTAGATGATTCGATGCATATTATCGTCGGAACTGTTTAGTCCAAGAGTTACTTGGCTTCTGTCTTTTGCCGGAAAAAGGCATTGTACGCCCCTTATTTCTCTACATGTTGGATCTTCAGTCTTTTGAACCTAAATTGCGTTAGGAAAAGATTTAATGACTTTGAACAAATCTAGAAGGCCCACATCTTCACGCAGAAACGAAACGCTTCTAGACGCCTACGGTATACATCCATGGGAGGATCCTTCACTTCTCCGACAGTCGCCGACAAGCCTCGAATTCGCCGGAGAAGAAAACGATCTATAAGATTTGAATGCCAAGATCAGTTCGGCCATTTCTCATGGAGACATTAAACCATGCTAAACCCCCCTTTCAAGCTAGTCGAGATCCACTAGATATCACCAAAAAACCCCATGGCTGAATTAATCAATGCGGTGTATAGTACTCGACAACGTCAAAGCAAACCTTTGGGATCGGCGGCTTTTAGAAACTGCGCAGTAGGCGCACAAAAATAGAGGGATGAACATACAACCGTTCTGAGCTTCATCATACATTGGCACAGAGCGTTATCTTCGATCATAATGCCTGCAAACTTCGACGTCACTCGCCTCGCATAGAAAGATCTGATAACTACTCCGCGGACTTAGTAATTACGGCCAGATTAGTTATCCTAGACGAGTCTGAAGTTGTAAGTATCTAGCCTGTGTATTATCAGCGTAATAGATCTCAAATATCCTATAAACAATTCTAATTGAAATCTCCAGTATCGTAATTTAGAGTTTTTTTTTTTTTTCGTTTATTCTTTCCGTTTCATCAAGAAATATGCACGATTAGGCACGCCGAACTTCAATGATACCCCAAGCTACCTCGCGCATTTTTCTGTACATTGCTAGGTCAAGTAACCTTCAATCATCTAGATAACAATACCTACCATTAATAAGTCTTTGTCTGCAGGTTTACTCCTGATCATTTGCTTACGATGTACTATCCTCATGAGTGACGTAGCTGTTTTGGCAAATTTGTCTCCTACATCTTATTCCGCGCCGAAGAGGGCATGGGACTTCTACTTGCAATTGGATCTCAACTCGTGTTAAAGCTAAGACGATAGATGTTATTCATCACAACTACATGTCGTTGTATCCCAAGTGGTAACATCGTTACCTGTACCTCTCCTAGAAATGTGATGAGCCTTTTGCGATCTGATACAATTTCTAATGCAGTTTCCACTTGAATTATCTACCATTCTAGGCATCCGGGGTGGAAGAAAATGAATATTCGCCGAACTTACCAAATAGTACCAGAAATTTGCGAAGCTTCATGGAACATTGACTATCAAAATAGAAAGATCAAGCGCCGAATCCAGGAGATTTCACTAAGTCGCACATCAAAAGCAAACTTATTGCCAGTCTCCATTTAAAGCGATCCCCAAGGGAAAACTCTACCATGATAGGAGAAGCAGCGTTTCAAATCCCCCATCCTATCCTATCCTTGGATTAAGGATAGGCAGGATGAGGATACAAATTTTTTCTTAAGGATATAGTAGGATATATAGGGTTCAGGATACGATGGGAGAGAAGAGGATACCTGGAAAATTTTTACAATTTTTATAATTAAGATGAACAAATAGTAAATATTTTTCGATAGGAAAGTAAATACTTTTTGTTTTGATTAATTTAAATTTTTCGATAAAAATATTTCAAATGAAATATTGGTCAATTGATCTTTTTTTGATATCTTATGTGATATTATTTATATTTTTTCAAAGGATAAGCAGAATGAGGATATTTACAAAATCGATAGGATATAGGGCCTCCATTCTGGGCCTAGGATAGGATGGGAGAGGATAGGGATGGGAGATTAGAAACGCTGAGGGGAAGTGGTCCTAACCCTTCGAAGAGCCATCCGAGTGAGATTTAAAAGAGTTGATTGGGAGGATCATACTGCCTGTCATTTCCATACTATGCATCCAGCTTATTTGTTCTCTCAAAAGACCTTTTGACTTCGACGTCTCGAGACACATAAGAATCTCTTCGGGTGTCATCACAACCCAATCCACGTCAAAAAGTGCCTAAAAATATGTCAGTATAGTGATATCAAGTCATATATAGAGAAACTGCCTACTTCTTTGAACGTTTTGGCGAGTATCTCAAATAAAATTGCTCTGTACTAGAAAGCAAGTGTCGACGATAAATCAATCGATGAGACTCTGAGGTCAGAGGTTTGTACTATCATGATCGCTTGAGTCCCTCGGTTATCTCGCTCTAAGGGTGGGGAGATCTTGACTCTCGCTTCCGAATTAGCATAGTACATTCGAGTTGCATAGCTCTTTCTCTCCAATTCCTAGTCTCACATCCTATCTAGTCAGATAGCTTTGGTTAGGGGTGCTTATGCTTTAAATGTATAATAGATAACAAGCGCATAATACAAAATACCCTCTTACAAGCTTCAGGATGCACAAAGACTCAGCGAATTTGGATTCTTGCATAATAGCTATTAAACGATAGGAGGATGAAAATACATATAATGAAAAAAATAGAACTCCATTCCATCCCATCGAATTGCCTCAGTAGAGTTGATCAACAGTTAAACCAGGACCATACCATCATCAGATCTAGCGAGTCATCTAGAATATTAATAGGAATATCTCCTTCAACTTTGCATAGTTGTCTTTTGAAGGATTTGAGCTATGCACCATGAATACATCATGATGAATTGTACATAAAGTCATACTAGCATCAGAAACGATGAGTGGATAAATTCTTTGGGCAAAGCGGCTCATCTCTACAGTGACCGTGCACTGCTACTAGCCATAGGCCTTTTTTACACTAAAACTCACTCTTTTCATTTATTAATATTAAAAGAACTCAATATTTTTTAAAGAAATCCTTCAATACGTTTAAAAGGATTCATTTAAATATTTTAAATTTTGATTTTTATAAATTTTAGATTTTGAAATTTTCCTTATTTTACCACAAAAATTGAATCAAAATTTCAAAAAATAATCAATTAATTTTTTATTATATATTCAATTCGAAATAATCCAATTTTTCAATTTCAATTATAATTTTATAATAATTAAAATTGTTTTAATTTTGTAAAATGGTTGAGGTTTGGTATGAAAAGGTCATTCAGCTAGTAGCAATGTGCTAGTACTGTACATACACATACACATGCACTAACTCCACTACCAGTATCACCACACCATCATGTCGCCCGTTGTAGGAACGTCGTCTAGTTTATATAGTACTTTGAACCATGGGGTATGTATTTATGCTTTTCCATATTCGATATTTAACTCTATATCCTCTGATTAAATCCATCCATCCATCCATCCATCAATTATAAAAAAATTATACATACCCTCATGCCCATCCCATCACCTAACCAACCAACTAATCTCCTCTTAATAGAAACTCGACTGCAAACACACCACTCCCACCCCCACCTCTACCTATTCCAGCATTCCCACCCCCTCACCCACTCCCTTGCCCTTACCTTCCTGGCTCATCCCCTTTAGCCTCCTCTCCTCCCTCCTCAACCTCATCGCCATCTGTCTCCTTCCCCGACAACACGGCAAAGCTCTCTTTATGTTAGGGTGGATTGTAAATTGGAAATTTATAGAGTCGGGATACTGGCCAGTGTTTCTTATGGAATCGATTCTGCTTAGGTTGATGTGTGGGGTTTTGGGTTTTAGGAGGATTTTGGGATGGGTGTGGGGTGGTTGATTTCGGAGTTTGGGTGGAGGGAGGGTGAGGGGAGGGGAGGGTAATGGCGAGAGGGAAATAGATGGAGGAAGACAAGCAGATGAACAAAGAGAAAGAGATACTGAAAAGCAGATGAGTATACCTGAGAAAGTTAAAGTTTAAAGAAAGCAAAAACGAGATAGAGAGAGAGCGGGGGCGGGGGTTATATGAATAGCTATAGGTCACCTGGTGAAAATAGACCTACTGCGAATTCAGGGAAAGGAAAGGAAAGGAAAGGATGAAAAGAGATTATGCAGAGAGCGAGTGCAGATACACAACAACCAACCAACCAACCAGCAACCAAGAAAAAAGAAACAGGAAGGAAACGAGATTTAACGAGTCGAAAATCGAAAAACCACCAAACAAATCAACGAAATCCTCCCCCCCGGAAACCAAAAAGAACACCAAGAAGGAAAATAAGAATACATACATACATACATACATACATACACACACACACGTACGTACAGGAACAGGGCCATGGACATGGACAGGGATATTCGTTAATACAGAAGCATACATATGGATAAAGATATCGATCGGATAGCAACTCAAATTTGAGTTTTGTAGATGGATAGATGGATGGATGGACACGTGACTTTTATTTTTCCTTTGTTTTATTTATTTTATCTTTCCTTTTCTTTTAATGATAATGAAGATGAAAATAAAAATAAAAATAAATAAAAATATACATCTACTTGATTGAGACATCTATCTACTTTTATATCTACCTACCTACCTACCTAGTGATATATCTATCTATCTATCTATCGAGTGAGCTTTACACAAATTGTATACATACTGTGCACTGTATGTTGAATACTATGCGAAGATTCCCGACACTTGTTCCTTGTATTTGTACCTGCAGCTGCACTTGTTGTTGCTAACTTCAGCTTGAATTATAACTCATAACTAACGGGTAGAGAAGAAAGCTTTTATGTAGCTTCACTTTGTAATTGTCGTCATCATCATCATCATAACAAAAATGTTCAAAAGAGCAAGATATAATATCAAATTGGTCCACGACCATATAATTCACTCGTATGCTATGTATGTGTATTAACACAACTGCTCGATCGTGATCCATTCCACGACCATTCATTCCTTCCTTCCTTCAGCCCTCTAGACACCCGTCCAGTACCAGGGCGATCCATAAAACGCCATGCAGCTAAACAGCCTGAAGAGACAACAACAACAACAAGTATTTACGCCATCAATCATAAGATCCTCCTCACAAATCCCAACTCGCGGGGTATCAAGTGTCGTTGAACAAAACCACAACTTCCAGGAAAACTCCTCCCGTAAACAGGATGCTAGACTGTCTTACATACCAAAGCGAGCAAGCAAAGGTATAGACTATCAAAAAGTTTTTAATTCGAGGCATGTCTGGTTATGTAAAGACCAGTTGAGATAAGAAAACTTAATCGAATGTCGAAAATAATGATTCAAGAAAAGAGTTAGATAAGAGCGAAACCCTGCCGTAAACAGCATGCTAGACCGTCTATAAAAGACTATCAAAAGTAACATATGCCCATACTAACTCAACCGAGAAGCATAATCGAGAGTGTATTGTCGAAAAGTATGTGAGAGTATCGAATGATTTCATGACGAAGATGGTCAAAGATGACGAAATATTTAACCACCGAAACCATAGAGGGTACGGCCTTGTCTCTTCAAAGCGTAAACGACGTCGAGGGAAGTGACGGTCTTGCGCTTGGCGTGTTCGGTATAGGTGACAGCATCACGAATGACACCCTCAAGGAAGGTTTTCAAAACACCACGGGTCTCTTCGTAGATCACTGTAACAAGACGCGTTAGAAAATGGAAATTAGAAATGATATTGAACATCAAGGTCATTGGACCAAGGCGCAATAGCATAGAATGGGATAAAACTTACTGGCAGAAATACGCTTGACACCACCACGACGAGCGAGACGTCTAATAGCTGGCTTGGTGATACCTTGGATGTTGTCTCTCAAAATCTTACGATGACGCTTAGCACCACCCTTTCCGAGACCCTTTCCACCCTTTCCGCCTATAAAAGAATATCATTAGCACATGTAATAGTTAACGCGACGATGTATTGGAGTGAAGTAATTGTTATTGTAAGTATATCGACATCATAAAGATGTGGATACCTTATCGCGTTGTGTAGAAGGTGGAGATCAAAAGACCAAAACACCAACACCAAAACATCTCCATTCAAAGATCGCGACCGAAGACGACAAGAAAACCAATTCAACCGCATTACCATATGAATAAGGTAATAACTTACGTCCAGTCATGATGAAATAGTAATTAAGAAGTGTATTATTTCTTTGATAATAAAACGCGTCTTAAGACGATGTATTGATGGTATTCCGATGTAATAAAATCAAAAAAGTAGTCGAGTGGGCAGAAAAGTGTTGTTAATAAAATAGAAGATTAAAAAGGCAAAACCAAGTCCGGGAGGGAATTTGATTCTTTTTGATGGAGAATCGAGTGATCTGTAAAAGGTTTGACGCTAGTACCTTCTTAGAAATTAATGGAAATGCGTAAAAGGTGAGAAAACAAATGTATGTAGGTGTTAATTTATTGCCGAGAAAAAAAAAACCAAGTCGGTTCAATTTCAATGTTCTTTCCTTACTCCTCCGTACAACACAGCTCATGGCCATGGCTGGCTGCTGTGTTCGCCTGAAGTGAAGTAAGTCTTTGCAGTAAGTGTCCCGTCCAAGCGGATCGTTAACTTCTCCTTATTTCCAGGGGTGCATAGATAAGCGAGTACATAGGGATTGACATCCTTATGCGTAGACTTCATTTGTTATAAATTGAATGAAACCAATAATATCTGCAGTATTGGAAGATAGGTATTAATATGATACAGTTTCATTGTAACTGTTTGCTTCTATCATATTTCCTTTTTAAGTCTCTAAACAGACTCGGTTAAAAGTAATCGGGCATTAAAGTGATGATTGATATCGGCCAACTTTCTCATTAATGCATACTGCAGCTTCTTCTTCATACGCGTCAGGAATTGAGAACCATACAAGGAAATATAGGTAATTATTACTTTAAACATGGCCTATCTACAACACCAAAGGCACTCATAAGGAATGTATATCATAAATCCTCAAGACCATTTACTCACCAACCCCAAGCTCGAATGTTGGGGAGCTTTATGATGCATTTTCATACCCAGTATACAGTGCCGAAAAGTGATCCTATAAAGAATCCTCACCCTCACCCTCACCCTCACCCTCACCAAAAACCACAGAACACTCTCCAAAATCCCTATTATCACAACCTATACCTACCTACCTTATCCTCACTCAGAACCTCCTCCTAAAAATAGACTCCATCCATCCAACCTCTCTAAATTACCCACTCACGCCTTCTCCTTTTTTTGATTTTGAGCATCTAACTACTAAGATCTTACTTCTGTGAATGGCATTGAAGATCAGAATAAATATTGCGCAATGCTTTATGTTGACGCTCTGTGTGTAAGGAGTTTATGCCATTTTGATCAAACAGTGCATGTTGAATAAGGAATTGTGGTGCAATACGAATTCATAGGATAGGTATACGAGATACATATTTACTCTAGTTTGTATACATCTTTCGACTTTCACTGGAGACGGGTACTCAGGAGTGGGCACTGAGTGGTTTGAAGAACCTCCTTCTTACCGAGTTCGTCACCGATACAGTACGCTCTTTCCAAGGATAGCAACAATTTTCACGTCAATCTTTTAGGATAGTATTTTGGTTTAGCAAATTACATTATTTCTGTATCTTTCCTCCGTAATATTTCCGATGTTCCCTGAACATCGTGTCATTGACGTCATCTTCCATGTCTTGCCTCCTACACCTTCAGCAGCCTCGGGCTCTGTATGTATAGACTTGATGGGGATGACTAACCCAGTTTCACGCCAAATATGATCCCGAGGACATTTCCGACCAGGAACATTGGAATGGAATCCATTGTTAGACTCCAGATTGTGTGAAGGATAGCTGGAAAAGGAAATGAATCCCAGTGTGCCAAAAGATACCTCCCAGCCATATCTTTTCAGATCCAACCATGCAGAGAAACATCCCATAAATCTCTACTTGTGAGTCTCGATGGATGAGCTCCCTGAAGAATGTCCATAGACGAAACACAGCGCGGACATCTCCAATGATATACCACAAACTGTTATCCGCTATCCCATCATCCATTTTGAAAGAGGAAAGTCTCGACGCTTCAACCCTCCTTCCTACCAACAATCTCAGCCAAATCCTTCCTGCTTATGCTCTTGCATAACCTTCGTGTATCCGCATAACTAGCAGTCATCCTCATGATTCGATAAATTATGATAATTCCTACACATAAAGGAACCCTCACAAATATTTCTTCCCGGCAGCCGCAACACGTCCCTTAAACACTGGACTCGTAACTGGTTGATTGACTTGATAAAAGGGGCTCATAATCGTCTTTACCCAATTCTCATAAACTTCGGTAAAGAATTGTTTGATCGCCTCTTCTGTCTGCGGTGAAGTAGGATTTGCACCTATCGACGTACTCGTTCTCGAAGTCGTTGGATTGGCAGGCTGAGAAGGAGAATGTAGAAGCATAAATTTAACATCTGCGCATACATTAGAATAATCGCGATAATTGAATAGAGAAACTTACTTCCGCCCGTCATGAAGCAAGAAACATAATTATTGTAAAAACGATCAATGCATTTCAAATACCTATACTGCATCAGTTTCCCGTCCCAAATCATGAGAAATATTTCCATACATTTGTCCACCACCCCATTGAACCTCCTCGACAATATCCAAACTACTATGAACAATAAATTGATTCATATGTCTTGCCTGTTCCGGGAACCTCGCAATTCCATCACCACCCTGTTTCGCAGTACCAAATTCATATTCGAAGAGAGGATTATCTTGCGTTCCAACTATCGCGAAATAATACGACATTTTTGCGATGCTTGTTGAAGTTGATGATGGAGGGTTTAGATAGTTGAGGTTAAGTAGTGGATGCTGATTGGTTGGCGGAATTTAAAGCTTGGCGCGAAGCGGAGGGGCCGATTCTCGAAATTTGAAGAGGGTTTGATGGAGCGATGAGGTACGACTGGAAAGAACATTGAAGTCAACACAATGTTTGGAGCTTTTAGACCTACGAATGTTATGTCTGGTGGTCTTCTTTGGTATGTTTTGATCTATTCAATGCTGTGACCTTATTACTGGGTATGTGCTAATGTGGCGCGATTACAGGAAGATCCCATGGCGACTCTCCAAATTTCAAAAGGCACGACAGCGCAAACGTTTAAGGGCTGTCGATTCGGTGGTCGCTACTGTGGATAGAGCTTTGGCTGCTAAGGGTATCACGACGAAGGCCGTGGAGAGGTGGAAGGAGGAGATGCCTACGGAGCAGGAGATGTTACCAAAAGATAAATACACCATCTTTGATCGGAAAGAGAAGAAATATAGAAAGGGAATTCATAGTAAGTGAACGATGTGCCATTGAAGAGAAGATCAGGTTACTGATTCTATTGCAGAGCTACCAAAATGGACGAGATTATCACAACGACTCAATCCTCCCGGTTATTGATATGGATATATTGGGGTGGGCTCAATTGAAAGGTTTCTCACCGGAAGTTTTGATGTACAATATGCATTAATGGCGTTTGGGACATTTTTATACGAAAACATATGAGAGGGCATAAATTCAATGCTCTGAAATGGCTAGAATCCTAAGAGTTCTCCCTACTATGCAGATGCAAGTCACTATTCTGATATCAAATGGATTGCCGCAGTCTTCCTTATACGCCTTCCCGATTACTGCAAAATATCGTACAATCGTCCATCTTTCCAATAATCTATCTACCTTTCCCGTATTCTTCTTCTTCCTTCTGTCTTTCAGCTTGAATAGCTCTACCAAGACCTCCTCTGCCCTCATCGTATTCTTCACGGTACTCGTCGCGCACTTGGCCGCCAGACTTTCCACGTCCATATTGTCTTCCTTCCTGAAATCCAGGATCCAGATCTGTTCTAATGATTCGTTCATCGAGTTTTGTGCCACCAATATACTTCATACAATCAAGTGCATCTTGGTGAGTATAATATTCCACGAAACAGAACCCGCAAGGTGTCTTGTTGAACCTATCCAATCCCATAATCAACCTCTTGATTTCACCACATTTTGCAAATAATTCGTGAATCTGTTCTTCAGTTGTGTAGAAGGACCTGTAGCCGGAATTATTTAGCTTATGCCCTGAGCTGAGCCATTGATTGAAAGTATTGAATGCATTCAACATACAAATTTCCCACATAAAGTGTTGTCGCGTCCTTCAAAGGATCATCTGCTGGTTCCTCTGGAGTTCGTTCTCTTCTCTCATCCTCTCCGTCTCTCTCATATCTGCGCTTCTTATTCTAAACCGAATTGTTAGTCTAGCTCAGCGCGAGGTTGAAAAGTAATCAGATCAAATAACTTACTCTACCTTGATAATAGGCACTAGGTTTATCCAGCCTATCAACAGTATTTCTTATTGAGCCAGGCATTTTTGTTGAAATTTTGTTTGTTTCTTTACTTTACAATCTTTCAAGCAAGGCTGATGTTTTTCTTTGTTTCCTGGGGAACATTTAGAAGCCTTCCAATTGCTTTCGCGACGCGCTAACATAGCCTGATATCAAATCGCCCAACCTTCAAAAAAGGTTCCAGACTCAATTCACTTCTATTCCTGGCAACATACAAGAGCTTTCTATTTCTGAGCTTCTACGAAATGTGCTGAGTATTAAAAAATATAAAATTGAGCCAAGAGGTATCCAAAATGCCTCAAGTTCTTGGTTATACACCTACCTGGCTTTCGAAGCCAAATCCAGGTCATGAAATATTTACAGCCGGACCTACGATCAATCAGCAAGCTTCTGGAAATAGTTACAACTCCAAAAATGGGAAATCCAACAAATTGGGACCGAGAAAAACGATTGCACGTAGAGGGACGGAAGTTTTCATTGCTGTTGGAAAGGAAATTCGATGGGCGGATCTCGTGTATTTGAAGGAGACATGGGAAAACAAACAGGAAAATCAGAGAAGCTTTCTGAAAGGCAAATCACTAGCTGCAGAGGAGATAGAAGCTGAATCGGTTGTTGCTCAGGGCTATAGAGTGAGTTGTGAAGCTTGTGTTTATCAATTCTGGATGCTAATGTTGAGTAGACACTGAAAATCCCAGTGGCAGATGAAATCCGACAGTTAATCATCTCCCCAAATTCGAATTTTATGGCGATTCTAACGACTCATACTGTACATATCGCAATTCTACCTGAATCTTCGCATCTTACATCTTCCGAAAATGGTCCTATGAAGATTAAGACTTTTCACCTTGGCCCAACGACACATGTTACATCTCGATCTGGAATATCATCTGCACTGTGGCATCCATTGGGCGTTAATGGGACATGTTTAGTTACTGTTACAAAGGATGCGGTTGTTCGCGTATGGGAACTTTCCACAACTGACCGCTGGTCTTTTGACAAACCGACCCTTGCGATTGATTTGAAGAAACTGGCCGATGGAGTGTCGGCTGATCAGGACTTTGGAGCTTCCATGGCTGGACAACCTAGTAAATTCTCTCCGGATGCCTTTGAGATGGAAGTGGCATCAGCATGCTTTGCTGGCAGAGGATCGGGAGGGTGGTCGCCAATGACTCTTTGGCTCGCAATGAGAGAAGGGGATGTATATGCTCTTTGTCCATTATTGCCTGAGAAATGGGCTCCACCGCCCACACTAATTCCTTCGCTCTCCGTCTCGATCGTATCCAATGTTGCCGCTATGGAAGATGATCCGAATATAGCTCGGGTTAGTAAACTTCTTGCACAACAACAATTGGATTGGATGTCGGACATCGATAGTCAAGATCCAATTCAGGTCCAGGGATCTTTGGGCGAGCCACCAGTCGAGGTTTACACTAGGCCCTCTAGGCCTGGGAAAGTACCAAGGTTACAAGGTCCGTTCGGCTTTGACTTAGCTCCACAAGTTGAAGATGACGAGGAAAATGAGCTCTTCACCGACATCTACGTAATCGGGCCAAAGATAGACGCCGAAGAGCTCATGGATGGAGAAGAGGACGATGAACTCGAATTTGATGAAGTCGACAAAGAGGGATGTTCTATGAATGTAATATGTCTGCTTACTACGAGTGGACGCCTCACCATATGCCTGGACCTTATGGGCATTGAGGCACAATGGTTACCAAGATCGAATTCAAGGATACTACGATTTCTGGACGATCCCGATCCGCCTGGTTTGTTGACATATGAAGTCTTGGAAACTTCCAAATCAAAGGAGGTCTGGGCAGGATGCTGGCCTGTTTTCAGTCATGACGTCGAATCGAGATATTCATTCTTCGTCACCAATAATTCGAACATCACATATATATCACTCTCTTCATGGGCTTTTAAACTGGAAGATGAATTATCCAATGGCGCAGATTCTAACGTCAGGTTAGGTGTAGTCATCAGCACTCCATCGGAAAGACAAAGGATCTATACACCACCCATGATTGATCGAAATGCTCCTCTTGCCGCCAGCACAGTCATTCGGGATTCCGATCTTGGTTATTTCCTTCTCTCAGCAAATGCTCATGGGCCATTATCTGTCAACTTTGAGTCACCCGAATATCAAGTTGATTTCAGCCGTAGCCGTGGGCGTTCAGAATCATATGATTCCGAAACAGACAATGAAAAGCCTTTAGTTCTATTCGAAGCTCAGCCAGTATATCAACCCTCCTATGCATTCGAGCAAACCTCCGAATTGCCCACCTTCCACGAAAAGATCAACCATAGCAAATACAAGCGTTTACTAAAGGAGGAGATCAGGTTATCACCTGCTACACTTACCGTCATGACAGATGCCCACAAGATTCTTAGCGAAGAAACCCACCGCATTGGTACCGCCGCTGCAGAATTGTTCCGAAAATGTATCAAGCTACAAATTGAGCTTTCAAAACATATCAAACAAGCTAACGATATCGCAACCCGTGTTGAATCCGTTATCGGCGTGGATTACGATGAGGGTGATGATAAATCTCGACTTCCACCAAATGAGAATATGGAGCAGAGGATAAGGAAAGCTCAGGATAAACAAAAGATGCTGAGTGAACGTATTGAAAATATTAGGAAGAAAATTCCCAAGAATACTCTGCGTGAACTTAGCGACAAAGAAAAAGCGTGGATAGAAGAGGTACGCAATCTTAGCGGGAAAGTCCTTGGTGAAGATTTGGAGGAATCAAATTCGAGCATGGTGAAGGTTTCAAAGGATCCTTGGCAGAGATACGAGGAGGTTAAAGAATTAAAAGATGACGTTTTGAGTCAGGCGACTGAATTGGTGGCTGAAATAGAGAAGAGGAAAGATGAAGCGGAAGGGGAGGAGGAGAGGGATGAAGATGTAAGAAGGGATAGGGATTTACAGGTTCCTTCTGAATTGAGGAGGAAGAAGGTGGGACAGATTATGAAATTGCTCGATCGGGAGACGGCTTTGGTGGAGGCGACGAAAGGAAGATTGGAGAGATTGAGTTTAGCTTAGGAGTGGTGGATTATGATTGGTGGTGGATATTTTTTAGATGGACTTTGTGATATGGAATTGGTGGGTCAATGGTGATTGTGTGTTGAAAAGGGCAAGAGGTGAAATTGTATGATATGATACGCTATGCTATGATAACCCACCCAATGTGTTATGCGCGAATGTTTAGATAGATACCTTTATTTACATATATTAGCATGCGAGCATTGAGCAGTGTATTTGTCGAGATGAGACAAAATGAATGTTAGTGGTTATTGATGTTTGGATGGATCAATGGTTGGGGAGGCTGAGGTATATTTTTGCAAAATTTACAAGCTGCAAACTGACTCGCTCTAGAACAAAAGATTTTCTTTCTTGAACGATGAACAAGGGTTGAACATTTTCATACCTCACTTTATCAATCTCGTGGGCTTATTTTATGGCACTAAATCAACGGATGGACTCTTATTTGGCTAATTGAGTCTTGGATTTTCGAATCTTTCAAATCAGAAACCGCAGCGGCTCTCTTGAAGTTGTTGATATCGATCCAAGTGGAACCATTCGAGTAGAGGGTAATCTCAAGAGAAGCTTCCATTATTTCCTACCATACGCTTATAAACTCTACTCTAAAGAGAATCAGAGGTTTCTTTTCAATCAACTGCTTTAGCTACGACATTCATAGTCAGTATTTTGAAGTACTTCCGAATTCACATTCTGGTTGGCTTTGAGTCGAATTCTGCGCTGCTGATGTTTAGGCTGGGGAATTCTCAACAAACAAGCATTGGCACCCAGTTGTCACGAAATCCAAATTGGATCAAATATGCGAAGTCGCGGTAATATTCCAGTGCTCGTTCACGTGCTGAATTTTGCAGGAGATCTGTTCATTTCTCGCAATTCTGTGCGAAAAATGATGAAAGATTTTCAAGACTAAAAGAATTTAGCCCACCATTTAGGTGTTTGCATTGCCTTTATCTCTTTTATGCGCTTGATATTTAGCATCTTTCCATTACAAGATCATAGCACCGACCAGTTTCAAAGAGAATGCTCTTACCCTCAAACAGAGAGTGGTTCAATGCTCTGCTTCGCAGTCCCACCTTGAAAGCAATGGCATTAGTTCAGGCTTTTCATTTCCAACATCCGCTTTGTTGCGTATATAACCAACAATGAAGACAGGTATCAAGCTAGATTTGAAGTTATTCTCAGCCTCCTGCACATCAGCTGTCACGCTGTCTCGGAGACCTGCCAGGCAGTAGGTCGAAGTCTCAGAGTTCTTTGAGGTGACATACAGCGATGAAGTAGGTTGAAAAAGTACTTTCAGGTTTTTAGTCTGAACTCTATATAATCTAAGCTATGTAGATTAGGATTTAGTCCTCACAATTCTACCGCATACCCCACGACTCCCGCTCAACTCAGCCAGGCAGAACGAGACCAAGCTTTCAGCTTCAGACACATAATCAAAAACTATTCAAGCTATATAAGATGATTCCTCTGAGTTCCAGAATTTATGGGGCAATGTTTGGTTCTCAAATAAATTTTAATTCAGTACTATGGAATCATTTTTTCACCCTGGCTTTACAGGACGAAGGGTCTTCAGATCTTGCACCATGAGTCCGATGCTACTTTCAACCAAAATTTAATATAGTATTTTGATGTCCCTCACTCAACTTTGAGTCGATTCTATTCAAGCTGAACGAACTCATTTAGAATTCAACGATGCTTCAGTTTCTAGCATCTCTGCCAGGACAACGGTTATTGAAGGATAAGAATGGGTAACAAATAGAGTCATATCCTTTGAATAGTCCTTTTTATGTTTTATTCTCACCGAATCATTATCTCCCCAGATTTTCACAGTGAACAACTAATATAAGTCAAAATCCAAAATTCCGGGGGGAAAAAAGGTTCTGCCCCTTCGTTTAACTATATGGCGTTGTGGTCATTTTCAACCGACTGCCGTACCTGCAGTAATCAATCAACTAGTATACTCAATTGACGGCTGTACTCCATCCGATTTGGTATTTGAGTGGCTGTGGTGCTGAACTAGCCCCATGCTCAATATATTGGTACGGTCACTACGTCCTATAAGAGAACCTTCGAGCGCCTAAAAAATCATTCTCTCTCCCAACAACTAAATCACACCTACCTTCAATAGTTGACTTCCAAAAACTTCAAAATCAACTGTACCACTCCAACAGAACAAGAACAAGCTTTCGACACTACTCAGATCCCCCTTTTACTGCTTCTAAATTCGACCCAAACCTCTATTATACCGCCAGCAACAGTCGAGAAAATGGCGATTTGTGTATACTATCTCGTCGGCCGATGCATAGCAGGAACCAAATGTCATAACAAGCACATAGGTCCAGCCTTTCCTACCCCATGCAGGAATTTCGTTCTTCATAACACCTGTACCTGGGGAGCTAGATGTCGATATGCGCACCCAACTCCTGTTGCGCCAGAAGATCCCAGCCCTTCCCGCCCTTCCTGTAGAGACTTCCTTTCGGGACGCGGATGCAAGTTCGGATCCAAGTGCCTTCAATACCACCCAGGAGCTGTGGAAAAGGCGGATTCTAGCTCGATTCCAGCTCCCTCGTCAACCCCATCCACCACCATTACGCTGACAGCTTCAAAGGCTACAGATATTGCTAATATCACATTGACTAAGGATGAATTTACTAGTATAGTGTTGGCTTCATTAACAGAATCTAATTCCACTCCTGATCTCCCACTACTTCAATCCGCCACGACAACACCAGTGGATTCGGAAGCCACAGACATTGCCAATGTCAAATTATTTCGGGATAAATATCATAGTACAATCTCAGCTCCATCAACGGAATCCAGTTCCATTCCAGATCTTCCGCTACCTCAATCTGCCATGACAACACCAGCGGCTTCGAAGGCTGTAAACATTGCCAATATCAAATTGACCCAGAATTCATCTGCTAGTACATTGTCGACTCCATCAACGAAATCTGATTCTACTCCAGACCTCTCACTACCTCAATCCATCACGACAACACCAGCGGGTTCGAGGGCCACAGACACTACCGATGTAAAATCTTTCGATGTCAAGGTTGTTGATACAATGCTTGCTTCATCAGTGGATCCTAGTTCCGATGATGCTGCTCCATCGCCACTAGCACAAACATCTCTTTCACTTGATAGAGATCAGACGGATGCTATCTACGTGAAAAATTCTAATAATGAGTTTGATGGTACAAAGCCAGCTCCATCAACAAATCCTGATTCTAATCCGACATCTCCACCATCCCAATCACTAACATCTATTTCCACCAATTTGAAAAATACAGACGAAATCGGCGACCCATTTTTGACGGCTGTTACGTTCATTGGCGATAGCTATGAGCTAGTTCGATCTACAACTCGAAGCCCGTCCCCTGTCGATAGCGAGTATGACACTTCGTCATCCACCGTTCCAGAAGAAGCGTCGCCTACACCCAAGCTAGTTCAATCTGACTCAGGTATAGATCTTGCTGATAGCATGAATAACAATAAGCAATTCAACAACTTTGCGGATCAATCAACCGCACCATTCATTACACCACCAAACGATTCTTCAACTGACCTCGGATTAGCATCCGCAGTTCAATCTGCTGATCTAAATCTTCCACCAGACCAGTTACCCAGCTTCATGGATGAGGTAACACATGTCCATAGCCCAGATGACACTGTTCTATCTACCGTTACAGAAGACATATCGATTACCCCATTGATCATAACACCAATCAACCCTAGCGTTGAACCCAAACCAGCATCTGCAGTTGAATGCACCAGCCCAGATCTGCCAGAAAACAACTTCTTTTACAAGTTGATTGCAGCATCTGCGGCGGCGGATAAACAGCATTTGGAGATTTCACCCATTTCTACAAAAGATCAAACAGCTATTAATGAGCTCTCCCATCTAGTCATAGACTGTTCAGCTGCAACCGTACCCTCAAATCTTGAGTTAGAAGGGCCTGGCATTTATGAGCGTAAAATTTGGTACGTACACCCTTAAAACGCTCTGTTTCCCATCTGTTCCATGCTAACAAATCATTGCTATTACAGTCACAGTGTAGTACTATGCACATGGCCTCAAGAATCGAATATACCAGCATTATCTATGGTCGAGACTCTTACTACCCTGGCATCAACCTTTGGAGAGATCGTATGTGCGCCATTTTATCGCAATGCCGGCTTCAGTCACTCCCTTCAATTCACATTTCAACATCCTCATGAGGCGGCTTCGGCTTCTGCACAATTGAACGGCCAGTATATCAAAGTTGCTGGTACATATATGAGTGTCCAGACCTCAGTCACTCACCAAATTACAGTCACATACATGATACCTCAACACATCATCGACTCATTAGGTCGCCACGGTCAAGGAAACCTCCATGCGCTCTTCGAACAAAACTTTTGTCAGCTACAGTGGAATAATTTCCATCGCTATCATTTATCTGGTGAACTAGTTACCGAAGTTACGATTATGGGTATGTACGAAGGACAGGTAGCGCAATGCAAAGCTGTACTTGAGGATCTTATTAGAGGTAGAGTGTTGACTCATGAGGAAGGTGATAATAGACCTCTTTGGCATAACTTTTTCAATACGGAAAAGGGAACAGTGTGGCTTAAAGAGAAGACGGAGGATAATTTTTATATGAAGGTGCGGGCGGTGAGAATGGCGAATTTAAATGTGTTGATGCTTTATGGCTCGAGTGAGTGGACAAGAAATGAATTTGGAGGGATAGTTAAGAAGAAGATTGAGGAGTTGATGGAAGAAGAGAAGAAGGCTGCGGAAATTAGTGCTGTGGTAGCTGAAGAGTTGAGGTTGATGAGATTGAGAGTTCAGGGGAAGGGGAAGGGTTTAGGAATGCTTTGTCTGGAGGCTTTAAGCTAAGAAGGGAAGGATAGTGGTGGGTTACATGCTTTCATGACCTTTATGCGGAATTTTATTAGTGTTGTCTTTCTTTGAAAAAAAAAAATTTAAAATACATAAGATGCACTTATAAGAATAAAGTGGATATATTTTCCAATTAGCCTTTCGCTCTGAAAATAAAAACAAGGATATTAGCCATATTTCCTCAAACAATACATAACTCTTATCAGACTAAAATATTTTTTATTTATGGCAACCAATGAGAACAATTATACAAATATGAAGGGAATAGTTTTTGCTACCCCAACACCCTAAAATGCGCTACTAATATTCCGAGAATCAAAAATAGGAACAAGATTCTCATAGTGACATTTAGTAGTAGTAGCAGTAGTAGTATTAGTTTTTCATCCGAGAGACCTCCCGAGGGTATAAAGACGTGCTAAGCTAAGGATTTTTATATATAAAGTCCTATTCATACGAAAAAACAAAAACCATGAGGGGAAAAGACCTTTTTGAGTGAATAGTCCTGTGTCCCTCGCAGTAACTAACAAAGTGATATAGCATTGATGAACCTTCTTTCAAAAGCGCTAATATAGTAACTGTCCTCTGAAATGGTTCAGATATAGCAAATGGTTCTACCCGAGATATTTGATACTAGTTATAAAAGCAGCTTAGTATAAATAAGTGGTTTTTGATAGTTTGAGAAAGCTATTGTTTAAGATTATCTACTTGATTATTTTCTGAGTTCGAGATTATTGTGAGGAATATTGTGATATTGTATTTATTTTGGATAGAGTTTGTTAATTAACAGAATTAAAAATTGATCAGTAGTGTTTTTATATATTATTTTTAGATTTTTATATAAAGAAATGATGTTTAAAATGATAAAAGTGTTTAATAAAAGATTTAAATTGAATTTCTCAATTTTTTTGATGATTTAATAAATCTATAATTCAAATTTCAATAAATTATATTAATTAATTGTAAAATTATTAATAGTTGAAAATCATGATTTTTTTATATAAAAGAGTGATTCAAATTGAGAGTAGTTCGAAAGTAGAATACTAGACTTAATCAATAATTATTTTATAATATAAAAGTTTTGTATTAAATTCAATTATCAATTAGTTTATTTATATTCTACTTGATCTAATAACAACTTCACTTTTAAATGAATATCAATGATACAATCTTAATCTATAATTACTAATTATACAAACCCAAAACAACTATTACTCGATAATATTAGAATATTGTAATAGTCTCAAAGTAAGATATTAAATTTAATTATTATTATATTAGAAATTATAAATATAGAAAAGGGTATTATTATTAAAAGCAAATAATAATAAGATTGAAAACAAAGATAGGGGCAATGATGAGGTTGGAAACAGGGTTTATAAGCGACGATGAGGTTGGAATAAGGGTACGGGCGATGATGAGATAATAGCTCTTTCTTTGTGGGGTTTATGTTGACTCATTAGCTGATGAATCAGGATACTGGATATATCATTTTTTATATGAATTTAGTTCATTTGTGAATAGCTTCAAAACTATTTATTTATATATAGATTAGTGGATATAGCAACTTTGTTTATTGATCAGTAAGCTGGGACATTGCTCAATAAGTTTGTTTATTTCGGCATCAACTACATTGATTGCCCAATCCGCATTTCGTATAATGCTTCGGAACAAAGATATAAATGATTTCATAATATAGTTGAATAATGAATGGTTAGAATATGATACATAATACAAATGAATTCATGGTTTCTCGATTTTGAAGTGAAATTAGTGAAATGATTAAATAGAGATAGCTTCACTTTCTTGATAATAACTTAAGCCAGGCTGAACTCCTTGCTTTTGCTGTATATTTTAATCTCTAGTACGATTTTGGGTGTCCAATTTTATAAAATTTTCGGCCATTCGAACGATTCAAATTCGCCGTACTTCCCGATATTCTTACCATTGATTTACTTAACACTTATTTGAATATCATGGTCCTGAACTCACTAGATATCCTTCGTTTTGTGTGCCTTTCATTCATTTGATACAAAGAATTAAATATCTAAAGTCGTATGTGCTGAGGGTAGTCTTTTCCTTGCTTTCGCTTTCCTTCTGAATGAATTGTTGAGGCGTAATCATACCCTTGTTTCTCCTTTAACTTATGAATGTCTATATATTTAAAGCTGCAGAACATAGTCTCTGGCAACAAAAATTTCATCAATCCATAACCACACCACATCAAGTTATCAACATGGACACCGACGCTACCGTGGAAATGGAAGTCGTTCCACAACACCATTTCCAGCCAGTGATCCAAGGTCCAATGACTTATTGGCAACGATGCAGATACAACATCATGGCTCCACCAAAAGCCTTCCGGAATATGCGTAATTTAAATCCTTTAGCAGTAACAAACGTTTTATACCTTCTGATAGTCTCGAGACCCTCGGCTCCTACATTCGATATCCTCACCCTCTATGAAACTCATCAAGGATGCCTGACTTTGCTGTGCGTGCACACATTCAGTTCATACATATATGGCTAATAAAGCGATAGCATGTTTCTTTTAATTAATGTCCTGCTCCTGCAACGTCTGCACACCGTCGAGGAAAATTAGCAATGGCAAAATGTGTAAGTTGTATCCGCATACTATATATTTCCAACATCATAGCCCGTGAGCCTAAAACTCCCAGTATATTTCTAGGCAGCGTGTCTCTCGTTGTTCTTTTCACTTGTTTCTTCCAGGACACTATCAAATTTGTGATTGAGACTGTAGGATCTGAAAAACTACATGAGGGGATTGCGCTGCCTCCTGTTGTCTTATTGTAAAAGTAGTAGGTCGAGATACGTGCGTCCCGATAGTACGCTGTGAGGGGGAATTGGAAGAGAAGGCTGAATTAGATCACATCGTAATACGTCACTTATGGAGAAAACAGGATTCATAATGGTTTTGGGATTGATACTATATGGATTCAAATGTATATATATAGAAGGTTGATTATTGTAGAAAGGGGAGACAAAAGCTCTCCTTTTATATCTAACTACAGGAGGTCATATAATTGACTAGTTAAAAACCTCTATGCATCTGGCCTATAGTTCCAACTTTCTCACATTATTACTCCTTATCACAATATGGGAAATAATTCCCATATTTGTGTGTGCCGGTTGGGCTAACGCGGTACTCTGGCTTGAACCCCTGATTGGTGGAGCTCAGGCAAAGTTCTGGAACACACTGGCTGAGTTGATGAGACGCATTGGCTACATCCCTCACACCCACACCGAACCCTAGAAAATACTTGATGACAGTGTAGAGGAGTACAACTGAGAACTGCACAAGAACACGGAGCAAGCAGATCTCATTAAAAGGCGTTATTCGTAAGGTTAGTGGCTGGGATTCGAGGATACGCATGTGCTTGATCGGGATTGTGGTTAGGGAAATTTTGGGCGGAAAAGCCGTTTGAAAGGCTAAAATGTTTTTCTGCTTATTCATGAGTTACTGACATGCGAGAATTTTATTCCATTTTATTGGTATCGTGACTACTGTGGTCGATGCTTTGAGACTATCTCAGCCCTACAGAGTTATATCAATAGAGTATGAACATATTTTTTCTGCCAGTATGGCATACCACTGGTCATCACAGTGTTGGGAGGTTCCATGGCACCTTGATCTTAAACCAGTCCTGTACGCAATAACTGACGGGTTTCGCTATCCACCAAAGATGTTCTACCTAAAAAAGCAGTGCTTTCAACATTCCGCACTTCATCAAACATAATATCCATCTTGATGTCATTCTACAGTGTAATCAGACTACATATTAACTCAGATATGAATGGTGAGCAGGCTTGAAACACTGAGCATATTCAAAAATACATCAAGTTTTAAACATTGAAAGCTTTCAGATCTTGCCTACTAACTACCGGTTTGAACTATCGAATACACTGCCCCAAGGGCCTCACAGTTTGTCTTCGGGACATTTTTACAGATAATTGCCCCTCCAAAATACTTCATTGCATGAACTATTGGATGCAGTGCCTAGAAAGCCTCAAGTATCTACCTTTGGGACTTTTATTGTAGCAAAATACCCGACGGCTTTTAATAGAATGCTCCACCCGTTTCTACCCCTGAACAGAACATTACGTGTACAAGGCTCGTACAAGGCACTTCTATATCACCAACAAGAGCCACGACGGTTTTTTCACTCTTGGAAAATGGTGAGTTCTTCAACTTGTTCACTTCCTTCATGGTGAGACTGAAAGAAGTTTAATGAATTAGTTCTGCGCTTTGTGATGAAATGAATGAATGAAGCTCAAGTTGATGACGATTCGTCTGTCCCAACCATCATTACATCTTTTTCTCCGCAAATTGAGCAAGGCGCCATTGTACCACATGCCTCCCCTCAATCTATATACTAATAAATTGACTTAAGCAGTTGGCAGGCACGCGGCAGACAAGCTTTCTCCTACATAGCAGTAGCGTCGCCGAACAGTTAGACAATACCAACGATGCCTCGATGACAACGAGTATTAAACATCTTATCACAACCAAAAATAATAGAAAGAATACAATTATAGAAAAACGAAAGAATGTATATATAAATCGAAACATCAAACACCTACAAGTATACCCCTCTAGCTAATAGATCCTATCACAATTATGATAAGTATATTCGGTTAAGAACAAAAAGCGAAATATCTTGATATTGAGTTCAGCAGAGTCAACCAACCACGTCACCAAAGAAAGGGACAAGAATTATCTCCTGGGAACTTATTTCCAGCAACCTTTGGGGATAAAGAAACCCTCATCCGTCCCTTTCAGAGATTAAATCGGCATCTACAGCTACACCATACCTACTAAGTGCAGAAGCGACATGAAGATAAATTACTTCGAGGAAATACAAACAAACTATTTCCAATACAGCAGCTTGCTGTCGTAAGTTGCACATTCCACGGTGGATAGAATCGACAAGAAAGTAGAGAAACGCGAAATTAGCCCGGGTCAAACACATAAGTCGATTCCGCATCACGGTATTAGACAATATGCACATCCCAGGTTGATTTTCCTCTGGTGTTTGCGGCATGGTCAAATTGACTATATTAACGTCAGGATAGGACATAAATTGCGATGCGAAGATGTCGGGAGTTTACGAGGATAGGTATAAGTTGGAAGAGGTATAGATTCCAGAGAATGCATGGCAGAATCCCATCATGAAAATATTTATTCTCCCTATCTAAATAAGATCCAGGAAATACTCTCCCAACCTTCGAGCTTCTCTTCGAAAATGAAGTTGCAGAATGAGTTATCAATCAATTATCATTACTACAATTGTATCCTAGTATGTTTTGTGAAGAATGGATGGTTTTGGGATGTGGATAATTGGAACAAGTTGGAGTTGAACGCTAGTCCAAGATATTGGGGACTGGACTTCATGAATTGATTAAAGAAACATTTGTTTGTGTAGGTTGTGTGTGATTGCATAAGGCCCGCTTATATGAAGGGTGAAAGGAGGGAGCGCGATCTTAAATACTTCAGACTGAAGTGAGAACTGATACATATTAGAAGAGACGGAATGAGACAAGAAACTAGATTATATCCAGGCCATGCGAATATTGAATTTTGTTTCGGAAAGGATTGTTGCCTAGGATGTCTATGTACAAGAAGGTCATGTGAAGCTTCACTTCATATTTCTGTGCCATTATCGAACATTTTCATACAGCTTAATTTTCAAAAACCTTCTTCTCAAATTTAACATTGGCAGATTGTTGAAGGCGATTGATATACTTTTCACCCAAACTAGATGGAGTATAGATACCGCCTGACAACTTGTGGTCATCTCGAAGTAATGAAATTGCGCCTTGAGCAATCAATATTCCGGTTACTATTTGCCATTAGTCACCTAGAAATACTCCGGATCATACAACTCCACTTACATCCATAGATTGGACCTTCAAAATATTCTCGACAAAAGATTCTCGCAGGCTTTGGTTGACCATTATCCGGTTTGGCAATGACTCTAAACTCAACTCGATCATTCTTTGCTTCCTCTTTCGTAGCTCCTTCTCCTGGCTGATAAACATATTTCCTAGCCGCGTGTCTGAAAAATGGGATGGCCAGGAATAGGCCACCAAGCATAAGTCCCAAGTGTATTGCGAAAGCAGTAAAATAGTTTCGCGCTTTCATATATTCCTCGACTTTAAAATTAGGCCCATAGAACTGCTTCTCGCTAGACAATCCCCAACTTCGATGAATTATGGCTAAATCCGTTGATCCTGCAAGAGAAGTGGTAAGAATCCCTAAATCAGGAACTACTTTGATTCCGGTAAGTTTGGTGATGATAGATGTGGAAGGACGAACTTTTGGTCCTGGTATTGGGGATAGAGCATATGGAGTCATTGATTCTTTAAGTTGCTTGAGACTGAATACTTCCAAAATTGTGAAGATTGTTTCCAATGTTCCCCCGGAAGGTTTTGATCTAAGAGGAATTAGCTCATGATCAAATAATTCTCGGCGCTATATCTTACTTCATCTCATGTAAAGATACGATAACCTCATCAGTAGGTGCTGATAACTTTTCTCGTACAGCATCAACAGCATATCGGGTGATTAAATCCGGTAGAGCAGATTCAATACCACATTGCGGAATCAGGATTGCACCGCTGGCTTTAGCGGTGCTTTCATACTTCTTGATCATCTTCGCTACCCATGGTACTTCTCCAGTAACATCAAAATAATGCGTTCCATTCTCGGCACAAGCTTTGAAGCAAGGTTCGCCATGAAGAGCATAAGGGCCGACTGTTGCCAAAATAACTCTTGTCTTTTTGGCCAATACACTGAGCTCGGCATCATCTAAGTTACAAACTTCGATAGCTATTCATAATGTGATGTGTCAGCCAACGACTTGTCGTTGTGGTAGAAGCCACGTGATATCAAGGGAGCAACTGTTGGAGTTCTTAATTAAGGATCTCACACACCTGGCTGTGTCCTATCCGGATTCAGTGCCTTGCACTCAGCTGCAACTGCTTCCAATTTAGCGGACGAACGTCCTGCCAAAGCCCATCGAAGATCTGTAGGTAAATGTGTGGCAACGTGTTCCGCCGTAAGTTTCCCTGTGTATCCTGTGGCTCCAAAGATGACCAATTCGTACTCTCTGTCGCTTGAAGACATGATTCTTTATATGAGAAGAGAAGAATCAAAAGAGGAGAGGAAGTATTGCTGGGTTAGATGTATTTAAACAAGATGATAAAGGAAATGAATACTCCTCAGCCATATAATGCTTTACTACCAGTCCCAAGTCGGTTAAAGATTGATTCTAGGCCGACCGATTGATGTAATGGAGATAGTAGACTTAATCCGAAGATCATGTGACGTATCGATTCTGAGAGTTTCCATTAAGGACTAGCGTAATGGGGCTATTAACCGAATCCCACACGAATTTGACCAAAATAATTCCTATCAAAGTACATTGCGACAAAACTTCAATTTCCTCATCACCGTTCATCAACGCAAAATACCGCCAAGATGACAAAGAGAACCAAGAAGGTCGGAGTCACCGGTAAATACGGTACCAGGTATGCGATTATTCCAGCTCTATACACCTGAATATCATGAGGAGGAAGAATGTACGACTTTCCAACACATTGTTGAGTAAATGATGGGAACGGTGGGATCGAGAAAATTTTAACAATGAGGGAAAATCGACAATTCAACGACTGCGGGTGGAATCGAAAAAGGAATCAAATGGATGGAAAAACAATTGACTAATTGCTTTACTTCCACAACAGATACGGTGCATCCCTCAGAAAGCAAGTCAAGAAGATGGAAATCACTCAACACGCAAGATACGTCTGTACCTTCTGCGGAAAGACCACCGTCAAGAGACACTCCGTCGGTATCTGGGATTGCAAGTCATGCAAGAAGACCGTTGCTGGAGGAGCTTACACCGTCACGTATGTTTTAGGATTCACCATACTCCACTCAACCCATAATTTCGAAATGGCGGAGTTCAACTTACTAACATTCGACAACAGAACCCCTGCAGCTGCCGCCATGAGATCGACTCTTCGTAGATTGAGAGAAATTGCTGAGGTTTAAATGGCTTGGGATTGATGGTTGTTTCTACGAGTACTTTTTTCTGCGGCATGGGATTGGGAAAAGCATCGCATTGCATGATCGATGTCGATATTCGATGAGGCCGAATATAGAAGAATAAAACCATACCTTGCCTCAACTCCGAAGTTCCTTACACAACGATTGGGATTTTACTGTGAAATATGTGATGTTGGGCTTCCCGGAAGGATTCCTTGACATTTCGATCAACAATGAGTTTAAGCGCTGAATGGACACTCTGGGAATATGTTGACTCGGGGTGGAAACAAGGATCTCCATGGTTCACTACGATCTCGATCAAGCCCGCTTCATAATCGACTCAAATTAATTAAACCTTTTAGACCTTCCAATAACTTTATGTTGGCGCTGATGTTATGTAAATTTTCTGCTATTTGCGCTAAGCATATTGACTGATCCGAGGGTAGGTCGACCTTATTTTGGATATTGGTCACTGCTTTTGACCATAAATCGAGCCATCCAGACGCTTAGCAACACAAAGCAACACAAAACAGCCACAACTGCTGAACTATTTGCATCGTTTCATTCCCATGCCACTAACCACCATGGCCGCACTTATCGTGGCCAGAGCCTCATTTACAACCATCATAGAGGTAAAACGACATGTTAATACTGGCTTTTTGGTTTAATCGATGGTCATCATGTCATGAATATTATTTACATGTTTTCTTGCTTTCGTTGACTATGTGTGCATGGCCATAAGTGGTCAAAGCCTTGGGGGTCTGTCAGTACTGAAGTCTGCTTTAAAGAGCATCGATGTTCCCATTTTCTGTTCGTCTTGTGCATCATATTTCACTGATTAAATTACCTACCTTTCTTAAGAATCACATTTTTCAGACGTACTTCAAACCTCATCCCATCATTTCAATTTAGCATCTAGCAACTCTTATAAAGTATGAGCAGATACGACGGCGGATACGAGACCGGATACGAGAGTGACACTAGTCGCCTCCACCGTGGAAGGGAAAGGAGAAGTGAGAAGACAAGAGGGCCTCCACCCTCTGCTAGGGGATTTGAACAAGTTAATCGGCGTAAGTTGGTGCACGTGCTAGAAAAGAAATCCTTTGTGTGTTGCTAAGAAGAAAACTAGTCGTTGCAGAAAGCTCAAGAAAAAGCAGCGACAGCGCCAGCAGAGCTGGGACTGACAGGAGTGATCGTTCGGGTGGCACGGATAGAACTGCTCGCCGTGCGTTTCCCTCTGAAATACAAAATTATTGAGATGTCAGTGCTAATAACTCAAACAGCTAGGGAACGTGCACGTATGTTGCATACTCAAGTACACTGGTAGAAAACTGTAGACTGACGTTAAACATAGCTTCGGAAGGTGGTCCATCTGGGCCTCGTGCTGGTAGCGTTTCGCGTACACACGGCAGAGGATCACTATTCGACGAAGATAGACAAAGAAGAAAGCTCGAGGCAGAGAGGAACAAGAATATCGTTGTGAGGGTGCCTCGAGATCGAGTCTCTGGTGCGCCCAGTAATTATGGAGGGGAGAGTGCGTTTAGCCGTATGAGTGACACGAAATCTCACCATTCAAATAACACAATTATGTCCAGTAGTCGTGGTAGGGAGAGTAGTGGATACGGCAATATGGATGATGAGAGATCTCATCACTCAAGCAATACAATCACGCCCAGTAGGTATGGTGGGGAGAGTAGGCATGGCGGGGAGGGTAGGCATGGCGGTATGGATGATACGAGATCTCGTCATTCAAACGGCACAATCACACCTTCAACACATAGGAGAACACCCTCAGTTGCAGCGGCTTCGAGGGTGTCTTCACAAAGACCTAGACGCGACGATGTTGAAATGCTATCAGACCGAGCAAGAAATATGCAGCTCAATGAACCTGAAGATCCTACCGATGAAGAAGCTCGAAGACGCAGAATAAGAGGTATCGAAAAGTGGAAAGAGCAACAAGAACTCGACCTAAATGGTATTGAAAAACCCGTGAAACCTGGGGCATCATCAGTGATTAGTGGTGCAAGCTCATTAGTACGCCCTGGGGAGAGTGTGGATGGGAGGGATGCAAGAATGGAGAGGCTCTCGGCAGCAAGTCGTAACCGTTCGGTCTATTCTGGCGCTGAACCCTCCAATTACAGTCGCGAATCTCGCGATAGACGTTTGGCGGTACCCTCATACCCCGGATCTTCATCTTCGAGTCGTCGCTCTGCACGCCGTCACGGTTATGATGACTATGAAGGCTATGACGATATGGGATATGCACCTCCTGAGTCGCCGGGTAATATTGTGATTGTTAATAACACCACTATGACCAACCAAAATAGCAGTAGTAGTTATCGACGCTAGAGAAAAAAAGGAAAAGCTGAGGAGGGTAGCTTTAATACTTGTGATTATTAGAAGGTAGTGGTGGGATGGTAGATGGGTAGGTGTTGGTAGAGTGGTGGCGTGGGAGTTTGAAAACAAAAATTTGAGATCGAGGGAGAAAAAAATTGGGGAATCAAGGACTTAGGGGAAAGCCTATACCTAAAAGGAAACTTTGTGGGATTATTCTTTAGACCGATTCATTTCTAGCCTGGAGTTATTTGATTATTTGTTCCTGGATAGCTGGCGTTTCGGTTTGGCGATATTTTGTATTTAATTTAATTTGATTTTATTAGCTCGGCTCTTTTCATAGATCTACTTTTTACTTTAAAATTTATACAATGATAGTTTCGTCTAACTTACTCTTACTATTAACTGTATATGTATTATATTGACCAGCTACGACATTTCTTTGTACAGTACAGAGAATGTATCCGAGATTCGGTCCCTCTCATGATTTATTCTACACACCAGGTACTTTTACTATCTAGTAAAAAGGTCTTGTATTTCCATTGAAATTCGCGCTGCGATACTAAGGATTTCTTTTTATTGAATAACTGTCGCTGAGGATCTTGATCTTGATTTTGTTTGAAGACGAAGAAAGGATGACTAGTCGATTTAAGCTTATATTGTAAGAATAGAATTCTTTATTTATAGTTTTGGATGAATCTTTTTTAAAAAAAAATAGATGTAAAACTAATTAGTTCGACCTATAGGTTGTATATACGCCCTGAAACGAAGACATTCAATGAAGCTCCGCAGGGAAATTATACTTACTCTTCGTTTGTTTTTCCTTGTTCTTAGCCCCTGTTCTTAAGCTCTTAATATTTCTCGCTTCGTTATATTTGCCGGGCTGCTGCTCGGTTTCTATTTTATTCTGTTAATATCATATTGTTATTGTATCACCAAAAAATTGCATTTATATTTCACACTTCCCATTTCCCATTTCATATCCCCTCACACTCCTCATACGTACTTCAAACTCCCTAACCTTACACAGCAATCACACACCAACCTCCTAAGACCCATCTATCTCCTACCCACTCACTATACCATCCATTCCATCCTAAAAACTCCCATCGTCTCACCTGTCTCCTCGAGCTCTCCATATCTATCAACCAACCGACCAACCAAACAATCTAACAACTCAATTCCAATACTCGCACTCATATTCGTCGTCCTACCGATAATCACCCCTACTAATCACAAAGTCCCTAAAAGCTCCATCTGCATCTCCATCTCCGAAAACCATAGTTCCTCAATATTTAATAAATATAAATATAAATATAATCAGACAATCAAGTCATACAGATGTGTACAGTGTGAGCTGCAGAGGAGATAAATTAAAATCAAGGTTAAGATATATAAAGACAAGTTATGTAAAGACTGAGTACTATTAGATATATCTATTATTTGTAGAGTTTGAAGTTTAGAGTTTTTACTATCGGGTTTGAGAGTATAGAGTTAGAGAGGGGGAAAGATGAATCTAAGTATAGATTTTAAATAGATATAAAAGATATAGATATTTAATATATATTTAAAGACTAATTAGCCTATTAACCTATTAATCTATTTTAATTATTAATTAATTAAAAAGAAATAATAAAATAGAGTATTCAAATAAATATAAAATAATAAGATTTTACATTAAAAGTATTTTTTAAATAACTATGTTTAATTACTCTACTTCTGTTCCCCTCTCATTTTTATTCTCATCCACATTTAAGAATGTTACAATAAAGTAAGTAAAGTAATAGAAAATAGAACAGTAGGAAATATTAGATATAATTTCTAGAATCAGGAATTTGATAATGGTATAACTAGAACTTAGTGGATGAATATACATTCATTCATTCCTTCATTCAGAATATAAATTCCACTAGTCCTCATTGAACAAGGGTATACAGGATGGCTGGATATTGTTATTTTATAAGGTTTGGAAGTTTATGTATCTATTCATCCATTCACCCAGCTATCTACATGAAATAGATATATGAAATACATCTAAATACACTGTAGGAAACGTAGAAAAATAAGTACCCCATTATATGCATGAACATGTAAACCCTATGCTCAATGAAGCATCAATCTTATTCCAAAATCTCCCTTGTAACCTCAAACTATTCATCATCCATGAAATTTCCATCCGGTTTTGGGACAGGAATCATCCCTCCACATCGACTCATCGACTCATTGTGTCAGTCAGTACCAGGATATAGCTAAACACCTGCACTGAACCTTCTTTTTCCCTTTCCAAGCCTTGGTGATTCAGCATGGCGACTATGCATATCAACATCCCCATCACCATCAACCCTCTTATCATCCAGCCTAAGATCCTCCATACACTTAATAGGAACCGCATCCGGCGCACCAACGACCACAGAATTACATTCCCCAATACCACGACCCTGCATCTCCATACTCCCCAATACTCTTTTTCTACTTCCAACCACCTTAAACGTCTCAGCATCCTTATCACCAGCAAGATCCAAAGCTTCCATACTCCCAACACTATAATGCGTGTCTTTGCAATTGGTCTTTACATCAATGGCAGAAAGCGCATCTACAAGCGATCGATTAGCCGGTCCAGGGAGAAAGAAAGCAGGGACATCTTCTAGGATAGGTGTATGTAGATTCTTGCGACGTTTGTTTGAAGTAGTAGGAGGAGGACCGCGGATATCAAGGAACATTGTGCCTTCGACGGAGACGAAGAGACTGCGGTCGCTTTGCAGATTGGAGTTGTTGGGAGACCAATTGCTGTTGCTGTTGGTCATGGGTTGGTGGAAGAAGATCGAGGAGCTCTTTCGGCCCATAGGCTTTGATGGTGTGTTTGTGGTGGGTGCGAGGACTGGAGCTGGAGGAGGTTTGGGACTCGGGTTGTTGGGTTGACTTGTGGGGGGATTGATTGGTGCCACCATTGTTTTTGGCTTGATTGAATTTGTTCTAATAGAGTGAGAAGTAGGAGAATTATGTGAGATATCTCGAATTGCGCCTTGAGACTGCTCTTGTTGAAGATTGATTGTCTGGCTTGATTGGTTCTCGGCATGAACTTTAGATAATATTTTTGTGTTGTCAATCTTAACTCTACTTCTAATTCGACCTGGTGGATTGATATGGCTCCTAGTTTTGGATAATCTGTCGCTGTAGATTGTATTTGCAGGTTGTTGACGTGGTAGTAAGAGGATTGGAGGATTCTGATCATGGAAAATGAGGCTTGATGCTATCAGAAAATTCAAGTGGAAATATGGAAAAGAAATACTTTTTTTTTTAAATGCGTCTGGTTAAACCTTACTACAAGGTTTGGCTTACAGGTGTGGTGAAAGGTTTTCTGTCCATACAAATGAATGATGTAGTCTAACCAATTTGTCGTAGTACGGCTCACTAAGAACGTACCAACTTTCTAGTCCCCGGATTTCGCAGGTACAGCTCCCCCATTAAAAAGAATTAACTTTGATGACATGGCAACTGTCGTCACATCAGTGGTTACTTTCTCGCAAACTTATATCATTCTCCAGTGCCATCCAATGCGCCACTTGCAATAATATGTAAGACTTCCTGTTGCCTACGTTACTGGAGAATCGAAAACCAGAACCGTATATCCCCAACTCCAAACCATAATGCAAAATACATAGGTAATACAAGATCCCCCGATCCACGGCTTTATTAATGATTCCGAAAATTCTTTTTTCTACACAAAAAATGTTAATATTTTGTTTGACCACATCATTTGGATAGGAAAACTTACTGATAGAACAAATCCGTCCTACTACTACCCAGATTAATAATCTTTGGGCATCCATCACGGTCCTTCTCCAATCTCGTACATTCAAAGCAATAGAATGCATCTGAAATGCCTTCTCCTCCACATACAACACATTTGTTTTGATAGTTTCCGAAACTGCACTCTTCGCAGATACGTACGAGAGTTGTAGGACGAACGTAGGAATCGCATACGGGACATTTGCCATCGCATTTATCGCAAAGACGTCCGATTGCAATACCCGATTGCTTCCTGCACATTACGAGATCTCTAGAGGTAGGTTAGTATTTTGTAGCCTTTTAATCGAGGGGATTTTGTACATACGGATGATGGCGAGACATATTTAACTATCTCTACAGATAAGAAGCTGCAAGTGATCTTCTGGGACAATTATGAGAGGTATAGGTACTTCAATTAGGAGAATTGACGCAGGTGTAAAAGAGATGATTGTCTAAGGAGCTCAAGATATTATTATTTGACATCGCCGCCACCAAATTCTGTAAGCTTTCGTTCTTTGATTTCTAAGCACAGACCACAGCGCTAGTACAGACAGGGATTTGTCAATATATCCCATACCGCATTACCGCATTACCGCATTGCATGTCGCATAAAATAAACCAAATAGTGATGAATTGATTTAATACTCGAAAAACAGTTTACTTTTATTCTCTACTTGTTTGAACAAACATCATTTTGGGAAGTTCTGCTAATCTATTCAAGTTGTGATGTTTAACAAATATGACAGATTTACCAGCGTAAGTAAAAGGAATAACTCGAGTCATGTCATGAAAGCTTACTAATAGAATATAGACCCGTGGCATCTGTAGTTGTCGTTCCTAAACAAGATGCGCCAAACGTTAAAAGTCCCCGCAGGAAACGTCGACAATCATCCGTGTCCGAAGAAGCTTCAAAACGTCCCCGGATCTCCACCGAAGGCAGCGTCGGCTCTCCCTCAACACTACATTCATCTCCACAAGCTGTCGACTCTTTGAAGCATGAATCATCTGGAAAGACTCAACCTCTTACCAATGTACCAGAAGGGTCAAGAAATGTTAATCCTGAAAGACGAAGGAGTAGTGTTCAAGAGGAGCGCAAGCGCGGTCAAAGATTGTTTGGAGGCTTGTTGAATACCCTTAATCAAAGCACACCAAATGGACAACAGAAAAAGCGACAAGAAATTGAGGCGCGACAAAAGGAAAGAGCTGCGCAAAGAAAAGTTGAAGCAGAAGTTAAGAGGAAGGAAATGATTGCGAACCTGAGAGCTGTACGAATGGTTGAGCAAGTGAAATTCCAGGAAGAATCGGTTAGTTAATTTCGAGAGATGGGAGGGATATAAGGCTGATGGTTTTTATGAAGATGAGGATACGACATACGAATATGTTAGCTATGGCCGGGTTTCTTTCCACGGAAACAGAGCCAAAACTCGTGAGGGCTACACCACATCTCTGCCCATACTACTTTGATTGCTAACTTATCAAGTATTACAAACCATGGCAATTATCAGTCAGGAATGAAGCCACAATCAAAGCTCAAATCGAGAAGGTTGAGTTTCTGATCGAAGGAGAGAAGTCCGAGTGGGCAAGGCAACATCAAGAACAAGGTCTCAAGGTTGAAGAGGAATCCGAAGTAAAGGTGATGTCTGATGTGATGATGGGTGAGCCTCATACAGAGCCTCCATCTAGTTCTAACATTGATACTACTAATCCTATTTCTGCACTCGTTGTTCAGTCCTCACAGGGTAAGACTGAGAAAGATAACTTGGAAGAGCATAATGGCGAGGTAGTAGTAGAGGCAGAGGAGGATACCGTCATTTACTGATTGCTTTATATGAATCTGTTTAAGGAGTTTGCTTCGAATGCTGAAATGATCAAATGGTGTTTGGGTGATAATATCTTTAGGGATGATGTCTTTAGGAGTCACTGATATCCCGAGCCGTCTTGTACTTTAGACTGGCTATATTAGAATATTTCCTTTCTTTTCAACATTACTTATTATGAACTGATTTTGAGGGAATTTGTGTAAGCGTCGGCCGAACAACCACCAACGAAATCAGAGACAAGTTGATATTCGGCGAGGATGTGCGGGATAAGCCTAAGTCCGACGACTTGCTATGAACTGATTTGAGGGGAGCTTGTAAATATCGACCGCCAAACCACCAACGAAATCAGAGAGAACATAATATTCGGCGACAATGCGTGGGATAAGCCCAAGCCCATCAAATGATTCGTCATTCTAGGATAAAATTCGGACTATATCAAAATGCCGTGGTTGATTAGTATACGCTGTGAAGAAGCAAACAGCTGTTTATCCTTTTCTGGACCGAGGTACGGTACTTGGTGGGGTAGCCTCGTTGTTTAAATACTCAACATTTCCACCTCAACATCAGCCTTGTTCAAGATATTTTTATTCTTGAATATTTTACCTCTGAACACATATATCAAAATGGTCGATAAACTCGCAGTACAAGACTCTCGAGTCCAATATAAGTCGGCTGATGTAAATGGTCGAACTTACTCTTATATTCTTGCCGAACCTCAAAATGGAGCTGAACCTGTTGGCACCATCTTTCTTATTCATGGGGTAAGCATATATTTTATTTCTGGATCATAGAGACTTTTAAGATTCTATAAAGAGTCAAATGGAAACGATGCTTTTCAGAACTTAAAATAATACGTCAAAACCATTTACTGACTTCTCTAGTTCCCTGACCTGGCATTCGGCTGGAGATACCAAGTCCCCTTCCTCCAAGGCCTCAACTACCGGGTAGTAGTCCCCAACATGCAAGGTTATGCTAGTTCATCCGCTCCCCAAGAAGTCAGCGCCTACACCTACAAAACCGCCGCAGATGATGTCGCCGCCCTGGCCAAAGTTATCGGAGTCACATCCATTATCCTCGGAGGCCACGATTGGGGCGGAGCAGTCGTCTACCGCATTGCTATTCATTACCCGAAACTCATCTCTGCCGTCTTCAGCATCTGCACTCCTTTCTTTCCTCCCCAAGTAGAATATAGAGCTATGACTGTCCTCCCCAACTTCAAATACCAATTGCAATTCAAAGGACCTGACGTCGAGAGGGAAATTGTCGGAAAAGATAAATTGAGATTAATGTTAAATGCATTATACGGCGGACGCACCGCAGACAATGAACTCGGCTTCTCCGTCGCGGAAGGAGTACTCTTTTCCAATCTGGAAAAGCTCGGTCACACTCCCCTCTTATCCAAGGAAGAATTAGACTTCTACGCGGATCAATATGCCATTAACGGGATCCGGGGCCCATTAAATTGGTACCGTACAGGCGAGTTAAATTTCGAAGATGAAAGGGAATTAGCGCCATTGTTTCATGAGAAGGGACTCAAGGTGGATATTCCTACCATGTTTGTTGCGGGTTCGAAAGATGCGGCCTTACCTCCTGCTATGGGTGATGGGACGGAAAATTGGTTTACAGAGGGGAAATTGAAGAAGAGGGAGGTGAATACTAGTCATTGGGCTTTGTGGGAGAAGCCGGAGGAGGTTAATGGGTATATTGCCGAGTTTTTGGAGGAGACTTTTGGGGGGAAGAGTCATCTTTAGGTTTGGGTCTTTAGATTTAGATCTTTAGATACTTGCCTATCTATAAGGATGATTGAAGAATAAATTGAAAATATAAATATAAATATCTTATCCCGCCCGTTTCATTGTATTGCATCGCATCGTGTCGCATGACTAGCTAAATGGATATTAAATATCAAATACCCAAAAATAAATACTCAAGTAAATATTTTCAATCAATGAAGTAATTCGATATCAACGCCTTCAAATTCGTCCATGTCACCTGATTATTTGGTTGTAAATATTGAACTATTCAACCCGACAGGTAGATGGATAGATAAATGATAATGAGATGTATGTAGTGTGTATTGGTGTTGATGGGGACGGACATGGGAACAGGGATGGAGATGGGAATGGTTTTTTGAGTTGGGTGAGGTAACTATTTATAAAAAATATATTTAAAATCTAGATTTTTTGTATTTTAGATTATTAATTATAAATATTTATATATATTTCAAAATAATCTTGAATTTATACAAATAATTTTATTAATAATTTCTTTTATTCTTTTATTCTCTTGAATAGATAATTATCTAGTATTTTTTTCTTTTACAAATTTAAATATATATAAGGTCTAGATTATTTATTCGGCCTCCACGGCAGTGGCCCCCGGAGGGCCAGCGGAGCGTCTTTTTGTTCGTTTTTGTTTTTGGGGCCGTGATATGTCTGTAGATGTATGAATGCGTGAGGTCAAGTTTCAATATACTGAGTTTGAATATATATGTATATGTATGTGTATATAAAATCAGGTGATATGATAATACAGTTCATTATCCCGTCATTTCAATCCCGGCCCGCGTTTATCGCGGGATACAAACAACATGTACAGTATTCGTAAAGTTTATTTGTTTTGTTTTGTATTGTATTGTATAATTACTAGGTGGGTAGGTACATTGTGGAGAAGAGAAGGAGCTCCAGGGAGGGAGGAGTGGAAGGGAGCTTGGAGATTCGTTTTTGCTCACCGTTAACCTTATTCGAGTGGGTGCATCAATTTGATGCTTGTGTGGTTTTTTCGTATACCACTTAGGTATTGTATTGTGCTGTATGTATGTACTGGGTGGTTAGTATTAGGGAGCGGTGTTTGTTATAGCTGCTTAAGGATGGGAGGGAAAATTAAAGGAGCTGGTTGCGATTGGGTGGATGGATGGATGGGTTTGGTAGAGACGAGGGTTTTGTGAGTATGTACGGAGGAAGTAGGTACTTGTATGCGAAGCACAGATCAGATGGGTATCATGGGATACTCTATCCGTGTTGTGGATTGCGTGTATTGTAGTTTTAGCTTGTATGTCCAGTAGGTGGATAGGCTGTTAGTTTACTTGTGTATGTGTGTGTGTGTGTGTGTGTGTGTGTGTGTGCAACTCCAGTAACTAGCGGTAATAGCATATTTTTGTCATGCATATAAGCACTTGATCTATGAATGATAAATTTTGTAACCTTATGGAGGGGTAAAATAAAGAAGGCAATGGATTCGGTAGGTCACAGAGTAGAAGCAAATAGAAGGAATAGAAGTGAGACTTTGAATTCGAAAGATGGGAGACGAGATGGAATATTATGAATGTGGATGAAGGAATCATGAATCATGCGTGACTGGTACTGGTGGGTGTCCTTTACTTTATAGATGGTTTGCTTTGGTGTGGTGTGGTGACCCTTTGGTGGGGCTTCAATGAAGTGAAGCTTTGAGCAATGAGCAATGAGCAATGAGCAATGAGCAATGAGCAATGAGCAATGGGCCCAGCCACAAATATACAAATATACTCCGTTACCTTTGTCGAGACATGTACATGTACATGTACATGTCTATTGAGGTATGAGAACCGAGGTTATACTGTAGATGACTTTCCCCTGAGTGATGCTGTGATATGCTCTTCACGGAGTACTCCGTCTATACGGTTTAAACCTTCATGTATTTTAGTTACCCTACCTTCCCTGCCCTACCCTATGTTATAAAGCTAATGTTAATGAGATGATGCCGTATTTAGCTAGTCGGTACGTAAAACATGGATGGACACCTAAATAGCAATCTTATGATAAATTCATAAATTCTATATATTTCGCAGCTACATAGTATTTATTTAGCACTAGATATTGATATCCATATTCCTATTTCATTCCTCATTCATCATTCATTCATCATTCATCATTCATCACGTTCACCTACTACGGGTAATTTTTAATCCAATCATCTTTCCACAATCCTTCTTTATCTACTGGATATTGGATCGCTTCTTTAGCTTGGCCGAGTTAGTCTCTTCTTCTTCTTCTCTTAGTATCGCCTTCTCAAAGTCAATTCTTTAGAAGGCTGTATGAATCAATCAAGTTGAATTTGAATTTGATTTTGATTTTGATTTTGATTTTGATTTGAATTTTGGAATTTGAACTTCATCCAACATCCAACATCCAATATCCATCAAAGTCTCACCAAACCAAACGCTTCTTCCCACGGCGGAAAATACTTCCACTGACTTACTACTTCCCACTACTGTCCCGTACTGCAAAGAGAACTAAAACCACCACCGCCAACCACCACCAACCACCACCACTACACACTTTATTACCTCACACTACTGACTGCTACTTTACTTTACCGACCGATCAATCCTTCCTTCAAATCAACCATCACTTTTTCAAATATTTAAAAATCAAATCAATTAATTCTCAACTTCTCTACTATATCTTTTTGATCTCTTTTAATATTTTCATGAATCTCTCCTGTTCCCAGCAAATCGATAAATTTCATGAGTCAAAATGACAGACGCTTGCATTGTATGTTTAGAAGATCTGGAGGTTCAACATGAAGTTGGGGCCCAGGTCCAGGTCCCATATCCAGATGATGCTGCAGTGGTGCAAGACCGGCAAGACGCCCAAACCATTCCCCATGATGATCTCGAGGGGGGCAAAGCGAGCAAAGCACGAGAATCCCATTCCGATTTCCTTGAAATTGTAAAGGGTCCGAATCATCATCAACAACATCATCATTATCCTGCGAAAATCAATAGCCCGCTTTGCGTGGCTCAGATTAAACCTTGTGATCATGTTTTACATGATCATTGTTTGAGGGAATGGAGTCAAAAGGCTAATAGTTGTCCGATTTGTCGGGCGAGTTTTAATTTGGTCGTGGTACTTGATAAGGTTGGAGGTAAGCTTGTTACTTTTTATTTTTGGAGTCCCGAGGGTTTCATATTGGGAAGGAAAGATTTTAAATCCAAATTCTTGGTTGGCAATATTTTTTGAAGCTGCGGGGAGTTTAATCGCTTTTGCGACGGTTGACTTTCATCTCTTGGAAGTTATGCACGATTTGCGACTTTCACCCATGACTTGATGGCTGCCTACCACCTTACGAGTTATACACTTATTCAAAACAATTACTAACTTATTTTTTACAGGATGTGTTCAATCTGAATATGCCGTCGAAGATCGAAAACAAACTGCCGAGTTTGATTTAACTGAGTGGCAAGTAAATAATCCAGAAGAATATGAAGAAGAGGAAGATGGAAGATCTTGTCCAATATGCGATCAGTCAGACCAAGAAGATGTCCTCTTATTATGCGACGGATGCGATGCACCTTATCATACACATTGTATTGGTTTAAGCAATGTTCCAACTGGTAATTGGTATTGTATGGAATGTGTGGAAAGCGGTGCTTTTACTCAGCATGATGAATCGCAAGGACCGGCAAGGGCTATACCATTCTCAGGACCAAATATCAGCAGAACTCAGGCTAGCGTTCGACGTGCTCGTAGGAATGGCAGACAAGATAGATGGATTAATGCTTGGGGTCAATTAAGTAGCGCAATTCGAAATGTCGCTGGTGTTGATCTGGATTTTGCCGAGGATGATCAGGAGTTGAGAGGGTATAGGGATCTTCAACATTTTTCTGCTACAGAATTTAGAAGATGGGAACAACGAATACATATTGCCAGGCGTCAAGGTGCTGATCAAGTATTTCGAGCCGCAGCACCACAGGTTGTTAGAGAACGAATTGAACCACCGCCACCTGTGGTTGAAACTCGTGAGGAAAGGCAAGCATGGGGAGCAATGGAGAGAGCTCAAAATCTCGAGGATGCATCAAATGCAAGAAAGCGCAGAAGATCAACTACTGCGTCACCGGCTAGCCGTAGCCGTAGTAGTTCAACACCAGAGGAACCTGAACGTAAACAAAAGCGTCCAAGAACACGAATTGTTCAAAATGGATCATCTGTCGCATCATCTAGTACAAATAATCAACCTCGACCTCAATCTAGCAGAAGCAATGGTTCACCAACACAATCACCAAGATCCACAAATACAATTAACACAAACTCGGAACCTACTTTTCTTTCTTCACTTCTTCGAGAAGTTGAGATGGCTCCGTCATCTGATGAAGATTCAATAAGGTTTGGATTAGATGTTACATCTAATCGAGCAAATGGTGTCACAAGTCCATCTTTTGATTATTCTTCTCCAGCTACTTCACCAGCATCACCAGCATCTTCTTTTCATAGTCGCGCATTATCGACCACACCTCCACCAAGAGGTAGACAATCCCGTTCCCCTCCTTTAAGTACAACTGTTATGCCTGATTTTTCTGCTGTACATTATTCACCAAATCGATCATCACCAACTGACTCGATAAATCAAACAGTCTCAAATGAAAATAGGAGAAAGAGAGATGGATCTCCTGTATCAGAAATTCGACAACCTCAAACTCGCAGGCATAAATCAGCTCGAGCAAGATCTCAAGATTCTTCACCTGTACGAACAAATGTACAATCAACATCAGGATCCGAAAATACTTTACCAGTACGAAATACCATGTCAGTTGAAGAAAAAGAAAGTATTAGCAAAGTGGTTAAAACAGCTCTAGGACCTCATTGGAAATCTCAAAAGATATCAAATGAACAATATTGTGATATCAATCGAAATGTATCAAGAAAGCTTTACGAATTTGTTGCCGATAAGAACATCTCTGATGGAGATAAAAGTTCATGGGAAAGGATTGCTACTTCAGAAGTTAGTAAAGCAGTTCGATCTTTAAGAAATTAATTTCAACAAAATGGGTTGAAAATTTAATAATGACGCATTCACGAACAAATGGAGATTTTATGGATACATTGGGAATTTTTTCATTTGGCATCATATGGGTATATCTTCCCAGGAGTCTATGGTATTTGAAGCGAAAGACAATTAGCGATCGGATATTTTATTATTGCGATTTGGGATAACACTTTTTTTTCCGTCGAAATATAATTGGTGTTATATGGAAAGGAATGGAGCGATTCATTGCATGGCATGCATGGTACAATGGGTAAATGGATGGATGGTATGAATTGCTATTATGATACCAATGTATTTTTGCGCTGGAGCAATAATAAGGTGTTTATCGTCTTCTTGTTCTGGAGATTGGGGTGGAGGATTTGTTTTTAATACATTTGATGAAGGGAATTGGATGGACTGTGAGTGTATTGTATCTGTACCTGGTATTTTATGGTATGGGTGGCTTTTTGTAGTGGTGGGTTAGTTGATGAGTGGGTGCGGATGGATAATTGATGGGATGGATGGATTTGTATATTGAGGGTGATGAAGAGGAGAGGGGAGAGGGAAGAGAGAAGAAAGAAGGCGGGATGAGAGGAGAATGTTGGGATTACTGAGAATAAGAAAATTATGGGATGTCAAATGGAAACGGAAAGGAAGGGAAGGAATGGAATCGATTGATGGAATGGTGAAATGGTGAAATGGTGTTCAGATACTCGTAGATAGATAGATGAATGATATTTCAATCTTTGAAGCTATCTTTGATTTTATTCTATATGGAAATTTAAGTCGTAATGGAAGTTGCAAGGAGATGAGATAGGATATTCTTTTGATAGTAAAATTTTAAATTTTGTTTAATTAATTAATTATTATTATAATTAAAAAAAACTTATATATATCTATTAAAAAGTTAATTAAATATATTATATTATATATTTTTAATTATTTAATTAATGAATTATTTATTTATATAAAAGAAATTTTAATAATAAATATAAAATTAAATAAAAAATATAAATTTTATAATATAATTATTATTTATTAAGTCCTTCAGGTCTTATTTCATTAAGTGTGTTTTTGACTTTTGTAAGAGAAAAAGAAAAGAAAAAGTTTGATGTTTTATTGACCGATATCCACTAATAGAGGCAAGAATGGACGCAGACCTAACCGTCTAAACAGACCAGATTTCTGGGCGCCTTTGACAAACGCTTCGACAGCCACTAATCATCGCAGCGACCACGCTCAATTAATTATATGCATCTGTTTCGGGAAGGCAAAGACGGAAGATAATGAATGATGAGAACAGGTTGACGGACATACACCAAACCAAAACAAAGGTCTACATCCATGACTACTAGTATTTACCAAACCTCTAGCAAAAGCTCTTGCAAGAAGATATCCAAACGCGTATCCTTGTGACATTCATCCCGAGTAACTCATATGTAAACAATACCTCAAACCCCTCTGTCTATCTCCGAGATGATTGTGAGTAGGTGATATCTAAGTCATTTCCCACTCATTCCAGCTCCAACTTCATTCATGTAATTATACAGCGAAAAATTCTCTTCAAACCCATCCCTTTCTTCCTTCCTTCCCTCACTTAAAATTTACACTGAAACCCAAACCTCACCACAACAACAGAAAAAATACATATACATATCTACCTGTATAACTAACCAAATACCTATCTACCCAAGTACCCAAACAAGTTCCTCCTCAGAAAAAAAAAAAGAAAGAAAAAGAATATAACCAGTCGCTATCTAACAGTTCCCGTAGAAAAAGACGAGGGTACCGCTAGCGAAAAAAGCCTGGAGTGTTTATTCTAGGCATCGATAAATGGTCAGGACGTTCTGGGTTGAAACGGGTCTTGATGATAAGGATTGATGCCGTGGATTTTTGTAGAAGAAGAAAAAGAGAGGAGGGGGAGGGTTTTATAGGTGGGGTGGGGTTGGTGGTGGGATGAGGCGAGAGGTCAGGTGATTGGGTGGGTTGTGATATAAGTAAGATCACTCACCACACATTATTCAAATTCAAATTTGTGATAGAATTCTTATAGGAACTATAAAGTTATGATATATAAGAGTTGTAAAAGCTGTTTTATTTAATAATTATAAAGAGTTTTTATTTAAAAATAAAATATATTTATAATATTTATTATATATATTATATATATTTATATTTAATAAATCTTTTAAGATATTTTAATTTAAAAATCTTTATAATTTATTTATAATAAGATTTTTAATTTGAAAATAAAACTAAGAATACAAAATATTTATAAAAATAAAAATAAATTTAAATAATATAAATTTAAAATTTAAAATATAATTTATAAAAAGAAAAAAGTTTTCAATTTTTAAATTTTTGAAATTAATCTTTGATTAATTATCTTTTGATATAATTTGATATAATATAAAGTTGTTGAGTTTATACAGTAGAGGGTTGAGCGGTTAGGTATATGGTTTCATGTTTGGTGGATGGATGAGGTGTGATTGGATGGATTAATCAATCGATGGGATTAGTAAGCGATAATTAATTTTTTGGATCCCCTTCTCTTCTGCTCGGTTTTGGTTGGATTGGATTGAAGGGCGATCTTTCACTTATACACACACTTTCACAGCAAATATGACGGCTAGTAGTAGAGGATGCAGTAGAACTGCTTCGAGATTATTATGTATGTGTTTGTTTCTTTTGTTGTGTTTGTTGTTTGTGTCAATTGAGCGGAGGGGGAGGAGAAAAGAGGGGATTGAGGATGGATTGCGCATCTTCGTTGGTATTTTTGAGGAGTGCTGTCAATGATTAAATGTCTCGTTCAAAGTCTTGCCTAGAGCGCAGCGAAAAAGCCTCCACGGCAGTGGCCCCCAGAGGGCCAGCGGAGCGTCATGTTTGGTTTTGATGCGGCATTGGGTAAATGGCGAGTCGAGAAGATTTACTGGGTCCAAGACTTGCTGCTTCCAAGTTCGAAAGCTCAATAGCTTGCAAGCTTAAACAATATAAAAATTTATACTAATACATTACAACATAGATTCATCAAGACCAACAATTACTCCTCGAATTCATCTCAATACCCCATGTATACAAAAACTCCCCACCTCAAGAACCTACGCTGTCGCAGCTGCAACTCTCAAACCTCTCGATGGACCATCATCTCATCTTCCACATATCAATTCTATTCCTCCTATAACACCATCTCCAGGAGCAATAACCTATAAAATTTCCACCGGAATAATCCTAAGTCGACCACCTCTTCTCACTAGATCCGCAACACCTTTCGAAAAAGCATTTTACCTATATCAAAAACGTTTAAATGAAAGATTGGTATTACCATTTACTCGATACTTTTATCATAAAAGAGATCAACCAGCAGATATAGAATGGAAAGCGAAAGTTAAAGAAAGGAATGGAGTTGCTGCAAGGGATATTGGTGGATACAAAGCTTATGGAGATGAAGGATGGAATGATGAAGTCATTATTGGAGGAGAGGATAGTAAAGTTGGGGAATGGGAGAATATTGCTGGAAAACTTGTTGAAGAGGGGATGGGAGAGGAAGGAGAAAGAGTTAAACTTGAGAAGAGGGATGGTGTAGAGGATAAGAAGAGTTTGGCAAGGAAATTGGAGGAAACGGTTTACTTGGTTGTTAAGGGAAAAGGGAAGCGTACGGATAAGGAGGGAAAGGAAATTGAAGTTGATGTTTGGGAATTTCCTAAGGGTGATATGGTGGGAAATGAGGTTTTGCATACGGTTCGTTTGTTTGTTTCTATAGTTTGCGTCGCCTTTTCACTGACACATCATCAACAGGCAGCTCAACGTATCCTCACCGAAACCGCCGGTAAAAATATGAATACATGGATAGTAGGTCACGTACCAATTGGTAGTCTCACAATCAAACCTTCGCAAAAATTCAATAGAGAAGCAGAAAAAGTATTCTATATTAAAGGAAGAATTATGGCAGGTCAAGCTGATTTAAAGGGGAATGCTTATGGAGCTCAAGATTTTATGTGGTTGACTAGAAATGAGATTGAGGGATTAGTTACGAGAAGATTTTGGAGTCAAGTTTGTGGGATGTTGGGAGGTAGGTAGGAAGGAGGTTGTTTGTCTGGTAGATGGAAGAATTACTTAGTTGGTGTATGAGGAAGGGAAGGAATAAAGGATAGGAAGGAAGATGAATATACATATTCATGAGTGATTATAAAGAGATGTGGCATGGAATTATGTATAGATATTCATATTCATGTACTCGTATGTAGGAAAGATGCATGAATATAAATTACATTGTAGAATAGGATAGAAAGGTACTTAGCTAAGTAAGTAAGTAACTATCAAGAAGAATCAGGGAAATCAATGAAAGGGAAATATGTATTGTTTTGGGTTTCCGTGTTAGATGGAAATGGAAATGGAATGTATGATGGAATAGGTAGGTATATTCAAATGTAGCTATGTATGTATGATAGTTAGTTGGGTCGTTGAATAATGAAGCGCGGGGTTCATGATATGCATGTGAGTCAATTGGTCACCTTATTGGTAGGTTATTCGAAGAAGGAAGGAAGGAGGCCGATATCGCAGTAGACTGATGGATGACTGGATGAATGTGAGTATATATATATCTGGTTGCGCTTGGTTTGGGATAACGTGGGATTTGAGTTCGTGATTTGAGGAATTGGGGAGTCGAAAGATCGAAAAAAGTCCCATTTTTCAACAACAGATACGGTCACAAATATAAATAGTAATACAAATAAATATAAGTTCGATTTGTTTGGAAGGATTGGTGGTAATAACAACAAACACAAAGACTGATTCTGATTCTTCGAAAAGATATCTAGGAACAGCATCACAGTTGACGCCAAACACAAATTCAAATAAACGTCCCAATCGAGTCCCGAGACTTATCAACATCATGACCTCAAAAACTTCCACCACTCCAAAAAATATCATCATCCTCGGTGCCGGAATTTCAGGTCTTCAAACTGCTCTTTCTCTATTAACTTCATCCTCTACTTCTTCTTCAAAACCGAAAATAACAATCATAGCCAAACATTTCCCAGGAGAAAAAGATGCAAATTATTGTTCTCCATGGGCAGGAGCAGATTGGAGAAGTCATGCTTCGAGAAAGGAAGAGGATAGGAGACTTAGAGGATGGGAGGAAGTTACTTATAAGAGGTGGATTGAGGTGATTGAACGAGAGAAGGAGGAGAAGATGCTAGAGAATGGGAAGAAAGATGCTAGAATGGAGGAAGTCGAACCAAAGAAGGACCATCAAGAAGTAGGAATAGCCATAACACCATCTCTATACTTCCTAGGAGCCAATTACCACGGATCCGAAATCGACGAAAATGGTGTTTGGTTTCAAGATGTAGTTCAGGGATATCAAGAACTGAATCCTTCCGACCCAACTGAAAATAATTCGGAACTGCATAGTTACCCAAAAGGTATATTAGGAGAAGGAATTAGAAAAGGTGTTTATTTCAATACCGTATGCGTGGATGTAGATAAATATCTTGCGTATTTATTACTTCGCATCAAAGCACTAGGCGCGATAATCACCCGCTCGGAAATCAACACGAATGGTGGACTTGAGGGTGTGGTTCGTTCTTGCAAAGTTCTTGCTAGGGAGAATGGGGTAGCGGGTGATGTGGATGTATTGATAAATTGTACAGGACTTGCAGCGGGAAAATTCGTGGAGAAGGATGAGAGGGAGAAATTGTTTCCGGTTAGAGGTCAGGTTTTGATGTTGAAGGGAGAGACGAAGGTTTGTAAGACGTTGGTGACGGATTTGGGGGAGGAGGGGGATGAATTACTTTATGTTATTCCGAGGCCGGGAAGTGGGAGGAGTGTGGTTGGGGGTCGTAAACAGGTTCGTTGATTTCTTTTAAGTTGGGGAAGAGGGGGATGGTTCGGAAGGTGGTGACTTTGGTTCTCACTCTCATTCATTTGTTTTTGTTCCCCGGAAAGATGATAGGAGATAGACCGAGATGGGGGTCTCGTTCCGAATATAAGTGTATAAGTGAGAATAACTAACTCGAAGATGGATATAGGCATATAGTTGGGACTCTAACCCGGACTCACAATTAACTGAAAGAATTCTTCAAAGACTGAAGGATATTGGATGGGCGGATGATTTTATGGATGAGAATGGTGATATAGAGGTTTTGGATACGTATGTGGGTTTTAGACCTGGGAGGAAAGGTGGTGTGAGGGTGGAGATTGAGGTGGAGGTGAAGGCTGATGGAGAAGAGTGGAGGAAAGAAGAGGGAGAAATGATAGGGGAAAAAGGACAAGCAAGGAAAATAGAAGATGTCTTTGTACTTCATAATTATGGTCATGGGAGTGGAGGGTATCAATGCAGTATTGGGTGTGCGGAGGAAATTGTGAGGTTGATTGAGGGGTTGGAGTTGGAGTGATGAGTGATGGGATGGTGAGTCAGTGTAATTTTGTTATTGATATGGTATGATGAGGAGGGACTTGGTATGTGAGATTACGAGGTGGCGGGCCTACGGAGGTTAGGAATAGATATTGAGGGAGGGGGATTGTTCTAGGTGATGATGTATAGTGGTGCTGTTTGGATAGTTGTGTATAGCTATAGATTAATACAGATTATCTCCTCTCCTCTCTTCTCTTCTTTATTTAATAAACTTGCCTTTGATTAAAAGAATAGGATCTATTAATTAACCTAGAAGAAGTACACATTCTTTTCTTGTCTTCTCCTCTTTTTTTCCTTTCCGTGTATAGATTGCATTTATTTATTTGTTTGTTTGTTTATTTGTTTATTATTATATAATCTTTGAATTTTAAAATATTATAAGATTTATAGAATTGATAAGATAACTATTTTGCTATATTTAAAGATTATAAATTTATAATAAAATAAATAGAAATACAAGATTGAATTAAAAATAAAAAAGATTTTATAATATAATATTAAATTATTAAAAGTTAATATTATAATTATTTTAAGAAAATTTAAATTATAATTATTTAGTTAATTATTAATTAATAAATGAAAAAAAAGAGAGAGAAAAAAGAGATATAATTAATAATAAAATATTTTAATTCTCATTCAAATAGATAATAATATCTAATTAAAAACCTTGAAAAAGATTATCTAGAGACATTAAAAAAAAGAGATGAAATGAGTATATTTAAATAAAATCATATAGATATTCTTCAATTTGAGTAAATATTTTATTCATAAGAGAATCATAAGTCTAAAAGTTGAGTGAGAGAGAAATAATATATAGGTTGAAGGGAAGCAGGGTATTGGGCGTAATTTGTACTCTTATATGATCTGGAATTCAGATTGGATAGCATCGAATGGACCTTCTTATCGAGTTTTTATACTAATATTCTTCCCGTGCTACACATGAGATCAGACATATAGCGCTTGAAGTTAAGTAAAGCAGTAAAGCCCCGAAAGATTCTATAAGACTCCAAGAACCAGATCCACAAAACCACAATTTCATCCCCCACCTCAAAGTCTCACCGAAACTATAAATCTAAGTATCCACTCGTGCTTCAACAAACAAAGCCCGTTTGGCTTAGCGGTAAAGCGCATCACTAGTAATGATGAGATCCTAGGTTCGATTCCTAGAACGGGCATTGATTTCAAGCTTATAAATTTGTTTTGCACTTTTTGGTCCTTGGGTGGGGTGAAAGGAGGTAGGTAGTAAGTAAGTAGTAAGTAGTAGTAGCTATGTATTTCTTGTTCGCCCTTAACATCATCAATCAAAAATTCAAACATCCATATACAAAAATTAAAAGAAAGCTCTATCTTCTTAGAAGAGAAATGTTCGCCCAATTGAGACAAGGATTTATTAATCAACTTTTGATATCAAAGTAGATATGATATATATACAAAACCGATCGATCAAGTCAAACTTTTAATTCCTCGTTATAAGTCTAGTGTAACGATCTGGTTGAGGCAGCGGCTGCCTCAGGGTTTCGTCTGGTTGGTAGTTGTAGGTTAAGGCTAATAATCATTGATTATTCATTCGAAGATGAATACATTACTAAATCAATTGAAATATAAATAAACTAATTGATAACTAAGTTGAGTATAAAGCTTCTAAACTATGAAACTATTCTGATTATATACTAATCTCTTTTCCTATACTAATTATACTAACTGGCTAACACAGTTAACATTCCTGTGATGTTAGTTCTGCTAACTGGTTAGCAGAGCTAGTATATTATATGATTGATCCTGAAGCCTTTTATATCCCAAGGCCTTTCCTTTCCTGGAACATTTATCCCAGAAGCTTTTTTTTTAGAAATCATAGCTTTAGAATATGATATCCTCTAAAATGATAATCCTATTACAATTAATTAGATAGGATATTTGTTCTATTCTATTATAATTACTTAGAATACTTATCCTAGGAATCCTGGAATCCTAGGCTTAGATAATCAGGACCCCTGAAAGCAACAGCTAAATCACACCCCCTCTATAATCGGCATATAAATCATCGACATCAATAATACTACTATAAAGAAAACCGTGAATCGTGACATCTAGTACTATACTTTTGAACCATCTCTATTTAATATAGATCATCTTTTTATACAAAAAATCGTGATTTTCAACTATTAATAACTTTACAATTAATCAATCGATAGAATTTGATAAAACTTGAATTGTAGATTTATTATATAATTATAATTCAATTCTGAAAATTTTAGATTTTTTGAAATCAATTTCATTGAGATTTATATAATCTTAAATTTTGTAATTTTTAATTTGTATAAGATTTATATATAAATTTACAAAATCTTTAAAATCTTGAATAACTTTTCAATAAAAATAATGAAAAATAAATTATAAATTTTTTTTTTAAATATTTATATTATAAGTGATCAAATAGATTAATTTATTTTAAAAAATATTTTACAAAAATTCTTTTAATCAAAATATTATTATTTTTAATCCCTGCAAAATCTAAAAATATTAATAAAGATTTATTTATATTATTTAAAATTTAAAACATCAATCTATTATATAATATTTAATCTAAAAATCCTTAAAAAATTTATAGTTTATTTTCAAAATTTTTATTAAAAGTTATTCAAGATTTTCAATATTTTCAAATTTGTATATAAATTCAATACAAATTGAAAATCGTAATTTTAACTTTCAATTTCTCAATCAATAAAATCATGAAAAATCTGAAAATTTCAAAATCTATCAATAATTATATATGAAATTTATTTAATATAAATGATAGAAAATAAGAAACTTGTTTAAATAAATTATAATCCTGATAATCTGATTGGTTTAAAATACTTTAGTAAATAATTATAACAATCTAGTCGAGGTAGCGGCTGCCTCAGGTTTTCGTATAGTTGGTAGTTGTAGGTTAAGGTTAATAATCATTAGTTATTTATTTGAAGATGAATATATTATTAAATCAATTGGAATATAGATAAACTAATTGATAACTAAATTGAATACAAAACTTTTAAATTATAAAATTATTCTGATTATATATTAATGAATATAAAAGAGCTTTATAAAGCTTTAAAGCTTCAAAAAGCTTCTAAAGCTTTAAAAGCTTTCAAAGCTCCTAAAGCTCTTTATCATATGATTAGAATCAGATTATATATCCAAGTTTGTTAAAAATGAAAAGATTATATAAAGCAATTACTATACAAATTTATATACAAATCGCCTTACTTTTCAATAAAACCTAAGCTTATATGAATATATTAATTACTATTCTTCAATATATCCTTATCTTAATTATAAATCGTGATATTATCCCTTTCTTAACTAAATATTATCTCAATCGCTTATAACCCTTTGGATTTCATTTGATAATTAATGTTTTTCTTCTTTTATATTCTATCTATCTCTCTTTTTCTATTATAAACAATTCTGATTCTTTCAATAATTTAATTTGAAAAAAGAAAAAGGAATATATATATTTAACTACAATTATCGATTCTATTGATATTGAAATGATTCCTTATTCTCATTATTGATAAAAGAATCATCATTGTATTAAAGATCTCTTTAATAAATATTGTTTGTGTTATTCAGAATATATACAAAATTCCGTTTCATATAATGCTAAGTTTCATTTAGAAGATGATTAGAATTATGAAATTCCTCGGAAATATGATTAGAAGAATCTTGATCGATAAATCGATAAATTGGATATTGAAATCGCTGAATCTTCTATTAAAATTATTTGTTTTGTTAAACAAAAAATACAATTTAAAAAACAATACAATGAAATATTATATTGTAAATTTAAGTACCTTGATGAATTTGATACCTTTGAAGAAAAGAAGCAAAAAGAAAAAGATAAAGAAATTCCTACAACCCTTCTATCGTTTTCTAATCAATTTGGTCAATTTGATCAATTTGATCAATTTAATCAATTTGATCAATTAACTCTTAATCGATTTGATCAATTATCAATTGATCTTACCAATCCCAACGAAATTCTTATAAACGAATTCGATTCTTTCGATTTTTCTTTACAGAAAACAATGAATTCTTTTTCCTTTTAGGTAAATCCGAATTCTATCAACGAAACTTTTAGAATCTTTTCAAATATTTAATTTCTTTTTTAAATTCCTATATATTTTCGGAATCGAAATAATCTTCCTATTTTATTAAATATTTGATTTTGTTTTTAATATATTTATAATTTAGTATCTTTTCTATTTTGTATTCAGTATCTTGATTTGTAAATATAATTTCTGTTTCAGAAGTTTTAAATACTTTTAAAAATACTAATTCGAATAAAGATATATAAAACATTAAATATATATTTATATTTTTTGATAACACTAATTCATAATTCAAAAATCCTTTAACTTTTTTGATTTTGAATAATCCAAGTTTCTTGTAATTCAATTTTGTATTAAATCTTTTTGTTTCGATATTTTTTCGAAATAAGTAAACTTTATTCCCCTTTTTTAATATTGATTTCTGATTATATTTTCGATTATAATAGTATATGTTTCTTTTGATAACGAATTTCAATTCTATTATTATTTTTTTGTAAACTTCTTTGAATCTTTTTATTTATACTATTACAGATTGATTCTTTATTTTCATAATCCCTAACTTACAATATACAATTAGTTCGTATTTATAATTGATATAATTCAAAATGATTTGTATCATTTCTAATACTGAATTATTATATACAAATTATATTAAGAATAAAAGTTCTATTCAATTGTTCTATTAGTAATTTATATAATATCGAAGATAAATTTCGATAATTTGATTTATTTTCTCGTTTCCTTTATTAATTTATAAATAAAATATAATAAATATTTTTCTTTTTATTTTTAGTAATACTACTAAAATAATCCAAAATTTCGATATAAAAAATTTATCTTTATCAGAAAGTATTTCCTTTGATAATCTATATATTGTTACAATCTCTTTCAGAAATATAAAGATTAGTATTTCTATAATTAATATTGTTTGATATAATATAAATATTAGGTATTTTGTTAACCTATCTATTATAATGAAAAGATAATTATATATTATTTCTATTATTGAATTCTTAGATTTTGATAATAAATCTATAAAATCCTATAATATTGA